GAGTGGTGAAAAGAATGGGAATGGTAAAGGTATAATGACTAAGAATGCGATATTGATTGGATTTACATGTGTAATGATATTGAGTGGATGGATAGCACAGGTTATGGATATGAATAAGAATAATGAAACGAGCAATGAAATAATGCAAGAGTAAAGTGATATGAGAATGTATATAAAAGTATTAGTTAATAATAAATAAGTATCGAATAATTGATTATAGTGTATTTGAGAGATGTAAAGATATTGAAATGTAATGATGATATTCAGTGAAGTTCAGGTAATTATTAGCATAGTAGAATAATGTGAGATCATGAATATAAATAGATGTGAGATGATTTAGTTAGTGAGATAAAGATATTTATTATTTATTAATAGCATTGTGTTAGTGTGCGTAATTAGTCATATATCAACTTTATTGTTTTATTATTGACTGATCTGATTTTGATCAACTTACATTGGTATATCATCACCTCTATCCACTTAAACCATCATCAAAACTTGGCCTGTTATTTGGTGATATATTTTATTCATCTCCATTATGCTTATTAGTTTTTAATTGATTCTTCTCTAATCCAACAACTATATCTTTACCAAATTTATTTTTACATTTACAAAAAGCCTTTTCCAAGTCCTGGTATCCTGCTGTATTATTTACCTTATTGCCTCTTTTAATAAACTTACAACCAGTAATATCGATTTTTGTATACTTTTATTCTTTGCTAGTTTCAGTATTCGCCGCGGCAGTGATGTCATATCTATATCTATGTTACTGAAATCAATTATCTTCAATTGTTCATACCACTTAGTACCTTGAATTTTTCTATTTTATTAAGTTTTGGGTTATCACTGAGTTTAAGCAATGTTAGTTTTTTTCATCTGGTAATTGAACTGACTTTAAATAGGAACACTTTGTAACATTAATATCGACTACCCCATCTTCAATGCTTTTATCTGGTTCAGAGTTAAGTTTATATAGCATCTGTAATATTTCCATACATTTTAGATTTCCAGATACTGAAGATTTGTAAACTTCTCTGGAATAATAAGTGTTGTATTAAATCGAGTATCAAGAATAAGTTCACAATCCTTTAAATAAAGCAAAAGTAGTTTTTTGTACTTCTCTAAATGATTCAATGATCTGATTATACAATTTTTAAACGGAAAAATGTGATTATTTTTGATATCTTGATGTAGTAATTTTATAGTTCCCTCTTTATTTTTGAACGAATCTTGATCGATCATAACGTTATCTATCATATCCAATTTATTCATCCAAATACAACCTACGCATACCATGTACATCTGCATGCATATTGCAAATGTCTTGAGTGTTATCAATCTGTTTATTTCACTTATGTTTATGTATCTCAATCACTTTATACTTTTACATCAATATTCCAATATCTATGAACAAATACAAACTTTCTCTATGTCATATGTATATCTTTCATATTATATAATTGGTTGTTCTACAACTGTGTTATTGAAAATATTCAAATTGTATAACCATATTTACGTATTTAAATAAATTGTATATAGAAGAAAACGTATGGAATAATAAAGATTAAAAGTATGAATCCTGGTTTAAAAATAAAATATAAATTTTAAAAATTCATATTAAACAGTATATAAATCCTTCAAAGATATAAAGTAATATGCATATTAAACTAGATAGTTTGAACAGATGCCAATTTTATGATTTTGATGTATTTCTTACTACAGCATTACTATTATATAAATTTTAAAATACTCAATATCTATACAATAAAACCACATAATTTCTCATTTATTTACTAAATCTTTACGTAATAATTTCAGATTGTAATGTTTCCCTTGGCAAATGCTGAATACGCTTTTAATAGCATATCAGAATGAAAAGGGAACGAAAGCACTGCTTCCATCACTTCGAGAACTTCCTGAAATCATTGAAATTATAACAAAAAGATTCGAAACAATAAAATTGAGTATTGGAGTGAGAAGGCACATTCTTGAGTTGGAGCTCGAAAGAATCAAGTTCATTGCAAAGGAATATGTACATACTCGTATGCAGAAAATACTTTCAGATTTTAATGGAGATGTCAAGTTACTTTCTGACAGTGAAACACGCCTGTATTCTGCATATGTAGACCTCAATAAGCAACGAGGAATTTATATCAACTGCCAATCTGCTCAATATTATGATGAATACGTAGGATTTTGCTGTCTTGATAATGTTGGAAACATACTTATTGATGGCGTGCCATTGAATATGGTCAAAGGCGATGTATTTGTTGCATCACTTAGCAATATCAAAGAATTACTTATCAAAGGGCAGGTTATGCTGTTCTGAAAGAATATATTTCTGAGATTTAAAAAAATATTATACGAATAACATTTGCTAATAAAACGGCTTTATATGTAAATACTGCATAATGGATCATTCGGTTGTACTTGATACCAAATTTATTTTGCTTTTAGGCAATTCTAAGTATTTCTATTCAAATTATTATCATAGGAAATATTACAGACTGATACTTTCCTTCTACTTTCATCAGGATTTTCCTTGATTCTTGAAAGTAGAACTCCTGTCGTAGACATGTGCCTTTGAGCTTTGCTTGAAGGAAAGATCTTTTGCTGAACTCCACTTCTATCATTTTCAGCCCTGGCAATCTCTTCAATTATTGGTTTCTTGTATTTAATGTATGAATGGTTCATCAAAGATTTAGCATCAGGACGTAAAAGATGGCTGGGCTGCAATGCTTTCAGTAAAAAGTCATGTAGATTTTCGTTTTCTTCTATTTGAACACTCTTTGAGTTAATAATCCGTTTCATGTCATCTATGGTAAAAATAGAACTTGGTTTTCCTACAAACTTGTATCCGTTCTCCTTCTCAAAAAAAATATTTGAATTCTTCCCATGCTCTAGCATAAATGCAGGCAAAGATCCAAAAAAACGATGGATCATGCCTATCTGATCCATATTATCCTTCCCTGCAAACAATGGACTACCTGAATAAAGCTCATATGCTATACATGCAACAGACCATATATCGCAACTAGATCCATATGGAATTCCAAGAATCACTTCTGGTGCACGATAATATCTTGACTGTACATAGAAATTCGACTCCTGAGGCGATACTGTTGCTGATCCAAAATCTATTATTTTTACCTTGAATGTTGTATAATCAACTATCAAAATGTTTTCAGGCTTCAGATCACAATGCACAATTCCCATCCTTGAAAGCTGCAGAATGCCATCAAGTATCTGGAAAAGAACAAACTTAAGTGTGCTATGATCCAATCCCTTGAACTTTGTCATCTTCAGAAATGTATATAAATTATGCCCAAGAAGCTCCTCAACAATACATAAATGCTGCTTATACATAAACACATCCTTAATAAGAACAAACCTATCATTCAAATTATTATACATCAATTTATGGAGAATTCTAACCTCATTCATTTCATAATTGTAGTACCTTGGATGATTCTTTACCACTTTTATAGCAACTTCTTCACCATCATCACTTATACACCTAACCACTTGCCCAAATGTTCCTGTACCTAGCATATCAATCACCATATACTTCTCATTCGAGCTCTTCACTAAATGATCTCCCTTTGCCATCACAAGATCAAACTCTGCATTGTCTGCCGTAAGGTTTGTTTTTTCAGACGGATGCGTCAGGATCTTCTTGCTCATCTCCAATTCAAAGGATTCATCTCAATATTTTTTATTACTTTATTCTGCATACCTAACACTTTATACCTCCATATTGATCAAATAGCTAATATAGATATAGTGACTAACCTTCAAAATTCATTTATTCCTTAACCAGCCGCCATGCATAATTCAACAGCTAATGCACTACATCAACATCTACGATACCTATTCATGCTTTCTTGGTTTTCTCTCACACATTATCTCAATGCATTCATCAGAGTTGAATCTCAAAGGGCACACCAAACTTTCCACTTCCTCTCCTGAAACCTCCAATCTTCCTTTCTTGGCATTCTTCGCCTTTTCTTCAGCCTTCACTAGCTTTTGAATCATTCGTACCGGGTGTCCATTCAAATCCATTTTGTATATAAACTAAAATATACACCCCTCCTGTCCTTACGCAGGAGGTCTCTATCAATGACGTTCACACGGAGGTAGAGCAATTGCTAGTTTGGAAATCCAAACCATTGCATTAAATTAGTCCTATGTCTTCCGTGACACAAGGCCATTTACAGCTTGCCTGTAAGTGATATCTTTGGAATTGGCTTAACGCCATTTTAATACTAACATTAACTCAAAAATCCCTCAACAGTCTAAAATCCTTCACAAATATCTATGAAATATGATGTTTAATCAAAAATCACACAAAACATTTACATCCTCCTCAAATATGATTTCAGATTAACATAAAAAATCTCAGATCCAAATACGTACCTCATGGCATAAGTCTCCGGATTCAGAATTACCTTAAGGTTTTGCTCCAAATGCCCTACTATTGGTGCTCTTCTACATCCTCTTTTCATAAAAGGACCTTCTACTTTACTATCTAGACAAGACGCTAAGTGCTCAAATCTCTTCACATACTCGTTCCAATTATAGCCCGGCTCATGCTTAATCATTTTGATTTCTAAAAAATCATTCTCTTTCCTAAGACTATACAGTCCACTGCTTGTCTCCGTTCCTTTCAAGTCACATGGATTCAGATACTTATTCTCAACCAACGAAATAATCCCCTTCTCTATTCGGGATATCATCTTCTTCAGGTTGTATAATCTAAATCCCTTACACTTCGTAATTTCACGAACTCCTTCCTCAAAACTATATCCATCAATCTCCTTCTTCATAAAATCAGTACACAGATCCATCAACTTCATATAAGTCTCCTCTTTTTCTTTGCTATCTATCTCTTCACTAATAATCCCTTCAAAAATCATTCTTTTTACCTCAGCTATTCTTTCATAGGCAAAAATAACAAATCTATATATACAAAACAGTGAAAACTCAGAAACAATCCTGAAGTCCTTATGCATATACTTCTCAAACACTTCATTCAGCATACTCAGCAGATCTTCCACAGCTGTCTTCTTATTATCAGTTTGACTAGTTTGAATATAAGCCTCACATAAACGTTTTACATCATTCAATACCTCATAATCATCGATATACACACACGCTCCTTCACCAGCACTTTCAACGATGCTTTTCATCGTAAAAATCTCCTTCTCACTTGCTTTATACGACGACCCAACCGCATCCAGCGCTTTGTAATAGTTCCTTTCAATCACTTCTTTCCACACTTTCCTTCGCTCCCTCACACAAAACCTTAGCTTTTTATTCATCATGTACAATCGCTTTATAACTATTGGAATAGCTATCTGCGGCTTCATCAAAATCCCTTCAAGTACCTCCGCTGCAGACCGTCCATAAACTCCCTTCAAAACCTCCTTCATCACTCCAGGTGACATTCTTATATCCTTTATTCCAATCTCACACTCCTCGTTACTTGCAAGAACCTGCTCAAGCACACTTACAAAGTACTGTATCCTCTCAATCGCCATGTCCGCCTCAGATATCTCATCTTCAATTCGGAATAGCGCCTCCTCATGCACATTCCGCTTCAGAAACACATAATTCGAATCTTCAGATTCAAACTTAGGACAGCTTATGCATGTAAAGTTAAGAACTTCCTTTGCAATCCCCTCCTGGTACCTGTTGCTCTTGATTTCATCCACAAGAATCTTGTACGATCCATCTTCCATCTTATATCTATCTGTCTTATGCACTTCTTTCCCAACCTCTGCATAATTAATAAACTCTTTAAATCCCCTCACCAGTTCCTCATTCCTTAGCAATGGCTCTACAAGCGCCACCAAATCCCTCTCACTAATAAACTTTTGATTAAAGTAATTAATGCATTTTAGGAAATCATCCAGGAGATTCTTATCTTTCAGCACGTCCTTAATCCTTTGTAGAACATCCTTTTCGCCACTAATTCCCACTCGCTTCAATGGAACAAAATTCTTTTCAAAGTCCTCGCAAAGATCTGGACTCTCCCACAACAAGCTATTGACCTCCGCCTTCATTCGGTCAAACAGTCCACTCTTCACTTGATGTGACTGTAACAGCTCTACAAAAGATCTATATATGCTTGGATTCTGGTGGTATCGCTTCTTCACTTTTTGTATAAACTCATGCGCTTGCTTGGCCTTCATCTTCTCATATTCCTCTACCTTCCTAAACCCAGAGCTTACCTCCTCAGGTACTTCTTTTCCGCTTTGCGCATCATGCACGTTAGTAAATCGACTCATTACAGGGGCCTTGGCATTCTGACTTTCATCAACCCTGTACTTCGCATACACCCCATCGCTTTCTACCGCCTCTTCACTCATAAACACCGCAGTCATCACATCCTCTACTCCCTGTTTGCTTCCTTCATTCAATCTTTTTCGCTTACGATGCTTCATACTTGCATTCACACAAGATCCATCTTCCATATTCCTCAGGTACTTCGGAAGATATCCATTAAAACGCACAACAAGATGTGGCTTTGCTTTCAGTATCTCCCTTACATTCATGCATGCTTCTTGCGCATCAATCTTCCCAAATTTGAAGTCCTTCATTACCTCCACAAACTTATCATACACATCCATATTATTACAATACTCCTCCCGGATTCTATTCAAATACGAAATCGCTTCGTTCAGATCCACCTCGGCTTGCTGTCCCTTTCGAAACAACAGCTTCTCCACTTCTCTCCCACTCACAGATCTTCGTTCATGCGAATCTTCCCGAGCACTTGCCCTCCAGCATTCCTTTCTTCCATCCAAATCCTCGCCGTCCCCATCAACTATTCCCGAATCGCTCCAATGCTCTTCATTCTGATTACTGAGGCACTTATCATGGCTCCTTGGCATGGAAGGGCACTGTTTTTTATACAAATTTGTTTATCAATTTACACAATTAATAGCACCTTACATTTTCAATATCAACATCCATCTTTATTCATGCATTTTTAATTTTATGGCCTTTCAAAAATCATATCCCTAGCTTCATAAGCACAATCAATCGGTTATGTACTTAATCAATAGTCTACTTTATCCACTTCCATGCACCTAATCAATCATCTACTTTATCCACTTCCATCAAGTACATCACTCATCCTTATGATATATATTCATATTCAACTCCTGCATATCTGCTCTTGCCATCATCCGAATAAAATATCAATTCAAAACATCTTTTGCATAAAAATCCCTTCTTATCAGGCAGGATCGGGTCATTCCAGACCTTTACCACCGCATTGCTTTTCATGCAACACTTACACAGCTGTGCCCTTCCAAAAAGACTCTTCACTGATAAATATCCATCCACTCTCCTATGGCAAAAAAACATCTTCGATATCCTTATAACCTCCTCAAATCTACCATCATAAAAATATATCTCCTCAGTCATGCTATTCAAACACTTTCCAATCTCAACATTCCAGTCGCTTGTATCAAACACTCTCGTTTGGAACAGCATCATCGAAAACCTAATCGAATCTTCATCCATATTCTTCAGATACAAGCGCTTACCTATTGCAAAAAACATCTTGTCTGATATGCCATCTCGTCCTTTTAGCATTGCCCCAAAGTCCGATAAAAGACACTTCCCAGATACTGTAAACCTCGAAACCATCTCAGACCTAATAAAACACTGGCCTTCATAATACACGTTACTAGGTCTATCTTCTTCTGTCACATTCCACTTACTTGCCTCTATCATCTCCTTCGGCAGCATACATTCATCCAACCCATTCATAAATCCCTTTGGATATATTATCCTGTGGTTTGTAGAAAACATCTGGTCCCACTCAATTGGATATGTTCTTTCAGCTACCACAAGGCTGTACGTCATCTTCTTCATAGATCTTTTCCTTTTTTCAACGCTTTTTCCAGGCGCAATCTCAACAGCCCATCGTACCCTATCTAAATAATTCCTCTCCATGCTCAGGGCTTGTCTCATATGATCGTAAAGGCCATAAACTGCGAAGACTTGTACATAGATGATCAATTCAACAGCATAGATGAACTCAAGCATCTCATCAAGCACAAGTACGGCATTGCCGTAGAATCCCAATGCATAGTGCCAAATGGAAGATTATACATCCTTGGTATATTCGATAACATTCACGTTGCATTGCAAGAAGAAGCTCAACAAAATCCATTTGCACAGTTTGGATGTCCTGATTCAGTATTCAACACATTGAGAGATAAAGGCATGAACAACGAAGTTATAGAAAAATACATATTACCTCATAAACAAGACACCAATCCAACAAACAGCATATCAGTACCCCAAGTCAACATTCAGAAAGCCCTCCAGACTGCACTCAAACTAAATTCATCTCAATATTTCTCCATAAAAGATATAACAAAATCAATCGATGACGAGGTAAAAAAGCTAATCATAGAAAATACCAAGCAGTACATCCAATTGATAATCAACTCTTCAGAAACAGACACTCATAAAAATGCATAAACCCCACAATCAAATCACACTCTGTTTATTCAAATCTTCAACTCTTCCAAAGACCAAACTGCAAACGAAGCAATTAAATCATTTATTACTCCACTTGCTGTATTCAATTTAAAAACACCATCAGGAAAGCGAGCGCCTTCTTTTAACTCCACAAACACATCAGCAAGCTCTGATGGATCAAAGTAGTCGTTAAAGAGCCCAACCTTACGCATCTTGTGATTTACATCTTCTTCAAGGCCAATTTCCTGCTGTCTTGCATCTTTCCAGCATTTAACTTTTCCTAAAGCTATCTTTTCTGCAGGATTCAAAATACACTCTGAACCCATCGCCTGTATCTCCTTTATTCGATCCTTCACAAGCATGTCACTCTTAAATCCAAGTACCTCAAAGACAAGTTCCTCAAATGCCTCGAGATAGTCATTGTACTTTTCAGTATCTCCTTGAAATTCATCCTCATCCCGTGAAAATGCCCGAAAAAGTGTTCTACGGATCTTACACTCTTTCTCCACTGCCATGTCCTCAAAAGTCGGCTTGATGTAGTTTACTTTACGGAGCATTGTTCCACACTCAGGACATGGCGCCTGCCCTTTGCTGAATATCCTGAAAATGCACGATTCACACATCTTATGGAAACACGGGCTAACATACAACACTATGTCAGGATTGAGATACACATCACTCCTGCAAACAGGGCATCGCCTATCCTCCATCCAGGGCATGCATTAAGCACAATTTTACATACTAATTCAATACTCATGTTGAACACAAAAACACTAAACGATTTATTCAAACGGCCTCATCCGCTCTTATCTTCTCAAGTATCAGCCCGTCACCAAGGCCAGACTTTCTGATCGCCCCAGAAATGTCATAGATTCTCACGTTCCCAGTAATCTGTCCATACTGATCAAGCATTGCCAGCGTCAGCTGTACGGATGCCTTGTCTGATGAAGAAATCGCTGTCTTTCCTATCGAGCATATTCTTCTCTCAAATGCCATTTTCAGGGCATGGATAATTTTGCACTTAACATTAGGCAATAAAGAAGTAAAGCATAAACATCATATACTTGATAATTCTTAGAGTGCACAGAGAACAACAGTTATTGTGCAGACGAAAGTTCACTTGATATCATGCAGAAGTCCATATTCTGAGATGCACCTCCAACCAGGAATCCATCAACATCCTCAACCTCAAGAATCGTTTGGCAGTTTAGCATAGAAACAGACCCTCCATAAACAACTCGTCCCTCAAAGCCTGCTTCACTTCCCCAAGCCTTTATTTTGCATATCACTTCCTTTATTTGAGAGTTGGTGGGAATTCTGTTTGTTCCTATTGCCCATACTGGCTCATATGCAATGTCAATATTTGTGCATCCCCGTATCACCCTCTCCAGACAGTGTAGTTGGTGTTTTATTACATCTAGATATTGTCCACTTTCCCTGTCATCCAAGCATTCTCCAACACACAGGACTACACTTAGGCCCTCTTTACACGCATTCCTTATTTTTGAAGCAATCACCTGCGAATCATCGCCAAAAAACCTTCGTCTTTCAGAATGCCCTATTATTACATACTCTACGCCCATTTCTTTGAGCATAGAGGCACTGATCTCTCCTGTATATGCTCCATCATTGAACATGCTGCAGTCCTGTGCACCAACCTTGATGTGTGCAGGAAACCTTTGCTTTGCTGTCTGAATATACACATAAGGAACTGCGATAAATGTATCGTTGTTCAGAAAGAAGTTGTGCTTAAAACCCTTGATGATGTCGAATGTCTTTAGCGAGGCGTACATTTTCCAGTTTCCCCCAAGAAGCTTTCTTCTGCCCATGCACACGTATCAACAAACATTTTAATAAGCGCGAGAGGAGGGCGTTGTTAATGCATGATGGATGGATGGATGCAGGCGTAAAGTTGCAAAATCAAATATATTTTTTCAATGGGCAGCCCAAAATGGAACGCATTCTGGACTTGGAGAAGGAGTTTGATATCGCTGCATTCGATGAGGTTGTTAAGAGTGCAAATTGCTCTGATAATGTGAAGAAGACAGCAGCAGAGAGGATCTTGATGAAATTCAAAGAGCTTCCAAATGCATGGACAAAGGTCGACTACATACTGAATAACAGCTCGCTTCAGGAAAGCCATTACGTCGCTCTGCAGCTGCTGGAAAGCATTATAAAGACAAAATGGTCTCTTTTTGATGAAGCAATGAAACAAGGACTCAGGATGTACGTATTACAACTTGTAATTGAGAAGTCAAAAGTTCGGAGCAAGGAGGTATATGTGATACAGGAGTTGAACACGATCCTGGTTGAGATTGCAAAGAAGGATTGGCCAAGAAGGTGGCCGACTTTCATATCTGATCTGATCAACGTGTCTCAAAGCATTAGCATGGAGGTTTGTAGAAACAGCCTTAAGATCCTAAAGAGGCTGAACGAAGAGGTTTTTATATTTTCTGAGGACAGCATTACAACAGTAAGGAAGAGAGTACTGCGGAACCAGCTGAAAATTGAATTTACAAACATATTTGGATTTATAAAGACGATTCTCGAGTACTCAAGAAGCAGCGAGATGGACGAAAGCCTTCTAGAAGCAACACTCGAAACATTTCAGTGCTTCTGTGGATCTATGCCTCTTGAATTTATTTTCTTAACAGAGATTATAGGCTTGATTCTAGAGCACCTGAACTCTATGCACAGCACTGCATGCTTGAAGTGTCTGATTGAGATAGTCGATCTTGGAAGAGATACCAAACTTGCAAGAAGCCATGAAGTTGAAAATGCAGAGAAGGAAAATATATTATTGATACACGGGCAGTGTGTGGTGTTTCTTGGAATGTACTTTGCAAAGTTCAATCAAGAGAAGATATACGAGGTGTATGGCGGAATGGACAAGGCAGAAAAGGCATTTGTGCTGCGATTTGCACAGCTGCTTTCTTCGCTGTATGAAGTTCATATGGGACTACTTGAAATGAAGGATGCAGTGAATACAAAGACTGGACTCGGATATTTGATACAAATGTCGAAGATCAACAGCATGAATGTTTTCTCAACTACATTTGAAATGTGGAACAAATTTGTGTTTGATTTGTACTCAGAGTATCCATTTGCAACCCAGGACTCAGGAAAGAGACTGAGAAGATTTGGATATATAGGAATTCTGAACCAGCTCTTGGGGACTCTGGTAGACAAGATGCCACGTCCAGAAGAGGTTTTTGTGATGGTGGATGAATACAACGAGGTGATCAGGAAGAAAATGACAGACACCGACCAAATTGAATTTTATAGGAAGATGAGAGGATGCCTGTATCACCTGGCTTTCCTTATTGAAGAGGACATGAAAAAGTACTTTATTAACAAGATTGGATTTCAACTGGATGATAAAGAATGGGATTGTAACTACCTCAACAAACTATGCTGGGCAATTGGATCAATATCTGGTTCGTTTTCAGAAGTTAATGAAAGAGAGTTCTTTGTTAACATCCTCAAGTATCTGCTTGCATTGTGTGAGATGAAGTCTTTTAAGACTGATAAGGCAGTTATTGCATCGAACATTATGTTCATTATTGGGCAGTACCATCGCTTTCTTCTCCATAATAAAAGCTTCCTAAAGACAGTTGTAAAGAAACTGTTTGAATTTATGGATGAGGAGCACGAGGGAATCAAAGACATGGCATGTGATAACTTCTTTAAGATAGTTGAACGATGTCCTATTGAGTTTCTTACTCAGAGGGAAAACGACGAGGTGTTTATCCTGTATATTCTAAGAAACCTGACAGGAATAACAAGGACATTGGAGTTCTATCAAAAACGAATAGTCTATGAAGCACTTCTTCTAGTGATAAAGGAGGTGCCAAAAACAAAGGACTACAATGTAAGAATATTGAGCTATGCAGATCTTCTGCTATCTTCTGTGCTGAGCTTCAATATGCTTTCTGATGAGCATATTAATAGATTACCTGAAATTATATCAAACATGGAGGATGTGAAAATGGTTTCACACATCCTCAAATCACACACATTAACGTACAAGCTCCTTCCAGAGACATGTGCTTCTAGTTATTCACATGTGTTTCCTAGGTTGTTCAGCATGTTTGAGATATGTAATAGGATAGTGCTTGAGCAGAGCGAAGGAGTGATTTTTGCAAATGCCAAGCTTGTGAAAGCTGAAATAGTGGAGTTATTTACAACGGTTGTTGAGTCCAAGTTTGTTCAGGTAGACTTTGTAAATATGCTCTGTGAGAAGATTGTTTTTGATTATAAAAGCAATTCGGTGTATAAAGAACCTGCGATTCTGAATCTGGCTGCAAGTATAGTACGAAATGCTGAAAACGACGGCTCGGTTATGTATTTCCAAAGAGAAACATTTATGATTTCTACACTTATAGAGCCGTCCATTCCGTTTTTAATGAAGGCCGATGAAAACCTGGAAATAGCAAGAGGATATCTGTCTTTGGTAGAGAGTATGCTGCTTGTTTCATTCAACACATTCTTTTCATCAATATTCAACCTTGCATCATTCAGGCAAATATACAACACATTCTTATATACACTGATATGCATACGAGATGTTTCAGATATGTCTCTTAATTGCCTTACAATTATATTCAGGAAATGCTACGAGCAGAAGCTCTTTCACTTCTTCACACAGAATTATATCTGTACGCTAGAGAATATTCTTGGGATTATCTTTGATAAGGACATGAAGTACAACTTTGATCAGCAATGCTTGTTGCTTGCATTCATGATTAAGATAAGCAGGGACATTCCTAGCCTTGATGGTGTCAATCCAAACCTCAAAATGCTTTCAGAGCACATAGTAAGACTCTTTACAAAATCATTTCCAAACATAACTCAGGGATCAATCAATGTGTTTTCTGTAGGACTTTTTGAACTATGCGAAGATCAAAATGTATTTAAGGAGCATGTGGAGGATTTCAGAGTCAAGGTCTATGAGTTTGGTACGGATGAAGATTTACAGGAGGAAATTGATCTTAAGAATGAAAGAATTGCAATATGTAGAGCATAGTTTAATAACGATCTTTAGATTTACGTGTATTGGCATCTACTCGCACACAATCAAAAAGATTACAGTTAGAAAAATAGCTATACAATAATAAATATTGCATCCATTTAATCTTATTTCTTTGATTTGTTTTCTTAATGAGTCTATAGTCGAATTGTTATATATGATCCTCTGTGCAAGCATTATCTTCTTTTCAAGTGGAATCTGCATTGCCATCCTCTCGTTCAGATAACTCATTTTCTTTCCTCTTTCAATTTGTAAGTTTTTATTACATACCACAATCACCGTATAAAACAAGCGATGCAGTCCCAGCTCAAAAAGAAGCGGAATTTCTATAAAAACTACAGAATGTCCTTTAATGAATAGCCATAATACACTCAGTATCACCTGCAAACAGATCCTCGGCATCATTCGCCTTGTATGCGACATCCTAAACCTCTTGTCTGTAAAAAACCTCTTTCGAATGCATTCAACGTTAATGTCTTTCAATATTTGATGTGTTACTTCGTCTGTGTTAATGGTGGCAAATCCCCTATCTCTCAGCATCTCAAGCATAGTGGTTTTTCCAGTACCCACTCCTCCTGTTATTGCAATAATTCTCATCTACTAGGGCATGGAGAAATATCAGCTCATTCTCATTGTATACCTAAAGCTCTTGATTGTTTAATAAACTCACAAAATCATTTAATTCTTCTTTTCTCCTTAACTTTGCCCAGCTTGATTCGTTGGAAATTCAGAATCACAGGAAGCTCTTTAATATCAATCTCTTCAATATCATCGATAAGTGACATCAGAACATCAACAATCTTGATCTCTTCATCATTCAAATCGTTTAACTCCAAGCATACCATTATCATATACATAAAATGCTGGTAATTTGGCTTGAATAGCTCCTTGGATGCCATCACAACCTTTTCAAATAGTGCAACCAGCAGAGAAGATGATAGTGTCTCCACAAACGAAACCTCACTACAAGATATAAATGCATCCAAGTCCGTATTCGATCCACTTATGACTGCTTCTACCGCTTTTTCAATCAGTCCTTCGGAAATCAGGTTTTTTACCTCATTTTGCTTTGTAAAAGAATCATGGAGCTCCCCAACTGCCTTTCTAATGTCTTTCAAATGATCTTCATCGTGCATTAGACGGATCTCGTTGATCATTTGCACCCGTATCTCGTCCATTGCTGCCTCAATCGTCGGAACCATCACTTCAATGATCATTCTCTTAGCACACTCCAATATCTTATTATCATCAGGCACATAATCCTTCATCTTTGTTTTTATTTCCTTCACAGACCCCAAAACACGTGAAGTTTCATTCTTTAGCATCTCCTGGACTCCTACCTTGGCTCCACTATCATTGATTTTACAAAGCATTTCAAAAATCATATTAAACCTCGCCTCATTATTCGCTTCAATCATATTCATTCTTTCTTCTCCATCTCTCAGCTTCATAAGAATTTGATCAATCTTCTCATTCCATTTCTTATCCATCTTCTCATTTATAAAATCACATGAATCATTCAATTTATCAATAACATAAGGCCGATGCTTGTCAAAACACTGAGCATCATCCTGGTCTTCATGCATGCGATTCTCTGCTCTTTCTCCATTTCCATCACTCTCTTTATACTTCTCTTTACTCTTTACTACTGCATCGTTGCCATTTAATTGCTCAGCTTTCAATTGATCTCTATCTTTACACAACTTCACACTCTTATCATCACACTTCACTGCCTTAATGCTTTCATTTATGCCGCCCTCTTTTATATCTTCAGCAACAATCGATGCAATACGTATCACATTCTTCTTAATCGATGCACTAAGGTACAGCATATCTCCTGGAATATGAATCTCATTCACAATCACAAGCTTTTGATTGCTTACCTTCAAAGCATACAGCCAGCCATCAACACACAGTGCTGCATAATCACCAATGGAAAACATTCTAAAAATCTGCCCAGTGCTTCGGATACTCATCTGATGAATCATTGCCTGGTTCTCGTTCAGCAAGTAAAGCATTCGTGTCTTCGAATTTAACACTAAAAATCCCTTCTGTATTCCACAGACACTGTCTCCTTCAACACACAGATTCTTTCCATTGTCCTTCAGCAGCCTGCCTCCAGCATTCATGAATAAAATAGAATTCGCATAAAATACATTTGTGCCTGCATCTTTTTTGGCATTCGCCAGGAACATTCGTCCTTTAAGCCCTTCAGCATCGCGGACAATCATATTTACATGATAATTGCCATTCTTCGACGAAACATACAGGACCTTGTTGGCATGCTTAACCACATGTACAACATTCCTTGAAATCGTATACCTCTCTTCAGAAGGATAGCGATTATTTGCCATCAACGAATACTGCAGCTTGTTGCATGTGTCCAGAGTTATAAAATACACTTTTTCATCAACTTTGTAGAAAAATGCCTCCTTCAGTGGAAATGGAAGAAATATATATGGGAAGGATTGGTTAGGCTCAAACATAAGGCTTCGTCCATCGACTGTATAGAAGAAAAACCCTCCCTCAATCTCCACTATAGGGCAGCAGGGATATTTCGATGAATCTGCCTTGAATACAAAGCCATGCTCATGTACAATCTTGATCTCAGATTTGCTGCACTCCTCAGACTTGTCTTGCTTTAGAATACTTTTTAGATCCTTCCTTTGTGCCTGCAAATTCTTCTTGACCACTTCCTCAATTCTCTTATCCATTGAGGGCTTCGTCCATCCAGAATAAATCTCGGCACTCCATACACCATCCATATCTATTCGAAGTAGGCTTCATCTGATTTAAACAAGCAAATCCATCATTTTCATATTACTATCCAATATTGCAAATATTCTTATTTAATTATCATTTCTTCTTAGTATGCTTTCTATTGCTGGCCCTTCATATTGCTCTACCTATGAATAAACAACATGAAACAATTGCTCAAAAGGCACAGATGATCAAATAACAAATGCCTATCAAGATAGAACCTCTACTTGCATCATTCATCTCTTCAACAAGAGATCTTTCAGGAAAAAATCAAGAAGATGCCATAATTAAGGAAAGACGTAGGATTGCCTGCTCTAACGAATCGGAGCCACATGTCAGATATTCTAACATTCTAAAGACAATATATATACAAATGCTTGCATACAAGATTAACGATATTGACTTTGTAAAGGCATGCGACTCAGGAGTCCAGAGAATCAAAAGCGCTGGGTACCTGGGACTCATGGCCATAGACGGCAGTGAAAGCATAGTTATGGCAATTAACACAATCATGAAGGACTTAAGCAGCAAAGAATCGCGAAATAATGCATTGACTGCAATATGCAATTTGAATAACAACAACCTCATACTAGACAACTTAATGAGATATGTTTGTCCAAACAATATTCAGGATCCATTCCATAAAAAAGCGCTGGTTGCATACCACAAGCTCCATCCAAACTCAAAGGTAAATATAGTAGGAAAAGAACATTCAGATATTTACATTAAGGCACAGATAGTTGTTGATAAGTTCATGCGAACAGGAAATATCGATGCCACTGAAAACGACATTCTATTTTTAATCTCTCTTTTTACAAAAGCAGATGATCCATTCCTAAAGGTCAAGCTCATTGAGATTTTCGGCATTTTACATTCTAAGGATCACCTCAGCATGAACCAGGCATTTATAAACTCTATGGATGCAGTGATCATCCCGCCAAAAGATAAGATTCGTCTCCAAATAGAAATAGCTCTTTCAATAGAAGCAACTATCCTTCTTCTCAAAGCAAATAAATGTACACCAAAGACAGAAGCATTCGTGTTCAGGCTCATTGAATCCCAAAATCCAAACTCAAGGCACTTCGGATTTCAAATAGCAAGAGTATATAAAATACACAGAGAAATAGCAATCGATCGCTGCATAAAATTAGGGCTTCACAACCACGAGTGCCTTAAAACTCTCATAGCACTAATAGGCAAAAGCAACCATAAGGCAATATACAAACGAAAGGATGAAATAATATTTCATATGGAGAAGGACACAGTAAGTAGGAAGCAAATAAATAGCGCAATAGCTGCTGTGTTTTCAAAGATCGCCATTCATGCAAAGGATGATCTTCTTATAAAGATATATCAGGAAGTCCCAGAAGTGTGTTTAAGCACTCCGCTTGATAAGAACATTCCAAAAGACTGTATGCTTAAGTTATTCAATAGAATATGCATCACAATTAACAGTAGATACTTTCCGCTGATATACCAGCTTCTGCATGCAGATATAAAAAATGAGAACTTCTACAATGTGATTTTCGAAAGGCACCTCAACATACTCGCAATCAAACGAAGCAATCCACATGAAATTGAAACACTTGGGAAACTGCTCGACTGTATGTTTTTGTATGGCGTTCCTGCTCAGAACCGTGAAATCCTGATATCTAAATACAAAGAAGTACAGGGTTACCATGACTCCATTGATATCCTCAATATGATGCTGGATACAATATACCTGCTCAATGTAAAAACAGATGATCAGGTTGTACACATCTTTGGAAAATATTTTATTTACCTTTCATTACATTTACATAACAAGAAGGAAATTGCAATTAAGCACGATCCTGACCTAAGAATAAGAATGATCAGCCAAAGTATAGATATCAACAAAACACAGGAAATCCGATCAAATGAAAGCATAATATCCACTTATTCTGCTGAGAATTTGAATACTTTGGAAATAGAAGTATTTGTTGAAGAGCATTCGCATGCAGTTCATATCGGTCTGAATTCAATATTGATATTGGAGTGACAGAGCACTGATACATCCATGATATAATACAATAACTAATCAAGATGGAGCGACTTCGGAAATTTCTCAATGATATTTGGATTATTGCAAATCACTAAAAATGTTTTGTGTGAGAACTTTGGACTCAGTATAATGTCTATTAAGAGGGTTGCAGACGAGCTGTCGAGGCTACTAATGGGCTCATCAAAAAGATATATAAACGAATCTTTCAACATTGCTCTTGCACAATACACCTTCTGCCTCAGACCCCCGCTTATCAACTCACCTCGCTCACCAACAACAGTGTTGTATCCAGAGCTCAGCTTCAGTATCTCCTTATGGATGTTGAGCCTGCGGCACTCTTCAATTATCTCGCTGTAGCTTTTTTCATTGCCATATCTAAGGTTGTTGTACACAGTGTCATCAAAGAGATCCGCCCTTTGCGGAATGTACGATATCAACGACCGATACGATTTCATCTTTATCTTAGAAATCGGAAGTCCATCGATAAAGATTCCCCCTTCCATCGGGGACATCAATCTCAAGATGAGCCTGAAAAGAATACTCTTGCCCGCTCCGTTTCTTCCATGAACAACAATCTTATCTCCCTTCTTAATCATAAAGTTTAGCTTGTTGATAACAACAGAGTCGTTTACAACAATGCTCATATTCTTGAACTCTAGGTTGTCATGGAAATAATCCACGTCATAGTGCTCTTCATTATCAGACACTCTATCCTCTTCTAGGTACCGAATCGCCATAAGCCCGTTGAGCATTGCAACCCTGAGCTTTCCATATATCTTAGATGTGTTCTCAACAGACTTATCGTAGTCTGCTATCAATGAGTACATATTTCTCAGTTGAATTCCATCACCATTTCCATACTTACATAAAATAACAGCAATCACAAACATCGATGTCCTGAAAAGAAGGTTGTGGACCGTTTCAATAATCGTAAGCACCCTCTTCATATGCACAAAGGCAGCTCTCCACGGGTTGATCCTCTCTTTAAAATTGAACGTCTCCTGCGTCTCTGTCTGGTAAGCCTTGATTGTTTCGTAGTTCAGCAGTATTTCATAGACCTTCTTGTCCATCTGAGTCTTTGCATCATTCAACTCCTGCCTGCATTTCAATATAGCAAATGTGCCCTTGATATGGATAACAAGTCCAACTGCAAGTAACCCCAGGCATATTCCAAGATACAGCATTCCGTATCTTATGTGTATTCTGTACAGATCCATTCCTATGTAAAAAAGACGTCCTATTATATCCATAAACACAATCTTCACCATCTTTGACAGTCCTTCAACACCCTTCGAGATCGAGTACTGTGACTTTCCACTGCTCATGTCAAACCTTCCTGGCTTCTCATTGTATATGATGTTCATTATTGCCCGTATGGACGCCTTCATCTGGAACTGCCCAATGCTGCTTTCAAATAGAATGTCGGTCGTTCCTTCAATCATCATAATTGATATCCGGTAAAAAAAGATCCTCACAACTGCATCCAGCAGATTTCCATACTCCTCAAGCTCAAATATTATGTCAGACACCATCTTGTACAGAGCACCTCGGATAACAATCGAAATCATCATTAGAAACAACACATGTGGTGCTGCGACAACCTCTTGGGAATAGTACCTCATACAAAGCTGGAAAATCCCAGACCCAGAAATTTTTCTCTCTCCCTTGCATTCCTTTCCCATCTGAATTGTGCATTGGGCTTGAATAATGGCACCTAAAAGGAGAAATCATCGTTATTTTAATGCTATGCTTGATGCAATTGACAAAAACAGTCCAATCAGCTTGCCTCAGGTAGAAGTATTAAAAGCCAAAAGGAGGCTTGCCATCACACTATCCTTTTCATATCTTATCTTTCCATTGGCACAAATCCTCGCTAATCGTTCATTAGTGCATTACAGAATTCTTCGGTTTGACAGCATCAGTAAGCAGCTTTAGTACACAATCCTAAACATCATCAAAAGCTCAGAGCCAAGCCTCAGAAGCTCTTCTCCCTTTGCCTTCTTGAACTTCTTCTTCAATCCCAGAACTATCTCCTTGGACTTCCGAGGTAAGTACGAGTGGAATAGGCTGTTTTCCTTGATTATCAGATCTAACAAAAATTCAAGAGTCACTGCCTTAAGGTCATCTGGAAAAAAAAGTACATAAGGTTTTCCTATACTTTTCTCCATTATCAACAGGATGGTTGGCAGGAGCTTGTCTCGAATCAGCTCTTTTATCTTCTCATCTTCGTTCAGCTTACTGTTCTCTTCATCAATATCCATAGGCTCTATTCCTGTGTAAATTCCTAGGATCTTGATCTTCAGCTCTTCATAAGACAGACCTTGCATCAGAATGGACTCAACATTATAGCACTTCGATTTCAGATAAAACGCTTTGTCGTTTGTCAAAACAACCGGATGGATTTGCTTCGATGCAAAGTTCAAGATTTTGTCATCATTATTCTGCACTTCCGATATAAGCTTACTTCCATCAACAACATCCATGCTGTTGTCCTTCAGCTTTCCTTCAAGCTCGGTGATCGATGCATTGTACACCTTCTCAAGAAATCGAATTGCCTTTCTAGCCTCGGTCATCTTACTCTTATTATGATCTAGCTCTTGTAGAACAACCTTCGATATAGACATCGCAACATCTATTGGAAACTCATCTTCATACAACTTTCTAATCACATCTAAATGCAGCATAAAAACATTCGTATCCGGAACAATCGAGATTCTCAACATAAAGGGTAGAAAAACACAATCCAAACACATTCAAACTTTAATCATTCTTTCTTGGCACTCAGCCTCCCGCTTTAAGTGTATAATCTATTATATTCACCAAAGCATTCAAACTGCACCTTGCTCTCTGCACGCCATAACCATTGTGTTATAAGAGCCACAGAATGGACACCGGTTGTACACAATCCCAGCTACTGCCTTAGAAGGATTACCACAATCGCGGCATTCAATAGAGCATAGATCCGCTACACCACTAAGAATCTCTGCATCGTTGTATACAAGACTCCTAATCTTGGCATCAACCACTGAAACATCTCCCATTGGCTTCGAACATATAGGGCATGTGTATGTTTTCTTCATGTAGTCTATAAAACAGCTTTCATGCATGCTATGTCCGCATCTGAGGAGCACAAGGACTTCTGTACATTCATGCATCCCTTCTGCACATATTGGACAGTTTCTTCCTGTTGCGTTCTCTACATGAATATGCTCTCTTGATCCGTTTATCAGAAGGCATGTCTGGCAAACATCACAGTGGAACGTATCCTGTACATTTCCTCTTCTACACACCTTGCATTGTTCACAATGGAAAATCTTATCTCCAGAGCTATCCCAAAGGTTGCATTTGTTACAATAATACTGGGATGCCTCTGTGTCACATGATAAGCACTTCTGTGAGACTTGTTGCATAGTTTTACACTTTATGCACTGCATCTTTAATATCTCGTATCTATTGGATTTATGCATCTCATTCATATCGTGACATAATCGGCATGGATATGCTTTTCTGCAACACTCAAATATTAACAGGTTATTGTTTGAATAATGTTGACAAGCCATTTGGTTTATACAACAATACTTTGCGTTTTATTCAAAATGTTTCATGTGATGCTTTGCCTGTGAATAATATGTGATGCTCTTCCTTTACATAATTCATGAAAGTAATCCCCAGGTGCATGAGGCTTGAATTATTTGATGTTGGATTCGAAGGAACTACAATTAGAGATTGTTTAAGACTTCAGAAGGAAGATAATAGCAGTAAAATCGTTTTCGATAGCAACGGAACATATGGCTCCACATACAAAGGATACTCAAAACTTAAATTAAGCAAATATGTGAAAAACTGCGTTCTTAATAAAGGCAACTTTGAATCGGAACTTCAATTAGAAGCATTTCCTGCGCTTATAAGGCCTACTGATGATATAATTATGCATATGCACGAGGCAGGCATGATGGCGTTTGTTGAGTTTATAAAAATATCAAACCACTTCTACATAGATGAGTCAGGTAAAGCTTATAGAATTCCATACACAAAGACAGAGATCGCTGATTCAAATATCCTGAGTCTAGAAGAAAAGCATTTTGTTGGTAAACTGTTTAGAGGGCACATGACTTTCGACGAGTTTTCACAGTCTCTTTCTGAAAGATCAAAGGCGATCTTAATGAATGGGATTGCAGGAGATAATAACACAGCCATGAGAATGAACATGTATGCCAAAAACATCGGAATGGTACCATTCCTGTATCCTCGTCACGGGCATAAAGAAATTTCAGAAATGTTTTCAAGATGTAACTCTATGTGCGGTATTGGATATGTTCTGGATCCCTTATTATCTGTAACTCCTATTGATAATATAGGTGAAAATAACATTGATAAAGTGCATACAGATCAAGATTTAATTAAGGAATCAGGTTCAAATGCCACGTATATTGACAAGACACTATTTGAGTATTCATATAAAATACATACAAGTTATGGTGATGTGCTGACCAAAAAAGTGGTATTTTCAGATTCAAACATGCCAGGATGTTATGTAAGAGTCATCAACACAAAAAAACATATCCTTGAAAAAACATTTTTTGCATTTGCACGAAGAGTGCACTTGATGAACATCATTGCATTGAGTTCTGAAACAGAATGCTGTTCAGAAGAAACTTACCTCATATATATCACTAAAAATGAAGAAAGTGTGTCAGATGATGATTTAAGGTTCTTGGGAATTCAAGATGAAGATATAATCGAAGATATTTCCTATGAAACCATATATTCATTCAAACCAGACTCGTTTGTCATTGAATAATTGCTTGCATTGTGTCAATAACTAGTAAATGATATTAATATATTTATTCTACCAAGTCCTTGCTTATTTAGATCACAGCAACATTTAGTTTTTATTCCAATCCTCCTTGTGTCTGTTCAACCAGAGAAAGTGCTGTTGCTCTCCAAGATGCTGTAGAAACCCACTTGCAAGCACATCTTCAACGTCACTTCGATTGAGATACCCCAAAATCACCAGACATTGCGGATACACAAGAAACCTGGAGTATCTGGGCGACTTCCAGTACTCCAAGTACTTCAGGTACCGTCTGAATTCATTCGACTCAAAGTATCCTTCATTATGCAACCATCTTAAATATTCGGGATTGCAAAGCAGCTGTACAAACTCAAGCTCCTTTTCAAACCTCGATGCCATGGGCATAGCCAAACTCATTCAAATCATTCAATGTGCAGTCGAGGAAGAATGTTCATTGACATCAACTCCTGAAACAGAAGCTTACATGCATATGGAATTGTTACAACAGAAGGTGTAGTGCTTTTACAAGCAACACAGCATCCTTTGAATGCCAACACTCCGCATGACTTGCACACATACGCTTCAAACGCATCAGAAGACACCATCAACCTTTCTACAATAAGTGATGATGCACCATACCCTATCAGGCAGTCTCTTTCCATTTCTCCCAATCGCAGTCCTCCATCTTTACTTCTTCCTTCTGTAGGCTGTCTTGTCAATATTGCTCTTGGTCCTCGCGCTCTCATGTGGATCTTGTCAGCAACCATATGCTTAAGCCTCTGGTAAAACACAGGTCCAAAGAATATATATGCCATCAGAGGCGCACCTGTTGTACCACTTGTAAAGCAATCCTTTCCAGAATAGCTATATCCATTTCTTACTAGAAGCTCACATGTTTCCTCAACCAAGTTTTGTTTAAATGCCGTGCTGTCTGCAATCTTTCCTTCCAATACTCCCGCCTTTCCAGAGATCAGCTCTATTATCTTTCCAACAGTCATCCTAGAAGGAAATCCATGCGGATTCATTATTATATCAGGAACAATCCCCTGGTCATTGAAAGGCATATCTTCCTGTTTTACAATCAGACCTATAACTCCCTTCTGCCCATGTCTACTGCTCAGCTTGTCTCCTATTTCCGGTGGTCTTGTCTGTCGCATCATTGTCTTTATCAATGTTTGGTCTTGTGACTTCGTTATTAGCACCTTATCTATGTATACAGGTTCCCCTCGGTGCACTTTTCCTGTGAACTTGTATGTCCCATCGGCAGGCGACATTTTGTTAACATATACACTTCCATCCTTAACTATCTTTCCAGGTTTTCCAAGTCCATCAACATCCAAAACACTTTCGTTTGGATTTGGGCTGAGCATATCAGGAATTCCATTCCCATGCTTCTTCAAAAAAGCTGTATTTGTTTTATAAACCTCCACACGGAAGATGCCTCGATCTATCGACGCCTTGTTAAGAATCAGTGCATCTTCAATGTCATATCCAGAATAGCTCATCACAGCAACCATTGCATTCTGCCCCGCAGGCATTTCATTATAACTTATCAGATCAAGGATCTTTGTGGAAACCATTGGCCTATGTGTGTATGTTAGCTGGAGTATTACTGAATCAAACCTCTTCTTTGTGTTCAAAGCTATGTGTCCAATTGCCTGTTTACCCATTGCACATTGATATGTATTTCTTGGGCTCTGATTGTGATGTGGGAATGGAACAAGTCCTGCGACATATCCAAGAATCGCAAATTCAGAGATCTCGAGGTGTGTTGTTTCATCTTTAATATCTTCTGGCTTCAGCGCCACAAGACAATCATTCTCCTCGTTCGCATCAAGGTATTCAATAAACCCCTCTTCCAGGAGATCTGAAAAAGATTTATGCTTGAGGTAGTAATCAAAAAAGCCGCTATGGCTCTTCTTAATATCCTCAGGAATTGAATCAGACATTCTATCTCCAATACCAAGCCTCTGAAAAGCATCTGCTACAGAGTCTTGAATAATATCTATATTCTTTCTATATTTATCAATAGCAATAAGTGGACGGCATATTCTTCCATTATCAGATGCTATATGAACAACCCTTTCTGATGTTACTTTATATATCGATACAAATCTTCCAATCAATCCCTTTCTTCTATAGAGCTTAAATTGATTAACAACAAAATCCACTCGATTGGTTATTCCAATTATGTCTCCATTTATAAACACACTATAAACGTCATTTGCATGAATCTCTCGTGTGTATACTGCTTCTATCTGTACAACACCTAATCTAAAGATCAGGTCCATTATTGGCTTGATATGAGAATCTGTGGTTATTTCTGCGAGTAATGCAAGATTCTTCACAAGGCCGCATGACTCTCCTTCAGGCGTATCAACAGGACAGAGCATCCCCCATGAAGACGTATGTAGTGAGCGAGGCCCACTGACCTTTCGTGTCTTTTCAAAGTGAGAGTTGATCTTTGTCATCATCCCAAGAGCAGATATATACGAGTGCCTTAATAGAACATGTGTCACTCCGCTTCTTTCCATTCTAAATCTTTTAAGGTTCCAGTTGCCTGTTGAGATTGCTCTTGAAAGTGTTGATGTAATCATGTTTGCTTGGAGGCTCAAAAACGTTAATGCATCAAACTCTTGTGCACGCGTCCTTTTGCTTAGAATCTTGTCAATAGACTTCTTCAGTTCAAAGTTGAATCTCTTAAATGTGTCTTCAAACAGGATCGACAGTAGCTGGCCTGCAAGTTCAAATCTTTTATTGCCTACAAAGTCCTTATCATCCTCCTTTAGAATGTCTAATCTTGTTTGTGTCAATCTCCTTATCATAAACGATATGTACAAGCCCTTCTTCCTCATGTCACATCCATCAATGTGAACATTCGGCAGGATCTTTTCCGAAAGAATCGTACGAACCTCATCAATCTTACATTCATCTTGTTTCAGCTTTATGCAATTTCCAATATACTGCAATGCCTGTTGACTTGTAAATACACCTTTTGCCATGCATTCTCCAAAACTAGGCACCATCATATCAAAATACTCCTTTCCCACACATTCTGCTATTTCTCTATCTTGTACAAGCCCAAGCGCCTTTATCACTATCACAACAGGTACCTCCTCATTAAACATCGAACTCTTCAGGTAGTAACAATCATCTTTGACTGTTACAGATGTTTTACTCTTATGCTCATCTGTAGAAGAAGTTACCGATGCAAACAATCCCTTTGCTCCAGACTCAATGATTATCCTGTTTTTAGATAATTGCTCTTGTATTAGAATTACCCGTTCAATTCCCCGGATCACAAAGTATCCACCGACATCCAAAGGGCATTCCTGGGATTCCCTGATTTTCTTTGATTTTGCATCTTTACTCTCAATTACTCCTGTGCACTCTGTATTGAGATGGCATTTGCTGCTTCTCAGCATCACAGGCATCTTTCCAATACAAACATCTCTTTTCACCACAATTTGTCCATTTCTGACGTATTCAACATCTACATATATATCTGCAGAGTATGTAATGTCTCTCAGTCTGCATTCGATTGGAAACACATTGTACTTCACCATACTCTCTTCTATACTTGATTTTCCAACACGGATGTCTAGATATTTAAGATAGAATGTATGGTCAATGTCTGAGTCGACCACCTGGTTTGCTTTGATCAGTGCCTTTATTTCGTGGTTGACGAAGTAATCGTATGATTCTATGTGCTGTCTGACCAGCCCCTTTTCCTTGAAGAAGAGTTTTATCAGCTCGAGCCTTTGGTCTTCTCTCATGGGGAAGACCGCGTAAAAATTTACATACTTGCACGCATTGTACAGCGAATATCAGCATTTCTGGATGCATAAACTGTTGGAATAATATACAATTTGTTTTTTATGCATCGCCCTTCTGTAATGAAGCTGATCATCAAGACAATGACAGGAAAGGACCTGGAAATAGATGTAGATTTGGCAGTGTCTATTGGAGAGCTCAAGATTGAGATAGAAAAGCGTGTGAAGGTGCCTGCAGAGCAGCAAAGACTTGTGTGCAATGGAAGGATTTTAATGGACGATAAAGTCACGCTTTCTGATCTTGTGAGCTCTAAAAGAATGGCTTACTCAGAAAATGTGATTCACATGGTTCTTGCACTGAGAGGAGGATAGGAAGAGTGCGTCAGGTAATGTAAAATGACGAGTAAAACAAATAAAGCAAGATTAAATAATATTTGTTTGGTATAGAGCGATTCAAAATGGTGCAAGAGGGATTCGAACCCCCGCCTCGTAGAGACTGGAGCCTAATTCCAGCGCCTTAGACCGCTCGGCCATTACACCTAATTAAAGACATTTTATTGATCAACTCTATGGTATCTTTTATAAATACAATACAAACTTTGTATATTATGGATTGATGTTCATACTTGTGCCAAGATGTATCAACGTGTTGTTGATACATTTCAAAGATGTGCGAATGCATTTAGATAAGTTTGAAAGATGTGTTAATTATGTGATGTATACAAATCCATACGATTATGAGAAACAGATGACCACAGTACTGCCTTTGGTATTCCATGCAAATACATTCGAATTGGTTAATCAATAATTCGCTACTAAAATACTCTAGAGAATCAATCATATATGCATAAGTAAGGCAATCATGGTCAAAAACAATTAAAACCCCAGGCATGATACAAAGAACCATAGACAGTCTATCACAAACATTAAGGCACCCAAGTGATCTGCATGGAAAGCTCGACACTACACAACGAAATAACAAGGAAAAATATGAAAAACACAGTCAGAATCTCATGACCATGATGTCGAGATGTTATACTAGCATTTTTGACACCTCAAAAAGTATATCTGAGCTTGACGAGCGATTTAAGACATTTGTTGAGTGTAAAGATAAGAATGTTGACGTGCTCAAGGCCTTCTTTTCTCTTGTAAAGGAGTACAAGTCTGTGAGGATGATTTGTCTTGCACACTCAAATCTCGCTAAAGTGATTGCCTTTTTGGAGAAACTTAAGAGCATAGACGATCCTGTAGAGTCCGAAGACATTATGGTGTATCACAAGAATGTCTACGATGCCGAAGACTTTGGATGCCAGCTTGAAATGTACAAGTCAGAGGTTTCTCACGATGACTACATTGAGGTGAGTAAGGCGCTGAACACAATTGAGAAGAATTCCTTAGACTTTACTGCAAAGGTGCTTGAGGCTTGCGAAGGGTTTATTGAGAATCATGAGATTGTAGGCAAACTTGAGAAGATAATTGAGAAGGAAGAAGAAAGAGACGATTTAACAAGGAAGGTTCAGGCAGGAGAGGTAAGCGATGATTTGGTACTCAAGGAGCTGAACAAGATGTATAAAATGTATCTTACAAGAAAACCAAAGATGTTGAAGATCAGGGTGATGAAGGCGATTGGAGTGTCAGTCAAAAACAAATTTGACAAGCTTAGAAACGAGGAAATATTTGTTAACAAGATGGATTTCATACTTGACGATCTTGTGTTTGTTGATGAGAATATGAAGTTCAACTTTTATGCGTTTGATGAGATTCTTGTGATGTATCATAGCAATCTGAAGTTGTTCTTGGATGATGTTGCAAACAGGCTGGATGCAGGAGAGATTCTTGCAGTTATAGAGTATACTGGGAATTATTATAATACGATTGAATCGAGATTCAACAGGATACCAGATGCGCTGGGTAAACGTCTTATTGAGAATGAAAATGATCTGCTGGAGAAGTACTCAAAGGTTGCGCAGGAAAAATTGAGAGAGTGGATAATAAACATAACGAAGCTTGAGGTAGAAAAGTTTTATGCAAGAAGCGAAGAACTACCCAGAGATGAAGACGACAAGCTTATAAGCCCCGGATTCATCAGTCTTCTACAAATAGTTAGGATGCAGTTGGAACCTATTGGATTCAACAAAAGAATATTTGCACATGTTACAAAGACGGTGACTAAGTATTGTGAGATGTTTAAAACAAACCTGATTGAAGCAATGGATAAGGACTTTGAATCATCCTGTGAAATGAACAGTAGAGCAGGTTATGAAGATTTTTGTATTATGTTTGGAAACAGTGGACTAAGAGTGGCTCAGTACATTACTTCTTTACCTGCATACCACAACGATGAGATCAAGGAACTTTGTGACATATTCATTGACATCCTAAAAGCATCAAACACATATTTGTCTGAGTTTATAATATACTCATGCCAGCCTGCAATTGATAAGATTTTTACGAATGAATGGTACGACGGGAATGCCACCAAGGTTGTGATGCTCACACTTCAGGATTTTCTAAACGATTACAAGAATACTATGAGTGAGTACTCATTCATAACGTTTATCCATGAGCTTTCATCATCGATTGTGCTTGCATACATGAAGCAGCTTGGAAGAAAACGTGCAGTCATAACTGAAACATGTAATAGAATGCTGAGATACGATCATAGCAAGTTATTGGATCTTCTTGGAGGATATGGAGACAAAGAAGATGTAAAAGCTGGGCTGGAGCCAATGTTGAAGATAATCCCACTGATTGAGACAAGAAACGATGATCTTTTCATTGTGGAAGTGAAGTCTCTGAAGTTTACATATCCGGACATCAGCAAGAATTTCATCAGAACAATCATAAAGAAGAGAGATGATCTCAGTGATGAACAGAAGAGGAAGTTCAGTGATAGACTCAAAGAATGCTTCACTAATGTAATAAGCAAAGAAAAGACCATATTTTCAAGACTGACTGCATTGTGATAATTAAAAACCATGGATTTTGATTTTGTTATTATGCTATGAATTATATTTAATTGTTCGTAGATAGAGCCAGAATCAAGCAATCTACTTGTTTTCTTTAAATAGATACTTCTTCAGGACATTTCCGATTATTGTTGGAGACGCCTTTTTTCCCTTGATCATCAATGCCTCGTCATTTGCACTGAGGCTCAGGAAGAAGCAGAACGGCGTTACCCATATCAATGCAAAGCTAAATATGATCTCAAGCCCAAACACTTTGGACTTAGAGAAAACCATGCGTATCACAAGGAAGTGATTGATCAGCGATGCTATTGTTCCATATATAAAGTATGGGTTGTCCATCTTTACAAGAGGGTACAACTCGAGTAAGCAGTAGAACGAGTATTGTATAGACAAGCTAAACAAAACATGGAATATAGACACGCCTCTCAGCAAAAAAACAAGATGCAATCCCATGCTGATCTGCACTATTGTTGCTATGTATTTCTTTGCTGCATATGCTTTGTCCTCGATGTAGTCTATTGCTTTGATGATTCCCATTCCAAATGCTAGGATGCCTCCAACAGAGCCCAGAATCAACAACAAACTCTTGAAAAATATAGAAATCATTTCTAGGGATATTTTTCTAAAAAATATAAGTAAACGTCTTGGTTTGGATAAATTCAAATGCTTCATTTAAAACAGCTATGAGCAAATCGCTGCAACGGCGTCCTTGGTTTCAGAAATTCCCAGATGAGTTCTTTCCAATAAACATTGCACCCTCGATGATTCGTCTGTCAATCACTTCCTGGCCCATCGCTTCTACTTCTTCAGAACATTCTGATAGCTCGATCGTTTTCATTTGACTGTCAACAATGCTTTTGAGAACAGTACTTAATTCCTTGCTTGTGTTGCTTGCAACAGCCTTTTTAAGCTTCTCAACAGCTCCTATGCTGACGCATGTGTCCACCTCCATGACAAGCCTTATGCTTTTGTCTTGAAGCTCAGAGGGTGTTACAGTCTCCAGTGTTGTGTAGAACAATGCCTTCTGGTTTGATGCGAAGTAATGCAGAAGCATGTATGCCTTTATGAACGCACTGTGCTGTGTGACTGGCACAAACGAAAGATAAGGGCCGAAATACATTTCTACCGTTCTTATGTCTCCTTTCTTGATTCCTTTGAGGCATAGAGATTCGACCTCTTCCAATTGTTTATTCATGCGACCCTAGAGCAACGAAATATTTATTCTGAAATGTGCATTTATACCTGTGAATACACATGGAGTAGCGTGGGCAAAATCAAGCCTGCCCATAATTGGAGCGACATTGGCGTAGCGGTTAGCGTGTTGGTCTCATAATCCAGAGGTGCGAGTTCGACTCTCGCATGTCGCATTTTGATCTATAAAAACCTTAAGCTCTCTAACTTTACATAAACGCTACTCATCTCCCTCAAAATTAACTTCTATTTTATATCACAGATATTTATTCATGCTTTCATGCACTCAGATATCATATATCTCTTATGATGTCCGAAAGCTTGCTCCTCTTTTACCTATGAACCTCTTCCTAAGCAGCATATCAACAAATATCTGTATTCTCTCTCTTCCTAGCATCGGGACTCCTCTGCATATATCCTCTATAGTTGCACCAGAACATCCTGCAATATATCTGTAGACCATAAATATTCCTTCATCTGTTCTGAATGCTGGTGGCAGCATGCTTGGATTAAATGGAAGAATCGCATCTGAGGACTCAGACTCATCTTGGAATTCAAACTCTCTTTCTTCAACCACTGGAACAATACTTGAAGATGTGTTCTCTGCATTACTCCAGTTGAACCTAGCTTCAAGATTACCTAGAAACGTCCTGTTCAATGTTTCAGACGATGCACTGTCCACAAATGGATTCCTGGGTGATGAAAACTTCATTGACATCGAGCTTTCATCCAGTACGTATGTATTATCAGCACAGCTTTCGCTAATATCCTTGTGTGTTGGTAAATCTGCATACTCATTTATTACATCTTCTGTTGATTCTATGCAGAAAAACCTTTGCCATGGACTTAGATTGTTGATGATCAACTTGTTTTCTTTCTCAATTCTTTCAACAACTTCCTTCATCTTCCTAAGCGTCCTATTGATTGATGAAAAGGTGCAGTCTATTTCTTCCATTATATGGATAATCTCTTCCTCTTCTTCAATCATTAGGGCTTGTAGCTCAAGACATATGTGCAGCACACATTGTGCAAATGCATGATAATATTCATTCCATAATTCATGCTGCAGATCCCAATGTGTTTCATTAGCCACAAGGCAATAGATGCATGAATGAATGAAGCAATAGTTTCAAGAATTCTTCCAATACAAGACCATGATCATCAAGAAACGTGCTGCAACATACGTGGTTTATATTTCTACAAACAGTAACCTACTGTGTTTGAATGAACTCGCTTGTTTGGAAAAACAAGTTTAAGAGTGCTGATGATGCATTACTTGGCATAAGTATAGAAAGAAACGAGACACTTGGCTTCAATATGCATCTTAAAAACTCATGTAGAGATGTGAATTCACTTGCTGTAGCTGGATTCTGCTACGAGTTCGGAATAGGAACATTACCGAACATGAAAACAGCAGAGATGATGTATGCAAAGGCTGCGTTGAGCAACAACGGACTTGCATTGATAAGGCTGAGCTTCATACGAAGATTCGGTAGACCAACTGCAGTAATAGATTGGCAAGCTGCAAAAAAGTATGGTGATAAATTAAGCGAAATAGGTAAAAAATCCACAGATTGGTTATTCCATGCGAGCAAGTACGGGTGCTCACATGCCAAGTATTGCTTAGGTGTATGCTATCAGGAGGGATATGGACTTCCTGTGGACTCACTTCTTGCAATCAAATACTACAGTGAAAGCGCATATGAAAAAAACATAAACTCAATAGGTGCCCTAGGATACTGCTTTCTCAAAGGCATTGGAGTAGACAGCGATCAAGAAATTGCAATTGAGCTTTTTAGATATGCATCCGAATTCAAAGATCCAACAGCATTATACAACCTTGGATACTGCTATGAAGAAGGTAAAGGCACAGAAAAAAACATAGTCAAGGCATTCGAGATGTACAGAGTCTCTTCAGAAATGGAAAATTCATATGCACTAAATGCACTTGCAAACTGCTATGAAGATGGAAAAGGTGTTGACAAGGACCACCAAAGAGCGTTTGAATTATACAAGAAAAGCGCATTACAAGGATATCCTTCGGCTCAATGCAATCTTGCATTTTGCTATCAAAAAGGAATTGGCGTTGCTAAAAACATGGCAAAGGCATTTCAATGGTATAACTGTGCAGCCAGACAGGGATTGGCCAGGGCAAAACACAACATTGGATATTGCTATCAAAATGGACTTGGAACATCAGTGTGTATGGAGCAGGCTGCCCGCTGGTACAAAGAGTCTGCAGCAGAAAATAACAAATACTCAATCCATGCACTCGGTGTTTGCTACCAGAACGGATACGGCGTTCCTAGAAATCCAGAAATAGCCGTTATGTGCTTTCAGCAAGGTGTAAATTTAAATTTTGATGAGGCATTGGTGAGTCTTGCACTATGCTACAGGTCTGGAATAGGCATTGATTCATCATCTGAAATGTCATTCAAACTCATGAAGAGAGCTGCAGAGATGGAAAACTCTTCAGCTCAAAACACACTCGGTTATTACTACGAAAAAGGATATGGAACAAAGAAAGACATCCATATGGCCAAGAAGTGGTATGAGGCTAGCTCAAAGAAAGACAACCACTTGGCATTATTCAATTTAAGCTCTTTGCATTTCAATGGAGATGGAATTCCGATTAACAGGGACCTGGGCGTAAGATTGCTTGCAAAAGCAAAGGAGCTGGGAAATCCAAGAGCAATCGATGCAATGGGCTACTGCTTTGAGAAAGGAATCATTGTTGAGAAAAATCCTAGGCTTGCCTTCGAGCACTATAATCAGGCATTGGTAAATGGACACCTGAGATCAAATTACAACATTGGCAGGTGCTATGAGAAAGGAATAGGCGTGACTGTAGACATTGACAAGGCAATGTTCCATTTCTACAAAGCATCATCAATGGGAGATGAAGATTCCACTCTAAAGCTCAGAGCATTCCTGTCATCTCTGGTAAGACCCAACCATTTAACAATCCCTCCATACGCCTAACTCAATACAATCTATCTATTCAAAGCAAAAATCATTCAAATTTATTTATATGATTGTGCCATAAATCGACTCGGTTTCTATACATCAAAGGCATAAAGCCTGTATCATGCTGCTTTATCTTATCCACATACATTTGTTTGTCACCGATGCCATGATACATTCCAAATATTAAACTTATATCTACATGTTTTTCAAATACAACAAATGAGTATCTTTTAAATACACGTATCTGTACTATATGTCCATATTTTTCAAATGCAGCTCTCAGCTCGCATTCAATTGCAGTGCCCTGCACAATTACACCATTCTGTACTTCAAACATTTTCAGATGACTGATTACTCCACATACTCCTGATATCCTGACAATTCCCTTCTTTCGAGGTTTAGGTAGATATGGAACATTCGGTAATACGAAATATTTACTAAAAACATCTTGTTCTTGCAAGTACTTGGCTTTCATGCAGGGACTACACTTACACAGTTTTCAAATATTCAACAAATATCTTACAAACAATCAGACACTAAACAAATATCTTACAAATAATTAGGCATTCAATTAACACCAGAACGTGCATTCTCACAAAGTCAACAGACATTCAACAAATATCTTACAAGTCAACAGACACTCAGTATATACCATCACAAGTCAACAGACACTCATTAAATATCAGAACGAAATGTTGTTCGTCAACTTCTGATACTGGTCATACATCCACGTCCTGAACTTCTGCGATGACTCTGCTATCAATGACATAATAAACCTCTTTGCATTCTTATCAGATAACTCATGTCTGAATCGTAGAATAAAGTTTTCAACCGCATTCTTTTTATAGCATGGCAGCTTGCTTTCGACAAACGAATCTACTATCATCACCAGGTTCTTACTGTTTCTCCTCAATGCTAGAAATCCTTTGACCATCAGTTCTTGATATATCTCAAATCCCTTTCCAGAAACACCTCCAAGCAACTCTTCTATCTCCTTGGTTAGCTTCATCGGCGCTTCAATATTCAAATTCCCAGGTGACGTTTCAAGCATGTATCCAAAGTCAATATGAATTATTCTTCCTTTGTCATCTATCATTATGTTTCCATTGTGCCTATCCTTGATGTTCAGGAAGTACACAACTAACGAGTATCCAGCAAGGCTCGATGCAAAGTTGTACAACGCAGACAAATATCCTTCGCTTTCCTTAAATCCAAACTTGTATTCAAAATACTCTGATAAATTGTTGATGTTCTCCCTGCCTATCTGATCGCGAGACTTCGAATTCGGTATCACTTCAATAATCCCAGTTCCACAAGACGTGACTATCACTTTGTATGGGCACAGGAAAATATCCAGGTTCGCCTGCTTGAATATCAACTCAAACATTGATATTATTTGCAACGCAAGCATGTCCTGTCTGCAATCATCACCGTGCTTGAATATCAGCTGTTTCACACAAACCTGCCCACTTCCATTCTGAACCTTCAGAGATACCACAAAAGGCACTTTCGAATGGCTCTGAAGAACCCTTGCTGATCCATTGATTACCTCAATAATCTTCCATTCAGGTGAATACGGAATGTAAACCCCAGGGCGTAGGCTTATACAAGAGAGATACTCATTAATCCTTCTTCTCTTCTCATCCTTAGATGCCTTAATATAAGGTGCAATATTACATGAGATGCTCAATAGACTTGCAGTAAACTCCTCCTCATTCATAAACACTTCTTTTGCTTCGGTTGACATGTTGTTCAATATTTGCTGTATACATCGCGAAAATACATCATGACAATCATCCTTAATCTTCATGTTCACATCGTTATACAGATTGGCTTTAAGGTTCCAAACAAGTTGATGCGATACAAAATCATCAGATGCAAGCATATTGATTATTGAAGAAACATTTTCAAATGCATCTCTGTTTCTAAGTGCTTGTACAAGCTGAGGAACATAGAAGAACATCTCGTTTTTAAGTTTCTGTAGCTGCAAAAAAACATCATGCATCGCAGACGGCGCCTTCAATCTTTGTATCATCGTAAGGCAATCCATCACCTCGAGATTGTTCATGTTGAAAAAATACGACCTGTATGATGGAACTGAAGACTTTTCAAGTAGCCTTTGTATCATATTCTGCCTAAATGCATTCTGTATGTATATCAGATCTGACGTATCAAACTTCAAAAACAACCCTGCACGATCAGGAAACATCAAATTATCCACAGGCACATGTCCAGACACTGCCCAGTGCAATGAACGGAAGAAAAATCGGTAAAATCCATTTGTTTCAACAGATAAGTTGTAGCATACCATAGAATCCGTCTTGAAATCTAAACCTCGGTATAGCGCCTGCTTCAGAAAACCTTCAGAATCATTCTCTCGAATACGCAAGATGTTATATGCCTTTAAGAGAATATACAGATCTTCATACTCAAACATCTGTCTTAATCTTAGCTTTAGCAAATCTAATGCCATTCTTATCACATTACTTTGCGCTCTTCTTGTATAAATGGTGTCAATAAGCCATATAACAGATTTCTCCTGATGCCTGATGCTCTTGTCAAGTATTTCTATATTTATAGCATATCCAGACGATGCTTGTGAAATAGAAGCGCTCTTCATTGAATCATTCATGCCTTCCAATTGATCTGATTTCATGCAAACATTATCTTTTTCGTTACACTTTATGCTGTTATGTGCATTACCAAACGCTACTCCATTTTTAATTTGATTGATATGTATATGCGATGCACAACCTTCAGGTTTGCATGAACTCATTTCCGCTGCATCAGTAATGCTCATCTTATTAATGTGCTTTGCATCTATACCATCCATTGCTTCATTAGACTCACTTGTACTCGATATAGCCATAGATTTCTGGTTAACAATAAAAACATCTGGGAATCCTTCCACCACATTCATCCTTGATAATGTGTAGATATACAAGTCATTGAAGGACCTGAACAGGCCTTTAGGAAATTCCTTATCAAAGAAAGAAATGTCTGCAACGCAAAGAATAACATAGTTGTAAAAGTTAGGTGCACATTTGATTGTTTCCAAAATTGTTTTGTAGAGCTCTCTATACGATTCAATGACACACACATTCAGAAACTTCTTGTACCCAAATGCTTCGAAAAGTCGTTGAAATCTGTGATGAATCTCCTTTGTAAAAACAATCTTCTCGTCTCGTTCAAGCAGCTTTCTAAGAATGGTTTCAATCATCACAAGTGTTGTTTCTATTGTTTTTGGTTTTTGCGCAATCTCCAATAGTGAATTTACATATGAAAGAGTGAATGCATGCGATCTACTTACATATCCCTCGTGTATATGTCTAATTACATTCACTAGGCCGTCACCGGTCATTCTTATTCCATCCTCATCCTGTATATACTCAAGAATCCCACTGAAGTTCAAATTATGGAGCTTCCTAGACTCGCAGTGATATATAATGCCAAGGAACACTAGCATCCGTGGCTCTACACCAGATACACCCAAATCCCTTGAAAGCCTAGGAAGATGCTTTACATCGTAGTATATGCTTGAAGATATTCCAACAAGCGCGGGCGTCTTAAGAGGAAAGTTTCCTATGCAATCAAATATACACTTTTCAAACACAAATGAATATATCTCATATAGCACATATAGCATCTCTCTTTTCACAGGAATATATGGAACCAGCGAAAGAGCTTGAATCAGATCCTTGTTTTTGGTGGCTACAAAAAACTTCAGAAACTCAGAAACAAGGCCATCAACATGTCCCACATCATGATGCTCTGCCCGAACCTTGTCAAACAAAACTGGATAGAACCTCTGCATAAAACCAAGTCTGATGCTCTGATGAATCGTATGTACAGGAAAATCAATTCGGTTGATAAGAACAAATTCAGAATAAAGTTCAATCGTTTCTGGATGTCTCACAGCAAACCTCAGAAAAAACCCATTGATCTCTTTGACATCTCTTTCAATCACAACCTTAGACAGAAATAATAAGAAGTTCCACACCATCTTGTATTTCAGATTTGACTCAGAGTCTCTTATCCTGTAGAAAATTGTTTTGAGAATGTCTGTCATTCCCACTGATAATCCTTCGCTTTTTGGATTGCGATTGGCTATCTCAACGAGCACATCCATAAGCTCATTCCTTTGAAATGCATTCAATGCAACCAGGCTATTTGTTGTAAATACAGAAAGCATTAGACCTTTAAAAGCTGCAGCATCATGGGCACACACACCTGTTATCTGTACAATAATTCTTCCAAGATTCTTGTTTGAAATAGGAAGTCTCTCAATCACACCTAACACCTCCTCAATTCTTTCTGGGACACTTCTGCTTACCAGCAAGTCAATCGAAAGCACAGTCTTGAACACAAACACAAGGTCGTCCTCCAGTTCACCTGCTTTGCTGATTATCATAAATGCCTCGTACAGGCATTCATTCGAAAATCCGTATATTTCTTGCTTCTCTTTGGGAATCTGATCACCAGTGCAAACCTTCTGTTCTAAAAACATTTCAATTAGCCTCAACGATAGAATCAAAAAGTCAAACATCATATTCATTAATCCATCATCATCTTGCCAATATGCAACTTTCCTGATTATCTCTTTGTCTATTTTTCTACAAAGCCCTTCCACAAACACCTCATACCTTGCTACACATTCTCCATGATCAATCTTCCATATCACTGCTTCAATAAACGAGTTAATAAGACCAAACTCTATCTCTCTTAATAGAGGCATCGATAGAATATCATGCATAATCTCCTCAACTTCCTCATTGCCTTTCAATATCTTCAAGAATGCTGATATATACATCTTATACAAATTACTAGTGTATTCATAGCGCTCCATAGATTCTTTCATAATCGCATAAGCATCTAGGCTTCGTCCTGGCACATCAAAACCTATAAGGTTCTCAACCTCATCCATCACGCATTTTCCATCAAACTGTATACATACTTCACTTGTATTAGCTGTCACCTTTGCCTCATTCTCCATTATGCAATGTTTATGGGTTTGTATTGCTATTACACTTCATCACCCAAACATCTCATCATATATCTTGACATTCTTAACATCATAAATCCCTTTATTGCTTTTTTTAAATGCACTCATATCTACTTAGAAGCACTTAAATCTCGTATTCAACATCCTCAAATCTATTCAGGACATCTTCCATATTATATCTTTGTTTTTTAGACATTGTCATCATAACCTCCTTAGAAACAATATCCTCTATCGATCTGAATGGGGACACATGTTTTGGAAGCACTTTACCAACGCAGTATTCTATATGATCAAGCTTTTCTTTGCGATTCAGGCAATCAAATACATATTGAGGTTGCACATATATAACACCTTCATTTACCTCATCTGCACTTTCACAAACACATACATCTGCCTTTTCGTCTCTACCAACAACCTTTCCACCAAGACACGGAACTATCAACCTCAGGCACTCTCCAACAGCAACAATATCAATCCAAAACAACATTCCACTAAATATTCCAGCTTTATCAGTAGCAACTATTTTCGAATGATCCACGCTGCATGGTTCATGCAATTTCCCAAGTTTATACAGAACTAATTTAAAATGCATGTCCAATAAAGGCAAAGAATACGATAGCAGGGAAATATCAATTTTGCTATCGTCATTGACAATTTCCTCCATTTCAGATTCGCTACTAGAAGACTCGTCATCAGAAGACGATACAAAGTCTAGAAAGGTTAATTCTTTCCATCTAAACCCTCGAGGAATGTCTTTTTTCTCCTCAATAATCTCTTGAAGACTTGCACCCGGGTATGGAACAAACCATGTGACTCGGATCTTCCCTATTGATATCTGGTTGTATATTCCACTCTTAGACATAAATGAACATTCAAGTAACCTTTTGGCTATGACAAAGTCCTCAAAGTTCTTTATGACATTGTCAGAATCTTTGTAAAGTCCAAGCATTCTTGCCAGATACAGATTGCTCATTGTCACATTCAATCCATCCACTGATTCTGCAAACGTTTTGTACTTATCTTTAATAAGATCAACATAGTTATACTCTTTGTAACGCAGGTTTGCTATCTTGTATTCAAATCCAGTTCCCTCGTATCTTTTTTTAATACTTTCTATTGATTTGTTCTTCATCATAGTTTTGTAAACGTGCGAGTGTATCAACTTGTTTGCATCATACACTTTGTAATAAAACCCATTTTCTTCGTCCACTTTCTGCCTGTTCTTTGGAATGTACGGGTGAACTCCACATAGGGTCACAAGCCTGTCAAACTCTCTGTCCTGCAACTTCAAGTTCTTCATCACCAAGCTTTTCGAAATAAATTTCTTTGGTGCTTTTATATATGCCATGCTCATCAAGGGTTGATATGTGTTGCATCTAAACGTAAATGTGTGGCATGTTATTGCATCAATATCCACTAGTATACCACAACCGTCAATAAAGCAACAAGGAATAGCCCTCGAGCATATGATAAAAGACTTACAAGAATACCTGACTGAGAATAAGATAGGCCATCTGTACCATTTTTTTGAAAGACTTGGAATAGACGAATCGCAACTGTTGGCAAAACTAAAGTACTCTGATCTTGAGAAGATTGGGATTGAGAATTTAATTGAACGACGCAAGGTTTTTGACGTGATAAACGAAATAAACCAGGATATGTATAATGATGAAGTGTATGCGCATAATGTAAGCATCAGGGATTATTCATGTGTTAGTGATGTATATGAGAATGAATCAAGATCAGGAACGGATGGAATTAATACTGAGCTTTCAATTGCTATGAGAGGCATTGAAAAGCAGCATCGTAATGCAAGTGATGGATGTAAAAATAACAATTATTCTGTGCATAATACAAGTTATGGATGTAAGAATGCAGATTACACGGCATGCACTACTGAATCCTCGAATTACTTATCTGAAAACAATCGTCACGAGGTGTTATTTGGAGAAAGTGTATCAATAGAACAGAAGCTGTTTTCATGCACATTTAATACAAAAGAACGTGATATGCTGCATGAAGAAGGCATGGGCATTGAGAAGGAGTATTCAATGTTGGGCATGATTGATCCGTGCTTTATATTACCTGATGAAGTTATGATGAATACAAGCACGCAGAAGGAAAAAATAATTGTTTGTGTGCGTAAGAAACCATGCGATAGCATAAAATCAGACATAGTTGAAGTTGATGGCCAAAGTATAACAGTGAATGAATCAAAGACAAGAATCGATCTAACGCCGTATGTTGAAAAGCATAAATTTGAGTTTGATTATTCATTTAATGGGAATGTTACAAACATTGGATTGTATAGAGAGTGTGTCAAGAGCATTGTCAATCATGTTATCTCAGGTGGATTTGGCACAGTCATAGCATATGGACAGACAGGTACGGGAAAGACTTACACAATGCTTGAAAAAAACGCTGGAATGTTGTATCTGGCAATGAAAGATCTTATTCTTAAGAAGCAGCATGGAACAATAACATTTTGTGAAATATACATGGGGCAAGTTTACGACCTTCTTGATGGCAGCAAGAAAGTCCATCTGCGAGAGGTCAACGGCGTTGTGCATCTAGCGAATTCAAAAGAAGAAGATTTTGATGGATACGAAAGTGCAATGAATATAATAGACAAGGGCATTGCACTTAGAAAAACTGGAATTACAGGTGCCAACTCAAAGTCATCGAGATCACATGCAGTGGTGCTGGTGAACTTTTTTGAAGATTCAGGAGTCCAGTTTGATCGTAGAACAAGTACAAAAGAATATGCAAGTAGAAATAGCAGCAGATCCATTGTTTTTGTGGATCTTGCAGGGAGTGAACGGGGATCTGATAGAAAGGACATGAGTTCTGATGTAAAGAACGAGGGTGCTGAAATCAACAAGAGTCTGCTGGCGCTTAAAGAGTGTATTAGAGGAATGGAGAAGGACAAAAAACATCTTCCATTCAGACAAAGTAAACTGACTCAAATTTTGAAGAATTCATTTGTTGGCATGTCTAGAACGTGCCTGATAGCTACAATATCACCAAGTCTCGACAATGTAGAGCATACTCTGAATACATTGAGATACGCAGCAAGAATAAAAGAAGGAACATATCAAGGAACCAGAGCAATGGAGTCACCCATTAAGAAAACAGCGGCTCATTTGAATCATTCGATGTCTATATCACCAAAACCTGATTCCAAGCCCAAAATGAATGTTGGCAATTTTCAACCACAAATGCAAATACCAAGTGCTAGCCATCAAGAAATTGTGCCTGATATCATTAAGGTGTTAGAGCAGATTGACACCAACATCATAGCTATCGAGGATCTGCGTCAATTAGAAAAAATACTGGAAGTGTGCAAAACAATTGGGGATAAGTATAGAGCATAAAAATAATGCTAATTTCTCAATCGAATTGCTAAAATAAACTGATAAAATCTATTAGATCGCACAGAATAGTATTAAACAAAATTCATTTATACTTAACTCTATTGTGCCACAAAACATATTTATCTGTGGTAATTGTAAAGCACAAACACACTTATTGTGGCAATTGTGAAGTACAAAAGCATTCATCTTGATAGCGTGAAACGCAAAATCATTTATCTGTGACAGCTGTAAAGCACAAACACCTGATTAATTCATCTACCTTTCTGCATCTCATAACATGTAGAAATAAGTTCCGTAAACAATGGATGAGGTGCATCGGGTCTTGCATTCAACTCCGGATGGTATTGCACACCTATAAAAAACGGATGATCCTCCATTTCAAAAGCCTTCATGTTCATGCCATTCAAGCTCTTGCCAACAAACCTAATTCCTTCCCTCTCAAGTCTTCCTGCTGCCTCTTTGCAAACTTCATATCGGTGTCTGTGCCGTTCCCTCACACTACTTCTTTGATACAAATGCTTTATCCTTCCTTCCATTATAGCTATCTCATATCCCCCAATCCTTAGCATCCCATCTCTTTTCCCATTTTCATCTTCAATGAGCCTTATTACTAAATCTCCTCCTTTCCCAACAAATTCTTCAGAGTTTGCATTCATAATCCCAAGGATGTTTCTACACATCTCAATTACAGCGAGCTGATATCCAAGACATATTCCAAGCAATGGGATCTTGTTCATTCGTGCATACTCAATCGCTTTGATCTTTCCTTCCACACCTCTTGGTCCAAATCCGCCAGGTATCACAATTCCATCGCATCCACTAATATCTTCATATTCAATGCCCTTTTCAATTCCTTCTGCATCAATCCACACCACCTCAGCTCTCACACCAAGCAATCCTGCTGAAAAATGAAGAGCATGAACAACCGAAGCATAGTTATCAAAAACACACACCCCTCTTGCAACTAATCCAATTTTAACCGTGTTTACTTTGGCCCTTCCGATCTTTTCAATCGCATTCATCATTTCAGCCCTTACTCCTCTGTTCTCAATCCCAAGTACACATGCAATCTTCTCACCAAGTCCACTCATCTCAAAATATCCTGGCAAATGATACACACTTTCCATGTCAGGTAGGTTGTATACATTTCCACTCGCAATCATACAATGCTCCTCAATCCTCTTTATAAAGTCACCATCAATTTCTTTGCTTCCCCTGCACACCAACACATCATATTTCAATCCATGATCTTCCAATCTCATGGCTCCCATCGCAATCTTTTCTAAATCATAATGGTCAATCCCAAACTCTATTATACGCTCAACACCCACAATCATACAGTTTTCCTTTCCAACATTCATCTGTAGCTTTGAGAATATCTCCAGATACACATGTGAATCGCTTTCTGCAATAGATCCCCCAAGTTCAACTACCACAACCTCAGCATTCTTCTTTCCTCCCAATAGATCATCCATCTCTTTTTGCCCAGTCTTAATTATTCGTCTAACTGCTCCATTAATTACACTGGGATCTAGATATGGAATTCTTTCCATTCGTGGATCTCTTCTACTTGTTAAATCATTTGGCATTCCATCGCTCCACATTCCACTCTCCCGCTTCAATCCCACTGCTCCAAATCTAATGAATATTCCAAAGTCCATGTCACACTCGTGTGCATCCTCAAATATGCGTATTTCCCCATGCTCACATATCTCCTTCGAATCTAAATTGCAGTTCATATGCAAGTCAATCTTCATGTGCGTTACATTATATCCTCTTGCTCTCAAAATTACTCCTACACCGCTGCTTACTGCTCCCTTCCCAACTCCAGAAATAACTCCTCCAGAAATAAACACATACTTCATATTCTTGGGGCTTTATCTCTTCAAGCATATAACACTTCAAAATAATTCTAATTCAATCACTAATCTTATCTTTATTAATCACCCATTCGCTATCATACAGATCCGGTGCTTCTAGTACAATGAACATAGCTTATCTAGCTCTCCTTCCGATATATTCACACTCCCTTGCTCATATTGCCTCAGAAGCTCCTCTTTTCCAAGAGATAGTGCTAAACCATACATCTTGAGCTTTTTGCGATTCATCACCACCCCTGCTGGAAGATGGAAACAAAAATCAAGAACATACTCAATCAGCTCTGCTACAGATCTCCGTGTTTTCCCACTAACAGGCCCGAGCTCTACAATCTTTGCCATCATGCACGAGTTCAACGTCTCAAAAAACTGTATTTCAAACAAGCTCTTATTAATCTTCGGTACAAACATGCTCACATTCTCCATGAAGTCGACATACTTCTCTCGAAAGTGCATCTTCATCGATATTACAGGATCCTCCAAACTTATCTTCACTCTCGATGCATCCTTTACAATCCAGAAAAACATCTCTTCCTTCCTCTTCATCAGCTCTTCACAAAGACTATGGTTAGGATACGTTCTCACAAAGTGGCTCATGTCTGCAAATTCACAAAACATTTGCTGCATATACTTATTGTCATACTTCACATCAAACATCTTCATTATTGCCCTGTCAACAACCTTCGTTCCCTTGTCATGCCGCTTAGATCTGCTGCTTCTGAACATCTCAAAGCAATCAACAAATCGTTTGTATCTAAGCGATATATGCTTCGGAAGCCTTTCACTAACATTTTCAACCTCCACAACATCTTCCCCAGGGTTTGACTTTGTTATATCAATGATCTCTCTCATGACAATATCAAGTCTCCATTCAGAACAGTTCTGTATATACGCATCTGTACCTTCAAACAGTCTGTTGTTTACACTTACTTCTTCATCAGAAAGCATCTTTTGTATAACCATCGCTCTTAGATTTTCTTTGAAGCATCCAATTATTGCATTAAATATCTCTGTAAATTCTTTCACATCTCTGATATTCTTTTGACTTGCATTGCATAATAACTCAGGAATATTATTTGTTCCATCAGTTGCATTGTGTATATGGCATACAAAGTACAGCTTGTCATTTGACTCAAACACATTCATATCTATTGGCAAGGTTTCTCTTGCATATTTGCAGAAAAGCGACTTCAATACCTCTCTGCATACAGTTGTTACTTCATGGTGCTCGCTAGCAATCAAAAACACTTGCTCCACTTCTTGACTCACAGCAATGATACGTTTCTTTCCATCTTCTATGAGATCTTCGCAAGCCAGTTCTTCCCTTGAATGTTTTATCTCATCTGCAGGCATAACCTTGTATTCTACTAATTCCTTTAGAAAATCAATAAACTTTCTCTTCAAGATCTCAATGTCTTTGACCTTCAAAAATACATTCCTGAGCTCACTTATATCGGTGCAATCAGAAGACTCAAGTCGAAATATCTCAATTTCCCTAAGAACGGCATCATACTGCATCCTAGTCTCTTCAATTTTGTCCTGTATATCCTGTGTAGATGATGCACTTAACTCATCCTCCATCTTTTTTATTTCCTCCTCTACCTCTGCTATTTTTTCTTTGCATTGCTTGTATTTCACAACCCATTCTTCAAAACACCTGATCTTCTCAAAGTCCTTAGCTATTCGTTCCATCAGAGGGATAGCACATAAGCATTTATTTCGCTTGCCCACTCCACTGCTCAGATGATGTTTGTTACTGGCATTCCTGAGTCGCTAGATGATGATCTGTTTAAGGAGATGTTGTCTGTGTTCGGTGAAGTGAAGATATTTGAAAGAGGATGCGATCTGAGTGGAAATCCATCCACATGGGCATTTGTGAGCTACTATGAAAGCACATCAGCTGAAAGTATGCATTCGACTCTATCAGGCATTTGCATTGGACAGAATAAAATATCTGTATATCCAGAATTGAATGAGTGCATAGAAAATGCGAATGAATGCATGATACGCAAAATCAACGCCGTAATTGCAAAGTATAAGGATGGTGTTGAAAACACCGACATTCTAAATAAATTTCTGTCAAGCTATAGACTGATTTACGGTCAGGCGAGCAACTCAAACAGATTTGACGAGGCGCTGCAAAAATGGCTTCATGAAGAGTCAGAAATACGCAAAGTTTGTATGAATGCACAGAAAGCGCTTGATGATAGAAATAACATGCAGTATAGGCATCTATCGATGTATGATGACGATAACGTCAAAAAGTAAAGATTATAGAATATCATCGTGTACGAATAAAGTTTGTACCAAATATATACGCATAACGTCTATAAAGTACTTATTATAATGAAAAAAATATGCCATGGATAATAGGATTATTGAGAAGAGCATCAGAGATGCATTAGAGAAAAGATTCAGGCATTCATGCATGGAAATCACAAACACATCGCCAGATCATAAAGGCCACCTGGATTCTTCAAAAACAAATACAGCAGAAACACACTTTTCTATCAAAATAAAGTCAGAAACATTCAATCAAATGGTAAGTCAAAATTATTGTAACTTAAGAAAATATCAGATAGGCATAGACTTGTTCATACTGCATTGGATGATGCATTTGAGAACGGATTACATGCGATTGAAATAGACTGCGAGTCTGATTATAGCCAGTCGAACTAGTAATCAATCAGATGTTTATAAATGACATGATAGGAATTCCAAAGTCAATCTAATTATTCCTGATTGCTGATTAATTGCTTCATTTATAGCAATTAGGTTCATTTTAGTAAAAAGAACATAATTCTTTATTACATTATATTTAAATAGATGCATTTATACAACTTCATGCTGTTGAAATTGTTGTTCATCCTCGCTGCTGCTAGAGGTACAGAAGTCCCAGATATATGTGGAAAGGCCGGTCTCATTGTTCTGAACTTTACAGAAGGGCCTGTTGCCGGTGTTACTGACAAGATCCTGAACACAATGAAGGACCTGGATGTAAAGGGTATGTTTACATTTACTGTGAACCAGCGTGTAACTGGAAATGTCAAGAACCTATATCAGAGAGCATGGGAAGAAGGACACACGGTCGGGCTCAGACTCAATCCAAGCTTGGACAGTGATTATGGCGCAATGAATCGTGATTCCATGGAGCAGCTTGTAAAGGAAGAACTCGATACGATTGACGGTCTTTCACACTCAGAGATCAGATATGCAACTCTTCCAGTCAATGGAGGCGAAGTAAACTCTGAAATGTACGATGTGTTGACTGAGAACGGAGTTCTTCCTGTTGGATACACATTCTGCCCATATGATTACGATGGGAAGGAAATCGAGAATTTCGAAGACCTGATCGATAATTCAAACCCAAATAACCACTCATTCATCGTTATGATGCATGATGGGATGGAAGCCGATACGTCACGCTTGGAGCAGATGGTGCAGATAGGTAGAGACCGTGGATATACGTTTGTAAATATGGATGAATGTCTCAAAGGATACAAAGGCGCACCTGGCGAGCCAGAGCTCAAACTCCGAGGAAAGGGTGTTGAAAGCATCGCAAGCTTCATGCCATTCATCTTGCTTTTGGCAAGACTCTTGTAAGCTAGTAAATAAATATGCTTTAATAGAACAATGAAATTATAAATGATATCTACGCCATATCAGTGTGATTAGATGACACAGTGCGTTAGAACCTTTGTAATCAGTTTCAAGCTATTCTAAAATAAGTCTCAGGTAGTGCATTTCGACAATGGTTCATTTGAACAGTCATACTAATATTGTAGTGCAACAAGAAGGCAGAGCAGGCACATGCATGATCAATCATTCAGAGTGCTGCAAATGTCAGGATCATTATGCACCCTATTCTTCAGAACCTGTTCAATGCAACAATACAATGCCTGAAGCAATTCTTATGACGCCTCATCTGTCTGCTTCTCCTATCCATTGTGATACCGAATGCAAATGCTTATGTACTTATAAATCAATGGATTCACAATGCATCAATACTACAAGTAGCACATATTGTCTTCAATTCATATGTATGCTTTGTTACACATGCACAGGCAAATCATTCTCAGTTATGATTCACAGTCAGGTACTATTTAAGGAATTCTTGATGTTCCCAATGCACATCCTACACATCGGTTCTGTTTACATAAGAAGATATATCAGCCACATCCAAAAGCCAATCTCGCCAGAGTCATTCACCAAGATATACCTTGTATGCTGTGTCCTTGCTGCAAAATACATCGACGACACCAGAATATTCAATGATTTCATTGTGCAAAAGTGGAGATTCGCAATCAAAGATATCAATCGCATTGAAATCTCAATTTTAAGACTGCTCAAGTTCAATCTCGATGTTGATCCAGATGTAATTTACTCTTATGTACGGCCAGGCACTTCTCTATACAATTATAAACAGCACAATCGATATCAAATGCATTAGTAAAACATTCTCATCAATCACTTCTTGTATCAAAACCTTTGCTATATTCATTCAAAAAACATCTATTATTCTGATTGTTTCTGCTGCATTCATTTGTACCGTCATTCTTTGTATTTCTTGATGAGCTTAGATGCAACGGCAGCATCAGCTTGCAATTGGAACAGAATTGCTTGTTGTCGTCATCAGCATTATAGTATCCAGGATACGGCACATAAGAAAGACAAAAATTGCTGCTTTGACTCTCTACAAATTTACATCCTTCATGCATCGGCTCCTTAATCCCAACCCCATTCACATGGTGATTGAACTCAGGACTGAAGAAGTACCTGTTCATCAAAAACTCTATGTCTACGGCCCATCCATTATATGGACCTGAGTAGTTGCTTGCATAGTGCTTAGCGCCATCAATGCCTAGTAATTGGAACGCATCTCTTATCCATGAAAGCGCAAAGTTGAAATCCTCGTCCTTATCCTGAATGTATGTGCTCTTAAGGCACTGATTAGCGATGTAAACAAATTTGTCCAATGCAAGAAAAAACTCTTTAAGAAGATTGCCTTTATCAGAGCAAATGCACTGTCCTGTACTGCAGCTCCTTTCATGCATAGCATCGATTGAGAGTCTGTAATGATGCTTAGCAAGTCCACGGCCGAATTCTCGAGCCCAGCGACTGTTTACGACTTCAAAATGATCAGTATTCTTTATATCATTCAAACAGCTCTTATCATGACGATCCTCATCTTGGCCTATGCTTTTTGTGCTTACGGATTCTGAATCATCTCCAATATGGCTTGAGGCACATATATGTTCTTCATGGCTCTTGGAACTCATATTTATACAATCACCATCTTCATGATGAGCATGACTTTCGTTATTCTTGCTGCATACTTTGTTTCCAATTCCACCCTCCTCAATGCACAATGACTTCCATAGACTCTTGGAATCTTCCTTATCTGCTTCCTGCATAAAGGGCTATGCATATCTGCTTTGGAAGTTGCATGGCATCATAACCCATTCCATGGATATCAGGCAATCATTCATCAACAGCAGAAAGACATCAACAGCACAGAATGAAACACCTGATGAATCATTAGAAGAAGAATACTACAAGTGGAAGATAAGATGCTTGAGAAGAAGACTAAGAGACATTAGGAACGAAATACAAAAAATGTCAAATCTCCATTCATTATAACTTAGTAATCATTCACAGTTTAATAAGTAGTAGAGTAAATGAACTTAGTTCAAATAAATAAATACAACGAATCACTCAAATTTATTAATATCCATGAATCTTTGCATTTCTTTGTCGTCTACAGCCTGTCTGGAGGATTGATATTCAGCAACAAACTTCTGGATCACACTGATACACTTTTCTTTCATGTCCCTGCTGGAAATATTACCAGAAAGATATCCAGAGCGGTACGCCTCAAGTTCATCATCTTCTTGTAAGAAGTATCTCAGATACTCAAAAGGAACATCTACACTGATGTCTCCTCCCATTTCCTTGTGCTCCTTCATTGTTTTTCTTCCTCCTGAGTATGCATATGTCGTGATTTTCTTTCGTATGTTTTCAGGCGTGTCATCAAGTGATATCGAGCTATTCTGATCGCTTGCAGACATTTTCTTGTTCACACCTTTCAGGTCTGGCAGAAGCGATACATAAATTGATGAAGGTTTCATTTCCCCAAGAACCCTTGCCTTGTCTCTTGCAAGCCTGAAATAAGGGTCCTGGTCAACAGCAGCAGGAATCAAACACATACTATTATTTTCTATAAACTTAAAAGAGCTAGCAAAGCATGGCGCAATCTCTTTTGGAGGGAATCCAATCTGCCCTATACTGCTACTCATATCAAACCCAAAAACCTTGAATGCCTCATTTAGGTTGATTGATCTTGAGATTTTGAGCACATTCTGTTCAAAGTGGTGCGAGGACTCAATGTTTGTGAAAATGTATGTAAGGTCAGGATCAAACCCAAACGCTATGATGTCCTTGATATTCTCTCTTGCATAATAAATGGCATCTTCCATCTTCATCCCTTTCCACAGGAACTTTTCATCATCTGTCATTTGTATCACAAGCTTTATTCTGAATGTGTCCTGTAGATACTTGCACAGAAGCAGTGGAATTGCATGTCCAATGTGCATTGCTTTCGAGCTGGGACCTCGTCCAGTGTATAGATAGAATGGCTTACCATCAGCTACCTGTTTGAGAAGCAATCCAAAGTCTCTATGAGCAAAAACAATGCCTCTCCGAAAGAAATAGTGTGCAGGTTTGCCTGTGAGTGCTTCCAAGCGATCCACAAGAGCGTTACTAAGCTCCTCACATCCGAACTGATTAATGACTTTTCCATAGTCGATGCCTACGGGAGACTCTCCGGTTGACATCACCTCTACATTCCAAGGTGTTATGTTTTGGTTTTCCATGCAGGGTTTATCACTTATTAATTTCATGTGCCTGTTCATGCAATAATGCAATGCTATAAAATATTCAATGAAGAATATCATGCAATGAAAATAACCGCTAATCCATCGTATGGAAAATAAAAGCATGCAGAACAGAAGTGTTGCGCCTGTGATTCTTGGAATAGATCTCGGCACTACAAATTCATGCGCTTCTATCATGAGAGGTGGTGAGCCGATGATTATTGACAGTACGGAAGGAGGACGTACAACACCGTCGGTTGTGCATGTGTCTGGCGATGATATAATTGTTGGAGATCAGGCAAAGAGCAAGATGTTGACGCATCCAAAGCAAACGGTTTATGCAGCAAAAAGATTGATTGGGAGGAAGTTTGATGATGATGAGGTGAAGAAGTACGTGAAGGATTTGCCATATGACACTACATCACACTGTAATGGAGATGTATGGATAAAGATCGACGGGAAGAAGTACTCACCTGCACAGATGGGTGCTTTTGTACTTTCCAAGCTGAAAATGAGTGCTGAAGCGTTTCTAAACCATCCGATAACAAAATCTGTAATAACTGTTCCTGCATATTTCAACGATAGTCAGCGACAGGCAACGAAGGATGCAGGCAGGATAGCCGGTCTGGATGTTGTCAGAGTTATTAATGAGCCAACAGCAGCAGCATTGGCTTATGGCCTTGACAAGTCAGCTAGAGGGAATGTTGCAGTGTATGACCTAGGAGGAGGCACATTTGATATTTCTATACTTGAGCTTAGCGATGGAGTGTTTCATGTGAAGGCCACAAATGGAGACACGTTTCTTGGAGGTGAGGATTTTGACAATGAGATAGTAAAGGTTATTCTTGAGGACTTCAAGAGAAAGGAGGGGATTGACTTGAGTGAAGATATCAATGCAATGGCAAGAATAAAAGAAGGTTCTGAGAAGGTTAAGAAGGATCTGTCAACAGTTAATGTATCACGGGTGGACATTCCATACATATGTAATGGGGATAATGGGCCTGTGCATCTATCTAAGGTTTTTTTTAGAGACGAGCTGGAGACAATTGTCAAGAAGATTGTTGAGAGGACAATTCTTCCGTGTAAGAAGGCACTGTCTGATGCAAAGATGGAAAAGTCTGACATTAAGCATGTTATTCTTGTGGGAGGGATGACGAGGATGCCATATGTTAGGAAGATTGTGAAGGAGATATTTGGGATAGATCCATCGACAGACATCAATCCGGATGAGGCTGTTGCTAAAGGCGCAGCACTACAAGGGGGTGTTTTGCGTGGGGAAGTTGGTGATGTGCTGCTTCTTGATGTAGTGCCACTGAGTCTTGGGATTGAGCTTCTTGGGGGTGTATTTAGTAAGGTAGTGAACAGGAATACAACAACTCCGTTTAAGGAGACGCAGGTATTTTCAACATCTGAGGACAATCAAACAGAAGTGGATATTAGAGTGTATCAAGGAGAAAGGATGATGGTGGCAGACAACAAGTATCTTGGACAGATTAAACTTAAGAACATCCGTGCTATGCCCAAAGGTGCACCAAAGATCGAGGTAACATTTGAATCAGATGCGAATGGAATATACAAGGTGACTGCACAGGACGGGATTACAAAGGAGCCGCAGTCATTAGAAATAATTCCATCGAGTGGATTAACAGTGGATGAAATAGAGCGAATGGTGAAAGAAGGAATTGATTTTTGTGAAGCAGATGAGAAGAAGAGGAAGAAAGCAGAGTTTGCAGTGATGGCAAGAGAGCGTATTGAGCATTATAGCAAGAAAGAGAGCACTAGAGAGGAATCAGAGAAGCTTAGAGAGATGATTGAGGGAGACTTTGAGCTGGAAGATGCTGAAGGGAAGCTTGAATGGCTGAAGAAGAGATGATGTGTCAGGTTTGTTTGTTGAGCAGCTGATGAAGGTGAAACGAAGGATGATATGAAAAACATATGATAAAATGAAGGAACCCCGAGAAAACAAAGTGTTTATGAGTAAGAATTTTAACAAGGAAGTGAAGGAGTTGTGCTTACAGGAGAGAAACAATAGATGTGTTGATTGCTCGGCGCCTAGTCCGCCTTGGGCGTCTGTAACGCACGGTGTGTTTATATGTTTTGATTGTGCAAGCATTCACCGATCGCTTGGAGTGGAAATGAGCTTTGTGAAGAGTGTGAATCTTGATGGTTGGGATAAGAGGGAATACTTGTGCATGAAGAAAGGAACAAATGAGAGGTTTAAGGCGTATATTGAGAAGCATAATCTTGTAGGAAAGGAAGCGAGGGATGTGTATGGCAGTAATGCAGTCAAGAAGTATGCTAATGAGATCAAGGAAGCTGTTGCACAAGAGATGGGACCCTCAGTGATTCATGAGCCTAATAGTGGAAAGATCAAGAGTAATGATGAAAATAAAGAGAGTATGACATCAAGAAAGGCATCAGAGCCGATTTACAAGGTTAGGGCCGGAGAGGATGAATGTGCAGCTAATAGTAGTACAAGCTCGCTTCAGGAGTCGATTACATCGTCATTGAGTACGATGGGAAGTGTGATTTTTTCAGGTGCAAAGGCAATAAAAAACAAGACAGTAGAGCATGGAAGCCTCGTAATGATGTCCATGAAGAATATAATCAAGGACAACTCATCGTCACTCGCATCAATGTTCAAGACAACAGAGTCTACACAGAAGATCATGCCTAAGGAGCCCAAGAAACAAAACACATATGAGCAAATAAGCAAATGGGATTGAAGTAATATAAAGTCATTGAATAAAAAGTTTAATACATTTTGTGATTGCCATCTCATATTTACTTATGAATTGCACTTAGCAATACCCTTGAGTATCTGTACATCAATAATGCATGAAAACACAATTTACATGCAACTTCCACTTTTAAGTTGCGCTTTAATTCAAAAAAGTTCAATGCACTGACTGCACAATCAAATCCTCTTCGCTGAATCTTGTAAACAAACAGCAATACAATGATCAATGACACAATGCTCGGACTCAAAAGCTGCATAACAAGCAGTAAACCGAGTATATTCGTTTCGGTTTTCGATAGCTTCTCAAGTCGATAGCTTGCATCGTAAGAAGACCCCCGTTTATTCTCTGCATTCAGGATCGCATCGATCTTGTGAAATTCAAGTACTGCTAGTAAAGCAGATGCCCCAAGGCACACTAAATTCCCTACAAATCCCATCAGGGGCTCTATTCATTTGATATTCATGATCTACAATTACATTCAAATCAGAATCTTTATTGACTAAACACATACCTATGGATGGAATACAGAAGACTAAAGATTGTGTTTTCCATGATATCTTCCTCACATTTCTCTAGAAGCCGTCTTCTGTGGTCGATCTTTCCAACTTTGGCCACACCCATGTCCTTTCCTGCAAGCATCTTCTCTTCCTCACATGCCTTTCCATAGCTCTCAATTCGCTTCAGCATCTCTTCTCCTCCATTATCAACATCTCTGAACTTGAGGCAGTCAGCCCATGTCTTCTTATGCAAGTTCAGCAGCATCTTCTGCTCAAGCTCGTTTTTCCTGCACGTTATGTTGAACGAGTAATAATGCTTGTTCAGCCCATGTATCATAGAAATAAGAGTGGGTGTTTTCAAATGCCCAATGTTCGATGTAACTTGTCGAGGCTCCACTCCAAGTACCCCCATCTGATTGTCAATCAGCCTGAATGCATCAATCACAACTTTTCCCTTCACACTCTGAATCGGATCAACCACAACAGCCACGGCTCGCTTGCACAGCTTTTCAAAGCTCTGCTGCGTGCTGATATCAACAGTGCTTAACCAGCATCCAAAGCCCGGATGACTGTGGTACCATCCAACAACAATCTCCTGTCTTCCCGTTGAACTCAGAATCTCCATCATTTCCATCTGGAATATGGGATCCACAGACTCCACTGTCACATTCGTACCGCTCTGGGGCATCGCAAACACATCAACAACTTTTACCGTGTACTCGTCAACAAACTCTCCAAGCATCAGCCCCATAACCTCCAAAGGAATTCCCGCTCTTCCATGTTTAAGCATCTTCAACAATGCAAGCGATGATATTTGCACAGTCTCTGACGTATCTGGAGTTGGCTCTCCGTCATCTCCTCCAATAAATCCATTAAACATTTCAGGGTTTCAAGCATCATCATTTATGTTGTTACTTCATTCTCTGCATCAATCTCGGTCATAAAGTCCTCAAGCGCAGCTTCTACTTCTTCTACATCATCGACTATTTGCTCATCTCCTGCTCGTATTCCCCTTCCAAGATTCTTGATAAACTTTTCATATACCTTCCTGACCTTCTCAATCCCCTGCATCCAATACAAGGTCTGCAAAAACAAAAAACAGACATGCCTTCCCTAAAATTTCTTGTCATACCATGTTCGTTTCATTGGCATCAAGAATATGCATCCTGTGACCACAATAATTGTAAGCACCATCACCCACGCAGAAGGTATCATTGCATAGTACTTCTTCTCAAGGTCAATTCTGAACACCATCTGCTCCACTTCATCAATATACTCAGTGACATCGATCAGTCTAAATTTCCTTGGCTTGTATTCGTTAAGAACATACCTGTGCTCTCCAGAAAACGATATTTTGACCCAATTCCACTCTGCGCCTGATTCATTTCCTGAAGACACCACTGTCTGATTCCCAAGCTCGAGGACATCAAACTCACTTCTTTTTATTTCAATGTTATCCGCAGCTATCAATGCAAAAAGCAAAAGGATCATCTGGGCATGAACTCAGTCAATTTTACAACTACCTGAAAACATGCATAAGTCACCCTGCAATAATGCATGAACAATCAATGCAATAAATGATTGTAGTATAGAATGCCCATCACTCCATGGCCAATGGCATCAACACATCAACAGAGAAGCGGAAGTTTCGTAGTCTACTTGCAAAGAAAAAAAGATTAAAGAAAGAAATATTTGCTATTGAAAAAGAATTGTTCAAGACCGAAACTGCACATTTGGAGATGACACAAGGTGCTCCAATCACAAAAAACGTGGATTACTATACATCAAATAGAATAGATAAAAAGAAGTCAGCTGTGAATGACAAAATGAGAATGTTTAATAGAAACTTTCCTATGCCAAACAAGTAGATGATGACGAGATTGTTTAATAGAAACTTTCCTATGCCAAATAAATAACTATCATTAAACATCCACTTTGCTATCCCAGTCATTCTTTACTTATTGCAAATGATCATATGTTAGTATAAAATTGCCCTTTCAATGGAAAAAGACTCCCGAATCAGAATTGTGAACGATTATGCAGTAGAAATAGAAAATGAAGATCACACAATGATGAATCCTTTGAGATGGTGCATAGGTAGAAACTTCTCGGGAGATCATGTTGAGCTTGTTGGATACACCATTCCGCATCCATCAGACAACGTTGCAAGGCTCTCGGTCCAATTCAGTAATGAAAATATGCAGAAGCCTCAGAACATTCTTGACAAAATAGCACAAGGACTAGAATCGATGGAGGCCATATGCAGTAAATTGCTTATTCAAATTGAAGGCTTCGAAAGCTCTTCTAGAAAGTAGTAGATCACCTGCACACATTAAATTTTTATTGATAACCTTAGCTATACTACTTGATGCTTATTCAGCTCCTGATTTAAAGTGTTGCAAATCCCATTCCAGGAAGGCTTATGCAATAAAAGTATCCAAGAAAGATATTGGAATCCAAAATAATTCAAATAATATCCATGCATCTTGGTATTGTGAATATAAATTACTCATATTCCGAATAAAACATCATGCAAAGATGCTTGCACACTTCACTGCCAATGCTAGGAACAGCACATACTCCACTACTGTCATATCTATACCATATACTCTCACTAAGTACATAGCATTGACTCGCCCCATTTCTTTTTGTTATGAATGAACGAAGACCATACAGATGCTTGCCAACGTTCAGGTTCATATCCAGCTTGCCACTATTATTCTTCATCTCTTTCACTACCACTGCAAGTACAGACGGCATCTTGATTATACTCCAGTTCATACTTTCTATAAATAGATCAAATGCATTCTGTACACCGCCAGACTCATTAATACATATCCCAACCTTCTCAAAATATACCTCCTGCTGTAAGCCATTGACAATCGCCTTTCCTTGGAACATCTCGACTATTGGCGAGTACTCTGGATATATAATCTTTGATTTCAAAATCTGTCCTTTTTTCGATGTGTTCCAGGCATCCTCTTCAAAGTTGTACAATCCACACATCTCATCATGCGTTGTCTTCATCAACTCTGTGTAAATATCCTCATACTCCACACTATCTGCAGATACCAGTATATCATCCACATCCGCATGTTTGTTGCTCTTAATCAGCTCAAAAAACCTCAGTATCTTGCTTAATACTTGACACTGTGTCTTTTCCTGGCATCTATCACCAAAATTCATCAAAAAGTTATAGAATGGCGGCAGTCGTGTAATACACGTCAGTATATGAAAGATTCCTTCATCTGAATCCACATAATCAAGATCTGCTGTTCCAAGCATCGTCTCTTCAAATAGCTTATTTCCAGATACAATGAGTCGGTTTCCTCCAATCTTTCCACTTACCTTCTTTATCGGCTTCGTCGCCTGTATATTTACCAGTTCATACTCCTCCTCTGCTGCCATACCTTTAACAAAAAACACACAAGGCTCTGCTTTGACTTTCATCTCAATTCAGGATGTAAAAAATTGTATTTTGTGCTCGATTATTAGCAACACTCAACAACATTAATAATGCATCAATAACACTTAGAACTTATTTAATGATGCAATCAGCTCAATCACCTTCGTCCTGCTCATATTCATCAAGTTGGATACTTCATGTTGATTACCTGTATCAAGGAATTCAAACATACTCAGAGCATGATGTACTATAGGGCCTTTGAGCGATAATTCGTGTAGATGAATGTCTGAACTGAGATAGTCTCTTGGATTCACCCCAAACAGAACTGGCAGACGACTTAATATCAATGACTGTAGCTCTAACAACCGGGAGTACTCGCCTTCATCTATCGAACATATGTGAATCAAAATATTCGTTCTTGAATAGAACAAAGTCCCGCTTTTCTTAAATCCAACAGAATTCGATGATAATCGGCCAAGCTTAGTTGTTATCTCTGCTCGCTTCACAAGCTTTGTGCCGTCCATGCTTATAATGCTGTTCGGTGAGTACGTATATATGTGTATGGTTCCCCGGTCATCGCTACACTGCATCGATAACTCATCATTTACTGCAAGAAACTCCGTGTTCACTGCATTCCTTAGAAGCCCACTCGAACCGATCAAGTGGAGCCGAATAGGCTTTGACTGAAGGTAAAAGAACGATAGTCCTCGGTATATGTCAGAGGCAAGAATGTAGTTCTTGACGACTGAGATCGATGATGTAAATATGTGCAGATCATAGAACCCAACAGGAATAATCCCCTTGCTCCTGTCAACTTTGTATATCATTATCTTTGTTCCAAGACATAGAGCTATCTTTCCGCGTATCTCCTCACATTGAACAATCGATCCTTTGGTCTTTTCAATACCAAGCACCTTCATCTTGCAGTCCTTGAATGGATTTTCAGGCTCTGGGACAACAGAAATGATCTCCAGCACATGTAATCTCCCCTTTGCAGGCTTATCTTCTCCCTCTATCATTGTTGTGCACACCACTAAAAATTGTGACTTTCCATGATTGCCTTGCCTGTCATCCAGCGTTAGGTACTTCACATAAAACACATGCTCATTCTCATCGAATCCATACGTGCTTATGTACTCATACTTTTCAGAATACAAATCAATACTGAATCTGAATGTTGTCACTGGAACCCCATAATCCTTTTCTTCATCCACAAGAAATTCTGCCTCTTCACACGCAGCTACAACCGTGTATCCTCTTGCATTCTCAACATACTTGGGCGTTCTCATCACCGGTACTTTTTGGCCCACATATCCATTTCCAAACACATATTGCTCACACTCTGGCTTCGGCACATTCATCACGACTAAATGTCCCCTTGAAAGATGTATCGCCTGTCCTGCATCAATATATATCGAATTCAGCGAGTGTTTGCTTCTGTACATGTAGTATCCTTTGTCTGTTGCTAAGAGAAACATGTTAATCGTGGACTTCATAAAAACCATCTCTCCAATTCCATAGAATCCCTTTTCATCATTATCAAGTTTGAAAAAAACACACTTTGGAAGCATAATCCTGTTAAAAATAGCCTCTTGTGTTGTTCCATAACGCAAACATTCATCATCAAGTGCTTCATATGCAATCATCTCTCCTCTATTTGTTCTTAGTAACATCAGAACCTTTCTTTTTGTACGACTAACATGAATTTCAACAATATCAGATGAGCAGGATAATTCTACAGTATCTGCATGGCTATTTCGATATTTGCTCTTCTTTGGCTGTTTATCCTTCTTTGGTTCTTCATATGGAGTCATCTGTATAGCTCCATCCATCCTTACCTTACAAACCATATATTGCCTGCATGTTTGTAAATCAAATACACTTATCCCTTCATCTAATACAACAAACAATACTCCTCCCACATCACAGAAGCACGTCACTTCACATACACTCATTGTAACATTCATTCCTTCATCATAGCAAACCATCTTTCTGGATTTATCTCTCGTAACTAGAAACATTCCTCCACACACAATTTTGCTCTCCAAAATGGCTTCATCAAAATCAAACTTACGAATTAATTTAAGATCTCCATCCATTAACAAGCAAGAATCGGTCATTACTTGAGCAACATTCCTTCCAAGACACCCAAACCCAATCGTAATCACTCGTCTTTCATATTCTCCATCAACCTGAATAAAATCATCATCCCACCGAAAAACTTTACTTTCAAACTCTTTGGAAAGCATATAATACTCCATCGCTTTCATGCAGCATCGGTATTTTTTCACCTTAACAGACTTTACTATCTCAAACGGAATCGTGCCACTGACAATACAAAGGCACGGTTGAAGTCCCTCCACTGCAAAAATAGCCTGTCCGTTGCTCTTCATTGTCATTCCATTCAGTCCTCCAACATTCGGCATAACATCTATCAGCTCCAATGCAAAGTCGTCCTTCAGTCTTTTATTTGCCTCCGTACTAAAAAGTCTTGCATACTCATCGTCTCTGCCACTAGTCTCTATAAGTTCATTATCCTGTTTATTATGCTCATCGACTACAAAAAGTCTAGACTCATCCACCATTGAGCCAAAAAATACAAAGTTATTTACAGAGCATACTCCACTAACTGTTGCATCCTTTCCATCAAACTTCAAGCATGCTCCTATAATCCGCTTCATGTCCATGTCAATACTCAGCTTGTATCGGTCTCCATTTCCGTTCAAAAGCAGACACACGCTTCCTTTTGCAAAGCAGCTCACGTCAAACAGAACAGCCTCCTCAAAAACTTTATCGCTTCCATAACACTCAGACATCCTATTCACAGGTAGTGTGTACGAGCTGCTTGGCGTTCTTATCATAATCGAGCTATGCGATATAAACAGCATCGCAGTCCCCGTATATGCAACCTTGAATGTCTTTGGTGGAACATCAAACTCGTCCACAACATGGAATCCACCTGTACTCAGGTCAATCGAAAAAATTATCGCATTTCGATTCTTTATGCTGGTGTACTTCTTGGGCGATGACTCATACACAAGGCACACAGTAGGCGTTGAATAATTGCCTATAAATACAAAATCAACAGGATTTCTGATCTTTGAATCAACGTCTGCAAACCTAAATGCCTTTGCATTCAAAACACCCTGTCTTAGTCCAAACACTCCAAAATATCTCTTGCTGATATGCACTATCCCTACATCCTTCGCTATATGCATATTTCTTATATCTTCTTCTTTGCTATCGTACTCGTCTCTCTCAAAAAACTTCAATGACACTGTTTCAAACACATTCGTACAAGGCTCAAATATAGCAACACATATCTTCGCTTTGTCAAACAAAATCACTACTCCATCGTGTCCATCGGATATCTCGTATTTCTCAATCCGGCATATCCTCTCAAACAGCACATGCTCCTTCACAATCATAAGTCCGCCTTTGCATCTCCAGAGTTTGATTGTGTTCCTGTTGTAAGTCACCAAACATTCTACTCCAGGCATGAATAGCCCTGCACAGCATCCTTCCACACCGTTCCAGACACACTCTTGAGAATACAAGTATCCCATTTGGGGCTTTTGCGTTTGATCATCAAGGCATTAACGATATAAACTTTTACTATTCATACACCAATCTTTACAAAACTTAGAATAACCCACATTTATTCATCACTAAGTCAAACATCACTCTTTCTTGCTCTTTGGGGCAATCCTAAGAAACTCAATCCCAAGTACATCAGTCATTGTCTCAATAATCCTGTAAACACTTACTCCACAATAAGCTGAACATACACTAAACATCAAAACCAACACTAAATCCTTGTGCACATCAATCGCTCCAGAAGAAAAAATTATACTCATCCCTACATACATCAGATACACCGGCATGTACATCATGCACTCTCTTTTTACAACATACGAGTACACCTCGCAAGTATACTTGATAGAAAATACCTCTCCAAACATCAGGATATTCAGGTACCGCATCCACAAATCATTCGAGCAGAGCATGTTGAATAGCATAATAAACGATGCAACAAAAAGCATTACTCTACCAAGCGTTACATACAGAAGGATCCTTCTCCGCAACTTCATCTTCGACTCAATCGAGTACAATGTCGAAAAAAAGTTGAATATAAGAATAGTCATCATCACCACAGAGATAGCCTGGAAGCTCTCTGCTCTAAACACAGCCATGTAAACCTTCTTAATAGACTGTAAGAAAACATCAGAAAACATGATCTGGAAGATCCTCTGTCCAAATACAAACGAAAGTAAATGCAGAAGCAGCACAAGGGCAATCCCTTCAGATGCGCCATTAACCTTTCCAAGCACAAACTGTCCTGTGAACTTCTCCTCAAGCCCTATGATATAAAACTGTATCATTATTGCCAGCAGCAGCACCAGGAAGTTCTGCGATATCCCAAGTCCAAGTGAGGAAGACAGCGCTATGCTTGAGATGAGTGCACTGAATGAATCCACCCCGTGATCAAATAGTTGTCCCAACGGTGATCCAGATCCTGTTCTCCTAGCCTGTGCTCCATCCAGGTTATCACATGTGAAGTATCCAAACATCAATAAAAAATTTGCCAATGCTAAAAATCTCGGTGAATTGTTCAGATATGGATCAAACACTAGCGTAAGTGCCAAGCTTAGCAGCATCATTGCAAATCCCATCAGCGTAAGCATGTTTGGTGCAATTGATTCAGGTATCTTGTTGATTAGCCATTTCGTATAGTGTCTTATGACATACTTCGATAGAATAGAATTGTCTATGCCTACAAATCGATGGCTTTTCATGTTTGATATCTCTTCAGGCCTGATCTTCATTCTGAGCGATGATTTACTGCTCATTCAGGGGATCTTCATGAATGAATTGCTTTGTGAATGGCAGTGCAACAGTTTGTGTGAGCCACTCATATATGAAAAATGCAAAACATATAAATATGTATGAATACATGCAGAATACAAATATATGCAGTTATTATACCAATCTATTCATATTTCAACCTGTGATTAAATATATTCATTCTAGTACATGACTAATAATTGGTTGATGCTTTTATGAATCTATCCTTGCTGTGCATTTACATTGAGGTTGGTATATAACATGACACGAATGCATATGCATTGATTGAGCAGAGGCAATGAGCAAATCATTTTGTACAAATGGGATTTATAATGAATTGACACCCCTGAAAAGCTAAGATGTCCATGCAAAACGATAGAAGAGGCCTACGCAGACAGCCACGTGTTATTCCGATGCCATTACCAGCTGAGCTGAGAGAGATAATCCATGATGAGGCCGGAGACAAGGCTAGTGTAGTGATAGATGTTTTGGAAGGAGTGTCTTCAACGTTGTCATATGAGAATGCATCAAGTGAGCTACTAGATATTCTAGCGCCAGTTGTTGATGGAAAGGCAAAGATGCTCGTGGAACGAATTATGGAGTATTCAAGAGAAGAATGTAAAGGTGGAAAGACGTACATGGCAAAGAATAGTTCTTTGTTACATGATGAAAGTGTATCTGCACAAACAAGTAGTGATATGCATAGAAACCAAAGAAGAAATGCAGAAAGTGATAGCAAGGAAGGAAGTAAAAGAAGGAAAGCCCCTGAAGGTGTAGAAGTTATAGTAAGTAAGATGAATGAGGGAAGACACAGTGTAGAGGACCTGAAAGCATATGCAGCGAGGTATGGAAAAGTACTTGGATGTAGAAAGATAGCTTCAGACAGATTCGTTGTTGTTTTTGAGTTACTGAACTCTGCAGACGAGTTTGTCCGATCGCCTGAGCCTGTCCTGAACGACATTTCAATCAAGAAGTTTTATCATCTTGTGGATGCTAACACAAAGAGTGATCTTAGAAAGCTTTTTGAAGAGCAAGAGAACATCATGAAAAGGATGCCTGGGGAATTCCATACAACATTGCTCAATAGACTTAAAAAGGTGAATATACAGATCAGAAGCCTTGTTATGAATGACAGGCCAAAGGAGGTTGTTGTTGATCACAAGAAAGGATTTGACCAGGAAAACAGTTTGTACTACAACTGCTTCTAATAAATGATGCATGGGCGTAAAGCACTGAAATATTTGCAGGTTAATTTGAAGGATGTGCGGACCCTAATGAACCATAAAGACAAGAACAAAAGGATTCAGCTGCTGAATGATTTGGGACGGTTCAAAGGAAAGAAAATAACAGTGACATTTATTGACGGAAAGTCTCTGACTGGAAGACTTCTCTCGTTTGATGAGGTTGGAAACTGTGTGCTCAAGAAATGTGGAGAGTGGGTGTATGGAGAATCGGTGGTGTGCTTAGGACGAAGCATTGTGCTGGTTTGCATGGGTGTTCCACATGTTCTATAGTGCAAAATAATCGCGCTGCCTGCCAAATTGTGACGCAGCTTTGCAGCACAACATCCGTTATAGAAAGGATGTCTTGAATAAATAAAATATCTAACAATAACAAATCATGTTTTTTGAATACTGTATGTGTTAGTTAGTTCTGTTGAATTGCTGATATTTAAAAAGTTTAATAACCTTACTCAAAGAATCTATAAAATAAACAGAGAATGCCTATCACAAAGCATGTTTGTATTACCAGGCTTGCTACTCCCATTTCTCCTCTGTGTTTAATGGCACAAGTATTTGCTTCATCCTCTTGATACATTATGCCTATCCTTGATGTCCAGCATGGCTTTGGCGATGAAGCCTTGAGATACTGCTTAAAGTCGCTGAGTGATCTTCTCCAATCAAACCTATGAACTTCCACTAGGAACTTATGATCGCTGGTTGGGATTGTGCCCTCAGAAAGCGTCACTTCTACTTCTGCGGATTGCATCGGCATGATCAACCCCATGTTTGGCCTTACAATGTAGTCTCTTGGCTTGGTAGTCTTGATTTTGTAGCCCATGCTCTCCATCGAATTATTCTGGATCGTCAATGTAGATGTCTTCTTGCTCTTCTTGACACGTATTGCAGTCTGTGGCACTATCTTGATGTCGAGCATTTCAAGGGCAGCACATAATGCACTTCATTAATCTCTCATATGTGTAAACAAGCAAATCACAATTATGCACTCAAAAAATGTGCTTATATGCCAGTGTTCAATAATCTCAATTGGCACTTAAATATTGCCTATCCAAACATCACACTATAAAATAAATGTTTATTCAATCTTAAGATGCCACTGTAAAGCCTTATTGCCTCACAGTCAATACTAACAGAGTTTGTTAATTGCATACCAATATACACTTTATCTTTTGCGATTTCCTCCTGTATTTTTCTTCCTATTGTCATCTCCGCCAGTAATCTCTGTAGGCTTGAGCACCTGGAACGAACATACAAGGTCCTTGTCCACGTCCATTATTGCTCCAGAATTCTCAAACTCCCCGCAATAGTTCGGTGCAGAAAATACCGTAACCAGCGATCTGTTTGCAAAAAACTCATATCCATCCTCTACCACCTGATGTGCCCTGCATATCAAATCCAAATTGTGTGTATCAAGAAACTTCTCAACAACATCTGGTCCAAATGTCACAGAAACTCCTCTATCATTCTCTCCCCATCCCTTTACACTTGCATCGGGATCGCTCCACAGCAAATCACACAACAATCCTTCATCAGGAATATCAGTGGGCCTCGTTATCGCACGTATCTGGTCCATACTCTTCAAGTCAGGCGATATTCCTCCATGCATGCACAAAATCCTTCCATCAATAAGCGCACATATAGGAATCCAGTTGAAACACTCCGTAAACATCTTCCATATTGTCGTGTCGTACCGTCGCTTGCATTCATCATAAAATCCATATATTCTGTTGATGCTGGCACATTCATGATTTCCACGCAGTAGGAAAAAGTTGTGTGGATACTTTATCTTGTATGCGAGCAGGAGGCAGATTGTTTCTAAAGATTGCTTTCCACGGTCAACATAGTCTCCAAGAAACAAGTAGCTGCTCTCGGGTGGATATCCTCCGTGTTCAAACAGCTTCAATAGATCATAGTACTGCCCGTGCACATCTCCGCAAATTTTGACCGGTGCTTTCACTTCAACCAGTGTTGGCTGCTGCTTAAACACTCCAATCGATCGCTCGCATAGATACTTTATTTCTGCCTCAGACAGATGCACAAGCCTTCCTAACTTGCTGTTGCGCACAGCAAGAAGTTTTTCTATTATCTTATCCAAATCTGCCCTTTCTTCGCTCATCTAGCCACCCTCATCAAAAATTAAAAAAAAACAGATGCGCTTTCATTCCTACATCAACCATGCATTCTTATCAATCATTTCTAATAGAAATAAGTTATAATAGCAATAATTTACAGCACAACCATTTACAATAGCAATCTTTTATAGCACAACCATTTATAACTCAGCCACATCAAACGTTACTCACAAACACATACTCTTACACATCATACATGCACAAAACGTGTATGGCTTTATCCTCTAATAGACTTCAAAGATCCAATAGAAACACAAATTTAATCCAGTTTTATATATCAATCACACAGCCATCCATTGCATTCCTAACATTTATACTTTACCTCCATCATTATTCATCAATCTTCTTCAATTCGCTCCTCAATTTGGCCTCCTTCAATATCAGATTCAACTCTTTTGTAGATAACTCCTCTCCGTTCTTCATCTTCTCTTTAAGATACTTAATCTCGTCCAAATCCTTCAAAATGCTTTCTTTAGTGCATTCGTTTGGCTTGGACATCGATTTCAGCACACTATTGGCATCGTACGTGTCTTTTCGTTTCTGATCCTTCTTGACATTTCCACCCTTTGCTACTCCTTTGCTTCTAAACTCATGTATAGACGGTGGGACATACTTCTTTTCAACCTCAATAACCAATTTACTTGGCTGGCTTAACTTCACAAATCCTTCTGCATCTCCATACGTATTCACTGAGCTCAACGCATCAAAACATTTCTCATCAATAATCCTCCCAAAATAGTCATACAAGGTAATCTTGTTGTCTTCTTGGAAGTAGCTCGTCGTCGACACATAAAAATACGATCCATTCTCACTCCAGTTCACTATCGATGCTCCAAGAACGTTGAACTTCGATATCAGCCTTCGTGATGAAACACAGAACACCTCAATGTCTCCAGACAGATTATCAAATCCTGCAAACACCGCTAGGTTCTCGTGATGGTTAAAAAACATCCTGTTCCTCACTCCTTCTGGAAATTTGTACTTCAATCTCCCATCAAATTCATGCACACACACATCGCTCGGCTGAGATCCATGGCATACTGCAAATCCATCAGATAGGAAAGCATATGAGTGAACATCTGAATATCCAAGACTTTCAAATTTACTTCGTCCTCTGTCATACAAAAATAAATCAGACTCAGGAAAGTAGCTGTTATTAACATACGATGTCATCAATAGAAACAGTAGATGCTCCTTGGTCCTACTCGACTTCAACGAAAATCCTTGAAGAACCGGAAGACTGTAAAGAACATCAAGCGCATTCTCTCCAATCCGCAGGATCTTATGACATCCATCCTTCTCCAGCTTCTTTGTAGCAAGAAAAACATACTCTCCACTGATGTAAAAGTCAAGCAGAGATACCTTGGAATTGTGGAATGCCTCATTAATTACTCCGTCTCTAACCTTATGTATGAAAAATGATCCATTCGATGCATAAGCCAGAATATCATCTGAAAGCCTGAACTTACTTACCTCCATGATCTTCATCTTGACTCCGCAGCTTCCAAAAAGTACAAGTTCTCCCTTGCTGGCCAGTACACCCACATTCTCTCCGTTCTCTGACATCTTAATCTCTCTTGGCATATCCACTTCCATCTCAAAAATCATTTCACGCTTCTTCAAGTCATAGTATTTTACACACTTTACACTGCTCCATGCCACCTTACTTGATTCTATACAATAGCACTCGCATTCAATCCATGGCGCATCTTTTTTGAACACATCAAAGCTCAATCCTTTCTCGCAATGAGCTGCAATAGGCATTAAGGGTCTTGCTAAAACTGATCAATCCACTAAAAACTTCTTGCTACATACACTACAGCATAAATCACAAAATCCTCAATAATATTTAATTCATCAACTCCTTAGATATCTTAACATATGTATTCCTATCAACCACCTTTCCAGGTTCAAATACACTGAGATACTTATTTGCCACTTCCTCAGGTAATCTCTTGATTTCACTTGCTATCCTTCGGTTGCTTTTCCCATTCTTCCACATCACAAGGATTCTCAACAACACCATCTTTGCAGAAATCGCAGGTATCTTTGCAATGTCTACGCCTTCATTCAGTCTGTATTTACCATTCTCATCCTTAATGTAAGCCATATCAATCCATGCACATTCATTGCTCTTATACTTGGTCTCCAAAACATTATATCTAGCAAAGTTTCTTTGGAAATGTATCGGCATAGAAATCGCATCAATAATTCCTTCATTATACTCCACAGTCTTCTTTTGACTCTTGGATAGCAAAGGTATGCACACTTCTTGTCCACAAACATTCTTTAGCTGCTCCTCTACTATTGTCCCCTTCATCTCTGCTTTCACAGCTTGCATCTTCAAAAACTCAAGAAATCGCTTCTCGTCAAAAAGATGCTCAAAAGACTCATTAAACACCAGATCCACCCGTCCTTCTGCACTTTTCATATTATACTCCTTAATATCATCAAATCCATCAACATCATCCATCTTCCTTATCTGGAACCTATTTCCATACTCATACAAATTCTTATCTGCTAAAATAGCCATAGACTTCATTGCCTGTAGATTCACCGCTACATCATCGTCCATCTTTATCTTAGAAAGCATCTTATATGCACTACCATAATATCCCAAGTAAAACAAACATTGTGAGCTAAGAACTCTGCTCCCTTCGCTGTCTATCCATTTCAGGATTCTAAGCGCTTTCTTGTACTTCTTTAGCTTGTAAAGTGAATATGCTGCCTCAAAAGATTTCCTCTCCGCATACTTAAGTGCTTCTTCATATCTCCCAAGGAATATGCATGCCACGGCCCTGAAACGTCCAAACTCAGGATGTTCAACTGCATATATTTGCTCATGCTGATCGTTTCGGACAAGCTCATATATGTCCATCAGGGTGTCTAACTCACCAAAATTTACCCTGAACATCTTTGGTTTATCTGTACATTATGTATCATCCAATCATATTTACATAGCTTATAAAACTAATATTATAGAAATTTCACATTATATCATATACAATATCTAATGAAGCATTTATGCAAGAATTTATAGAATGATTATTAATATAGCATTCACATATAACTTATAAGCACTCATATATAACATCTGATGCAGCATCTTATAAACACCTTATAAAATATCTCATAAACCTATACAATTACTTTTGTATATTAATCATGCCTCAATTGTTTACAGCAAGGGAATGGTCCATGTTGAAGAGAAAACAAAGGCTGTGATTCTTGTAGGAGGATACGGGAGTAGGCTCAGACCATTAACATACACTGTACCTAAACCTCTGGTTCCATTTGCAAACAAGCCAATCTTAAGACACCAAATAGAAGCTCTTGTGCAGGCAGGCGTTAAAGAAATCATCCTAGCACTAAACTACTACTCAGAGCTCATAATACAAGAGGTAAGAGATTATTCAGAGGAATTCGGCATCACCATCACATACTCTAAGGAGCAGGATCCTCTTGGCACTGCAGGGCCATTGGCACTTGCAAAAAGACATCTTGATGGATGCACTTTTTTTGTTCTGAATTCAGATGTGATATGCAGGTTTCCACTTCTTGAGATGCTTGCATTCCATCACAAACATGGTAAGCAGGGAACAATCCTCTCAACAACTGTTGATGATCCAAACAGATACGGAGCAATCGTTCTTGAGCAGAATACAGCCAGTGTCAAGTCATTCCTTGAAAAACCAAAAAACTCTCCCACAAACAGAATAAATGCAGGCATATATATATTGGAATCCTCAGTGCTAGATATAATAGAATTAAAGGAATGCTCTATCGAGCGAGAGATCTTTCCTGCAATGGCTGTAGAGAAAGAACTTCAAGTGTTTGATCTCAAGGGATTCTGGATGGACATAGGACAGCCTGCAGATTACATAAAGGCACAGGGACTGTATCTCAAGCACATACAGGGCAGTGATGCAGTTGAAGACCTCAGATGCTGCATCTCGATTGAAAATAATGTGGTGATTGGAAAGAATGTCAAAATGGGAAGAAATGTGACAATCATCAATAGCACCGTCTTTGACAACGTGGAAATAGGAGATAACGTCATCATTAAAGACAGCATTATTGGGTGGTGCACCAAAATCGGTGAAGATGCTTCGGTTGTAGGTTTTAGTGTCCTTGGATACGCCACTATGGTTCAAAAGTCCACAACACTTGAATCGGTCAAAATGCCATCGGACACCAGCATCAACAGTATATAATTGCTGCTTATGGTATAATCTACAACAAATTCATCATCATGGCAACATCATAAGCTTTCTAATAAAACATGTAATTTTACTCAAATCATTCATCTCCACTTTAATAATATTCTACAGGCATTCCTTGTGAATACATATTACCACTGTTCATCTATTAAGGACACTGTATGCTGCAAGAATCTTAGACTGTAGATATGCCGATCCCTTATTTTCCTTCGAGTTTGCATCATACATCCTGGTAAATACTGCCTTTACCTCATTACGACTCGTACCTGCTTCAATCTGTAGAATCATCTCTGCCTCATTCTTGGTCATTCGATTTCTTAGCATAATATCACAAACTGTGGCCATAATTGATCTTCCTATCACCCTGGCACCTTCTCGCATAAGAACCATTCGCACAGACTCCATCATATGGGCATTGTATTGAACTGCTTTCATCTTTCACTACGTAAACGTATATGTTATATCTTAAGCTGCACTATAATACACTACATAATTTTATGTTATGTTATATCTCAATGCAATCCATCGCTTCTTTATGCGACTTTCCATCAAAGAGATATTCAAAACACACATCCTCGTTCTGTTCATCACAGATTCGCCTTGTAGAGCATCTTCTCGGCTGCACAGTCCACACATTGTCAGGAAGTCTTAAACATCCTTCAAATTCAGCATACTTTCTAACAACACTCTCTACAGCATCTACATCCCTTCTTGCAATCCATTCATGCATTTCCTTCTTTTCTGCCATAAATTCAATAAAATGAATCACAAAGTTGATTGAGCATCCTAACTTAATCAACCGTCTAGGCTGTATCCACACTCCTTTGTGATTGCATCTCACTTCAAACATCTCACTCTCATATAAAATCACATCTTTATCTCTGCCTGTGTCACCTTGTATTCTTTTACTTTCACAAAACTCAGAGATAAACAAACTAAACACCTCAAATCCTAAAAACGATAGGCTCCGGTCAGCATCTCCAATGTAAGTAATAAAATAATCAAGGTTGTGGAATATTCCAGTATGTATCATCGTTACCATCTGCTTCCTGGCTAGTTCTTTGCTCTTGCACTCTAAAAGCTTTATCACCCACTCTTTCCTTGCCTTCATCAACTCAAAAAACGTTCTACATTCATACCACGGATCATACAATAACTTCTTCAGCTTCCCATCAAATTCACGTACATTCAACTTCAATATTAGCATCAACATATGGCTCCTTAATGTTTTGCTTCTAAAATGCCTTTGCATTACAGCACTTCTAATGCTTATCTTTGCATCAATATCACAAAGAAGACGATAAGAGATTGAAAGAAGAGCTTTGTTCTTAAACACTCTCAACGATTTTACAAGAATCCTCGCTACTTTCTTATGAACACAAGGGTTTTCATTCAAGTATCTCCGGAAGTGCACAAAAAACTTCTCATAGTCAGACACATCCACATGGTTCTGGTTGATACTTAGGAAATTCATCACCCAATGCTCCATCTTTATGTAGTGTTATCGAAGGGTGTGCAAAAACAACATGTTGCTATACGCCAGTCAATGCATCCCAATATCTATGCCTGTTGAAAAAAATTGCAAAGTCAATCCCTCGCATGAGCACCGAAATCATTAAGAAACAGGACATAGAGGTGGCCGATCAGGCTGAGGCAATGACAGTCAACATCGACATGGCAAGCCTTGAAGAGAAACAAATTGAAAAGGTGTGCAGGGAGTTCTATGACTACGGGAAATCATTCATCACCAACCTTCAACCCGCTGAAGTTCTTCTAAAGAAGGTTAAGAAAATAACAACACTAAGGAATACTTCTGGTCAAGGTACAAAGACATGGAGCAGGTATAAGATGATTGTATTTCTCAGGAAGTTCCATTTGGATGCAACCCACAAGCAATTGGAAAAGGTTGTCCAATTCTTGAAGAATTTCCCACATGTTGAGATCAACCTGAGCATTCAGAATTAAAGTTGGTTGAGTGATTCGTCCGGTTTATTTGTATGTGTTTGGCAATTGCCCGCACCAGCTCTATTCGATATCGTCTTCCCCTTCACTGTCGTTGTTGTCAGTACATGGATCATCCTCAAATGACTTTTCAAGCTCGATCTTTGCGATTTTGAAGAGCTTTTCTTGCTGGTCATGCAACTCTTCCATGCTCAAGCCAGAGTCCTTGAGCTTGTCAATTTTCGAAGGTTTCTGCTTGATGTAGCTTTCATAGTTCCGATGCTCCTTGATGCATTCTTCAACATAGCTTTCAAATCCAAGGTTTTTCAATGCCTTGTAGATGTGCTCGTGGCTCATGGTTTTTTTCTTCTCCTCTTCACATACTTTGTTTGCCTCGAGCGTCAGCATGTTCAAGAAGCAAATGCATCCATTCTGAAACATCTCTTTCGACTCCTTTGGAACAATCGAGCTTTTTGGAAGCATTGATGCAACCATTCTGTCCACAGTTGCCTTTGGCAGCATATTTTCATCTTCTGGTCTTTCTGTGTTCATTGAGACTCTGCTGGATAAAGGTATTTATTGGAATTTGTTATATGGTGCAACACTATTAATGGATATGGATGCATACATAATAAAGTGCATATACGATGTGAAGTAGTGGACAGTGATGCATATGAAGTGAATTCTACTGTAACTAATTATACAAGGAAATGTGTCTGTGTTGAATATGAGGATGAGTATATGAGTATGGGAATTTGTTAAGCATAGAAGTATAAATGCGATTTTTATATAAATCAGCATATTGAACATGCATCTGCGTAATGATTTAATTACTGAATGTGTTAATGCGTATAATGGATATTGAGCTGATAAGTGCTGTGGTTGTCTCGTATTCGAAGATACTGCATGAGATGCAGGAGATGAAGGCAGATATCAAGTCCATTACAATGAGTATGAAGAATTATTTGTCCACATCTGCAAACTCGTCAATGGAAAGCAGCCAGGAACCATGCATTCGTATTGAAAGCCAAAGTGATTCGATTGACATGCATAATACATCTAGAAGCAATGAAATTATTAGAAATACAACTTCTAATATAACATCTGAGAATAATGCAAATACTAACAATAAAGATACCGGTAATGCAACTGATGCACTAGTTGATGATCATAACGGCCCGTGTGCCTGGTTTTTCAGTGAGATTGAGAAAGAAATATGAAGTGGCGTCTATATGCAGTGAACGCCTAGCCAATTAATCCTACATGTGTATCGCCCATAATGGATGTCCAGAGTAGATCAGTGCCAATCCGCATGGGAAAGATGAAGAGCATCAAAGATGAGTGGATGAAGATATACACACCAATAGTTGAGATATGCAAGATACAGATACGAATGAACATCAAGGCGCGGACAATAGAAATGAGGACGTGTGAGCACACTGAAGATCCAGCATACTTGGAAAGAGCAGTACAATACATCAAAGCAATCAATCTGGGCTTTTCAATTGAAGATTCCATGGCAATCCTCAAGTTTAACGATGTGTTTCTGGATCATCTTGAGATTTCAGAGGTAAAGACGCTCAGGGGTATTCATGCAGAACGAGCGATCGGACGGATCATAGGACGAGAGGGAAAGACAAAGGGCGCGATTGAAGAGTTTAGCAAGGCAAAGGTGCTTGTGAAGGATCAAAACGTGCATATTCTTGGAGTGGTAGAGGACATCAGAATCGCAAAAGATGCTGTGTGCAGACTGATAATGGGATCGAAGCCTGGAAGTGTTTTCAACAGACTACGCATCATTAACTCAAGGCTGAAGGAGAAGTATGGAGGGCTTCAGACAGTATATGAGGACCATCTTAGGAAATAAATATTCAGGATTAATAAAGATTTGGCGCCATTTTGATTTTTGTGAGGTGCACTCCCTGTATGGGAATATCTGGATTGCTTCCCATAGTTTTACCAAAGCTGGTAAGGAAGCACATATCTAGCTATAGATCGTATAGAGTGGGAATAGATGGACACGGATGGATGTATCAAGTTCTTCCATGTGTTGCCGAAAAGCTGTTTTTCAAGATACCTACAAAGCAGCACATAAGTCTGTTTGAGTCAAAAATCAGGCATCTTGAGAAGCAGGGAATAACGCCGGTGGTTGTGCTTGACGGAGATAGCTTACTGAGCAAAGAAGCGACTAACATGAGAAGAAAATTAAAGAAGGATCGCTGTAGAAAGGAAGCAGAAGCATGGCTGATGCAGAACAACCCAATTAAGGCAAAGGCATGCATGAGACAGTGCATTTATGTTACAAACGAGATTTTATTGGACATCACAAGAATGTTGGAGAGAATAAATGTAGAGTATATTATTTCTCCATATGAGTCTGATGCAGAGCTGTGCTATCTTCAGAAGATAGGATACATAGACTATATAATGACGGAGGATAGTGATTTGATCGCATACGGATCTGAAAATGTGCTCTACAAGTTTGATGGTGCGTTTGTTTATGAATTCAATAGAATATGCCTTGAGCAAGCGAAGGACCGGCACTTCAAAGAAAATATACTTGACATTGCAATCTTAAGTGGATGTGACTATCTGAGTTCAGTACATGGGGTTGGCGTGGTGACTGCCCATAAACTGCTTTCCAGAGAAAAAACTATTGAACGGGTGGTTGAGCATCTGAAGAGCAAGAAACCTGTTCCTAGTACTTATCTAGATGACTTTGCACGTGCAAAAAAGACTTTTATGCATCAGGTTGTTTACGATCCTATCCTTGGAAAGCGCAAGCATTTGCATGACACAAATGAAAACCTGTTATTCTTGGGCTCATTTGAAGAAGATGAGTATACAGCTGAACGAATCAAAAATATACATGGCTCAGGTGGAAACATTCAAAATCCAATTTTGAGTCTGCTACAAAACGCAATAACAACCAAGATCAAAAGACACTTTGTACCTATCGTTAAAAAACGAGCAATGAGTGCAATAGAATCATCTGAATTCAAAAGAAGGGAAACAAGGACAGTAGTAGATACAAACACACACTCTCCATACTTCAGTAGCAATACAGCACATTAATAATAAACAAGGAGAATCAGAACAAAGAATTCATCAGTTGCATCAGCCAGGGATAACTTTAATCATCATATTCTCAGGGGTGATGCATATGCTGCTTTTTGTAACTAGTTAATGCATTCAATATCAATTATTTATTGTGCTTGTTTTTGCACCTGGTGCTCCAGTTATTTTGCCAAGGACTTATTAAACATACTCGATCCAGACGTCTTATTCGGAAACGTAAGCTTTGCACCCAGGAAAATGTGATCAGAAGGAAAGTGGATGCTTGGAAGACCCACAATCTTTTCTGTATACTCATTATCTACCGGTGACAGCACAGACGTTAGTGTCAATCTATCACCATAGAATATATAATCTATTACATCCTTGAACTGTGGAGTAAAGTTTGTAAACTCCAGGTCTTCATTTGTATATGCATCCTTCATGCCCAATCCCATTCGTTCCTTCTTTATGCCTTGATAGCATTGAATATCTCCAAAGTCTGCGAAGTCCATCTGATGAGTCGTCACAGACTTGTACACAGACGAGCATCTAAGAGAGTTAAAATCGCCCTGTACAATTACAAATGCATTTGGATGCTTCGACTTAATCCTTTGAATTTCCTCTATTAGCAGCATTGTCTGTAGCAACTTAATGTCCGGATACTCAGGATCCCAGAATATGTGAGTATTCACAACCAACACTTGCTGCCCATTCGTCTTCTCTAAAAGCGCAGCAATAGCAACATTATCCTTTTTTCCGTACCTGGCAAGAAGCATTTGGTTTTCTTCAAATCTAGGATCTTGTGTCATCGTCTGATAAAAATCAATAGGAAACTGCTCAATCAGTCGGAACTTGCTTTTCCTCCAGAATATTGCGCATCCATCAACATTCTTCTTTTCAGCAACATTTTTTATCCGTCCTCGAGGATATATAATCGAATCATAGCTGCATCTCATCTCAAGCTGCTCCTTATAAAAATCAAAAAAATTGTACAGCTCAATCTCTTGCAAGCACAATATGTCCACATTGTACAGTACAATCTCTTGCAGAACACCTTCTCTTCTGAAATCCGGATTGATCACCCACGATGGCGCATATGTAAGTCTAGATGCATAAACATTTGAAAGAATATTGAAGACTCCAACGCTGATTGTATCCCCATGCAGTGCATTTCTACTGGAACATTCCATCCATGACCTATCGCTTGGTGATGAGTATCCTGTGTTGTGCTCCCTACAAAACGCCAATAGCTTCTTTTCCTTGGCAAGCGTGCTAAAAGGAACTATCAACGGATTGTTCGACATCTCAAAAACTTCAAGATTGTACAACGTGCCTATCTCCATCGGTACATTCGAAATCAGGTTGTCACTAAGATCCAACTCCTTCAGGCTCACCATCTTGCCCATTTCTACAGGAATGCATCTGATCTTGTTCTTGCTCAGATTCAACGACTCAAGATTCTTTAGGTTACATATCTCGCTCGGAATCACTTCTATCTCGTTGCCCATCAGATTCAGTGTCCGAATAAACGTGAGATCAAACAGTGCCTTCGATATATTCCTTATTCCCTGAGCACTCAGGTCCAGATGCGTCCATCCATCTCCATTCTCATTTGATTTCTTCGGGCATACTTTCCTCACTTGCATCCCTGATTCCTCATTCATCTCCAAGGGCTTTGCATGATCCTTTCTTCACATCATCCCGGCAATCGCCCCAACAAACACAAAACATTTCAAGCTCCAAATACTTTAATTCTTCGTATGGTGATTGACATCAACAACACATCTCTTCTTAAGCAGCTCGCTCAGCACCACTCCTATGATATCCATCTCCGCCTTGCTAAATGCAGTCCGAGCCTCAAGAAGAATATTTGTAACAGACTCGTTGATGCTATAAACATCGGTACGCACTCCAGTAAGTAAATACGGAAAACATGCATTCGCAATCCAATTACTTTCCCTTTCAGAATATCCCTGCTTAATAGCCTCTCCATTCTCACGCTCCGCCTCAAAGCTTCTAATAAACATAATAAAATAGTCATGGAACTGTTGCTTAATTGCTTTCACCACATTTCCATAGCTCATATGCACTCCCTGCAGGATGACCTTTGGAACCTTCACTACTAACACATTCTCTCCTCCATCACATACCACAGTTTGTATCGATATTCTCTCAAACAGTTCTTGCTTGATCCCTGTATTTCCAATCTGCTTCTTCACTATCTCTGCAACCTTTGCCTCAGTCTCAGTCTGTTTGCTCATCTACAGGGTGAAAAAATTTCAATTTTTCAACATACCTACAATCATTTTCAATTGCTACGGCTCCTCATCTTGTCCAATGCACATATAATATAATACACAACTCTCAGGCACTCGCTTCTTCTTTACTCCTCTTCAACAGTCTCATGATTCACATCCTCTGCATTCTAACCTTATGAAGACTCCAAATACACATACAAAACACAATCTCTTTATTCGTTATTCGAAACAACTACCCTTCGCAACGCCTCCTCAAACTTCTCATAATTGATGTTCTCCGTAATAATCGAACTTCCTCCGCTGGGATTCACATAGTGGTGGATAATCCTTTGTTGAGATTTGTTGTGCTCTGTGATACAAAATTGAGGTGATGGAAGTCGGTACTCGCATAAACTCTTTGCCATCTCCTCACTTCTGTTCAATGCACGCTTAAGTGACTCATAATCAGGCTCCTCATGGTATCCCTCACTCACCCACTCCGCAACATACTCCCCTCTCCATACAACTACGTTATGGAATGTATCCATAACAAGAATCACATCGGGCTCAAGAGACTTGCTATCAACCTCAACTGCTTCTGCACCCCTCTGGTAATGATAGGAAATAAGCGTTGGCTTGATAAGCCTCAATGCATCATTCACTCTCTGGTTGTATAGCAAACTGAAGTAATATGCCGTCTCATCTGCAGAGTTGTTTTCTGTTTGAACTAGTAAGCTCCTTCTGAAAAAAAACATAAAGTTCGGATAGTATGCCATAGCATCCGGAAGCACAAGTGTATTTGGATCTCCCTTGTCATACTTAGCAAACGCTTTCACAAACCTTATAAGGCTCTTGTCAATCATCCGCTCACAGTCCTTTATCTCCTCGTGCTTTTTCATCAGCAAAAGCCTTGCCTGGAAAACAGTTGCTGCCTCCTGGTCAAACCTAGACACCACATCCTCTCGATATTCCATAAACATCCTCGAAAACGTCGTCACACGCACTAATAACTTCTTATCACTTCTCTGATACTGCGTAATCAACTGCACATATCCAAACTCCCCACTCTTTATCTCCGACTTTGTATCTGCTTTCCTGTCTAACAGCACTGATATATTGCTTGTACGGAACATGCTTCCCATTCTCCAACTCCCCCCAACCATCTTTCCCTGGCCAATCACTCCCTTATACTCAAGATTTTTGCTTGTCTTAACCAACATCTTTGCATTAAACCCTTGTTCTAGCCATCCTTCCTCGTCCTTATTCATAATCTTCCTGCATGATGATATATATATTTCTTTGTCAAAGTCCTGCGCCATTATCAACATACCTCCTGTCATTCCAGTCATTCTTTCCATGTAGCATATTCCAATATCATCTATTGTTGCTGCTAAAATGTCAAGGCTGTGTCCAACGTTAATCATCCTTTCCCCAAGCCCTTCATAGAACTTCTTGGCTGAAGACGCATACACTGAGTCACTCTCCACAGACTCATCACCTCTTCCCTTAACCTTGTACCTTATAGATGTAACTGTTCCAGGCCCAAACGTACACGGTCCTTGTGTAAACAGCATGTGCTTCACTCCCATGTTTGGAAAACATCCCTCCATTAACGACACACCCAACGATACCGCAGATCCTGTGCACCTCACCGGCTTGTATGCATTCAGCACCGGAAAAGGATCTCTCTCAAGCCCATTTATCACCTCATACAAAAATTCACTACACTCCGACTTCCTTCTAATAAATTTCCCATCATGCATATTTTCAGGCTTTCCAGACATATTCAATAACTTCGCTACTTCCGCAGTATACTCCTTCTTACCTGAAAACAAATGAACCCTTCTAGGTCGCTCTCCACTGAGCTCAAGCAGTTCTACATTCGTTCCATACTTAATAAACCCAACAAAGCAATCCTCAGGTATTCCTTCCATCACAGTCCTTAGTGCATCAATAAGTAGTGCATGTCTTTCCTCATCAAATGTGCACGTGTCAACAATAAACAAAAACACACCAGGAAACACACCCTCCCTGCCCAGCACATACTCAACCGTCGAGTTGTGTCCAAGTAGCTCAGGTAGCAGATTGTCAGGCGATATACCTCTTGCATGGCTTGGAAACGTCGTATTTCCTTTGCATATCACACAATTCCAACTTTGTCTTGCAAAATCAATATTACAATACGGATTCAAAACACTCCCACAGCTCATACAGTATATGGGCTCACACTCAAGAGCCCCAGCTTCTTGATGGATATTGTACATGCAAACCAGCGGGACCTTGCTCATCATATCTCCTCTCACCGGCCATCCATTCCATGTCAGTCGGATCCCATCACTCTCCTCTATGTTTCTGATCTCCTGCTCCATAAAGGGCTAACAAAAATTTCGATAAACATCCTTCAATCAGATCTCCTTCGCTACCCCGTGGTTCAATACATCACTTACTGCTCTCATAAAACACAGTAGCTCTCCTACCCTTCATAAATAACTATAAAACAATCTCTCATCAGATTAGTATCTTGTACATGTCCTTTCCTTTCTTAATCAGCACGCCATTGTGGTTCAACATCTCTATAAACTCATCAACATTCTTTTCACTATTAGACTCGCCCATCATCTCGTAAAGTAATTCTTTGCTAATCAATCCTTCTCCATTCGTGTGTTTATACTCTCTAAGCATCTCATTGAAACCTTTGCTTTTCTTCCTATCAACTACCATCTTCTTCCTGTAAGACCTTGCTCTTTTGTACAGCTCCACACTAAATAGCGCGTCTGCCTTCGTGGCTATGCTCCGCAGCTCCATCTTCGCCCTCGCTTCTGCAAGCCTTACCAATGCCTCAAGATCTCTTGTACCTGCTCCAAACTCCTTTCTTATCTCTAAATAATACTCCTTCAGAGCATCCTTTGCAGACTTGCTAAGCATCGGAAACACATTCCCTCTGGCATACAGTATGTACTTCCTCAGCACATCACATGAATATGCATCGCCTCCTTTCCTCTTCAAATCCTCAATGAATCCATCGCTTTTGATCAACTTGACTATCTCATCAATCTGCTCCTCAGGCACATTAGCTCCCTGCCTCTTCTTGAGAATCCTTGCTGGTATTCCCTGGCATTCGTCCTCAGCCAGATCGTCCAAAAGAACAAAAACTAGATCAAATCTCGATAACAATCCACTATCAAACCTTACATTCTCCTCCATACCCTTAGTTCGGTCAAAATGCCCATGCCTTGGATTCGTTGCTGCAACAACTGTGCTCCTCGTAGGGATGCTGCATATCACTCCTCCCTTTGCAACACTCACTCTCTGATCTTCCATCGCCTCAAAAAGAACCGCGTGGTCATCTATCTTGTCAAACTCATCAAGGCAACATACTCCATTATCTGTAACAACAAGTGCTCCGGCATCAGCCATGTATTCCCCAGAAATCGGATCATGTGTCAATGAAACAGTCAATCCTGCAGTTGTTGCAAAGCTGCCGCTGACATAGCTGCTTTTCGGAAGAGCTACACATGTGTTCAGAAGCAGCCTACTCTTCCCAAGTCCAGGATCTCCAATTATCAGCACATGTATCTCAGAGCGCACCAAGTGTTGCCTTATGCTTTTCCGTGTCCCTCCAAAAAGCGCAAGCATCAACCCTGCTTTGATCAATTCATTTCCATAGACAGTCGAGTAGAAACACTCAATAAATAGATTCATTATTCCTTCCCCTTTCGCTATTCTTCTAAACTCCATAAAGTCTGCTCCCTGGCATTCCAGATTTTCAACAAATAACCCTTTGTTCTTCACAATCTGAATGTTATTCACCTTTACAACTAGCTTGTATAGATTCTCGCTTTCAAGCTCAACTCCAAGAACACCAACAACTTGTACTATATCCCCAGGTGCCATTGTACCTACAAAATCATCATTGAGTATACATTCCATCATTTTGGGCATTCCGTTGCCAGTCTCTCCTTCTCCGCTATAAAGCTCTTGTATCTTGATGTCTTGTGTGTCCATGCAATACATTCCAGGTGTTGCCTTCAGTGGCACAAAAACCTTCGAATTGCACATCGCCCTACATCCCCTGGGTGGCCTGAAGATGTTGTCTTTCATGCTCACTACAAGCACCTCTCCACACTTTGAACACTCAAAATCCATCTTGGTGCACACAATCCTTCGGAATCCTACTCTACAGACAGTTCCAGATACAAACACAAGCTTTCCGAGGCTCGTTCCATCAACATCCGCAAATCTGCTTTGGCATCTGAATGTTATTATCCTGATGTGTATCTTAATGCATAAATGTCCTGCATCATATAAAATTTCAGAAAGTGCGCATGATATGCATGAAAGCATATTTCCTGCATTTGAATCAAGATGCTCCTTAGGTACAAGTGCTTCTAGAGTCTGTATAGACAATTCGTATATCTTTGATGTAGCAATCTCCTCAATGTCTTGCAGAGAAAGAATATTATTCAACTTATCTTTTATATCTGCCACAATCTGTACAAGCTCGTTGAATGCCGTTAACTCCTCTTCTGGAAAGTACACGGCCCATGTCTGAATGTGCATGGCTTAGGGCCTATGAGATTGGAAATACTGCAAAAGACATTCCATTAGGATTATAAAGAAGTATATGCAAATATAATAATCTGTTTTGATTATGCTGTACGTGCATTCTGTTAAATTTGTCAACATTTATGCACATTTATTCACACATATAAGAAGTTGTCATTATGCATGTGTGAAGATGCGACGTACAAATGCTGATTTTTTCCCCCTATACATGCCACAAAATGACTTTGTAGAAAGATATGTCAAGAAGCATGGCAGAAGACTCGACTATGAGCTCAAGAAGTACAAGAAAGAAAGAAGAGAGGAAAAGAGTGTTCAGAAGAAGGCAAGGATACTGATTGGGTTGAAAGCAAAGATGTTTGCAAAGAAACAGCATGCAGAGAAAATACAGTTGAAGAAGGATTTGAAGATGAAGGCGTCGAAGCAGAAAGACGTAGAGGTCAAAGTAGAACACGATCCACTGCCACACTTCTTATTGGATAGAGAAGTTAATGAAAAAGCGAGGAGCATCAACGACAAGATCAAGCAGCAACGCCAAGAAAAAGGATCGAAGTACTCAGTTCCGATACCGAAAGTTCATGCACTTCCTGAAAAGGAGGTGTTTGGGGTCGTTGCGAGTGGAAAGCGTAATTCGAAGCATTGGAAGAGGATGGTGACAAAGCCATGCTTTGTTGGAGATGGATTTACAAGGAAGCCGCCAAAGTTTGAAAGGTTCATAAGGCCAATGGCAATGAGGTTCAAAACAGCACATGTGAACTACCAGGAGCTGAACTCCACATTCAATCTGAAGATACTTGGAGTAAAGAGTAATCCACACTCTGAAATCTATACAGGGCTTGGTATACTGACAAAGGGTACAATTGTGGAGGTTGATGTAAGTCCTCTTGGCTTAGTCAATGGAGCTGGAAAAATCATTTGGGGAAAGTATGCGCAAATAACGAACAAACCAGAGAACGATGGGTGCGTGAATGCGGTCCTTCTTTCGTAGACTCTTGCTGCATAGCACAATGATTTGCCTTACAAATGAATAATAAGGTTGATAGTCCATAGATAATGCAAATGAACAGTAAATGGATATAACCTGTGGATCATTCAAATGAACAGTAAGGTGGATCATGCAAATAATAGTAAGTGGATAACACGTAAATAATGCTGCAAAGCATAATTATGCATGACATCCAAAAACGAATAAAATCTTCAAACACATATTTTGAATTGCTTTATTAGAAGATGTGATTTAAACATCTTCAGAGTTCAATCATCTGTATCAGTCACACCTTCAGGAGCAATTGTAAACGTGGCCTCGTTTTCTGGGCAACACGGCGAGTTGTATATCTTGCATATCCTTGTTTCTCCTCGACCTTTACGCAGGTAAAGTCTAGTCGTGCTTGCGTGTGCCATTATATTTCCTCCAATCGGCTTCTTCATGTCTCCTGCAAACATTGCTGCGGCTCCATCAACATTCGATACAACTTGGTTTGTAATCACAACAGCCACACGGAACGTCTCTGCAAGATTCACAAGACTTCGAAGATACTTTGCAAGATGCAGCTGTCTTGCTCCAAGCTCTCCTCGTCCACTGAAGTCCGTCCTGTACAACGCTGTTGCAGAATCAACTATCAGAACTGCATATTTCGACTCAGACATCATTGCAGACGCCTTGATTAGAAGCTGCGACTGATGATCAGAATTATATGCACGTGCATACGATATGTTGTCCAGTACTTCATTCGGATCTAAGCCAAATCGCTCTGCAATTGGAAACAACCTTTCAGATCGGAACGTCCCCTCCGTATCTATGTACATCGCCTTTCCACCTGCTCCTCCCTGTTCTACTGGCAACTGGCAGGTAACTGCAAGTGTGTGGCATATCTGTGTCTTTCCTGTTCTAAATTCCCCAAATATCTCAGTTATGCTTCCAGACTCAAATCCTCCATTCATCAGCTTATCAACCTCAGAAGACCCAGTAGTTAGATACACAAGCTCGGATCTCCTCTGATGGTATTCTGAAGCAGTGGTAAACCCCATAGGAACCAGCTTTGCTGCCTCCTTGATCAGTTTATCTACCTTCACATCTGAAAATCCTTTGATCGACAGCAACTGCTTCTTCGGTGCAAATGCCAACGACTCAACCGTAGTAAATCCGGCCTCAACCAGCTTTGCAATGTCTCCCGCAAGAATCCCTCCGTTCTTCAGCTCAGAGATCGAAATACTTTCCGACTGATACTCTGTATCTTGAAAAAGCTCACTCATGGGCGTTTTTTTGATTCTGCATTAATGCACATATTCAATATACATGAGATTGCAATGCATTTGTCATTAGTCACTAATTAGCATCACAATAAAATCATTCACATACAATATCACAATTCACAAATGCTCACATATACAACACAAATGCAATAATAACTAAAAACACAATGCCACTCGCCCCATGAAAGAAGACGAATTCAACGAGCTCAAGCACAATCTTGAAAATTACATCCCGCTGCTCCCAGAATCAGTTATAGACCATTACATGGAGAAAGCAGGCGTGGTCACATCTGATCCAAACATGAAGAAGCTTGTTTCGCTTCTGGCACATAAGTTCATCACCGATGTTGCCATATCATCCAGACAGTACCACAAAATCAATCAAAAAGCTGCACAGAAGGACAAAAGATTCGCAAACGAAAAAAAAACAACATTCCAACTCGCTGATCTTGAAAGCGCTCTAGAAGAAGTTGGAATAAACATATCTAGGCCACACTATTACATCTAGCTCAACAGAGCTACACTTCAAACCATTCAATTATAATAAAACAAAACTTGCATAAACTCATTTATCAATCCTTTTATTATATCTGTGCAAACATCCTGCCATCAAGACATATAAATAAAGCAACGCATAATCCTGACGCATTCATTAATTAACAACTACGGTTACGGATCTTATGAATACTCTTCTTGGTGGGCTGATTCTCCTTATGGTCCTTCTTTGGCTCCTCAAACCTCGGCTCCAGGAAGTAGTAGTCCCTTATTGACTTGTTCACATCAATCTTGCTTCCGTCAGATCCTTTCTTGTTTGGATCGGCATCTTCAAACTCCTTCCTAAGATCATCCCACTTGACTTCGTTAATCTTTCCATCGTTAGAAAACGACACCTTCTTCAGAATATCAACTATCTTAGACTGCGGCATTCCATTTGTAAGCTTAACAAGATCAGTGTATCTATCAGTTATACCCTGTGTGTTGTCACATAGATACTGCTCCAGAATCTCAAGTCTCTCGTCATCGTTAGGTGGTGAAAACTCATATATCGTTGAGAATCTCCTTTTGAATGCAGGATCAAGCTTGTCAAAGTGATTTGTCGCTCCAAACAAAAACACATTTCCTCGTAGGTCGTCGCAAGCTCCTCCAATCTGATTCAAAAACTCAGTCTGCGCTTTGATAGAGTATTCCTGCGAATTATCGTTCCTCTTCGAAAAGAACGCGTCTATCTCATCTATAAATACTATGTTTACCCAGTAGTTTGCATTCTTGGCTGCATTGAACATCACGCGAATGTTCTTCTCAGTCTCTCCAACATATTTGTCGTTCAAAATCGACGGCGTCACAAACACTATCCTCACAAGAGATTTCATTTCCTTCGCCTTTATCATCTTCTCGTTGAACTCCATCTGCTTGAAGCGCTCACTCCCAATCTGGTCCTTCATCTGCAGCATCTTCATGTTCAGATCAACCAGATACACAAGCTTCTTCATAAAGTGAGTCTTTCCAGTCCCCGGTGGTCCATGGAACAAAAAGTTCCTCTGTGTAGTCTCAATACTTCTTTCAAGATCCTTCAGATTCAGTGTTCGCATCATATTCACCATTCGTGTCATGTGCGAAACCACCTTCACCATCATGTCAGTCTTTCCAAAATAAGTCACTTCGTTAAACATACTTCCTTCCTTAAATGACAGTATCTTTGCACGCTCTTTGTCAGAGCTCGACATATTCCCATTTGATTCTCCTGCACTCTCTTCTCCTTGCATGCTTATCATCTTGTATATCAAATACGATACAATCACTATCCCAATCAGAAAATATACCAGCGACTTCATTCCTGTTCCATCGCTCTTTCTTCTAGCTCTACTGCTTACTGCTGCACTGTTTGTGCTCTTCGGTCCACTCTTGCTCTTCTCACTCTTCTTTCCATTCTTTACTCCAAAGTGTCGCATCATTCGCTGATACATCGCTGCTGCCATTATCTCAAACGACACATCCTTCGATCCGCCTATCCTCGATCCACTATTACTAAATCCAGATGTTGCATCAGCCATCTCCATCTTCTCTTCTTCCGTGTACTCCTCAATCTCCAGTTCGTCTTCTTTTCTCTGTTTGCTTCGTTCCATTTCTGCTTCTTGGCTTCCGTTCATCCTCAGATAGGGGTTCGTTTCCACCTTTACTATATGCTATCCCTCTTTCCTAATCCGCACCAATCGCTTCATTCCACATATCACCTCTCATCTCCCTTTCTCCTCCTTTCTCCATACCAATCCTATCATATCCCTCTTCCATTCTCAATAGCATGCACATTACTCTACTATTCATACATTAAGCATACATTTTTCAAGTTATCAGCTATACATTCATTAATAAACTCAATCTTATTACATATTCACTTCTTCGTAAATATATGGTTCGCTCCTTTCACAAGATCTTCTTCACTCACCTCCACACAGTGCTTCACATACTCCCTCCCAGTCTTAAACACACAGTGGTACAGTATATATTTAGCCCTTCTGTTAAACATATTGCTGGTGCTGTGCACATAACACTGAACTCCATGAAACACCGACACATACCTGTTGTCAACCATCTTCGCAATATTCATAAAATACCCTGCACAGAAAGACTGAACTACCTTACTCTCGTCAGACATGCTCTTCACATTGAGCATTGCCACTAACTGCTTCTTTATTTTCTGCGCTTGTTGCATTGCTCGTATATTCAAATACCGCTTCCGCAGATACGAAGCTGCAAAATTCGCTTCTTTACTTGATCTGTACACGCGCAGAAGCGAAAAATAGTCTCCTCGCACATCAAAATACTTCGTTCGTGCTTCCATATACTTAGGATACTCAACACTGCTCTTTGCAACATCCTTCCACACATTCTCAACACTCAGCATCGCTGCAATAGTACTTACATCCTCAAGACATCCAAGCTCACACGATGCAAGCAGTGATACCGCAAGCTCAGGCTCCACAGGAATCCTTGCTGCCTTCCTTCCAAGTGCTGTTATCCTTCCATTCTCCTCTATCGTCCTTAAAAAATACAAAAGCTCAAGCGCCTTCTTCACATTCGATACATCAGGCTTGTCGAGCATCTCAAAACTTGTAATATCCGCAATACCTATCGACTTCAGCAACAGTATTATATTTGCAAGATTGCTGCTAAGAATCTCAGGAATCGCATCCGTGTTCATCCGTTTGTAATCGTCCCTAGTGTATATCCTGAAAACTTTTCCTGGCCCTGTGCGTCCTGATCTTCCTGCCCTCTGCTTCGCTTGAGACTTGGATATCCATCCAATTTCCAATATGCTCATTCCAAGCAATGCAGAGTATCTCATCTGCTTGCTCCGTCCACAATCAACAATATATTTCATCCCTTCTATTGTTATCGATGTCTCTGCTATATTCGTTGCAAGAACAATCTTCCGCTTCTTCAACACCTTGAAAACACGCTCTTGCTTCTCAGGCGCAAGCGTACTGTATATACTACATATCTCAACTTCATTTGCAGGCAGAATGTTCAGTAATACCTCCTCGGCATTGTTGATCTCGTCCTTCCCCGTCAGAAACATGAGTATGTCTCCTGGTCCTTCATTCTTGTGGATCTGAATCACCGTCTTCAGTCCCTCGCTCAAGTAATCGTCTCCACATCCTTTCTTCATGAAAAAAATTTCAAGTGGAAACATCTTGTGTCTTATCTCAATCCTTTGACATCCAAAAAATGAAACAAACTTTTCACTACTCAGAGTCGCACTCATCACAATCACCCGGAAGTCCTTCCTTTTCTTCAGTATCATCTTCAAGTATCCAAGCAGCACATCAATATTCATACTCCGCTCATGTGCTTCATCGATTATCACCATATCATATCCGCTCAGATTCTTGTTGTCGTTGATCTCTCTCAACAGAATCCCGTCTGTTACATACTTCAGCCTTGTCTTCTTGCTACTCATGTCATCAAACCTCACTGAGTATCCAACCTCATTTCCAACACTCACTTTCATATCATTAGCCACTTTCTTAGCAACACTTATTGCTGCTATCTTTCTTGGCTGTGAACATACTATCTTCTTATACTGCTGCAAAAGATATCTGGGGATCTTCGTTGTTTTCCCACATCCTGTGTTTCCCTGCACAAGTATCACTTGATTCGTTTTCAGCTTCTCAAATATTTCCTGCATCTTATCCTCCACACTCTCTTCTACATCAAGTACACTGCCTCCATCTGCTTCTCCAAGCAAGTCCAATATCTCTCCCTTTCCAATCACTTCATCCCAATCAGTTTGTGCTTTCTCTGGAAATATCCCTTTCGGCACACTAAGATTCACCTCTATCCCAGTGTCTGTATATTCTCCCTTCTCCTGCTCTTTAATTAAGCGCATACTCATCAAAGGGTGTCTGCATCATCTCAGTTCTCTACACAATTAGTACTTCACTCCATAAAGTTATTCCATATTTTATATAAGCAACTTTATACTTTATGCGCATTAATATCAATAAATACCTATCTAAATCATAACTTCATGCGCATCCACTTAATGTATTGATAATTTTATGCACCTGAACACTTGATACATTCATCCACATTCCATCAAATAAACATTTCATATCTTCACAATTTCATCCATATTTCATATCTTCATAACCTAATATCTTCGTATCTTCATCCACACTCCATATACTCATGTACATCTGTCCCACATTCCATGACATAAACATCACTCATTAACACCCCTGGACACTCAGGTCGATAAGCACGAGTCTTTTGCCTTTTACTAAAGACTCCCATGATCTGAGAAACGTCCCACACAAATCTTTGGACTGCCGATCACTCGGCTTAATTTAAACATCTCCACCATTCAAACAATCACAACACAGCATTTATTCACACTTCCTTCGCAAGCCTTTTCTTCTGTCTTTCCACATAATTCTGATAGTTCAGTATTATCCTGTTGACTATATGCTCTGCAGACAAGTAGTTAAACTTGTTCTCTGCATAGCTGTGCTGTACAATCTCCCTGATCGCATCATACCTTGAAAGATCCTTAGAGTCAAACGAAGGCGCAACCACATCAATCCCATGAGTGGCAACAAAGTCTCGGTCAATGCAATATGGAGAAATAACAATCTCATCAACATACTTACAAGACATCAGCGTAAGCATCCTCTCCTTCAGGTTCATAACAGGATTGCTCTTCGTATACTCCTTTGTTGTCTCATTGTCGTGAAGTCCCACCACCAAGTAATCTCCCATCATCCTTGCTATCCTCAATGACACAACATGTCCTGCATGGAACAAATCAAAATTACCATCAATAAAAACAACCTTCCCTTTCCTTTCCCTCTTCATGTCTGCTTCAAGCAATCCCAATAACTCATCATGATAGTCTGTGTGTTCCTGCCCACTTTTATTCAATGTAAGTTGCCCTCCTCCCATATTGAGCAGCATTCTTCCAACCAACTCTGTAGTAGATATCCCTATAGTTCTCTCCACCTCCCTAAACATTCCTATGTCTCTAACCTGATGATACGAGTCTTGGTTATTGGAGTCAAGAACTATGTCATTCCCATGGCAAACTATATCAACTCCGTACTTCTTCATCATGCTCAGCTGTGTAACAAAAGGCACATCCTTTGCCACCTCATCGACATACCTGCATCCCTCAAGCATCTCATACCTTTCATCATTGTTCATCACAGGAAGCCCTTTCTCCTTGCAGATGCTCTCTGACGAATGTACACCTGCTATCAGGTATTCTCCAAGCTTCCTTGACTGATACAGCGCATTCACATGTCCATAGTGGAACACATCAAAACATCCATCGGTCCACACTACCTTCCTTGCTCGAGATGACATACAACAGGGGCTGCAAAGCAATAAAATCAAACAACAAATTACAATTAAAATGATGAGCATCTAAGAGTAAGCCTCATTCCGTTCAGTAGACCCATACCTAACAGCATTAATCTATTCAAATGATAAACACACCAATTAAGGCTGCCTTTCAGCTGCTTCCGAGGACTTTCCATGGAGTGTCTCCACTCCAACGCTGTTCTTCAGATGCTCATGGGCTTGGCATCTTTTGCATTTATATTGTTGCATTTACTCCGCTTTGGCTCAATATGCATAATTACTGCAGTTGAAATAATACCGTAGAAACTGCATGATCTCTGTTCATGTAATGCGCATAAACATTTTCACAAACCCCATATAATGAAAAAATTGATAACAAGCGCACTGCCATATGTCAATAACCAGCCTCATCTTGGAAACATTGTTGGCAGCGTCCTGAGCGGTGATGTATACAACAGGTACTGTAGGATGAAGGGTGAGGAGTCTATGTACATCTGCGGAACAGATGAATATGGAACAGCAATTGAAATGGAAGCAATAGCACAAGGCACAACGCCGCAAGAGATATGCAAGAAAAATAGAGAGATCCACAAAAGTGTCTATGAATGGTTTGGAATCAGGTTTGATCAATTTGGACATACATCGTCACCAAGTCACACAGAACTGGTACAACAGCTGTTTATGAAGATGTATAACAATGGATATTTCAAGGAAGAGGAGATCGAGCAGTTTTACTGTGAGCATTGCAAATTATTCCTTGCAGACAGATATGTCATTGGAGAGTGCAAATTCTGTGGAGATTCTCAGGCACGGGGTGACCAATGCGATGCATGTGGACACTCGTACAAGTCAACAGATTTGCTCATTCCGCAGTGCTCGATTTGTAACAGTAATCCTGTCATCAGGAAAACCAATCACCTGTTTTTTGATCTTGCAAGGTTCAAGCCTCGACTTGAAGAGTTGTACAAGGCAAAAGGACAGCAGTGGAGCCAGAATGCACAGAATATATTCAATCAATGGATGGCAATAGATCTATACCCAAGATGCATGACAAGGGACCTGAAGTTCAAATGGGGTGTTCCAGTACCATTGGAAGCATTCAAAGAAAAAGTTTTCTATGTATGGTTTGATGCGCCAATAGGATATCTTACTTTCCTGAAGGATCTTGTTGGTGATTGCTTTGAGGATTGGTGCAGGGAAGCTGAGCTTGTGCAGTTTATGGGAAAGGATAATGTGTGTTTTCACACAGTGATCTTTCCGGCAATGCTAATTGCAACTGGAGACAAACTTCCGCTGGTCAGCAGGCTCTCTGCAACTGAGTATCTACAGTTTGAAAACAAAAAGTTTTCGAAGAGCCGGAGACACGGGATTTTCGGACTTGATCTGGTGGATGGCAAGCTTGGAAAGGTATGCCTCTGGAGATACTATCTAATGAAGATACGCCCTGAGGGGACAAAGGATGCAAATTTTTCATTCTATGATTTCCAGAAGTCTGTATCTGGAGACCTGATTAACAATTTGGGTAATTTTGTTAACAGGGTGTTGAAGTACATCAAGCAGAAGTGCGCAGGACAAGTACGAATTGAAACACTTGATGAAAGGGATACGAAGTGTGTGACTGTGGTTAACGAGCTCTTTGAAAGATACAGGGAAAGGATGGATGAGATAAAGCTGAGGGATGGCTTGCAAATGGTGTTTGAAGTCTCAAGGATTGGTAATGAGTACGTGCAAGAAGGGGTTGGTGATGCTTCGAGAAGGAGTCATTGTTTTTGCTTTGGATTCAGTCTTGTGGTGCATCTGGCCAAGATGATGCATCCATTTATTCCTGAAAGTTCAATGAGGATGCTGAAGATGTGTGAGATTGAGTATGTTGAACCTAAACTGGACATGGAGATGAAAGTGTTTTATGAACACTCGATATGCGATGATATTGAGCCATTGTTTGAGAACTTTAGTCCTGAGCAGATTGAGGAGATGACGAAGTATGGGTGAGCATTAGGAAATTGAGTATTAAATGATTTGTGAAATATGTGTTATGAGAAGTGTATTTGAAACTGATGATTGGATGTCCTTGGAATGCCGAGTGAAATGCTGGATCATGGCGATGGCAATGATGAGCATACAGATAAACGCAATAAGATGAAAATAGAGATGGCAGAGTGGGAAGAAAAGGATGATTTAAGCACAAGAAGAGTAAGTAAGTGGGAAATTACGCCTAGGACGGCAACACAGTCAAAGAGGTTGAAATGGGATCAGACACCGTTGGGATACATCAAGATGGAGGAGGATGTGTGGAGTGGCGAAGTAAGCAGAATGAGTGCAAGATGGGATACAGATAATGCAAGAGCAGTGAGTGCAGTGTACTCTGAAATGTCTACTAGAGAAATCAATATGTGTCTTCCAAGCAAGGGATATAAGAGATATGATGTGGCTGATGCTGGTAGAGATGTTTATGATGGCATTGAGATGGCTGGGCTACCTGAAATACCTGTGGAGGAGAAGGACTTTTTTATGCCGATTTTTAGCCTAGGGAGTGAAAGTGAAGTTAATGTGTACAAAGGAATACTGCTTATGAAGAATGGAAATAAAGCCATGTGTGCACGTGGACTGGCGATTCTTAAGAATGTAGATACTGAGATAGCGCTGGAAGCTGTGATCCTAATGGGGATGTCATTGGAACTTGATGATGGAGATAAGATGAAGCTGGTTGAGATGCTAAAGGCATTACTTGAAGGTTTAGACATGTATAAAGTAAAGTGTTTGCGAGAGATTCTGTTTGTGTTGGGATCGTATTGCTGGATCAACCTACCAAGAAAGTTGCTGATGTCCACTCTAATGATGATTTATGCAAATGGAATTGAATTTGTAATAAGTAGAATTGAATCTGACTTTTCAAGCAAGGATTTTCATATCAGAGAAGTAGTTGGCAAGGTAATAGGTACATTTGCACGATGTTTTGAAATGAATGAAGTACTTGAGCTTCTGAACAATATGGGATCTAGTCAGAATGTGTATGTCAGGAAGTGCTGTGTTAGAGCAGTATTGGGTATTTGTGATATGCTTGGAAATGAAGTTTCTTTATATTTAGGGATATTGTTGGATGTTCTTTGCATGCTGATTCAGGATGGAAACAGGTTTGTGAAGATGGATGCAGCAAATGCAATGTCTTATGTGTTTAGTGTATTAGGTCTGCAGATATCTAGTTCGGATAGAATATTCCACTTGCTCAGAGATGAATTCGTTAATTCAAGGAACATTGAATCTGAGGCGCTGCTGAAGGCAATGTCCCATTTGTGCCATAACAATGTGGAGCGTTCCAGAGTTGTGTTTGATTTTTTGAGAGCATCTGGAGCAATTGACACAGGATGTGCCAGGATATTTGATAAGGTGTGCCTTATGATTGATAAGGAGGATGCATTTGAGTATTTTTGCAAATTGTTGTCTGTTATGTTTGACAGGGGCACAAAGGAGTATGAAAATGCAATAAGTGCGATGTGTGTGAAGATGTGTGTGGATTCTAGAGTCACAAAGATGATTCTTGCATACTACAGCGATCCCTGGAATGTAAGATTGGTATCCAAGATTTTCAGTAATGTAGAAAACCTGGAGTTTGATGTAGATGATGCAGACAAATACTACAGGTGTATTTGCAGTGCAATCAGACAGGATACTGTTAGTGTGAAGCATGCGCATTTACTGACATGTAAGCGCTTTATTGAGAAAAGACACACTGAAATGCTTGTTTCTGAATTTATTGCAATGTTGAAGGATCCTGTAATAGATACAAGAATCAGAGGACTTTGTGTATTGAGAAAAATTGCAGGGATATTGAGTAAAGCTGAGCTTGTGTTGTGTGGAAATCTACTGATGGAGAATATTACGGATGAAAATCAGGATGTATTATCGAATGTGCTGAGAACCATTTGTGTTGTATATAATTGCCACAGGTTCAGGCATGCTTCTGATGTGATATTGGGGATTTTACCTGTTATCAGGACTAAGGAGCAGGGAGTGACAGAATCTGCTGTTGAGCTCCTCTATGCCATTTGTGTAAATGCACCTGATGAATGTGCAATGGTTTCTAGCAAAGAATGGCTGAGGATTTCATATGAGCTGATTGATGTGTTGTCCTCGTGGAGCAGAAGAATGAGAAGAAATGTTATTGGCTGCCTTGGATGCATATCAAGAATTGTAGGTCCGCAGGATATCCTTAACATATTGATGGATGGACTTGAGTCTGAAAATAGATGCCAAAGAATCGGTGCGTCTATTGCGATTGCAATTGTAGGAGAATATAATGGATTTCATTCTGTCTTACCTACTCTACTGGCTGATTACAGAATACCAAGTGTATTTGTCCAGCAAGGGATAATTAAGGCTATGGAATGTTTTATGCAAAGAGTGCCTGATGTGCCATGGGAATATATTTATTCGATGGTTGCAGTGATTGAAGACGCATTGATGGATAAGGATCCAGCATACAGAAGTGCGGGAATTATACTTGTGAAACATGTTGTGTTGAATCACAGGAAAGTTAACACTGATGTGGTTTTTGTTACGCATTTGTTGAATATGGTATGGATAAATATTCTTGACAGCACACCGATAGTCAAGGCATCGTTTGATGAATGCATGGAGGCATTTTCTGTTGTGCTTACATCACGGCTTCTATACACGTATGTTTTAGGAGGTCTTTTACATCCTTCAGGCATAGTCCGGCAGAGATATTATGAAGTGCTTGCAATATTAGAGCACTTCGATAGCACAAGCCTTTCGCAATCGTACCTTCTAGAAAATGACTTTTTTATGCGCATGTAGTATAGCATTGTAGTAAGAAACATATAAATTTAATTCAGTGGATAAAGTGCATATACATATACAGCTCATGAATATAAACAAACCGTACTTGCAAATATACACGTGTGTGAATAGAAATAATTGTATTTACAAAAATAAAGAGTTCTTGTATATTGGTTTATATAAGTGAAGCTTATTCTGGCACATAATGGAACGGTTTAATTGCCTCTCCATTGGTGTTTGTAGATCTGGATTTTACCAGCTTTCTGAATACTCTCAGTGTATTCTTTTCTTTTGACACACACATGTCGATCTTCTGCTCATAATCCTTTTCTGTGTATCCAAATGGAAGTTGTGCCATGAACTTTTTGTCAATGCATTGTGATTTTTCATTGATTATCACATGCGACTTGTTGAAGTCCTTCCTATTGCAATATTTCACTCCCTCAATCACATTCCTTACTGTGTTGTATTCAGTCTTGACAACTTCAATCCCAGGTCCGGCCCAGTCTCCCCATCCTGGAAGGACTGTTTCTTCTATTCTTGGCGCCTCTTCATTTACAATCTGTTGTTTTTCATTCACAAATTCATTTTCATTCCCATCCTCACTTTCTTTGAATGCAAGCCTTACGAGTTCCTCCTGCTTGCACATGTTGTCTGTGGATTCATGCTCTCCACCGAAGCTAAATATCGGTGTATCGTTCCTTTCTGTCTCATTATTCTCCTTTTCAACATCTATTTCTTTCAATAACGCATCAGGAACCCGAGAAGATCTTTTTTGTACATCATGAGACTTTTCATGTGCATCACTTTCTTGGCATTTATTCTGAGTATCAATCGATTCATGCAATTCATTTGCAAGCTTCTTCATTCTTCTGATCTTCCTGTATGCCTTGCTCTTGATCCGCTTGATTCGCTTCATTTTCCTGTCAAATTCATCTTTGAAGTTTTTTTCATACTTTAACTTTTCAATATCGATCATCTTTTCGTTGTCAAGTACTCTTGACATCATCTTCTCAAGCGCAGTCTTTGGAATTATTTCATAGAAGTTCTCGCCAATGCTGCTCTTTGGCTTTCTTTTTGCTTGCTCCATCGCCATGAACATTTCTTCTCTTACAACAGCATATATGCCGTCCGTGATACTTGCATCATGTGATTCACCAGTAATCTGCCCTTTATCGAGTTGCAAGAGATCTGCAATTGATATTTTGTTGTCTGTCATGGGCTTTTCAATAGCTCAAAATGATGTGTTTTCTGTGGATGTAGGTGCATGACTATAATATATGCTATGCATATATGCAATACTTATTAATGCTGTTCTACAGAAATCCTGATCTACAGAAATCCCAATGCGATCAAGTATGACGTATTATGATATTGATGACATCATGCTTAATGAACAAAAGATTCCTATTACATTCAATCACACTGTATTAAACTTTGGGTTACTGGGATCAAGAGCGTGCAAGACTATTTCAGCAGGCAAGAAGGTCGATGCACCTTATTTCCTTGTTGGCTTTTTACTCAGAAATGGACATTGCAATCTTTCGAGTGAATTCAACAACGAGAAGGTGATGGAAGACATCCGCGCAAAACCCTCTGCAGTTGATCTAAGATCTGTGTGTCCATATTTTTTCTATCTGCATTCAATACTTGCAGACAGCAATGCTCTACTTGCTGAGTTCTTCTATGAACGAATAGGCGATTACTCGCCACTCATTCTCAAAGATACTTTCTCTGAAGACGATGTGTGGAAGCTTGAGATGACAGAAAGACAACTGATAATCCGAGCCAGAAGAATATTTCAGAGATTTAAGATATTCTTTATGTAAGAGTCTACTTCTGAGATGCCAATAAAATATTTTCAAAATGTTTGGCCATGCTGAAGTATGAATGCAGGCTCCATTCAAGAATTTATCCTAGAGAGGGGGAGCTTGTGATAGCAAGAGTTTCGTCAATAGATACTGATGGGCTGACTTTGGATCTGTTGGAGTATGGAGATGTACAAGGGCTTGTGCTATTGGGCGAGCTGTCTAAGAAGAGGGTAAGAACAATCCAGCAGGTAACAAAGGTTGGATGTATTGAGATATGCCTTGTGATAAAGGTAGATGAGGAGAAAGGGCATGTGGACTTGAGCATGTCAAAGGTTACAGACAGTGAGAAAGCATCATGTAAGGAAGCAAGTGCAAGAAACAAGCTCGCGTATTACATTATGGCGAAGGCATCAAGAAAGCTGGAAATACCTGTTTCTGAGCTTTATGAGAACATGGGATATGAGAAGGAGGTCGAGTACGGATCGCTGTATTGCTTTTTTGCAAAGGCTAAGGATAACGAAGGGATTCTTGCAGATGATGAGATTGGGATGACAATCAAGGAGCTGATAAAGGAGCAGTTCCAAGCATCCACATACAAAGTGCGTGCAGATGTTGATGTGCTGTGTGCAGCGAAAGGAGGTGTTGAGGCAATAAAGAATGCATTTGAGGATGCAATTTTAATTGATCCAAAACTGGAGTTTAACCTTATAAAGACGCCTACGTACTCTATCACACGTGTGTCCAGTAGTAAGGATAAGGCATATGAGTCTGTGAGCAAGGCTTGCGAAGCTCTAATGCACAGGATTGCTAAAGAAGGAGGCACGGCAACAGTGGTGAGTCAAGCAAGACTGTATGGAGAGAAGACAAGGCACAGCCTGCTGAATTTTGAAGATGAAGAGAAGAAACTGCCTGAAGATGAATCAAGCAGCAACGAAGAAGATTCAGAACAATAAATAACTGTTTATCTCAACTAAATGCACAGTTTACTTTTGAATTTATGCCTGATCATCATGCAATGTAGCATGTATGAGTTGGATAGCCCCTGATGGATAACAAGATGATAATGCATGGCATTGTGGAATTTCTTGAGGATATCTGTGAATACAAGGGAATCATGTTTGATTATGGAGCAGATGTAGCAACTGGAAAGCAGGATTTTAACCAGGGCATGCTTCAGAGTAAGATCAGAATTAGTTATTTATTGAGTTTATCCGAAAAAGCATCAAAATCAAAGCATGATTGGTAATGCCATGCATGAACTTGCCACTTTTTATTATATCTCTACTGTTGGTCAAGAGCAGCTATTATAGCCTGAACCTTGTGCCTCTCCTGCATTCCAAAGAACACACAAGTGAATCTGTTTGGAATGCATGTCTTATCATTGACAAACACATACCTGATTCCTCTCTCCTCGCAAAGCGAAGGAAGATGTGTGATTAGGTCCATGGGTGTTGTATCGGCAGTCAGCACTAACAGACCTTCTGATTCATGCTCTATGTGCTTTAGACACTTCTTTATTCCAGTCACCAGTATGGCCTTGTTTGCATATTCACTGACCAAAGCGGCTATCATTTGCTCTGTTGCGCCCTTAGCAAGAGGATGTGCAATTGGAATCATTCTGGGCAAATTTTGAATGTAGTTAAATCGATAATGCCTGTATGGCAATAAATGTGTTTTGAACATCCCTCTGATTAGAATGTCTATCAGCAACTTCATGACCACGAAGGAGAAGGACTATGTTGCAGAATGTCTACGGAAAAACACTCGGCACTTCCGTGCAAACATAGACTGCTCTGCTCTATTTGATCCGAATGCAGGAAAGATTGAGGTTAAGGAGGAAGAAGGAGAGCCCAGGAAGAGTGTATGTTTGGTCTTTGGAAAGAAGGGGAAGAAGTCGTCAAAGGCATCCAGGATTTCGTTTGGAATTGAGCCCGAGTGTGCCAGAATAGAGCTCCGCAATACACTTATGCTTGAAGAAATAATTGACCTTTACACGATTAACAAGCACTGCAAGATAAGTGAAACTGATTTTGAAGAGAATAGAAGACTAATTGAATCAAGAATGCAATCTAATTTTGATGCGCTTGTTACGAACAGAAAGTTTTTCTGGTTTCTTAAGGATTATCTTATGAATGCAAATAATAGCCAAAAGCATGAGGTTCTGAACCATTTACAGAGAACGTTTCAGCATGTGAAGGATGTGCCTGCCTTCTATGAACTTATTGGGACATTAGTTGATGACATCCCAAGGATACCTTATGAAGACCTTGATCCTGGATTTGTCTCTACATTTATATTCTTTCCATGCGGAGTCATTCTAGCAACTCTACTTCTTCTACAGAACAATGAGCTTTGCAGCGTTATGTATGAGTCTACAGTCAGTAAGTCGATTGAATTGTACCCGAGTGACAGATACAGTTGGCAGTTTTTTTCGGTTCTAATTTCATTGGTTGATGCAGACAAGCAGAGTGAGATTGTAAAGCTGTTGAAGCCATGTATTATTGAAGCAGTTAATAGATACAATGAAACAGAGGAGTGTTATGTAAAGTTATTCTTGGATGCAATAGGAATCGGAATAGAGGAGATACAAGAGATACCAATGTGATATGTATCTGATTTAAATAAACCCTGTGATATAACAATTCTTATGTGATTATGATACATTATTTATTTTCTCTATTCTGGCATCTTCTTTTGTATTGAGTATCCTGCTCTTTTTCATGGCTAAAGCGGACTTCCGAACTATCTGAGCTGAAGTATTTGTTTCCAAGGGCCTCATCTGCCGTTATTCGTTTACATGGATCAATACATAGCATTCTGCTGACTATGTCTACTGCTGATACATCGTATTTTTCAATTATGCTTTCTATTCGTCGTGGTGACTGTGGTAACCTGAAACTATTGATTCCAGCAATATCCTTGATTCCAGGAAATGTTTTTTCATTTATTGATCCACATGCATGAATAATCATCTCAAGCTGAGCAATTTCTGTGCTTCCCTGAAAAAGCATACTTCCTAGGTACATTTCAACCAGAACGCATCCCATAGACCACACATCTACAGCATATGTGTAAGTTGGCCGTCCCAGCAGAATTTCAGGAGCCCTATACCAGAGAGTCACCATCCCTGGTGTGTAAATTCCTGCCTTTGTTGTACGCCTTGCCATTCCAAAGTCTGCTATGCTTACATTCAAGTTCTGGTCTATTAAGATGTTTGCGCTTTTTAGGTCTCTGTGCATTATTCCTTTGCTATGCATGTAGCATATTCCTTTTGTTATCTGTAAGAACACATGCTTAATATTGGCTGTGCTCATTTTTTTGTTCCTAATGAACTTGTTGAGATCATGCTGCACATATGGAAATACCATGTATATTTTCCCTGAGTCAACCACTACTTCAATTAGCCTGATGATGTTTGGATGATGCATTTCCCTCAATGTCTGTATTTCGCGTATTGTTGTTATTGGTATGCCATCCTCTGTTCTGTTGACTTTCTTCAGTGCGTACTTTGCTCTATTTCGTTTTGCAAGGATTACCTGTCCAAATGTGCCCTCGCCTATTGTTCTGATCATTTCATACTCCATGGATGTTTGTGTGAATCTTTGGAAGACAGGTATTTCGCCTTCTTCCGGCTCAAGCATGGCGGGGAGCGCTCAATAAGTTTTATTGCATGCAGCGCCCTCGTGATGAATGATAGAGAGAGCCAGGTGCTAAGGTCTGCGATTGAGAGCATGGACAGCTTACTTGATGAAATTGAGTATGTGGCAAACTTTACGTGCGTATATCATTATGGCGGGGATAAGTGGCTTAAGATGAATGTTGAGGGGACATTTGTGATGTATAGAAGAAAGAATATGCCATTGATTGTTATAAGAGTGCTAAACAGAAAAAGCTTGGATGACTTTGTGTTTGAGTTGAGTGAAGAAACCAAGCTGGGGATGGGGGAAAGTTTGATGACGCTGAGTAATGGAGAAGGAGGGATATATGGGCTTTGGTTTAAGAGCAGTGAGTATCCGAAGGAAATCATGAATCACTTGAAGAAAGAGCAATTTATAGTCGAGCATAATCCAGTAGATAAGAGTGATTTGCATGAATGAGGATAAGTATGAATGAAGTAGCATGAAGGATGATGGTATAGAAGAGTAATTTGCATTAATGAATGAGCATGAAATAATATCAACAAACATAACAGAGTATGAATGCATACATACTTGAATGAATACGAATAATTGAATACATACTTGAGTAAATATCAATAGTAATGTACATGACATAGAATAATTAATAAGCATGATTGAACACATACTTTAATATTTGAATGATTGAATAAACACTTGATGAATATTCGAATACTTGAATTTATTTATCAATGAATACATACTTCAATGCTTAAATATAATAGATGCATAACAAGAAGGAGAGAATAGAAAATTAGAGATATTTGTGATCCCTAGATGACGATTTTGTATACACAGATAATGAGAATGAACGATTATAAGATACTTTCTGGTGAGTATTCACCGCAAAGCAACTCTCTAAAGCCCGGGAATGAAGTAGTAAAGGAGTTGAGAGATGCAGTAAAGTCTATTACGAATGAAAGTAAGCAGATGCACACATTGAATTGTTCTGATAGCAGATTTGTGTTTTATCTGAAGACAGTTTCTGGATTAGTGATTGCAGTGATAGGAGATCGATATGCATCTTCCAAGCTTGAGAGCGGATACATGGAGCAAGTGATTGGAATATTTATGAAGATATACAGTGATGATGCAAAAGCCACTTACTATGCGTTTGATCCAACGATCAAGTGTGCGTCTGATAAGTTTAACAGAGATTCAAGCTATGAGCAGGGAATGGCTGTTGTCAAGGAAACAAAAGGAGCGCTTGCCGAGTCTCTGAACATGATAACAAAGAGAGGCGAGAACATCAACAATCTGAACAAGCTTGTTAGCAAGATGGCTGACGAGGCAAAGATGATGCAAAAGAACATACACAGGATGCATCTTAAGAGCATGCTGAACGACTACTGGATATATGTTGCGCTGGCTGTGTTTATGATGATGTTTCTGTACTATGTAGCGTATTAAAGTTAGCTTGATAAGTTTGTATGTTGTTCTAATATAATTTGAGTAACAATGAGGATATGGACAAATGATGCGCGAAGCATCCCTTGAATGAACGAGAGTGGGGAAGATCTGGAGCAACTGCTTACTGAGGATGTTACTAATGATGCAGACATGCAAGAGAAGAAGACTGATACTGTGATGAAGAAGAACAGGAGTGTTGATTTTTCCCAGGTGCTGATTTCTCAAGCAGAGGCGGCCAGTGAATGCCGAAAAGAAGAGATCAGACGGTTCTCCAAAGTTCCAGTTGAAGTTGAGACACTTGGTGGCGAGCCATTGGTGTTTATGATGTGGGCTACTGAAAGTAAGCCTGTTCATAGAAAGAAGCAGATAGAATGCCGTAAAAGCACATTTGATTGTGAAGTGTGTGAGAATGTGTTTGATACGTCTAAGAAGCTTGAGACACATGTGAAAATGATTCATAAGAAGTCTGACGAGTCTGCTAAGACGCATATTTGCTCGGTATGTGGAAAAGGATTTGATGAAGGCCGGAAGCTTGCGCTGCATTCGAATTACCACAAAAATTAGGAAATAAAGAATGTGTTTGTTACTATATTTTTGCAGTGATATTTGAAGTTGTTCAATTATGAAAGATGTGTTGGAATAGATATGTGAATTGTTTTATACATGCATTAAAGAGCTGTAGAGCTGTAGAGATTTTAAGATCTGTGTAATGCATGAAAAAGAGATTTTAAGACATGCATAAAAGATCTATAGAGTCTATAGAGATTAATGTCTATTGCATGAAAGAGGTATAGAAATTTATGCATGCATTAACACAGATGAATAAAGTGTTTGCGGATGATGAGTACCTGATCAGGATATTGAACGATCTTTTTGATGTTGAAGAGTATGGCTGTGTCAGAAGTGTATCTCATGCAACTGATGAACAAGAAAGCGTAATATGTAGTGTGTGTCTTGATGCAACAGTAGATAAGTTTGTTTTTCTTACTTGTGGTCATCGCTTCCACTCAAAGTGCATTGAGATGTGGCTACAAGCGAGAAAAAATTGTCCATATTGTAGACAGATGGTCAACAGTTGAGTGTTTGCCCTGATATTCATTAGTGCATGAAATGCGGAAAATACAACATTCTATATGACGGCTACAAATGTAATGAATTAAACGATAGTGGAATCATAGACACATCGCTGGATCAGGAGACAACACTACAGCAAACAGATGTAAAACAAAGCGATCTAAGCTTAACACATGAGGCGTCTGTTGTACTATTAGGTACCAAATATACAAAACCTAGACCCAGACTTACATTCAGCTTTATTGCAACAGCAGAGGCAAATGTAATCAAGCTTTTCTTTGTTACAATCACACATGCCATGAGAAACGGGATATACTACGGATACGATTCTTCTAGTGGATGCGTAATTGTATCCATAACAAAGTTGTACCCCGGAAGAAGATATCAGATGTATGGGAGACTTAAAGGACGTCATAATCGTCTTCATTGCATCTGGGCACGCAAGATTTGCTACAGAAGCATGTGCCATCAGATATTCTAAACCACACATTATATATAAAGATGTATTTAAGATACTTTTCTATATCAATAAGTTTTCATATCTTTCTTACTATGCACAAATAATCATCAATACAAACATGTGCAGGATCAACATAAATTTAATAGAAACATAAGCAATTACTTCGTAGTCGATCCCTTCTTAATTATCTGCTTATTTCCAAGTAATGGGGCCTTATTAGTCTTCATGGACCTTGAAATTACACTCTTTGCTCCAGTCTTCCAATTAATCCCAGCTCCCCATTTCTGATCGTTTTCTTCATTTGCAAGCTTCCCAACAAACTTGGACTTCATAGTATTGAGCATTTGATCAATCGACTCAAATTGCGTATTCATCCATCCATACGTCACGCTTTTCGGTATAGATCCATTCATCTTCTTCTCATCTGTCACTCCTATGCTTCTACCTACTTCCCCTTTTCTTTTATCTTCTCTGTTGCTTCCGTCTATAAATCCAGAGCTTTCTGTACCTGTCTCATGTGACAATCCTTCAATCTCTATCACCATCTTTCTTCTAACTGTGTTGTTCTTCAGTTTCATTGCTTTGTCCTTTCTTCCTTCAAACGATGTTTCAGTATGTATTGCATCCTCAGTACCCTCTGTTTTTCTAATCACGCTTGAATATGCATCTTCCTCTCTGTTTACCTTCACTCCTCGCTCCTCAAGTATATGCTGATCATTTGTTGCTGAGTGCATTATTTCATTCTCAATTTTTTTTGCAATTAATATATTTGCCTTATAAACTTCACATGTCCTGTCAATCACCTCCATGTACTCTTGCTCATCAAACTTTCCGTCTATATTAAAAAGCTTTGAGTTTGCTTCAAACTGATTCCAATCCTTTCCTTCTTGTTGTGCCTCAGCATAGTTATGCGTTACTCCACAATCACCTGTTGCAATCTTACTTACTCCACCTGTACTTGTTCTTTTTGCATTAGAAATCTCAGAATCTATTTTAAACTCCCCATCCACATGTTCCAATCCTTCGTTGCTTACGTTCTTGCCACCACTCTTCTCAGCTATGCTTCTTACCTCGCAATCCTCAACTCTCATCACTCCCACAATATCACTCTCGGAAATCACAATCGTAGGAAACACAATCTTCGAGTTTGACTCAAAAAATGCATTCTCAAGCTTTACCATCCCGTCCTCGTTTGCAAAAAACGTCCCTATCATCTTACTTGGGTTGTTCTTGAGGCATATTGCTATCCTGTAGCTGTCCATCACTCTAGGGGCTGCTTGCCAGATGTTTAAATATTTCTGCATCAGCGTATCCACAAGCGCATATCAGTGGCCCTCGATGGATGATAGCTTCTATGTTTTACAGGCTATACTTGAGAAACACAACATCCCTGAGTTTCCTACGCTTCTACCCAGTGAGTTAAGAACCGATGAGGTTGTGCAATACCTGCAACCACTGTATGCTGAGCTGCTTGCTGATGTTGCCAGAAACAACGACATACTTCCACTTCTTGCATCATTTACTGCAATTCCTGAAGAGTTGAACATTAAGGAAGTGGAAGCACTATTGAATGGCAACAAATCTGCCAAGGGAGATTTCTTTACACCTGAAGCTCAGTGTTTATCATCTCCTGTACCAGTGAAGAACGAATATCCAGAATTCTCAACGGCTGCTGGCGCAAAAATCGCCAAGAAGGATCAGAAAGGTAAAGAGGAAGTCGATAACGAATCGAATATCGAAAGCTACATACTCGACAGGATCAGAAACGAAATACTTGAAGCAGTTGTGAATATTGGCTGGGATGACATAATAGGCCTAGAAAACGTAAAAAAAACAATTAATGAGATTGTGCTGTGGCCAATGCTACGCCCAGATCTATTTACAGGACTTAGAGGCCCGCCACGAGGATTACTTTTATTTGGACCTCCAGGAACAGGAAAAACAATGATAGGAAAGTGCATTGCAAGCCAGTGTAAGGCAACATTCTTTTCGATCAGTGCATCATCACTGACATCGAAATGGGTTGGCGAAGGTGAGAAAATGGTTAGGGCATTATTCTATCTTGCAAGGACAATGCAGCCATCTGTGGTGTTTATTGATGAGATAGATTCGTTACTGTCTCAGAGATCAGACAATGAGAATGAGGGCAGCAGAAGGATAAAAACAGAGTTCCTTGTGCAGTTTGATGGTGCAGCGACCTCTGGAAACGACAGAATACTGGTGATAGGCGCAACAAACAGACCGCATGAAATAGATGAAGCAGCAAGGCGAAGACTAGTCAAGCGAATATACGTTCCATTGCCTGAACCTCTGGGTAGAAGAAAGATGGTGGAACATCTGATCAGAGAATACAGCAATGTCCTTTGCAATACTGACATGGATAAGATTGCGCAGATTACAGAAGGATATTCTGGATCGGACATATTTAATTTGTGCAGAGAAGCATCACTGGAACCTCTGAGGGAGATTGACGACATAAATGACTTCAAGAGCGACGACACAAGGCCTATAAACCTCGAAGACTTCATAAAAGCAACTAGACAGATCAGAAAAAGCGTTTCTGAAAGTGATCTGGAGACTTATGTTGAATGGAACTCAAAGTTTGGCTCAGTACCTTAACATCCTCTGTACACATCATGATGCATTAGAGCATTTATGCCAAGACCATTAAATATTTACCTACAATGCAATAGTGATATATACTTAACAATGAAGATATTTATCATTCAAATAAAATAACGAATATCTTCAATAAATCAGAATTTATCATTCAAAAAAAGTAAAGATACATGATTAACATCTAAAATTCATCATTCAATCATAACAACGAATGTATTTATCATCCAAGCATAACGACTAAAAGTTCATCATTTTAAACATAACAACCAAAAGTTCATAAAGCACAACAACTAAAAGTTTGTCAATGAAACACTCAGCGTATTCTTAAATTCATTTAAACTTAATGGCGTGTTTTCATCTGAATTACAATTCAAATGCTCAGATAGTAATAAAATTGTTTTCTGTTTAGTTATGCATACCTGCCGCATAAACTCATGCTCAAAATCATTGAACTCACATGAGAACACCACAAACACACTGAAGTCATCTATCTTGTTTACTATGACATCAAATGCATGATGTTCAGTAATCAATATCTTTACTCTTCCTTTGAGCCTTCTTAAATGCTTCAATGAAAATGGAAAACCTGTGCTGCTGTGAATTATCAGAACTTCAGGTCCGCATTCATACAAGATATCATACATAACCATCCTTTCATGATCACCACGGCTGTATTTCATACAGGTACACCGATGATACAAATCACCATACTCAATATCTGTTAGATTTATCTCTGATATGCTATTGAGCACATAATCACTTTTATTGTTCATGCTAAAACAGGTTTAAGGGTTAATAACAACAAATGTACACGAAAAACAATGAATACCAAGACACTCGTGCTGATCGTGTCAAACGAACTATGTGAGAGATTCTGTTTCTACGGACTGCGCTCAATTCTGTTCTCATTCCTGCGGGTACAATATTCTTTCTCTGCTAAGAGCTCAACAGCATTCCTCCACTTGTTCATCTCAATGAGCTACTTGTTTACATTACTGGGTGGAATTGTGTCTGATATGGTATTGGGGAAATACAACACCATAGTCATTCTAGGCTCTGTGTATCTTGTAGGTACTCTCCTCCTTACATATGTCTCCATGGAATATGCATCTCAGGGATTGATCCTGACAAGTCTATTGCTTATATCGCTTGGAACAGGAGGAATTAAACCATGCGTTGCTGCATTTGGTGGAGACCAGCTTGGACAGGCTAGCACATCTGACAGAAAACGGTTCTTTGATCTTTTCTACTTCGCAATTAATATCGGAAGCATGGCCTCAATGATTATGATGCCGGTTTTATCTGATGTTGGGTGCCTTGGAAAGCAATCGTGCTATCCTTTGGCATTTGGAGCATCAAGCACACTACTTGGAGCATCAATGCTTCTATTTATGTCTGGCAAAAGTTCATATATAATAAAACCTCCTAGGAAGCAACAACTTGCAGACACATTTAGAATACTTGGCACTGCAATAAAGACAATGATCAATAAAAAACAAGAAGTAGCTCAAGAAAATGAAATTAAAGCAGCCACCGCATCTGAAAAGGTACATCATTTGGTATCAGTAAGTGATCAGCAAAAGCTCGTGCAGATTTCCAAGGTACTTTTACCTGCTGTATTCTTCTGGATGCTGTATGACCAGCAATCTTCGTCATGGATAGAACAAGGCACCAAAATGAGCACACATGCAAACATATTTGGAATACAGCTCGAGATTGTTCCTTCACAAATGCAGGCATTCAATTCAATATTCACCTTAGCACTTATTCCAATCTTTTCAAAGGTAGTTTATCCAATACTTGATGCAATAGGCATTCACCTTCGGCCAGTTGTGAGGATGAGTACAGGAATTGGATTTGTGTCAATCAGTTTCTTCATATCTGCATTCATACAACATAGAGTAGATGTGCTTGCATACAATCATCAGCAGCTATCAATACTATGGCAGTTGCCTCAGTATATTTTGCTGACTGCTGGTGAAGTAATGCTGAACATAACAGGCTTGGAGTATATTTACTCAGAAGCTCCTGAGTCAATGAACTCACTATCACTATCAATGTGGTTGTTGACCGTTGCTGCAGGAAACATCCTTGTCATGCTTCTTTCGATGATTGATGTGGTTGCCTTGCTGTCTATTCCACATCACGACACCAGCACGTTCATATTCTATGGCACAATAGGCTTGCTTGCATCGATTAGAATGTTCTTAGCAAGAAGGCCAGCCAATAAATAGCAACAGATTTTATATTATTCAGTTCATAACAGCATTACAGATCATGCTTACATATGTATTATTGGTTTAGGGATTTACAAGTGTAGTTGAACCCATGCCACATGATACGGACAACATTAAAAACATTGTTTTTACTGCTTGCCAACATTCTTATGCTCATGAACTGCTGTGTTCTTGGGACACTGCTCACATCTGTAGACAACTTTAAGAAAGCTTATCGCAATATAAATGAGCAGCTCATGTATCTGCTACTGCTTGCAAATACAGGACTTGTTGTATTTACATTTGTAATTGTACAGAACTTAAACGACTTATTTTTGCGAAGGAGCCGCTCTTCGAGAGGCGTGGAGACAAAGCTCAAAGTTCAGTGGATTATTTTGCTCACAGCCATGATTTTCCACATTGCATTTCTTATGCCAGGCGTAGCCACAAACATCGACAAACTCCTAAGTATAGATTTAATACTGCTGATGATAGTTGGAATATTTATATTACAGGTAAGTGAAAGTATTAATTTTAGATTGCCAAGCTTGTTATCATATACTCAATACATCCAGATCTATTTGGATCGCAGCACAGAAGAAATATCCAGGAACACATCGACAAAACAGAAAGAATGTCCGAATATGCATTCTAACACAGCTATAGGTAATAAAGAGTGCACGCAAACAACCACAGCGATGTATGTAAAACTAATTGCATACATAATAAGTAGTAAAAACGGTATACAAGAGTTTATTGTGCAAATTAAACAAGGGCATAGTCAGGCCTGTATCTTGTCATCGATTCTACTTTTCATTTTGGATAGGATGCTACGATACCTTGTGTTGTCACACACCACACCGCTTATCGAGTTCATTCCCATCTCTCGCACAAGATACCTGATCTTTTTGCCGATGTTCATCCTGTACCTTTCCTCTTTGATGCCAAAGTCTTCTAAGACAGGTCTTGAAGGTGATGAATGTGTACCTGACTTTAGAAAGTTGGCGGTCATCAGAACAAAAATAAATCATTTATTTATACTTTGTGTTTCAGGTGTATAGGCGTTTCAATTGCAGGCAGATGTGCAGAATCCAGTATCTAACGATCTTAACTGACATATGTGTCCAAACTATTTAATTACAACAAACCTTGTAAATTATGATTTTGCATAATTGCATTTCATTTATTGCAAATGATGATCAATTAATCAATGCATTGATTATGTTATTGGAGTACACAAACACATGCTTGCAATTGTGCTTTCGCTTGGCATACTAGGATTAAGCATTGCACGTGTGTTTTTCAGAAGACATTGTATAAGAAACAAACAAGTTCTGATTGTTGGTGGAAGTAGCGGGCTTGGGCTTGCTTTTGCAAAGATACTGAAGAAGGCAAGCAACACTGTCACAGTAACATCAAGAAACGCTGAAAAGCTTAAAGCATTGGAGAAGGAGTGGGGATTCAACACCAAGATGATGGATGTTAGTTGTTTGGATATATGCCTTGATTCCACAGAATACGACTACATATTCTGCTGTGCAGGGATTGCACATCCATCATACTTCATTGATCAGCCATTTGATCATTTTAAAGAATCCATCGATACAAATTACCTGGGCACTGTTGCAGTCCTGAGCCATTATGCCAGAGTCAACAAGCGACCGTTTTCATTTGTTATGGTAAGCTCAACCTTGTCATTGTTTACTTTTCCTGGATTTGGATCGTATTCACCATCAAAAGCTGCACTTGTGTCTCTATTCTATACTATTCAGGATGAAATGGAAAAATTAGGTATCCATCTTTACATATACAATACTGCATCTATCCTTACACCTGGATACATCAGAGAAAACACAACAAAGTCGTCCTATACAAAATCAATAGAAGAAATGTCGGCTCCGTGCACTGCAGAACAAAGAGCTATGACATTCCTGAATGCCATGCAAACAAGAAGAGCAATTCCATCAGACACATTCACGTATCTATGTCAGATAAGACACAACTGTGAATGCATGATCGACTACTTTCTCTTTCCGATTGCAGTACTTGCTGTTTATGCATCAAAAGTATTTTGTAGATGGAGATTCAGAAGAGTATGAATGGTGTAGCACATTGCATTTATCAATACTCTCTTGTGTATCTCATGCATTTCTACATGACCAAAGAACTCGATTCAATCAATCAAACAAATTTAATAGAACCATCTGATTCAACAATCATTCTCTTGTCATTCAGAACAGTCTGTTCAAACAGTCTGTTGACAAATCCCCAATTCACAACATTCCACCAATTCTTTATGTACTCAATCCTCGAGCTTCTGTACTTCAAATAGTATGCATGTTCCCACACATCCAGTCCAAGTATTGGGATCATCCTCGAGTTGCTCATGCATATTGTATCTTGGTTGTATGTTTTCCTCACTACAAGCCCATCTTCTTCTGGTCTGTAGCAAAGCCACACCCATCCAGATCCAAAAAGCGATGCTGAATTCTCATTAAACAGCTCAATCATGCTTTCATGTGACCCAAATGATTTCTTAATCATCTCACTAAGCGCATGGCTTATGGGTTTGCTTGTACCAGGCGGGCACATCATTCTCCAGAACAAACTGTGGTTGTAGTGTCCTCCTGCAAAGTTGCCTATCGACTTCCTTATGCTTGTACGGACACTTTTGATTCCACGACTGTTCTTGACATAGTGCATCAGTTCTGCTTCCTCAAGATCATTGTTGGCAAGAACCTTCTGCAGATTAGTAATGTATGCCTGGTGATGCTTTGTATGGTGGATCCGCATTGTATCTTGGTCAATCACAGGTTCAAGCGCATCATATGGATACTCAAGTGTAGGTAATGTGAACATGATGGGTTGCTCATTTTGACATTATTTGTGCATCTATGCATTCATGCATAAAGTCATTATTATAAATTACAATATACCTGGCATGCTAGTGTTGTGTTGGAATGCATTATAAGATGCCCTTGATAGTAAGATGGATAAATGAAGAAGAGCGTGGTCTGTGTACAAATCCCTAGAGATCCCAGAACAAATAAGATTGCATTTGTGACTGAGATGCCAAAGATGGTTGCAGATAGAATTGATGGTGATACTTGGACCAAGATCATTTGTGAGTTGAACAAGATACTGGAGGATGCCGAAGCTGTATCTTTTTTGTCATTTTTGAAGACTGCTCTTGTGTTTCCACTGTTGATTGGCCGTAGAAAAAGTATATTTGATTCAGTCAATGCATACCTTGAGTGTATGAATTTGCATCTGAAAAGCTATGGGATATGTATTTTACATCCTGGGATTCACCAATACATTGAGCTTGAGCTAGAGCTAAGGTAATGCAAACATTAAATTGTTTTCTTTGTTTCTGATTGAATGCTAATACATGGAGAAGTTCATTGATATTTGGTGATATGTGATACGAACCGATTAATTTGATGATTTACAGCATTCATGCTCGCGTGGATTAATTTAGTAGTGCATAGCATGAATATTTGGATCAATTGAAAGCTTCAAATGAGTAGAAATCTGCATCCTTAAAAATGTACAGTAAGAATGCAGATTTTGTAGAGTGCGAACAGAAAGTGCTGGAGTACTGGAAAGAGAACAGGTGTTTTGAAAGAAGCTGTGATTTAAGCAAAGGACGGGAGAAGTTTACCTTCTATGATGGTCCACCATTTGCAACAGGACTGCCGCATTATGGACACATTCTTAGCGGAACAGTTAAAGACACTGTGACAAGGTTTTTCTACCAACAAGGATTTGATGTAGACCGCAGGTTTGGGTGGGACTGTCACGGGCTTCCTGTTGAGTATGAGATTGATAAGAGCCTGGGAATAAGCAGTAGAGAAGAGGTGCTAAAGATGGGAATAGCAAAGTATAATGCAGAGTGCAGAGGAATAGTGATGAAGTACAGTAAGGAGTGGGAGGCAGTTGTTGAAAGGCTTGGACGATGGATAAGCTTTGAGAATGGATACAAGACGATGGATCTAGATTTTATGGAGAGTGTGTGGAATGTCTTTAAGAAGCTTTTTGAGAGGGGATTGATATACAGAGGGTTTCGAGTGATGCCGTTTTCTACAACATGTTCCACGCCGCTGAGTAATTTTGAGTCGAATCAGAACTACAAGGATGTAAGTGATCCATCAGTTCTGATCGCTTTTCCGTTGCTTGAGTCACTTGAAGGACAGAAGGTGAGTATGATTGCATGGACGACTACTCCATGGACACTGCCAGCTAATTGTGCGCTTGTGGTGAACCCGGAGTTTGTTTATGTGATGTTTGAGCACAAAACAGGATGCTACTTGATGTGTGAACAACGAGTTGACGAGTATTTCAAAGATGTGAAGGTGATCAAGAAGATGAATGGAAATGTACTTGAGGGTTTGGAATATGAGCCACCATTTAGGTATTTTGAAGAGTACAGAAAGAAGGACTTTTTCAAGGTACTTGGGTCTGGATTTGTTACGAGCACTGATGGAACAGGAATAGTGCATTGTGCACCTGGATTTGGAGAGAGCGACTACAATGTATTTGTTGAGAAAGGATTAATACGTGAGAATGATCTTGTGCCGTGCCCTGTTGATGAGAATGGAAAATACACGGACGAGGTAAGCGAATATGCAGGAATGTATGTGAAAGATTGTGATAAGAAGATTTTAGAGGCGATAAAATCTAAAGTAATGATGAATAACAGGATAGTTCATAAATATCCGTTCTGTTGGAGATCTGATACACCTCTTTTATATAAGCTTGTTCCGAATTGGTTTGTTAGAGTCAAGGACCATGTTGGAAGGCTTTTACGTAATAATGAAAAGATCAACTGGGTGCCTGAGGGAATCAAATACAAGAGATTTCACAACTGGCTGGAGAATGCAAGAGATTGGTCGATTTCTAGGAATAGGTTCTGGGGCACGCCGATACCTTTATGGGTTACGGGAGACTACGAAGATGTGATTTGCATTGGATCAGTTGCAGAGCTTGAGGAATTGAGTGGGAAGAAGATTGTTGATATACATCGGGAGAGCATTGACGACATTGTGATTGTGATAGATGGAAGAGAGTATAGGAGAGTTGATGAGGTTCTTGATTGTTGGTTTGAGAGTGGAAGCATGCCATATGCTCAAGACCATTGGCCATTCAGTGAGTCTAATAAGAATAATGAAGGAAGCAATAATGCAGAGAGTTTGGAAGATAGGATTAGGAAGATGGGTATAGGAGAAGAAGGTAATCTAGTGAAGCAAGGATTCCCAGCGAATTTCATTGGGGAAGGACTTGATCAGACACGTGGATGGTTCTATACGCTACATGTGATCTCTTCGCTTTTGTTTGACCAGCCAGCGTTTCTGAATGTGATAGTGAATGGAATAGTGCTTGCAGAAGATGGATTGAAGATGAGCAAGAGGTTAAAGAATTATCCGGACCCATGCCATATACTGAATACATATGGGGCTGACTCTCTAAGGATGTACCTGATATCTAGTCCAGTTGTTGAAGCTGAGAATCTACGATTCAATGAGAATGGTGTGAAGGATGTGCTGAAGACATTGATTATTCCATGGTATAACTCTCTAGGGTTTTATATTGAAAGTAAGAATGGATTGGATAATGTAGAGCAACATTGTGAAGTGAAACAGCACAAAGGAGCACTTGCGCTTGATGAATGGATCAAAATGTCTCTGGGAAACTTTGTTAAAGCTGTGGAGACACGAATGAAGAAGTATGAGCTTTCTGGAGTGCTGAGTCTAGCACTTGAGTTTTTGGATGATTTATCGAATTGGTACATTAGGATGCACAGGAAGGAGATTAAGGCAGGGCATTATGAAGTACTTGGAGAAGTATTGAGGATGTTTTCAATTGCCATGGCGCCATTTACGCCGTTTTTCAGTGAGTATTCGTACCAGTCGGTGATGCCTGGAGAAAGTGTGCATTTCCAGAAGTATCCTGAGTGTAAAGGAGGAAGCCATGTATTTGAAGAAGCAAAGAAAGTTATATGTGCAGTAAGACGGCTCAGGGAGGCAAATGCGATATCATTGAAGACACCACTGAAAAGTGTAATGCTGCTATGTACTAGTGAATTATATAGCCAGATACAAGAGTACCTTGATGTCATTATGAAAGAGTGTAATGCTCTTGATGTGATTCATAAGGAGGATGATTTGAGTATGCTTGAGATCAGTGTAAAGCCGAATTTTCAGGGATTGAAAAGTAGCGGTGAATGCATGAAGAAAAAGATGGAAATTATACGAGGTCTGTCAAAAGATCAGGCAGCAGTGCTTATGAATGGAGCATTGAATATTGATGGAATGGAGATTCTGCCGAGTGATGTGCTTATTAGCAAGAAGATTTTATGCGATTCTGGGATATCTCAAGCATTTGATGGATTTGGCATTATTATTGATAATACAATGAATAGTAAGGTTATTGAGATGAAGATAGCAAGGGAATTCCACAGCTATATTCAGAAACTCAGGAAGAGTTCAGGGTTGAGTGTGAGCGATGATGTGGATGTGGATGTTGAATGTCAAGAGCTTAAAGAAACTGTTTCGAGGCATTTTGGAATATCATTTGGTGATTTGGGTATGCTAGCAGGAGAAGGCACATATGAATTCAATCAGTCTGTGTATCGTGTCTGTCTTTACAAGAGACATTGATTAAATTGATCTAGGAATCAGATTGCATGATATAATGTGTTTATTTTATTAAATGGCATTTTTCTTGAAAATATTGCTTTACTTACGATTCCTATTTAGTTTCGTTTTATAAGGCAAAGAAAATCGGCTATTCTTCTTTCATAGTCTTCGATCTGTTGGCCCAATCTATCTCTTTCATGAACGTTGGTTTCCTGGTTGATTTGTGTCTTTAGGTCGTCTACTCTTTCTTGAAGTTCGTTCATTGGCACCAAGTACTCTTCTCCAACACGAGATTGAAGGACATCTATTATATTCTTCTGTTTGCTTATTGTTGCATTCTTAGATTTTATTGCCTCGTTTGCTTGCTTTAGCATGTCTCTTGCTGTAATCAAATCATTCTTTGTCTTTGAATTCTTGCTGCAAAGCTTTGTAATGGCCTCAGAAAATCGAATGTTTTCATTCAATAGTATTTCAAGCTCCTTTTTTGTCTCTTCATTCTTTCCAACCTGTTGTTTGTAATTCTCAATCGTCTCTTTCATACCAAGGTTTTCTTGATGTAATTCATCAATTCTTTGCTTCATTCTTTCAACGCTCTGCTTCATATCCATATATTCATTTCTAGCATTGCTTAATATTTGCATTGCTACAGCTGAATGTAATTCATTCTGATAGTCACATTCACTAGTCATTTCCATTCCATTGCATGAATCACTACTCATCTGTCTCATACTGTTAATAATCAGTTCTTCATTTGCTTTCAATGCCTCAATCTCCTTATCTCGTCCTGCAAGCTCTCTTGAACATGCATCAAGTTGTCTCGTTAAGTCACTGCATGTTCTTGACAAGTTTAGCTCTACCTCAAGAACCTCTCGCTTTGCCTCTGCATACATCCTCCTCAGCTTGCTACCAATCTTAGCAATGTATTCTGCATCATCCATCATTCCCTGTACATCCTTAATCATGCTGCACCCATCTGTCATATAATGCATTTGCTTGCATTCTGATTGCTTACGCTCCATTCTTTGTGCCTGATATTTATTCACATCAAACAGTGGATCTCTATCGCGCATCTCCTTACAAATCATGCCTCTTATCCTAGCTGCATTTCCAATACATGCTTCTTCCAGTATCTGCTTCATGAATGTTTTATCAAAATATTCTCTTGTAAACAGCTTGTCAACTTTCATATTCAACTTTGAGTATATCTCATAAATACTGCTAAGATACACATTGTCTCCTGTATCTGCATTCTCACCAAACAGATCCCTATATTCAAATAATCCATCGCTTTTCAGGTCCTCAGTGCTCGCATCTTCATCTATGCATTGATGCTTATCAATCGAAATCTTCATATCTGAGAGCGAAAGAATGTCAAGTCCGTTTGCAATATATTTTCCCAATTGCTGTGATGTGTTCGGAGACTTTGGTGTGCATGTGTCATGATCTTTATCAATCAAATGCGATAGATGTGTTTTTTGAGTTTTAGAATGCTCTTGGTCAAATGCCTTTGCAAACTGCATGGGAGCAATGCATAGCCAAATAAAAGTATCAGACAAACAATTATCTTACAATTTATGCTAGAGACAATCATGAAACAACAGACAGCCCTTGAATGGACTCTGGCAGCACTCTGACCATAACGAGCATAGTCGCACACATCGATCACGGAAAGACGTCTGTTATAGACAGCCTGATTGCATCTCAGGGACGCATCTCAAAAACACTTGCAGGCTCAATCAGATTTCTGGACACAAGAGAGGATGAGCAAGTAAGAGGAATAACCTTGAAGCTAAGTGCAATATCTCTTCAGCATGCTGGGCAACAGCATATATTCATAGACACACCAGGACATGTTGACTTTGAAGCATTAATCCAGGTAAGCTCCATATTGTCAAATAGTTTTCTTATTCTCATAGACATCAACGAGGGAATAACACCCAGGACACTTTCACTTGTTAAGTACACGAAGGGAAAGCGGTGTGTGCTGATGATCAACAAAATAGACAAGATCAGCACGTCTGAAGAGATGTACGGCAAGGCCATGGCAGTTGTGTCTGCAATCAATGGACTGGTTGGCAAAGATGTATTTGAATGGACAAGAAATAATATTATATTGTGCTGTGCAACGATGTGTTATGGAATCAGCAATTCAGGTTTTGAGAGCGTTGTGCAAACAAAAGGGACAATCAAGGATGCAATCAAATTTATTTTTCATTTGCATAAACGAATCGATAATGGAGATATAGGCAGACTGCAGGAAAGATTCAATATATGCGGTCGAAGCAAGAAAAACATACTTTCTACAGTTCTTCCGCTGTCTGATGCAATATTTAATTCAGTGAAGTGTGATAGAATTGATGAATGGAAGCTGTTTCTACAGTCTGATGCTGTAAATCTAAGAGCAATGCCACAGTGTGAAGCACGCTCGCCTTCAGTGATGGGCGTAACAGTATATTCAGTTCTGAAGAATGCTGGAATGTATTCAAGAGACTCGCTGCTTTTTGTAACACGGATCTTCCATGGCACAATAAAAACTGACCAGACGTTGTTTTCTATCAACCACGAAAGCACAGTTGAATTTGTTGTTGAAGGTTTGTATTGCTTTGGGATAAATGAACTAATTGAGGTAGAACAAGCATCGGGACCTGCATTGGTGTGCATCAAAGGGAATTTGATGAAGAATTCATTGGTTATGGATGTTCCCACGCATTCGATGGATTTCGAAAGCAAAGTCACGCCTTTCTACAAATTCAAGGTTGTTCTTGAAGATCCTCAGCTACTAGATGAGTTGAAGAGTGTTCTGCGCGTGATGTCATGTACAGAGCAATTTCTCAAGGCAAAGGTCAACAAATATGGAGAAGTGGAGGTCTCATGCACAGGAAAGGTGCAGTCTGAAAAAATCATCACTGACCTAACATATTTAGGATTTAAGTTTTCTGTAATGGGTTTAGATGATCGCTTCTGTGAGTATGCGATTGATTACTCGAGTGACGTATTTGAGATGGGCAACCTTATACTCAAAGTTGAGGTATGCAAGTCAATCGGAGATGATGAATGCTTCATCCAGCATAAAGGATGGAGAGACAGTGATGGAAATGAGTTTGTTGTGGTATCTGATGTATTCATACAAACAATCAGTAGTGTTCTTGAAACATTTGCTTCATGTGGCCCGCTAATCATGGAGAGGATCTGCCAAACAAGATTTGTTGTTGATTTACAAGGATACGCTGAAGATATTCAGACTGATATAGTTTATTCATTTGTCAGGCAGTCTATTTCATCAGTGTATCTTTCATGCAAGCCAATGATATCTCCATCATTTTATGAGTGCACCATATCTATGCAAGAGGAATTTGTTGGAGAAACATATAAGTCTCTTTCTAGGCACTATTGCATTGTACAGCGGGAGGAGTATGAGGAATCCACTGGGTTCTGTGTGATTGTTGCGTTTGTTCCACAGCTACAATACTCTATGTTTCTAGAAGACATTAAAATCAAAACCAAAGGAACAGGATATCTGCTTCTGAAGGAAAAAGGATACATGTGTGTCCAGGATGCCATGTTCAACAAGCATATTGATGAGATAAGAAAGAAGAAGGGAATGATGACTGAAGAAAAGATTGTGCAAGAGGCATCCAAGCAGCGAACACACAAGAAATAAACTGATATAAAAAAGATTCTATATTTACTATCCACCAAGCAGATACGACTTCAAGGTTATTGCTACAAAAATGCATACAAGCATAAACGTTCCCATTACTGTTCTGTATGAAAGCACCTCAGGATTGTACTCTAGCAGCACCATGCTTCCAATAAGTCTTCTGTCGTTCGCCTTCCATCCAGGCATAATCACCTTGGTAAGTTTTTTCCCATTCACAGGTTTTGGAGGTATTCGTCCGCATCTTTTCTTACTGCACACCGACAAAACAGGTATAAGTTCCTCAATTTCCATCTTTGATCTACACACTGGGCAGAACCTGCATCCACCAACAGATTGCGACCATGCATGTATACATCCCCAGCAGTAAAGATGTCCACAAAGCGTTACAACTGGCTCATCAGGTGACATATAACATATGCTACATGCATACTTGTCTGCCTCGTATTGCTGTTCAGGTTGTTTACCAGCTTCTCCATAAATATGGTTAGTACCTCCCATATCCTGATATTTCCTAAGGTTCTTAAAAAACCTGTCTATTTCCATGGGATATCCGTTCCATCCATTAATGAATAACGGCCAACAATCTTAGAATCTGTGTGAAATGCATTCGAGCAAAGCTCTTTCAGAACCACGCTATCACTCAGGATCAACAATTATTCATATACACGTGCTAATGAAATTGATGCACCACTCGAGCATTATTCACCACCAATCAATGCAATACAGCCCCTAAATTCCATTCACACGTCAATCAAACCCATTCTATATTTTACATCCATAATGCTTGCAAATCATGCCCAGCAATCGACCAAAAAACGTAGACATCTCTCAAAACATCGCATGGACTCTAAACAAAAGCAGCTGGCTCATCCATCCACTAGCACTCGTTTTCATCCATCTCACACTTTGTATCGCTTTCAATTCAAACACTAGTTTGCAGCTAACATTGACCATTTACAACATTTCAACATTCATACTCTTTCATATGATTCCTGGTATTCCATTCAACGACAGATACTCAACTCACACATTCTGGGAGCAGCTTTCAGAGCAGCTTGAATCTTCTTCAGGTCTCATATTCATATCTATATTCCCGATCATTGCATTCTTTGCAATCAATCTCATCGTCTGTTGGTGTCCTGGCCTTCTATATACATGCATCGCATCTCTAGTCCTTGTGACAATCCCAAAGCTCGGATTCATGCATTTAAGGCGCATGCTCAGCATTAGCAAATAAATCACACATTGAAATAAACACATCTATTCAGTATAAAACATCTTATTCAATTATATCCATTACCATCTCTTTCTTCTTACTATATGATTCTCCTCTATATTCAACACACTCTAGAACATCCATCGCAAGTTTTGCCTGGCTCTTCAATACAAGAACCTCAACAAGCTCAAGTACCAAGAATTCTTCTACCTCCCTGAACCGCCCTTTCTTACCCACAACCCATCGCACAATCTCATGCACGTCTGTATCGCTCATTCCAAATGCGTCTGCAAACACATTCATAGACTCGTCCACACGTCCTCTCTTTGTATAGAATTTCATCACATGCACCTTGATTTGCAGATTCCCTGGATTGGTTTCCACTGCCTTCCTCAAAAAATACTCTGCATTGTCAAGCTTCTCAGTCTTCATATATACAAGTCCACTACCAAACATTGCCCTGTAATTGCCTTCATGCATGCGCAATGACATGTTGAAGTATTTCATTGCATTGTCATACTCATTCCTCTGAATAGATTCATATCCAAGAAGCGTGTATGCATATGCATCTTCTTCAATACACAGACTCCTTTTGAAACACACTACACTTCTTTGATAGTCTCCCTCGTGGCTGTAGAAGTTTCCAAGCGCCTTCCATGTATTTGCCGATCCAGGCATGTGCTTAATAAGACCTTTGCACAGGCTTCCAAGCTCTACTGCATCCTTACTATGCCAAAGAATAGTCGAGTAGTAGTCCATATTCTTCACAAACATCGGATCCTTCCTTCTAACCAGCTCAAAGCACATCTTGCTCTTCTCGTTCATTCCAAGATTGAAATACATCCTTGCAGCATTACTGATGAAATACGATCCTACACCAGGCACCTTATCTAGGTATTTCTTCATGTGCTTATTCAATACTCCATCTCTTCTATCAATACTATCATGCAAATATTCCTCAATAATATCCTCCAAATCTGTTGACTTTCCATTCATCTTCATTACACACAGATGCGCCTTATTCTCTTCCAAAAGGTTCTCAAATGATGAAAACACATATCCTTTGCTTAAAGACATCTGGTATTTCTCAATTGCTTCTTCTCTATTGCCACAGAATGTATAGAGATCTCCAAGTAGTGAATGCAAATACTCTGCATCCTCCGCATCGATAAACATCTCCCGAATCCATTCAGATGCTTCAGGATCATCAACAACCTTCTTCTCAAAAATCTCTTCAATACAGCCAATTGCTTTCTTGTACTCCTTCTGTTTCTTGTAGCACAGACATTCATAGTACTTCGAAGTGTATGTGTTCATGCATTGTAGATGAAATAACGCTCTCGAATACTCTCCATTCATATACAGCAGCATTCCGATCAGAATCTTGAACTCATCTCCGTGCTTAAGCATGCATGCACTGGCAAAAATACCTGTCTCATAGTCCCTGTATCTAATCGACTTCTGTATCCTACTGGCCATCAGATCCACAGCGTTCATTTGGGGCACTCCACATCCTTCATTTCATTCACACCAAAAATAATCAATTGCTCCATTTATTATCTTCTCTTATAAAAGCAGCATCAAACCACTTATCATCTGCTACATTCAGCACACATCTGCCTGAAAACACTCAAGCAACGAAATAGTGCGCAGGTTCTCCTCCTGAAAAAAAATCTCTTCATCGATCACTCCAGCCAATACTTCCATCTTGCTGCTCAGTCTCCTGTCATCACAAATGTCCCTCTCGTACTGACTGCATATCTCTTCAAAACACTCTATAAATATCGGAATAAACTCCTTGATACTGAAAAACTCAGTCATTGCATCAATCACTTCTCCTAATGCCCCTCGGTCAAGATCAAGAAATGCATGCTCAAACTCCCTTTTCTCTTGTATATAGCTCATCACTGCAAAAATCTCTTGCATGTCTCTCTTCCGGATTGCTCCCATCATCGACCTCTTATATTCATATCTATTTAGCTTCCCTTCAACTGCATCGTATTTCTTCTTCAGCGACTTCACCACCTCAACATCTATTTCATCTTCTAGGTCATCAACACTCTTCTTATAAACCTTTCTTCTCTTCTTGACTTGTTCCTTTTCTTTTTGAAGCTTTTGGATTTGTCCATCCACCAGCCCTATCCATAATACACCGTCCAGTATGTTAAGACTTAGTATGCCATATCTAGTTCTTACCTTAGATATCATCACAAGATCTTTTGTAAACACACGTATACTTGCATCCAGTGACGAGGTATATAGTCTTCCTTCATAGTATTTCATTCCTGTAACCTCCTTGATGTGCATGCTTTTGCCAATCTCTTCAACTTCTCCACAATCATTCGCTTCAATCACTCGCACCTCGTTAAGACATGAAAACGCCACTCTAAACCCTCCAAGCCCACATACCTTAGACACCTTACATCTAGAGTCATACGAAAATACCCTTTCTTGCCTATCCAATATATATCCATTGACATGCCCATCATAAGATCCAGAATACAGAACTCCATCCATCACATCAATCCCCTTCACATAGTCATTGCTATCAGAAACAGTCCAGACACTCTCCTGCTTTCCTATGTCAAATACTTTGACTGTCATGTCATCACTGCAGCTTATCACCATCCGTTCATTCACTTTTAACTCATTTATTCTTGCAGTGTGTTCGCAATATCTTCTCAGTGTGTTTCTTCTGTTTATAACCACTCTTACCTGTCCAGACTCGTCTCCACACGCAATCAAATCACCATCCGTTGCTACACATGTCACGTTCCTATCAAACTTGCCAACTATCTTTGTCTCCTGCTCCTCACTTTCATTCTTCACAATAATCGCCTTCTGTTCAGACGCAAGCAGCACTCCAATCTTTGTGATGTACAGACTATCAATACCATGCTTGTTCTGATAGACCGTTTGGAAACATTCGCGAGAAAAGTCCATTATCCCAAAATTCTTGCTCCTGAAGTACACCATATGGGGCTTGAACACCAGCAAAATAACTACAAGTATACAGGTGATGATGTGGATGCGAACGAAGTAATCCATGTGCTCAATGAATACATTGCATCAATGACGCAACGCAATCACGAATTCACTAAACAAAAAACCCTACCTGTGTTAACTGACAAATGTATTGACATCGCTGCATCACTGACTCCACCAAGGCAGTATCCTAAATCTGCATATGCTGATGAACTTGAAAGGTATCCCGTCATTAAAGACTAGCTATTGCATGCAACTAAGTCAACAGCATTTTATGCGCTTCTATTTTAGTTATTCTAATATAATGCATTGCATAACAAGTAAATAAATATGTTACGAATCCATAAACAACTTTATAAATGCATTCCTTAAACTTCACAGCATGAAGCCCAGATGGATGAAGCTTGCAATGACGCATCAAAACATCCGTGCCCAGGACCAAGTAGCAAAGATGCTGGGAAACTCAATGGATGTAAAGAATGCCCAAATGCTTCTCTGTGTGCTCAACCAAAACAACTGGATCCAGACATACTGTTTATTCAGCAAAGACTCAGCGATATAAAAGCCGTGGTTGCCGTAATGAGTGGAAAGGGCGGAGTTGGAAAAAGCACAATAACCAGGAATATAGCAGAGGTGCTTTCGCGGATGAACATCAGGACATGCATATTAGATCTGGATCTGTCAGGTCCAAGCATTCCTAAGCTTACAGGAACAAACGATCAAGTAATGTGTGAAGTAAATAACATAATCAAGCCAATCAAGATCAATGAATTCCTCAGTGTTGTATCGATGGCATACCTGGAAGAGCGTGAAGATCAAGGAACCGCATTCAGCTCAAACCTGAAGACAGGAATAGTGAAGAAACTGCTGAAGTGCTGCGATTACAAAGATATAGAGGTGTTGTTGATAGATACACCTCCAAACGTCACAGATGACCATCTGGGAATGGTTGAGTTTATCAAGCCACGCCATGCAATACTTGTATCTACACCACAGAGATTTTCATTACAAGATGTAGTGAGGCAGATTGGATTCTGTAAAAAGACAGGAATACAAGTGATTGGGGTTGTTGAAAACATGAGGACATTTGTTTGTGCATCCTGTAATCACAAGACAGAGGTGTTCAACAGTGTTGATGTGCAGAAGTACTGCATAGAATGTGGACTTGAGTATATTGGATCTGTTGACTTGAAGCAAAGTATTGCGAAGCAATCAGATCTTGGAATGCCTGTCCAAGAGGAAATCTTCCATAGATTGGCATGTATAATTGTATCAACATGCCTAGAAAGCAATTAAACAACAAAAAACAGCTCTTGAAGCTTTAAAACAATCGATAGCATTGCTCAGCAACAATTACAAAAATATCTACACAATAATGATGTGAGCATACTCATGCTACTTGATATTAACTACGAATTATACCTTACTTCTACATTATAAAATCCTCTAAATTGAATTATATTTATTGCATAACTCTTCAATATCTGCTTAGAAGTTTCCTTGTACTATCTCATTTGCGGTGTTAATTGCACAATCTCGAGTACTCAGCTTGCTCATAATCGCAGAAAGTGCATTTGAAGAACTTTCAAGAATAGTTGCATTTCCATTGTCAACCACACAAACCTTGTTGAAAAACGAAAGAAGCTCAAGGTTGTGAACAATTGCTATTACAGTCATGCTGCTACATGAATTCATTATCGTGCGAATAATGCTCTTCTCTGCCTCTTTGTCAAGACTCGATGTTGGCTCGTCCATCACAAGCACCTCGGGATTCTTCAGAAGCGCCCTCAGGATCGCAATCTTCTGCCTCTCTCCTCCGCTGATATGCTTTCCTGATTCCCCAACATTCGTAAAATATCCCTTCTCAAGCCTCATTATACTGTCATGCACATTAAACCTCTTTGCAAGCTCAACAACTGAATAATCAGATACACTAGGACATCCATACTTGATATTGTACATCACTGTCTCATTGAAAAGCAGCGAGTTCTGTGGAACATATCCCATCATCCTTCTGAATGCCCTTTCCTCTATAGCCTTAGTGTCGATCTCATCAACAAGTATAGCTCCTTGCATGCTATTCAGTTTCAGCAGCGCTTTGAGTATCGTCGACTTTCCTGATCCATTGGACCCAATAACTGCAACACGATCTCCTTTCATGATCTGTAGATTCACTCCATTAAGCACCCGCTTGTCTTTGTAATAACAACTAACATCCTTGAACATAATGCCTGTCTTGAGTTTTGCCAAGCATAGTCCAACTCCTCCCTTTGACTCTCCATCTTCAAAAACAACTTCCTTAATGCTCAGCATTGCCTCTGAAAGCCTGCAATATGTGTATCCAAGATTACTTAGACTGCCTAGCAGCATTCTGCTCATAGTCACATAGAAAAGCAGCACTCCCTTATCCATCTTACCCCACAGAACCCCATATGCTCCAAGAGCTATCACAGACGAGTTCATAAATGCAAATATCAGTTTCTGGAGCATATTCAACAGATAAAGCCCTCTAAACAACGCTGTCCCATGCCTCTCAATATCTATCAGCTTTCGGTCATATCTGCTTACCTCCACATCATAGCCATCAAAAGACACCACGGATTCATGGTTACTCAGTGTATCATGCATAAGATTTGATGCACTATTCTCTGCTTTGTTCAGCATCCTTCGGACCTTGTTTCTAGACAATGCTATCGATATCGTCACCATCGCATACAGCACCACTGCAAACGCAACTATCATAAATGCAATCACTCCAAGATTCGAATACAAAGAGTACCAGATAAGAATAATAGACACAGACATCGGCAGGATATTCTGCACAAACACCTCCACAAGATCACTCACCGCTCTGCTCTTTCTACCAACAATGTTCTGTATCGTTCCTGTTCCATAGCCTTCAAAATCCTCTGTTTCCAAGCGTATGAAATGCTCAAACGTTGTCCGGAGAGTATTCCTATACACACTCTGCATAGTGCCTGCAAAAAATAATCCCTGCAACTCACTGAACATTATGTCCATCAGTGAAATTGCAAGAAATATAGCAATGCTTCTGTATGGGACAGAATCGTTGTCCAAGCCGTCTGAAATCCTCGTAATGCTCCCTGCAAGCCGAGTCTCAAAATACTTCCCCACACATATGCTTAGAACCACAGGAAACAGAATCACTCTCACCTGAGGCACTACAAACACATATCTTCCTAGAATCCATCCAATCGTTTGGTATTCGCCAATCCTCTTCTTCATGCTCATGGCCAGATGTTTTCAAAAATATTTATTGATATTGAATGTCAAGTGTTTTGGAAGTGCATCTGCATCTCACGACTACACAGTATCTGTTTCAAACACAAAACAATCCTTCACACCTTTAAACGCATGTGCATAAACTTTGTCACATTCAGGCACCTCTTCCATCCCTTGCTTCCGCCATCATCGCAGATACACGCAAGTCCAGTGATATGATTGTGCATTTTCTCTCCAGCTCTCTCAGTGCACTGTCACATTCCACTATCTTCTCCTTCATAGCAGCAAACTTTTCGTCCTGACACATCTACAAGGGCATTCCTCAGTGCCACTCTAGGTACTCTGTAGCTCAAATTATCACATACAAAGCTTACAAACACTTATGACAAGAAAGATTATTTAATTTTGATTATACCACATTCAAGAGTATATACCTGAATACTCAAGCCAATAGCGCAGACAATATCTGCTCCATTATCATATTTTCACATGCACATAACACTATATTTTGAATCGTGTTTATGCAGCGGTATAAATATTCTTTATTGCCATTAACTTTAATCTAAAGGCTCAAAGTTCACTTTTCCATTGATAGAATCGTTTACAGGTATACATCCATAAACATAACTACATGTCTTAGAAAAAGCCATTGTTTGATCGCTTGTAGGCGCCTTTCCATTTGAGAATATTGCTTTCTCTCCAGAAATTGCCTCTGTCAGACCTTCCATTATGTAATCGATTGTTTTTTCTGTGCCATCCCACATGACTGACACAGATCTTCCGCATCCATTCGGATTTGAAGCGATAGAAAAATTACCAGACATCATTCGTGTTCTGCTTGGACAGCTCCATATCCATATATGCACTCCTGTATTCCCACCCATGACTTCTTCAACCTGCTTATTGTACGCAATTCCATTTCTTTGTTCCAAAGGATCGTAAATCTCGCACGAGCGGTCAAATTTATTGTTAAGTAGCGAATTTGCATCGTAATTAGTTAAATCCATATCAAACAAGATGTTATACTTGAATGCAAAATCATTATATGGCTGTAAGAAGCCCTTGTACAGATATTCCTCAATGGCCTTTTCTTCTTCTATTTCCGGTACAGTCTCTTCTATTTCCTGTCCATCTTCTCGCCTTTCTTGTTGTTCTTGTTTTTTTTGATGTTTGATGACGTCATGTATTGCATCGATTGCTCCTCCGTCTAGATGCACATGCAGTTTGACATCATATACCTTGTCATCATCCGTGCATGGAATGAATTCCGCTTCTGTTGCCAGGATGCCTGTAAGTCCAAGGAGTGGGATGATCACTGATGCTACAACAAACATAGTTTTGCTACGCTTCACTCAGTTGACATAAATATTTTGTTTGAAACGAATGTTTTAGCCTGGCGCTGTTTCTGTGTTACACCCATACACTGGTATATCTTTGGAAACAGCGGTCTGATTGTCTGACACAAGTTTTCTGATTGTGTTTAGGATGTTGAAGAGTGAGAGACTGTTTCTATCATCCATCTTCTTGATGAATCTCAGAAGCACTGCTTCTATTTCTGTTATGCATTGTGTGTGCATTATGCCTGTGTATGATATATTATTGAGGTATGCATAATATACTACTTCCTTTGCTTTTGTCTTTTCTAATGCATTTACAGTGATTAGATTGTTGGCATTTGAGTATATTTGGCTGTATGAATCTATTCCCTGTCCACTGCATATTGATCTGAGTGCGATCACAGACTCAAATTCTGCACACACCTGGAATATCAGCATGTGCGATTGTGATTCTCTTGCTATATCAATTATGCCACTCGGTAATGGATCAATCCCATTGTTTGTATTACATCCAGAAAGGATTATGTGTTTGTGGAAGCCAAGTTCATTGAGAATGCTAATAAACTCCTCTCGAATGCCATAATTGATCAGAGCAACAAATTCATGCAAAGCCTTATTTTTAAATCTTCCAATCGCATGAGCAATCGTGAGAGATTGCAGTGTTCCATCGAAGTAAACCATTATTTTTGTTTTTGGACGGAGTCCTCTGAGACACCTGAGAGTCTTGCGCAGAATCTGCCTTTCAAAGCAAGCATTGCAGTAGTCTAGGTTGTTTATTCTGATTGACGGTATTTCAGGGCACAGCGAGCACTTCATGTGGTGTGCAGAAGGATCCATGTGAATTGGGCGTGGGCTTTGATCCCTTGATACTTATGACAGCGGAGTCAGTGACAGCAAATGTTGAGAGAATCCGAGAAATGATGGATGGGATCTTGAGGGATGTTGATGGGTATCTTGAGAGATACAGGAGCTATGTAATGCATGCAAGAGGAAGGATATGTAGAGACAAGCAGGAAGGAGAGGTTTTGCTGCAAACAGTGGCATCTACTCTGAATGAGATGAAGGAGAAGAATGAAATGTTGGTTTCTGAGAGGAATACATTCAAGGCAAAGATTGAACATGATACTGAAGACATGAAGATGTCTGAGAATGAGAGGCACGAGCTGCTGAACCAAATCAAGGAACTGGAGATGAGCAATCTTGGGTTGAGTGAAGTAGCCAAGGAGAAGAAAAGCATGTCTGGAGCGCTTGCACGGAAGATGGAGATGGTTTCAGAGAGAAAAAAATCAAGGGAGAGTCAGATGGAAACGAAAGTAGGACTGTTTAGGAAGTGTCTTGGGATGGACATAGTCCCCATGAAAGAGAATGTAATTAAGGTTGTGTTTGGAAGGATGTGTGCAGATGAATCAGTGGAGTGTTTTGTGATGCTTGATTTGTCTATGGATATGCCTGTTGTTGACATGTTTCCAAGGATTGATAGTGTTGAGCGAATGAATGCAATGTTTAAGACGCATGGAAATTTCCACGACTTTCTCAGTGCAATGAGAAGGGAGTTTAGGAAAGAATATATGAGAATGCAGCCATGAGAAGTGATTGAAAGGAGACTATTGAATATGCGTTTATTATATTCATGCATGTTTGCGAATATTTTGAATAAAGTGGATGTTTTGATGAAGTGTGTAGCAACAATAGGGAGATAGAATAGATGTGTTAAAGAATGGAAGTTGACGACCCATGAAGAGCTACAGACTGGTGTATAACCCTGAACCGAACGAGAAGAGGTTTTTGTTTACGAATGTGACTATTAGCGAGCTGACAGTACCTGTGATGATATCGAGGGAAAAGCCTGTGAAGGAGGAGATTGTGTTCAACACTAAGAAGAAGAGTGAGCAGGTTGAGTATGAAGACGATGGATACAGAAAGCTGAAGGAGAAGGAAGGATGCTTGCTTGTTGTAGAGGACAGTGATAATAGAGTGTATTCAGGAAAGATGCAGGACCTGGGGGCTAGTGGGTCGTGTTACTTTGTGTTTATCAATATGGGGACGTATCTTAAGGTGGTTCCTGTTAGGAAGTGGTACAGGTTCAGCCAGAGGACGCAGCAGGATATTATACAGGAAGGGGAGGGAGAGGTAAATGAAGGGGAGATGATGAGAATTGAACGGGACATAAGTTCAGAGGATGAGCGGGAGGACATTGATTTTGAGGATGATTTTGATGATGATGATGGAGAAGAGGCAAATGTGTTTGTTGTGAAGGAGAAGCGATTGAATAGTGCAGGGCACAAGATGAGGAATATTATGGAGAATTATGAGGAGAAGGAAAGTGAGTCTGAGTCTGCAGATGAGGAAGAAAAGGGCAGTAACCAACAGACAAAGGCTCTTACAAAGGCAGAGTTGTATGAGATGCTGCGTGGGAAGAGAGTTGCACTTCGTGACCTTCTGAAGGGGATTAAAGTACAGTATGGGCTTGAAGAGGGCGAGAAGGAGCTTTTGAAGGAGTTTATTGGAGAAAGCTGTGGACTTGAGGTTGATGAGACGAATGGAGAGAAGTATGTGTTTTTGAAGAAATGAATTATTTTAGTAAGTGGCTGTGCAAAGCATGAGTTTTTGGAGCAAAGATTGTAGCCCTGATGCGACGTGTTGTTGAGGATAGGCTCCTGAGGATTTTGAAGGAAGTTGGATATGAAGTTGTTGAGAGTAAAGCGCTTGAAGTGTATGTGGAGGCACTGGAGACGTATATGCTTGCGTATTTAAGGACTGTGTGCTCGTTGTCAAGGCATGGGATGAAGTCGCACTCAACGCTGATTGACTTGCTATGCCTGATTGATGGCAAGCGATTTGACTGTGGAGGTGTTGGAAAAGAAAAAGTTGAGTATGAACAGGAAGTGGTTGAGAAGGAGCAAGAGTTCAACAGTCCGTTGTCATCGAGTATTGAGAAGTATATACATATATATGATTTTATGCCTAGTTTCCCTGCAATTCATGCATTTAGGCAGACGATTACAAAGCCAAACTGCAAGAGTAATAAGTCGGCGAATGTGAAGAGCAGGCTGGAGCAGAGCCTGCGAGCGGAGGGTAATCTACTGAATCTGATCAAGGCGTCTGGGTCACTTCCGCCGTTTATCAATTTTCTACATAGAGGGACGATGAACTGAATAAATGAAATTTAGTGTTTAGTAAATTTGTTATACAGGTTGATCATACATTTGGTATTTAAGTTGGTTATTATAAAGGTTGATTTAATATGTAGGTTGATTTGTTGTGTAAGTTGATTATTATGTAGGTTGCTATTGATTATTATAAAGACTCGCTAATTTTAACATATTGACTAATGCTTAATGTATTGACTAATCATAACATGTCTGCACTGGTGAGTTGTCTCCGAATGGCATCTTTAATATTGAAGCATTGATAGTATAGTGGTTATTATGTGAGCTTCCCAAGTTCATGGCCTGGGTTCGATTCCCGGTCAATGCATTTTGTGTATTAGCACAGTCATATACTCGTTGTATCTTGTTTCATGCTTCAGTTGTATGGTTGCCGGGAACATTTCCCGCCATTTCTATCAAAACACCTACATGTACGTGCTGACCATAATGCAGAAGATACAAAGACTGACTGATCATGCGAGTAAGAGGATCAAGGCACAGCAGTATGTGCCAGATCACTATGTGGTTGCAAAAGAGTTAATAGAAAACTCGATAGATTCAGGTGCAACACACATCAAAGTAACATTTGAAGATTTCATAACTGTCGAAGACAATGGATGTGGCATTGATGATCTCGATGCGGTTGCTATCGAAGGATCTACATCCAAGGAGTTGATGTCTTACTATGTGCTTGGATGTGTGCAAACAACAGAAAGATTCTTCTATGGATTCAGAGGCCAGGCACTATGGTCAATAGCAAGCATGAGTGACCTAGAAATTACATCGAGATCAACAAAACCATTTGCTATTCATAAATGTTTTAATACGAACACAACATCTAAATGTGCAAGGGAAAGAGGAACAACGGTGGAGGTGAAGAACCTATTCAAGAACAATCCTGTGAGAAGAGTGGCGAGCAGAAACAGCATTCGAGCATGCCTTAGTAGAATATGCAGTCTTATGGAGAACTACAGCTGTGTAAATAACGTGGAGTTTACTCTGTTCCATAACAGAAAGGTACTGATGAGCCTGAAGGGATGTGGTGCACCTCGTAAGTACTTTGAATCACAATATATGCAGTATGCAGGCCGATATATGGAGATATGTACGAATACATTTGATATGATTATGCTTCCTGTTGCAGTCAAGAATCTAAAGCAGATGATATTTTTGGGAAAGAGGCCGGTTGAGAACAAGAGGATTTTGAATGCAATAAAGAAGGAGTTTGGATTGTACTTTGATGGTAATCCAGCGTTTGTACTGGTGATTAAATGCTCTGGAGATGTGAATGTAGCTGTTGACAAGAGTGAAGTGATTCTTGAGGATGAGGTAGGGATTATAAGTCTGTTAAGATCGGAGATCAGCAGGTTTTTTTCAACATCGATTGTTGTAGTGTCAGCAAAAGGTGTTGCAAGCAGCATGGATCGAAGCATGGCAGATAAGAGCGTTATAAAGAATTTAGAGCAAGTAATCTGGAAAGCTAGATCGATAAGTGATGTTTATAGTGATTATGAAGTATCAGGTAAAAAAGATACGTGTTCAGTGATAAGTGAGCCTAGTACAGCAAAGAATACTTGTAACACATCAGAAGTAGATGGAATAAACAATATAAGCAATAAAAAAGCCGGAAAAGATGATTTAGAGTTTATGAATTTGCCTGAAACAGCCATATATTCATATCAAGATGATAAAGATACAAGTGAAACACATAAAGTGAGTATTCCTGACAAATGCATAAATGTGAATAAATCAGAAAGATACGACAATCAGTATTACCCAGAGTATACCTCAGTTAATCAAAGTAGTTTTAGTAGTGACCTGAGTATCAATACATATGAAAGCGAAAGGCTTTCAACAAAAGCATACATGCTTTTTAAACATGATGAGGTAATGCAGCCAAAACTGTGCTTTTTAAAAGAGGACTTTAACAAGCTAGAAGTGATAGGACAATTCAATAATGGATTTATTATTGCAAAGCTAAATAAAGATGAAAGAACATATCTTGTTGCAGTGGATCAGCACGCAGCAGATGAAATCAGTAACTACGAAAGAATAAAGGCATCGTTTACTCTAAAGACACAGAAGCTACTTGTTCCTATTGATCTACATCTCAATGCGTTGGATAACATGGTTGTGAATGAAAACCTGGATATTCTTGCAAAGAATGGATTTATTATAAGTGACGGTGTATTACAAGCTGCGCCAGCATACAAGAACGAAGTGTTTGGTGTTGATGAGCTATCTAGATTTGTTGAGGACATAAAATGTGGAGAGTATGAATTCTGGAAAGTTCGGGAGATTGTTGCATCGAAGGCATGCCGAACAAGTGTAATGATAGGCAGAACACTCTCAGCAAGTGATATGAAGAGGGTTGTGAGCAATCTTGCATGCTTGGAAAGACCATGGAAATGCCCACATGGAAGACCAACATTTATGATCCTCAATGAGTGTTTGGACATATAAAATATTTGTATAAAGCAACAATAAAGCAGTATTTTTATTTACTCAGTCATACAAAGTGAAGGAAATAACTCAGCAACCCTGTTAACATCATTGATGTTTACCTTTTCTCCTCGCCTTGCTGCTCTGAGCCCTGAAATAGTCAGTAGATTCATTGCATGCCTGAGCCCTGATACGCTAGATATATGAACAATCCTGTTAAATGCATCCTCATCCACTGAGACATCCTCCTCAATCATCCTGTGCTTGATGATTGCTGCAAGATCTGTCAGTGTATGGCTTTCAGTAGAAATAATCAGTGCACGGTCAACAAAATCTCTTGGAATTCCATACGGGCACACTTCGTTACTGCCTCTAACCACGCTTTCCTTCTTATTTGTAGACACTAAGATAACAGGACAAAAGTCCTCTTCAATCGCCCTGTTCAAAAACGAAAAGCTCTCAATATCAAGCATATGAACCTCATCAATAAACAACACCCCGCGCACTATCTCTGCCTTGCCTTCGTTCATCCATCCCCACACCTTTCTATTCACTTCATCTCGTGTTTCAGGCTTGATCTCGCCTGTCTCCCCGCTGAAAAGCGCAAGATATCCTTCAGCCTTGCTATTGACAACATCAACATCATGCAACGATATCTCCTGAACCTCTTCTCTGATCTTCATCAACTCTCCGTCTGGGCATGGCACAAACCTTGCATCAATCCCAATCGCCTCGCTCTTCTTCACCGTGCTTGTCCCAATCTTATACACTCGTCCCAGCTCCTTCACTATCTTTATGACGTCTCCAGCACTTACTCGCTCCCTATCAAGCTCTGCCCTCATCTTCTCACCAATGTCAAACGATGACTCCATATCTGTTGTCTTCAGAACTATTCGTTGTCCACTCAGGCTCACAACCTCTCCCTCAATCACCTTTGCATACTCCCTGATCCTCAGTCCAACCGCTTTTCTCAGTGCCTGAATAATCGCCTCTGACTTACTCATTCCAAGGCTATATATCTCAGTCCCACTGATTGAGTTCATGCAAACCCCACCAAGACTTCTAGAAAGCGCTATTGCCAGTGCTGTCTTCCCCGTTCCTATCTCTCCCTTTATCAACACAACCCTTCCTCCGCCATTGCATTCAACCATCTTCTTGACCAGTGCCATTGCTTTTCTCGCCGCTTGTTGCCCAACAAGCCCCTCACAATCATATCCACCTCCGTTTCCATCCACATCACACCCAAGACCCGTTATATGCGAATGCACATCGATCCTATTCATCGTCTTCACGTCCCGGACTTCCATCAGGGCTTTCTTCAGCAAATATTTGTCCCAAGCAACTCTGCAAAACAATTTATTATCCTAACATCCTTGAAAACACCTCTTCTATCTGCTTATACAGCCTGTCAAGCCTGCTTTCCATCCCATCATCTGCAATCTCAAACTTCATCTTCATTAGCCCATAAAACACCTCCTCGCTCTCCTTCCTAACCGTTGACCAACTCAGTTTATGATTAGTAATAGTATCCTTGCACTTATCAAAATACCATATGATATTCCTGAGCATCAGCCTGGTCTTTGTAAATGGGCAGTAGTTGTCATAGCTTGAATATCCATTCTGTTGCAAAAAGTCCTCCTTTATCATCTTCGACACATCAAGAATAAGCTTCTCTGTCTCTGAGAGTGCGTTCTTTCCCACAAGTTGCACAATTTCAGACAGGTCGTCGTCCAGTTGTAGAATCTCTCTGCACTTCGTCCTGTTAACTGTAAATCCTGCATCGACGCTCTCATAGTATGCCTCCAAGTTCGAAAAATACTTCGAATAGCTCAGGTTCCAATTGATTGATGGAAAATGCTTCCTTTGTGCAAGCTTCTTATCAAGGCCCCAGAAGACTTGTACTATTCCAAGCGTTGCTGAGGTCACCGGATCAGAGAAGTCTCCTCCAGGCGGCGACACCGCTCCAACTATGGTCACAGATCCTTTCCGATTTGGTGATCCAAGGCACACCACAGACCCTGCCCTCTCGTAGAAAAATGCAAGCTTTGCTCCAAGATATGCAGGATATCCACTATCTGCCGGCATCTCAGCAAGCCTTCCACTTATCTCTCGCAGCGCCTCTGCCCACCGAGACGTTGAGTCTGCCATCATCGACACATTCATGCCCTGGTCCCGAAGATACTCAGATATCGTTATTCCTGTGTATATGGATGCCTCTCGTGCTGCAACAGGCATGTTCGATGTATTTGCAACAAGCACAGTCCTCTTCATAATGCTGTCTTCCTTTCCTGCAACTGTCAGCTTTGGAAATTCCATCAGAACCTCACTCATCTCATTTCCCCTCTCTCCGCATCCCACATACACAATTGCATCAGAATTTGAGTACTTCGACAGTGACTGCGAGATCACCGTCTTTCCACATCCAAAAGCACCAGGAACCGCCGTAGTTCCACCTTGAACACACGGAAACAGTGAGTCAAGAATCCTCTGTCCTGTAAACAGCGGATGTGTCGCGTTTCCTTTCTCCTCCACAGGCCTTGGAATCCTTACAGGCCATGTATGGTACAGATACATATTCTTCTTTCCCTTAGCTCCCTCAATCTCCATCACCACATCATCAAGCGTGTAGTTCCCCCTGCTTGCCACAAACACAACCTTTCCATTCTCCTTCGGTGGGACAAGAATTTTTGTTTCTATTAGGCTATTCTCGTACACTTTTCCAAAGATGTCGCCTCCAACAACATAATCTCCAACACTCACGTTCGGAACAAACTCATACTCCCTTCTCCTATCAAGTGCAGGAATATCCACTCCCTTAGGAATATAAATCCCTCCTGTTGTCTCCCTGATTTCCCTAAGAGGCCTCTGGATTCCATCATAGATGCTTTCAAACAGCCCAGGACCAAGCTCAACGCACAGCGGCTGTCCCATCCGTGCAATCGCATCTCCAACACACAACCCGCTTGTGTCTTCGTAAACCTGTATTGTTGCACGATCCCTATCAATCTTGATGATCTCCCCAACAAGGCCTTCACTTCCAACCTTAACAAGCTCATACATCGCACACCCAATCAGGTCACTTCCTATCACAACAGGTCCACTTACGGAGTACACCTTTCCTTCCATTCTCCTCTTTGGCTCATCAATGCTTAGCTCAGCAAATGTTTGCTGCACAACATTCATCATCACCCTTGCTCCCAACTTTTTATTTGTCGATTTTACCTTGCATTGTGCCTTGACTAATCACTTACCAGATCATGCACTTGATTATCAATGCATTAAAGTAACATAGCTTTTTAGTAATCAATTACATTATGCGTTCAGTCAATGCATTTGGTAATTGAACATTCAATCACATCACGATTAGATAATGCACTATTCTTCATAATCTCCTTTGAAAGCACCACATGTGCACTGTCTCTCTTTCTTGGGTCAAAACTCAGCATATTCCTAATAAACTCTACTACTTCTCCATCCATGCCATTAAAGCGCTTGTCAAACTCTGCATTGAATGTATCAGGAATTCGAATGCTTTTTAGGTGAGGTAATTCTAATCCATGTAGATCCTTATCATCAGGATATCCCAGAAGCTCAAATACCCTGCGCAGCTGGTCAATCTCTCCTTCCCCAGGCATTATTGGTTCACCAACCATCATCTCACCAACAATGCATCCAACAGACCACATGTCCACAGACTCGTCATATGACTCAGACCCAAGAAGCACCTCAATCGGCCTGTACCACAATGTGACAACAAGATTCGTCATTTGTGAACTGATTCGTCTTGCCAGTCCAAAGTCTGCTATTTTCAGGCATCCATCTCTCATGAGAAGAATGTTCGATGGCTTCAGGTCTCTGTGGATTACTCCTATGCCGTGTAGAAACTCAAGACCCTGTAAAAGTTGGTTCGTAAAAAACATTGCCATTGACTCATCCATCGGGCCTGCCTTCTGAATAAGAGTCTTCAAGTCTGTGTCACAGTACTCCATTACAATAAAAAAGTCGTTGATTGCAGCTCCTTCAACAACTTCGTTGATCCTCATAATGTTATTGTGCTGTAGATGCCTTAGAATCATAACTTCTCGGATGTATAGAACTGAGAATCCGTTGGTATCATGGCACATTGATGGATTCATCCTTTTTATTGCAAATATGTTCTTACTTTCTTTACATCTCACCTTGTACACACTTCCAAAGCTTCCAGAGCATATGTTATTTATCTTTTCATACACTGATATGCTTCTACATCTTCCCACTGTGTGCATAAGACCCATTCTGGGATAAGCTTACCACTTGATATTGCTTTGAAGCATCAGCACATCAAATATAGGATTTCGATTTCATTCATGCTGTAAGCATTCAAAAAATATACTAGAACCAGTTTTATTCAGATTTTGGTATGCACACCAAATGGTGGTCACCGTTTTGCATGACATTTACCAAGTATTTTCACATTCTAGTGATTATTCTTGCTCATATACTGCACATATTATGTTAATATGCTTCGCATACAGGCTCAATTATTCATACTCCTACGCTAGTTAAAACACCCAAAGGAGATACAGGTTGCAGCATATTTAACTCATTTCCAAACATGCCGGCATTCATTGCCACACTGCTGCCTTCAACACTGTTCTTCATATCATCTACCACAGATTGGATTGGATTGACTGTTATTGCATCTGTATCATCTGTTGGCTTTGAACTGCCTGATTCTTTAATTATTGCCTCATTCTTATCTTCTACTACATCAACTACCTTAGTATTATTTGCACTGGATGTATCTGCAATACCAACATTATTTACAGCTATCTCCTGCAAGTTATTTGCATTTACTGCTGCATTTGCTGTATCTACTGTTTCATCATTTTTGGTTGCAATACTCAGATCAACAGGAGTATTTGAATCACTAGTTACTGATTGTTTTGGATCTGATGCAATTCCAGTGGCATTACTACCAAACAGCTCTCCTATAAGTTTTTCGAAATTCTCGTCACTCGGTGCTCCACTCTTATTTTCAGGTTTGATATTTGTAGAAATGCTTTCAAATTCTTTGATCAATGCATTTGGAACTGCATCTTCTCGTTTGTGCTGCTCAGTGCTTGGGTGTGAGACATATCTGTCAGACCTATCAAACATCCCAAATACATCTTCTCTGTTTCCATTGAAATTGTTCGTTCGATTCGATGATGCGGGTTTTGTATGATATGACCCACTGGAGTGATAAGGATGATATTCAGATGTATTCCCAGAATACATGGAAAGGCTTTCATGTGCACTCATCGGCATAGTAGTAGTGTCTCTTGAGAATCTAATATCTCTGAGTATATCGAGTGTTCTGTCGAGCTTTCTGTTGACAGCATTCACTCTTTCCTTGATGAATTCGAGTTTGTCGGTGCTTGAAAGGCTCATGAATCTGCCTGATGTGGTCTTTTCACCGAATAAAGACATCCTACCCTTTGCAACAAGGCCAGATGGCTTCAGTGTGCTCTTGCTAGGCGTAGCAATATCTATCACAAGCAGGACCAGCACAATTCCCACAGTCATTGATCCAAGAAGAAATGCAGTTCTCTGACTCTTCATATTTACACTGGATTTGTTCATGCGTTTTATACCGAACCTGACACAGTGTTTCATATCGTTTCAATCTGATCCAAAACTAGGTTTTAATATTCCCATGAAAGCATGTGTTGTTGGAGGAGGGCCTGCAGGATTATATGCTGCAAAATTCCTTATTGAACGAGGTATTAACACTACGCTGTATGAAAAAGAGACTGAGGTTGGTGGACTTTATAGATACTCGTTGTTGCCTGTATCTAAGATGGCACCGTTTGCAAGACTTTTGAAAGATCCGAACTTTGAGATGAAGCTGAATTGTCCTGTAGATGCTGAGCTTCTTGGACAGCTTGAGAATGGCTTTGATGTTTTTGTGATTGCCACAGGAGCAGGAGGTCCGAGAATACCTGATATTTCAGGAGCAGAGCATTGCATAAATGGACTTGATGTGATTAAGTCTTTCTGGAATGGAGATGATGTAAGGCATCAGTTTAGTAATAATGTACTTGTGATTGGGATGGGAAATGTGTCAATGGATGTTGTAAAAGTTATTTTTGGATCTGCAAGCAAGCAGTCAGGGCATAAGATTGATTCATGTATTAACACAAATAATAATATTGATGCGAATACAAAGAATATCACAATCATATCTCGAGGCAATGCATACAACGGTGCTTTTTCAAATTCAGAGCTTAGGAGTGTACTTGAAATTGATGATCTTCAGATTGTATGCTCGGAAGGAAATAATAGCAGTCTTAGTGAACAAAATAGATTACAGGTTTTAGGAGTCAAAAGAGTATTAGAATGGATCAAATGCATAAAAGAAAAGATATTCAAAGATACGGATCATAAATGGTGGGAAAGAAGAAAGAAAATGCTTACAGAGAGTAGAGATGGAAGCAGGAAGCTTCATATGAGATTCAACACAATGATTAAATCAATAACAAAGGATGAAGGAAAGTACCGGGTGGCACTTGAAAGAGATGGAGTGGAATCTAATGAGATTTTTGACTCAGTAATATGCTGCATGGGTTTTGAGAATGCACGGACACACAAGATGATGATTAAGAAGCCGATGTTCCATGTTGGGTGGGCAAAACATCCAAGAGGGAATGTTGATGGAGTGAAGAGAGATGCGCATTTTACAGTGATGCAAATTGATCAGATGAATATGAATGGTCATGAAAGAGAGTAGATCCTATTATTGAATTAGACTGGTGTTATTGAGCTAACCAAAGTGTATTTGTAAGAGCGTTTGTATGATGAGCTGATGTGCCCTTGAATAAACATGCCAAAAGAGATTCCTCTATCGACGGTTTCGTATTTTATCTGCGGTATGGTTGAATATTTCATGGAAAATGCAGATGACACGGAGGAAAGGCTCAAGGAGATTGGGTATGAAGTCGGAATAAGAATGCTCGAAGTGTACAGATTTGAAAGAGAGGTTCACATTCCAACTCTTCTGTATCGAGTTGCATTTGATTTACTTCCACACGTCAACAATAGCGATAGGAGGATAGAGAAAAGCAATACGACTGATGGGACATATATAATAATGGACATGGACGGCATCTTTTCAAGATTCATGTCTGTGCCGCAGAGCTGGGATGCTTTTTGTGCAGACTCGGTGGTTTGTGGACTTTTAGAAGCAGCATTTACAGCATCTGGGCACCAAGCAGATGTTGTTGTGTTTCCACGGCCTACTGAAAAATATCCAAACAGAGTTGTGTTCCAGATAAGCTGTTTGAAATAGCACGATTTTTGTAAAGCACAGCATTGTGATGAAAATAAACTCGGAATGCTATGTACATTTGATTTATTTTACACTTTTGCCTGAGCCAATACTAGGCGCAATCAATTTATTCATTTGCCTCATCAAATCCTCAGGCGTCATTCTTTCAAAAACATGATTGGCTTCATCATCCTGCTCATCTGAAAAGCCATATTCAGGATCGCTGTAATCTTTACACAATGTATGACTCGTATTGTCAATCACATCATCGCATTTAGACATCTTTTTCTTCTTGATTGTGTCTTCATTTGTGAGAACTTCCTGGTTAAGTGCCCATCTACCTCCTTTTCCTCGTGCACCAGGATCTCTAGGAACCTTCTTGAAGCATTTGTTCAGTGACAAATTGTGCCTGATCGAGTTTTTCCACACAGGATTTGCATACTTGTAATACTCAAAAGAATTCTCAATCCATTGATATATCTCATTCAGCGTAAGCTTACCATGTTCACTAGTTAATATTGCCTGTGTTATTATTTGTGCATAAGAAAATGATGGTTTTATTCGTACATCGATCTTTATACCATTCATATCGTTCATCTCATGTTGTTCATTACGTATCTTATTCTCATTTGCACATGTCTCGCTCTTTCCTTCATAGAAGTGTCTTGGGTCAATACACATATCTGGACTGATTGGCCTTTTAATATTATTCATGCATCGCATATAAACTCTGCATATCTCGTCATCATCGCATGCATCCATTAGGCACGAAAGCTCAAACAAACCTGTTCCTTTGCACTCATGATGCTCATAAATCGCACATTCCATATCACTCATCACATCTTTACCAAAATCTTCTTCCACACACTCCAATATCATCCTCAGATCTGCTACTCAATCCAAATATATAATATTTTTTTATTTATTAAAATTACACTAATTCAAATTTCACACATATCTTGTGATATCTCTCAATTTCACATATATTTACTAAACACATCAAAACACCATTAAAATCCCAATACTTTATTGAATATTGCCATGATAAGCACAGCCTAACAATTCTAATAAACTGTCGTCTTCATTCATCTTACTATTTCGATTTGCATAATCGCTTCTACTCATTAGATATTACTAGCAATGCTTTTTAAATATGGATATATTCAGAGCACAGATTGATTAATCATGAACCGGATGTTCATGATGTTCTGATTTATTTGTATCTGCCATATCTGCCATCTAGGCAAGATAATTCAGAATATTTTTTTGACCAGATTTGCTTCCCGGTGTTTTATTAGCAATGACACTCATAGGCATTTTCTTTTCATTTATCTCTTCATTTATCTTTTCAGTCATTTTATCCAATTCTGTTTTAAAGCCTTTCACCATAAACTCATAATACACACGTAAATACCATGTATTAACCCTTTCATTTTGCTTGTTCGAAATATATTCCACACACATGCCAATTACATCATTAAGCTCTTTGCTATTAAATAATTTATCAATATTTTGATTCTTCCCGGCAGCTTTTAAAAGCGTGTCTAGAGTCTGGTAGGCATTGGACATACTTTTCATAAAAGAGCTTGCTTTTGCAAGCTTACCACCACTTTCATACTTATTTATATAATCAATTATATTAATTACATTCTTATCAAAAAAGTTCTTGCTCAACATCAAATCAAACAGCTCTTTGTGTCGAGGATCCATAGCTTCATAAAGTTTTCGCGTACCACCTGTTTTTTGTTGCATTTCCCGCTGTTTTTGCGGATTAATAATCTGAGAAAATTCAACAATTGATCGCAAACACTTGTCAATTCCACTACTACGTATATGCTCATTAGATAAATGCTCATTAGATATAAACTTATATAGTTCATCAACCAACTTCGTATATGATTCACCAAAATTGTTTCTATTAGCAAAATATTTACTATGCGAGAAATCATATCCTCCTGCTTTAAATACTCCTTTCAGCCCACATATTCCTCCTATCTGTTCAAAAGCATCTGCATAATACTCATTATAGTTTGATGACTTCTCATCAATATAATCATTAATCTGACTCGTGCTAGCTTCCTTCTTTCCTGTCTTACTTAAAATCATCGATTGAACCACAAAGTAAGGCATTTGCTCAAAAAGCTCATTCTCAGCATTTATAAGTGCGTTAAGAAATATATTTGAATAAACATCTTGATTAATTGCAACAAGAGAATCTCCATCAATTATATTTTTGTAAAATACACGCCCTTCTTGTAGATTTGATTTTATCACTTCTGTTATTTTATCATATTCATCTCCATCATTATTTTCAAGTATTTGTTTCACTGCGCTTTGTATTTTTTTATCATATGGTTTCTCCTCATTGATCTTTTCTCTGATTATTTCAAATATCTTTTCATTACCAATCATTTCTTCTTCTTTAATATACTCTTCAACGTTTTTAAAATTTATTCCATTATTATTAAACTCGTTTTTCAAGTTTTCATTTTTCTCCTTTCTTATTTCTTCATCAAGTATCATGAGTATGGCTTCTATAGTGGGGTTCTTTATTAAATTACATCTTTTGTTAAATTGATTAATTATACTAGTAGTCAATAATCCACCGCGTCTAAAACGACTTAAACCCGCCTCTATATTCTTCACGTTTTCTTTAATTTCTTCAAGTACGGATTTAATATTTTTTTCTTGTTCTGCCTTCTTTGATTTAACGGAATTGACATTATTATGCATGTTTATCTCTGTCTGAATTATACCTAATAACAAATTTTTCTCCTTCTCATTATTAAATCCATTTAAACTATTATATTTATCTTGATTAAGTTCAATTTCTTCATTACTTTTAAAGTTTATTATATCATTGTTATGAATATCATTAAATATTTTTTCGTTAATACTGTTATTATTTGATTTTGACTGTTTTTTGATCCTATTAATTATTGTATGCTTTATAATGTCTAATTTAATTTTATTAAGTGTAATTTCTCCTGCCTTTCTTCTTTCTTCCTTGATTTGCTCTTCAACCTCACACTCTATTATCTCATTACTGATTTCTTTAGCAATTCCTTCACACGAATTATTATGAACTTTTAATTGACATCCAATCTTTTCTACTGCTATGTCAATCATCCTTTGCTTTTTAAACATTTTTTTAGCATGATTAATCATATCTTCAGTATACCCATCCTGGCTCCTGATTATATCAAATATTTCTTCCATATCACGTGTTCCTTTAAACATCATCAAGCAAATAAATATCTTATCTTTATGATGCAAATACAAATCATCAATACTCAGAATCCTTTTGATTTCTTTTTCTAGATCAATCTTCATTATTCTATTTTCCTTCATTTCATCCTTGCATCTCGACATATTCTTTTCAATAGCTTTGAAAGTTAATTCATCCATGCCCTTCATTAAAGAACAATCCTGTCTAATCTCACTAATAATTTCATCAACAACCTTATATTCTTTTTTCCTTTCCTTAAGTTCGTTCAAGAGATTGTGGTTTAATTTCTTTCCAAGCTTATGTTTATACTCATCTATAAACGGTTCTATTTGGAGGTCCGCATTATATAAAAAGGTTTCAAAAGTCGGATCATCTATCCCATTATTACTTTCTGTTTTTTGCCATTGCATACCATTATTTTCTTTCAGAACCTTAATATTAGCTTTAAAATAGTCCCTTGCTTCAATCGATTTCCATCGATAATCATTTGTATCCTTAAGATTTTCATTCTGCTCCCTACTATCGATCTTGGCATTCATAATTTGAAGTATTGATTTTTCAAAATTCTTCACTTCCTTTATCTGTTCTTGGTTTGTACTATTGATGTTTGTTATTGCCGCGTTCTGTTCTTCAGTTGCTTCTTTGTTTTCTGATATGTGATTATTAATAATCTTGGTAATCAGATCAGGATTAACCTTAGATGTTATTACTGCTATATCCTTCAAGTTGTTAATAATTATTTTCTTAGTTTCATCATGTATGTACTTCTTGACATTACTGTCATTTCCATTCGAAATCTTATTCATGCAAAGAATAATAACCATGCTTACCACTACAAAAAGCACCAATATAAATGAAACGCTTGCAAACAATGGCCCTGAGCGTGAAAACCAAGATTTCGTACTTTCCTTGATTTCATTTTCCTGTTCTTCTTGGTTTTCATCAATTTCATTTTCATTTTCATCGTCCTTTTCTCCTTGATTTTGCTGTTCTTCTCCACCTTTTCTTTTCTCTTCAATTACCTGCTTCTTACCATCATTCCCGGCGATTTCAATTCTTTGGTTGTGCGTGCAATCATTCAACAGATTTCGTATTATAAAACACGTCGATACGCACAAAAACCCAATCATAAACACCGCAAATCCAAATGCAGAGAAAAACGCATATCCCAGCGACCTTATATTTGGATGAATCGTCCCATAAATAGTTCCGGAATTTTTTACAACTACATCTTGGATTTCAGCAGGCAGTAAACTATACTTTGCATAGTTCAGAAACGTGTTGATAGGCGTCAAAAACATCCAAACCCATCGCAATATTTGCAGTAACCACGATGGCAAAAAACCAAAACCTGTAAAAAACGTACATCGTAGTGGCGGTATCAAATTGGGAATCGACATCGTCTCTCCACTTACATCCACTATGTTGTCATCTCCAGTAGCTATCCTGCCCAGCCAACTCTTAAAAGTAAGCTTTAAAATATTTCCGGCGGTTTCTTTTGGAAAGATTTGAGCTATATCCATAAACTTCTTAAGTAAACCAGATAGTATTGGTCCAACAATTCCTTCAAAAAATGCTATAAAGGCTATGCAGAAAAATACTATTTTTCCTATCGTAGCCATAGCACCAGGAGACCCTCCTTCTAGGTTAAGCGTAGTACATAAAAACAGCAACTGATGAAAAGTCAGCATCACCCATCCATATATCCATCCAAAAAACTTAAGGTACTCCAATACACTAAACTCTATCGACGTTTTCTTAGTGCATATCACAACCATAGAAAATATAACTATGGTTATAAACAATCCCATCGTACATGCATGGAAAAGCAGCATCGATAGATAAGTGTTCACAGGGCTTGACCTCCTTATCTTTCCATCCCTTGAAATGTACCTAAGCATCTGCTTAATATACAAATACACCCCAATCGACATCAGCGCGAACAATACCATCATGTTGGTCGCTTTAGTAAATCCAATCAACATGCGCAAACCCTTTGGCTCAATGCCCATTATAATGCCTTCAGTAGATACTGTATGTATGCCCATAAATGTATCTGTAAATTTCTGTTCAGGGGTTGTTTTTGTCATTATCATTTCAATCCCATTTACATACTTCACTTTCTGCTTAAACATTGCATATGTAATGATTATCGTCCCCAAAACAAACAAAGAAGTAAGAAACATCCTTTGAATGACGCCCGCTTTACTCAAATACACCTTTATTCCAGTCACAATGTTGTTCCATACTTGTGATATACTGGGCTTCATGTCACAATCGTAATCTTTCACTCCAATCACTGTATTATACTCTTCTGCTCTTTCAATCGCTCTTTTCCTCTTGGCCTTAATTAATCTTCCAATCACTTCCTTCTGTCTTTGTAGATCTTCATTCTTATAATGCGATACCTCCTTAGACGTAATCGATGCAATAAAGTCAGGCATAGAAATCCCGCTTTTACATATTTCATCAGTATACGCAATCCTAACTGGATTGTCATTCCTTTCTCCTCTTTCAATTGCTTCCTGCTCCTGTAGCTCCATGGCTTCTTTGTCAAGACATTCAAAAAGGCTGTTTCCATACAATCCTCCATATACCGTAACTCCCTCAGCCATAATAAAAATATTATGAAATTCCTTACACATCGAATCCGACGGCTGATGTATCGATATCACCACCCCTATGTTGTGCTTCTCTGCATAATTCTTAATCGCTTTGATAATATTAGGCGCAGTATTTGCATCCAATCCCGTAGTAGGCTCGTCAAAGAATGTATACGCTGCCCTTCGCACAAGCACTTCTGCAATCCTGATCCTTTGCCGCTGTCCTCCAGACAGTTTCCTAAGAGGACGATTTGTAAATTCTCTCATATTAAATGTATTGATTATGTCTTCTACAATCTCCTCATCTGTCATTCCATTCCGCTTCTCATCTGTCATACTCTTAGCAACAGTGAATTGGATAAACTCTCGTCCTGTCAGCTCAGATAGCAACTCCAGATCATCATGCTGAGGCATATATGCAATATCCAGCGCATGATCCAGTTTATGCTTCTTCTTTCCATTAAATCTTACTTCACCATACGTGCTTATACTATAATCACACATGCATCCTGCCATGGTCATCATCGTAGTCTTTCCACTTCCACTGGGTCCTAGTATTGCATTCACTTCCCCACGTTTCACAAACATATGCCCATCAAGAAGATGCGCTGGCTTCTTTCGATCCCTTGCATATGAATTCTTGATCTCATAAGTCTCATCAATACGTTCCATCTCGATCGCCACCGTATCATCCATTCTGTCAGATCCTTCAATATGTCCATCTAGTTCTTCATCTTCTAATCCATCTATATTTTGATTTTTAACATTTGTAACAACACTCGTCTGTATCATCTATGGGGAGAAAATTAACCGTTATTATGTATCCACATTCTAAATAAAGGTTATTAGCTACACATTACATTAATATGGTCATTGTCCAATTGCAATGATCACCCAAAGGGTATGGAAAATCGAATCAATCGCATCAGGCTGTGGATAGCAAATTTCTACTGCATAATCTGCCTTGCACTGCTAAATTTTTAACCAACAATCGCCCCATGAACAAGCTATCTTCGAAGTTCCACGTCACATTAAAGGTTATCGACGACTCAGGCGATGGCGTTTCAAAGGACACATATGAAAAAAACCTCAAGAGTATATGCACCTTAGAAACTCAGGAACACGTCTCATACCTTCTTCATCATCTGAAGAACTTCGACACAACAGATAAGCAGTTCTACATAAACATCTTCAAGGAAGGCATCAATCCAGTTTGGGAAGATGAAAACAACATGAATGGTTGCGATTGGAGTCTAATGCTCAAAAAGGAGGTTGCTCAAAGATACTTCGAAAGAATACTGATCTGCCTGTGTACTGGATACTTCAAGACATTCGTCCCAACTGGTATAGTCGGGATCCACAAGGATAACAAGTTCAAACTCAGCATCTGGTCAAAAAACCTTCCTTCAAACTCAGAATGCGTACAAATTATCAACGAGCTTAAGGCCGCACTCGAAATCAACTTTGTAATCACATTCCATTACAAAAACCATTCAAAAATACTCGCATACCACAAGTCTCTGGAGATGTAGAGAACAAACACTCAAAAATAATCTTGCATAATAAAATAGTTATCTAAATAATAAAGTAATCATTTACATAATAAAATAATCTTGCATAGTAAAGTAATCATTTGCATAATTCTTAAATTTATTTAACTATAAAGAACAAAACATATCAGGCTTTTAAGAAAAGTGGATATCAACCTTCAATAAAGAAAATACCTTTAATACTTCGTTCATCAACACTAACATCAGACTTACTCTCACAGCTCGTCTAAATCAAAAAAACTCCCCTTTCGTCGAATATCAACAGACGCCTTCGTGCACTCATCTCCAATCCTCTTTGCAATATCAGCATACTCTTCATAGCATATTGGTCGGCGTACTGCATAAAAATGCTGTACAAGCGCCCTCTGCAGCTGCTCTCCCCTTTCCTTGCTCACATGCTTCAGTGTCCCAAGCGCCTCTAGCGCTCTCTCATCAAGTATCCTACGAATCAGCTCGTCAGACTGCTCCATGGGCTTCAAAACAGCCAGATTAATGGCTAACACTCACCTCATCTACTCTACAGTTTTATTGTCCATGACCCTCAAGAGTCCTTAAAAACACCCGGCTGCTATCAAACATCTGCATCTCATTATAGCAGGCTAAAAGCGCCTCAGGCACATCCCCAGCCTTCATGCGGATCCAAAGCATCGTCAGAATCTCCTCCGCATGCATCTTCCTCTCCATCATAAACTTAATGCTCTCAACCGCCATCATCGATATTTCATCCATCTCGTTCAGGTTGTCAATCAAATACATCCACAGATTCTTTCCTATCCCAAGATCAGTTAACTTCACAGATGTCTTGTTCTGCAGTGCCGTCCTTAATCTGAAGAACGAATTCTGGTTCTCTGCTGCAATCACTCGGTCCCTGCTTGCATTTATCAAATTCTTCAGATGCGGGTACTCTGGCGGACAGCTATAAGACAGATACGACGAATACGTCCTAACCCATCCTGTTGTCTTCAAAAAGCCCATTGCTTGGTTGATCCGATGCGCAAGCCTTCCACTATATATCCCACATCTCAACACCTCCATTGCAATCCATAGACCATCCTCACACTCAAAGTACCTCTGTACATACGTGTGATTCACAATCTCCACAAAAAACGACGTAAACGCAGGCACCTTCGAAGGATACAACACCTCAAGAAACGAATACACAAGGCTCCGGTTCACTCCATTCTCCTCAATCTCATCAAGTATCTTCAGCACAAATCGCGTGTACATCTTGAAAAACAAATAATTCCTCTTTCGATAAGCCTCAACAAATACACAAAGACTCTCCTTCAGGCATTCATAAAGCCGGCTCTTCACAAGCACAGCCAACAAATCAATCTTCAAATAGCAGTACAGCGTCGGAATCCGGTTATATCTTATAAAATGGTCCCAAGACACCTTAAATGCCGATCTCACATCCAACGCTTCAGGATATCCAACACGCTCCATAAACTCAGGAAGGTGTTGCTCAGGCACCGCACTAAACCTGCTTATCCTCACATACTCCTCATACTCAGGCACTCCCTTTCCATCAATATGCATCATAAAGTTCCCAATCCTCTGGAAAAAGTCAAAAACCTTTCCATTGTCACTATGTCCGGCAAGCATCTCAAGAGTGCAGATAAAGTCATACACCGTGCATACATGCACCTCAGCAGTTATCAAAGACGTCAGCAGATTTATCACAAAATCAAGATTAGTCTCAGTGCTCGGAATCTTCGACAATGCCTGGTCATACTCAACAACATTAATCAGATTATGTTCAATAAACTTACTAACAAGATTCACACTGAACTTCCGTGGATCATTAGAATATATAAGCCATCCTATCACCTCCTTCTGTGTCTTATGCGACACTTTAAACATCTTCTCCATACACTCAAACAAAAAGTCATCCTTGCTTCCGCTCTTGATCAGGTGCCCAGTAATGTATCTACACAGCCTTATGCACTCCTCGTCCTTATCCTCATACTCATCAATGCTCCTCACAATCCTATTAAACACTGCCTCCCTGTCATCCCCTACTAATCCATGCCACTCATCCGCAATCACATTCTTCTTCGAATAAGGAATCTTCTTACTCAACTGCACTAGATGTGTTTTGATCTCCTGATACTCCCCATTCTCAACAGGCTTGATCACAATATTCTCAATATGTCCAGGATCCTGCAACAGTTCAAACCACACATGCTGCTGTCGACCCGTGCTGTACACAAGCTCGTTGTAGTACGCATTGATGGACTCACTCACTCGCGACACTCCCGCTTTCTGTATCAACTCACAACACACCTCCTGATTCTCAGTAGCTATCTTAAACACCTTTTCCGTCGAAAATTCCAGCGAGCATAGCTTCATAAAATAAGACACATTTCCAGATATGCATGCCTTAATTGGCTCCTGCGCAGACACAAAGCACAGAAACCTAGTCAGATTCACAACCATGTTTCTAAATAACACATACTCATTCCCCTTCTCAACGGCCACGCTCTTAAATAGCTCCATTCCTGTCTTTATTGCCACTGAACACGCCTTCTCAATTATCGGCTGTGATATCTCTCGAACACTCAGGTCAAGCGCAAGGAATATCACATGCCTCATCACTACATCTCCCTCATCAACCACATACTCCGCCAAATACTTCTTCGATCTAAGCCCAAAACTCTTAAATGGCTTCGGACTCAACTCAACTCCAAAATACTCAAACATCGCCCGGATCTCCTCACGCACAGGTCTTAGCGTACAGCTGTAAACCTCACACAATAATCCAAATATTCCCATCATCCACGGATTCCAAGGTCTGAATACAAGCCCTTCTCTTCCCTGCTTCAAAAAATTACTCACAAACGTAACTCCAAATAATATCCTCCGGCATTCAACACTCTTCACCACAAACCTCTTGAAATCAAACTGATCAAGCGTCACTATTCGGTTCTTCTCAAGCAGCTGCTTCCCAAGAATCTCTCCTGCTACCTTAGATATCTCTATCTCTCCTTCACATCTGTAATCCAGCAATATCTTCATAACCTCCAGCATCCTCTTTACAAAGTGCATCATAAACTCATTCCCCATCCTCTCTACAACCTCACAAATCATTCTATCATTTACTTTCCTTCTTTTGCTTCCAATCTCATATATCATTGCTAGCACCACCTGCTCTTCATCAACATCATACTCATTCATCATCTCATTCATCCACTCCTTACTAAACTCAGCCTTCTTTGTTCTCTCCTCAATCGCATCAACTATTCTCTCCACGCCTCCATTCATCTTACATCTCTCTTTAAATACCAACCTCATCACATCATCAAACCCAACCGTAGGATGCATCTCAGAATCAATAAGAACAAGCTCCTTCTTCACCAAATTGCTACGCACACTTTCAATTTCCTCAATCTCCCCAAGAATCGACGAATGCTGCGGTAGAAACACCTCCAGACACTTAAATCCAAACGAATACTCCCGATCATTCTCAGGATACTTCAGCGAGCCCTTGATATACTCCACCGCTACCCTTCTATAAGGTTTTGGAAATATCTCCTCCTTAATCAGGCCTCCATACAGCTGTGCAATCAAATCAGAGTTCGGAAGCTTATATAGAGAACTGTAGTTCTCAAGCAGCGCAGAAAAAATCTTCGACGCAAGTTCCTTGTTCACTCCCTCTTCTTTCAAAAACTCCTTGATCTGACTGATGCTGCTTTCAATCCCTCTCTGTGAGTTAATTATCTGTGAAATAAAATTACTTGCTTCCTCCTCAACCTTCATGTCTCTTGTCTTCTGCATCCTCAATCCCTGAGGCAGTCCTTGCTTAAACTCATTGTAAATCATCACTGTCTCAGGCTTCAGGATCTTCATAAACTGCTCCGTTATCCTCATAAACGTACCAAATATCTCTATTGTCAATGGAAACATCTTATCAACCTCTCTCGACCTCGCCACCTTCATTCCAAGATACCTCACAACCAACTTCACAAACTCATCCCTCCGTGTCGTCAGATTGTTCGACAGCCATATCGTCAGGTTCAAATGATCTCGCACAGAGCTCAGCACAAGAATATCAAAACAAAGTTCTACCGGTTCAAGCAGCTCAGAAACCGCTGGCAACATCTTATTCTCAAGAAACACATCCAGTATCTTAGATATCGCTACTCCCTCCCTCTGCAGCATCACTGCCTTCTGTAACATCAGGCTTCCGTGATTCTTAAACAAAATGTGCAGCACAAAACTGTTCGGTGCCCCACGTGCAAAACCTAACACAAGATCGTCAAAAATTTTCATAAACATCGGCTGTATATGTCCAAGCCCCATCACACACCACTCAGGTGACTTCCTTGCTATTAACTCAATCAGCTCCACAGATTCAAGCATCCCAATGCACTCAAACAGCTGCACACAATTAAACATACTCTCATATGCCACCACATTCTTGAACCGATGCCCCCGAGATTCATCAGACGCAACTATCCGTCGGAAAAACACATTCGAATAAAGCTGCACACGTCTCTCATCCCCTTCAATAATCAACCGCAGAAAATTCACCTGCGCCTTCTCGTCATTCCATCTGCTAAAAAAAATCTCATAAGGCATCGTGTTGATTCCACTCACATGCATCCAACAATCAATAATCAGATAAAGCGACTCATGCGTCCAAACTCCAAACTTCAACTCAGCAAGACACAAATACACATCCCGCCAGTTCATCTCTTCAAGATTGCTCTTGATCGACCCAACTATCCCTCCCAAGTCCCAGTCCTTCTCTGGAAAATCCGCAAGATACAATATCGCCCTTGCAATCTCTACAGGCTCTATCACACACGTCTTCCTCATCCTCTGTATCGTCTCGTTCACAAATTCTTTGTTCAGACACTTCGGATCGGTTCTCTCAAACACATCTTTCAATTCATGTCTTTGTGTTCCCTCCTCCATCGCCTCAATGGCCCCTGTTGTTGCATAAAATTTCTGCTTTCCCATCAAAAAAGTTTGTTTAAAACATCGCAAAACACAATCAAAGCACCAAGGTTTAATATCAACGATACTTCTGCAGAACCAGCGTGTTCCTTCTTCTCCAGCATGCCCGCATAGAGCCTCCCTTAGACTTGTTGTATCGAACTCCCTTCCCAAGTCCTCTGCTCTTCTTAGCTGCAGACGTAAGTCCTCGGCATTCCCTATGCTTCATCGTAGGCCTGCAAATCCAATTGATCTTCGGATCATTCCTTATTGCCATGTGATGCCTGTCAACCATTATCACCTCATAGTACTTATACGCTGCATCATGTCCAATCCAGTAAGAATTCAATACCCCGAGATTCGAGCACTTCTTTCCTGCCACCATCTCCGCATTCACCTGCTTCCTCTGCGAAGGCTTGATCTGAGCAATCCCCGCATTCACACACTTTCCTCGTGTGTTTCCATTGTGATAGTTTCTCTTCAAGTTCCCCTTCTTCACTCGTGCCACATACAACACATATCCCTGCTTTGCTTTGTATCCAAGGCTTCTTGCCCGATCAAGAAACGTCGGCTTCTCAACTCGGAAGCACTCTCCTCGCTGCCTATACTCACACACCCTAATCCTAAGTAAATACCTCATCACATCAGACTGCTTGCGTCTGTGGATCTCCATCAGATAGTTAACTGCTCCCATCGCTCGGGGTGCAAAATTTTACCTATTTGTGTCCTTAATGCCTCATAAATGCCACTGCATTCCATTACTCAAAGCATATATATATTGTTATCACTCATTCATCTTTAAATCAATTCTTCTCATACCATAGCACTAACTCATCACTTTCTCAATTCAACTAGGCTTCATCCTTCATTATCATCTACTCTTCCATGCTTAAATCAGTTATTCTCTAATCACTTCACATTCATAATACTACACAGATCTACTCACAGCTACATGCGTCTTCCATTCTCCCTCTGCATCTCCCTTCGTCTTCCATCTCTTTCTTCCTTATCACTCTTGCTTCTTCCTCCTCTTCCTCGTCCCCTTCTTGGTCTATCCGTCCGTGACCTTCCATCTCGCTCTTCTCGTCTTGACTTCTTGCTCTTCTCCTTACGTCCGCCTTCTCCTTCCCTCTTGATCTCACTGAATCCTCTCTGCACCCCACTATACCGGCCATCCGCCCAATCTTCACTGCCAAGTGTAAACTCGCTCTTTCTCCTCTGCATGCTGCAGTATTCCTTCCACGTCATCTCGTTAAATCCATAATTAAAGTAATCCGTAATGTCTGCTCCAGGCTTGTTCCATGGCTTGTCTGTAAAAATATCTATGTCATAATCCAATATACTCTGCCCTGCCGCATCCTCTTTATGCTCTTCCCCACGCTCAGGAACCTTGTTAATTACCAGCTCAAGATCAGAAGACGTGTCAGACGACCCCTCGTCTCCAACAAAGAACTCCTCGTCGTTCTGCATCCCAGGGGTCTGCAACTTTCATCAAATCCACTCATGCTTCGCATTCAACACACTCATCTCCAGCCCCTGCATGGAAATCATACCATCAGACCGGTTTTGCAGAGAATGCAACAACCTGCTCTATCCAAAAGAAGACTCTCAGGAAAACACACTTCTGATGGCATGCAAAAACTGCGAGCACATCCAGGAAACAAAATCGCACTGTCTTTATTCAAAAAGCTTCAGGACTAAGCACAAAGCAATGGAAGTTTATGCAAAGGATCTGCTGCAAGATCCAACACTCCCACAGGTCAAGATCGATTGTGCAAAGTGTGGCTTCAACAAGGGAATCTACTTCCAATCAAGAGACGATGAAGACGACGTTGCATTAAGTATTTTTTATCTCTGCTGCAAGTGCAATCATTTGTGGACATGATCTGCCTCACTGGCACTGCATGATGTATGCCAGGAATCCAACGCATCATCACTATCTGAACACATGTCAATAAAGCACTTTTCGAATGCATTACTGTTTCTACTCTTTATATGCTTATTTTTATGATCTACATTCATGCCAAGTGTATGATTATGCTCTATATTTATGTCAATTGTATGATTATGCTCTACATTCGTATTCACCATATATTCATGCGCCATGCCTTCCATTCCACATTCAATACCTTCATGCACTTGTTCATTCATATCAATTATATCATCATCTACATATGCATATTCCTTAATGTTGACCAACTCACATTGTGCATCCGCTCTAGAATGCCGATGATTTATCAACAGTAAGCATCTTTCGCATTGCTCTCCACAGAAGTCATCGTTTGATCTAGTCATCGTCGCTATCTCATCAAGCCCATGTACTGCTGCTCTATGGATATATAACTCCTCAGTTCTGAATGGCAAATAAATCCATGAAAGATGTAGGCTTCTCAGCTGTTCTGAACTATTCGTATCTGTAGGCTCTCCCCACACATCACATTCTCCTCCACAGTATGTAAACTCTCGAATAAATGCAAAAAACATCTTTCTCTCACTGCAATACTCATACCAGAACATATCCACAGTCACATAACATCCTTTCACATCCTCAATCCTACAGGCTACATCCTTGTTAAACTCTTCAACTGCTTCGTAGCTTAGTACTGCTGCAATAAAATGTTTTGCATCAGAAATGCATACGCTAATCGATCCATCACTTCGCTTTTCATACACGTCAATCATCTGTGCATTGAATGACATGCGTTGCTTCACAGACACAGGTCCTGTCCATCCTCGAAGCTGCTCGCCAATGCTCTTCTCTATCCAGGGATCCCTGAGGAACACAGCCATCCGGGATCTTCTCAATCCATAATTTTCATCGCACTGCTTTTCACCTCATCAACATATCAGCACCTCATAAATACATACTTCAAATCAACAACATCATAAATATCATCAACCTTTAAAACACTCTTATCAATATATACTTCAAAGATTTTTATTCAATTGCATCAAATAACACTCGTCCTTCTCACACTGTTAGGTGCATCTTCTCGCTGCATCAGATATTTTTTCACCTGGGCACCACTTTATACACATATTCTGCTATCTGAATCCCTTCGGCCATCTCAGAAGGATGTGTGCACTCAACATAGATCAAATCTTCACTGCTTCTCATCAGCATAATTTTCGTCAATGCATGAACAAAGTTCGATTGGATAAACCTCTTCAACAGGCGTGCCCCATACACCGAGGAATGCGCCTTCTCAACCACATCGTCCCTCACCGCATCAGAAATCCTGAGAGCCATTCCTTTCTCTTCCAGCCTCTTGTTGAGCTGGTCAAGCTGATACTCAAGAATCATATACATGCTGTCCTTGCCAAGCTTGTTAAAGTAGATCACATCATCGATCCTGTTCACAAGCGGTGGCCCAAACCTGTGCAGCACAAGCCTTTCCATTTCTTTCCTGTCCTCAGTAGTCATCACATTCGATCTCATTATCACCTCTTGTCCAAGATTAGACGTCATAATCAACACACAGTTTCTGAAGTCTACTGTGACTCCCTTCCCATCAGTAGCTCTGCCCTCGTCCAGCAGCTGGTATAACACATTCAGAACCGTCTGATGTGCAAGATCAACCTCATCTAGCAATATCACGCTGTATGGCTTGCTCTTCACAGGTTCAGTAAGCGCTCCTCCCTCGTTGTATCCCACATATCCTGCAGACGCTCCAATCAGCTTCGTAATACTCATTTCGTTTCCATAGTCGCTCATATCAAGCACAAGCATGTTCTTTTCGTCATCAAACAGCTCTGCTGCAATCGCCTTCGCAAGCTCGGTCTTTCCTACTCCAGTCGGCCCAAGAAGAAGAAACGCACCAATAGGTTTGTCTTCCCTGCTCAGTCCAACTCTCGACTGTAGGATCGAGTCAACAATGCTGTCCACCGCATGATCTTGGCCAAATATCCGTTGCTTTATTCTTTGAGACATCTCCAGAAGCCTTTCATTCTCTTTCAGCGTAAGCCTCTTCACTGGAATCCCTGTCCATCTGCTTATCACCTCTGCAACATTCACTGGGAGAATGACCTCAACCGTCTCAAGTCGCTTAATCTCACTTTCAATCACAGGAATCACATTGGTCTTCAGGTCATACGCCAGGTACGTGTCTCTGTCCCTCTCAGCCTGTGCCAGCCTAAGTCTCGTATCCTCAAGCTTCTTCTTCAACTTCTTTGCCTCAATTATGTAGCTCTTATCCTTCATGTATGCCTCCTCCATCGGCTGTAAGCTCCTCTTCACTTCCTCTATCTTCTCTGTCACACTCTCAAGCCTGCGCATTGTCTGCTCATCCTTTTCCCTGTTCAGATCAATCTCCAGGCTTGCCTTCTCAAGCTCAAGCGACCATGCCTTCGCCCTTGCATTCAAAATCTCCTGTGGTTCGCTTTCAAGCGCAATCACTGCACTTGCACATGCCGTATCAATCAGATCAATCGCTACATCAGGCAGCCTCCTATTCGATATATACTTCTTCGATGCTGTGGCTGCATACATAAGCGCACTATCCGCTATCTTCACCCCATGATACGCCTCCAATCGCTCCTTAAGCCCTCTCAGCATTGTCACAGAGTCCTCAATACATGGCTCTCGTACAACCACTTGTACAAACCTTCTCTCAAACGCTGGGTCCTTCTCAACATACTTTCTATACTCATCGTGTGTTGTTGCACCAATGCACTTGATGGTTCCTGCCGCAAGTCCAGGCTTCAGCATATTTGCTGCATCCATCGCCCCATCTGTCTTGCCTGCACCAAGAACAATATGAATCTCATCAATAAAAATAATCACTCCAGGCATGCTCTCTGCCTCCTTCACAAGCTTCTTCAGCCTTTCTTCAAAATCTCCTCGATGCGAAGTCCCAGCAACCATCGACCCAACATCAACATTGTATATCCTAACGCCCTGCAGCGTCGGTGCTTCTCCATTCGCTATCATCTGTGCAATCCCATTCACTATCGCTGTCTTTCCCACTCCAGGCTTACCCACTAAAATCGCATTGCTCTTCGTCTTCTTAGATAAAATCTCAATCACCTGTCTTATCTCCTCATCTCTTCCAATAACAGGATCGAACACATTCTGCCTTGCCTGCTCAACCATGTCTACGGCAAACTTCGATATTGCACCCTCCATCTCATCGGAATTCCTCGAATCAAACTTCTTGCCTCTCGTGTGCTCCTCAACTCTTTTCCTAACCTCTTCAACATTTCTAATCAGCTCGCATATGCTTTTTGTCTCAAGCAGCTTCAACACAAGCACATTTATAGAAACATACTCGTCTCTCACGCCTTCTGCCGCCAACACAACTCTTCCAAGTGCCTCTCCAACCCTAGGTTCAGTACAACTGTATTGCTTCGCAAACCCACCTATTCTGCGTGCAACAGCAACTTTGATCTCGCTCAGCTCGTCAGGAGTCAAAGTACTGCACAGCACATTCTCCGAATCATTCAAAATAACCTTCAGAAGATGCTCCGGCTCAACAAAATTGTTGTTATTTGCAAGCGCCTCATCAAGGCATCCCTTCAAGACAATCTGTGCCTTATCAGTGTATTTCTTTACACCCATGCATTACCAATTGCAATACAATAAATAGCCTTATTTTTCTAGACTCCGCTGTGTTTTTCTATTGCTTTCCAGAAAACATATTCATTTTCAATCCACAAGCATAGGCACACTGTCACTAACATAAATAATACACAAGAAACATCATCATGATTGCATTAAATACCTTTATTTGAACACTGTCATTCACATCACTACTTCACCATTATTTTACCATCATCAACACACATCGGCATAAACATTTATTGTATTGATTTCTTGGTCAAAATCAACAGCGCAAGCACCGCAAGCAAACTTAGAATCACAATCAAAGTAATCAAAGGTGTCTTCGATCCAATAGACATGGCCATATACATTGGGATCAGGCTGAAAATAACCAACGATTGTGAAACATATACAGACATCACAATCACTACAATCGCCAACGTCGAATACATCATGAATGGCACTCCGTCAATAGATTTGGCATACATATCATTTACAGCCTGATGCGTCTTTCCACTCATTCAGGGCTCATAAACCAACATGCCAATATAGCCCCATGCTCTATCTAATTGGAATTGGATTGCACTCATACAAGGACATATCGCTCAGGGGGCTCGATGCTGTTAGGAACAGCACACATGTATATCTGGAAGGCTACACATCAATCCTGAACGAGCCGATCCATGATCTTGAGTCCATGGTTGGCAAAGAAATAAAAATCGCAAACAGAGAAACCGTTGAACAAACCGATCAAATAATCATGCAGGCTACTCAGTGTAATGTGTCTTTACTTGTTGTAGGGACGCCGTTATTCGCAACAACACATACAGACATATTGATAAGGGCAAAGGAGCAAGGCGTTCATGCTGAAATAATCCATAATGCATCAATAATAAATGTCATGGGCTGCTGCGGACTCTACTCATACTCATTCGGACGGGTAGTCACCATCCCATACTTCACAGATACATGGAAGCCAACAAGCTTCTACACAAATATTGTTCAAAACATTGAAAATAAATTGCACACATTATGCCTGCTGGACATAAAAACAGATGAAGAGCGCTTCATGAGTGTGAACGAGGCTGTAACCCACATCCTTGAGGCAGCTGATATCTGCAGGTCCTCAGTGCTAACCAGAGAATCAAAAATATTTGCAATCTGTAGATTCGGATCTCCCACGGAGCAGATAACTTATTGCACCATGGGTGATGCATGCCAGAAGGACTTTGGAAAACCACTCCATTCTCTCATCATTCCTGGTGGGTTGGACAGGATTGAGCAGGAGTTCGTTGATCTGCTGAATCCAGACACTTCAAACGACACCAATGCTCTTAATCAATAAACACTAAGGTAATTACAACAATTTATTAAGTCAAATTATCGATTCCTTCCCTCATTGCTATGTACTATTGGACCTCGATCATTACTTATTGATGTTTGCTTCAATTAAAGATTCCGCGGGGGAATAAGAGATAATGGATGGATTGGTGCTCTTTCTCCACTGTCTGATCCTGTTCCCGGTGGTGTATTGGGTGTGTTAGGAGTAAGATTAGTACCGGTGCCTGGTTGCGTAGCATCAGGTGCGTTTTGATTAGGTGTAGTACTTGTGCCTGGTGTACCAGTTGATGATTCAGACGTGTTGGGTGTATTACTTGGCTGATTGCTGGGTGCTCCTTCGACACTGCCTGGGGCATTCGTATCAGGCTTGCCTGTCGTTTCATTACCTAGTGTGCCTTGAGGATTATTAATACTAGGTACATTGCCAGCTGGACTGTTTGTTGTACCATTCGTAGGCTCATTACCAGTTGTTTGATTGCCTGGTGCTTCCTGTGAAGGTTTATTGCCTGCAGGTGCATTATTAGATTCTCCTGGCGTAGTAGTATTAGGGTTTGATGTTCCAGGAATTTTGAAAATGTTAGCCAGATTATTAGGTAGATTTTTTGGCCTAGTTGTAGTAGTTGTAGTGGTAGTTGTAGGCGGTGTACCTGGAGCTGCATTAGAAGGTGTAGTTGTAGGCGGTACTTCCTGTGGCTTGTTCGGCTTGGTTCTTGGCACCGTAAGCGGCTTATTCGGATTGTTCAGATTAAACTTTGTAAGAATCTGTGAGTTATCCGGAACGTTAGTGCTTGGTTGGTTGCTGGGCGCTTTTTTCTTAGGCGTTAGATTGTAAATCATATTCTGAATCCCTGTTGGCGTAGGTATGCTACGTGTTGCGATGATAGGCTGGTCACTCTGAACCTTAGTTGTGCTTACCACTTCTCCATCAACTGTGTCTGGCCTATTTGTCTCCTTCGCTATGTTATTCAAGAATATCTTGACTACCGTCTTTGAGTCCACATTAGTGCCACTTGGTAAAATACTTGTAATGTACTTGTAGAACTGAGTGTTTGCGACTTCCTTCCTGCTCTTGATCGGAGACTGGTTGTATATATTCATCTGCGTAATAATGTTGTCAAAGACCTTCGAGACCATCTCAATGAACGACTGCGTGCTGACTCCTAACTGCTTCGAATACTGCTCAGCATTCCTAAGGATATTGTTTCTAACATTGCTCTCAACTGTGTTTGATGTCGAAATATTCTCCTCAATCATCTCGTTCACATGCTTGTCAACGATCTTTGCCTTCGTCTCATCAATGGTTCCATTGAACGGATTCTTCTTTGAAAGATTGCTTACGTTTCCAGACTTCTCCATGTTGCTAAGGATATCAAGAATAAACTCAGTCTCCACATCAGTTTGCAATTTGTTGGATGCCATGTCAAGAAGAATATTCTTGTTATGGCGCTTTGTCTCCTCGCTTACTGCATCAACAGATTGTGTTCCAATGCTCTTAAGACTTGCAATTGCCTGGCTCATTGGAAGGATCTCAGTCACTCCATAGGGTGGAACAACCTCGACATACTCAGCACCATCGGGATTCGTAATCACACTCACGTCTATCTCCTCAAGGTTCTTCTTCTTGTTCTCCTGCTCAATCAGTGACTTCCTATGCATAATCTCCATTGCTTGTGCCTCTTGCAAATGCCCTTCGTTAACCGATGGCCTGACATCCTTGACAAACTCATCCCAGGGCTTTTGTATCAACACACCCTCGTCTATATGGATCTCAGATGCATGGCCAATGTCCAGGCTTGTCTTCCCGTTTGTAATTGCAGACGTAGGAATCGGATCTAACGGAGACGGAAGATCAAGGCTAAACCCATTTACATCCGCTTCATAATACTCAACTCCCTTGTCAATGTCTGTTCTTTCTCCAGTGTTGAATCTGTGCTTCAGCATCGATGTGTCAAGTCCTTGCTTCTCCATCAATCCCTTTGCATTCTTCGGATAATATATCTTTCCTTTGCTTATATCCATCTTCTCTGCTGCTTCAGAAATATGTGTGTATCCATCATCAGTTTCAAGTACATTCAGACCGGTCTCAATCTGTGTTTCAATCACCCTGTTCCTTACTTGATCTCTTCTTTTCATCTGTATACGTTGTACAATTGCCTCCTCCTCTGTCTTCGCCTCCTCATTGCTGAATCCCTTCAATGGAAGCTTCATTTTTGTATTCTGTATCCCAACACTACTTACATTCGATGGAATAGCTTCCTTGACTTTCACCGGAGTCATTGTTTCCTTCTGTAGTTCTTCAATGTTTGTCTTACGCTTCTCAGCTTCAATAATTTTCCTTTGGAGATCCTCAAGGCTGTCACCAACCTCAGTCTGCCCTGCATGTGCTGTTGCTACATGTCTAATCTCTTCCTTGATTGCTGAACTCAGCCCAATGTTCCTGCTTGAAAACATATCTTCCAGTTCTTTCATCCTCTTCTCTCTTTCAATAGACAATCTGTTTCTTTTCTTTTTCTCTGCCTCATTTCTTGCCCGATCTGCCTCAGCCATATTATGCGTCCTCCTAAACACTTGCTTAAACGCTTCCTTACCTTCTTGGCCAATCATTTCGCTTTCTTTTTCAAGTGCATTGTGCTCTTCAGCTGCTTTTAGCGCATTCTTATTGTCTGCATCCCTCTGTGCTGCAATCGCATTCAGCTCATTCAGCTCATTGATCTTGTTCACACGGTCAATTGTTTTCTGATTGCTTACATCATGTAGCAAATCAAGCGCATTCACCCTACTGCCAGTCATCAAACGATGGCTCTCAATGTTCTGAAGATCATTCTGCGCCTTGTCAAGGTCTGACATGTTAACATTGGCAATGTCTCTTAGGATCTTTTCGCTCACAACCGGATGCGTTATTGCCTCTTCATATGCCTCCTCCTTCAATTCACTTGCCAACTTGAGCTTCTGGTGTGCCCTTTCAATTGGCTCTTCAATATGCATCTTCGTCAGATCATTAGTGAAGTTCTCCATGTTTTCAAGATTCTTGGCATTCATTGCTTTTATCTTTTCACTGATCAATTCAGAACGGATGCCAGGCGGCGAATTTGCAATCTTGCCTGCATTTTCTTGCTCAATTTTTATCTTGTCTTCCGCAAGCTTTGCAACCTGCTGTCCTCCTCCTGATATCGCTGCTATTCGTCTTGCTTCCTGATATCCAAGATCGGCCATGTTCATTGCCTGATCGTCTGCCATCTCAGCTTTCAGTCCTTTTGCAAGCCCTTGATTGTAGTTATTTGCATAATTTCTTGTTTGAAGCGCATCAAACTTGGCTTTCACTATAGAATTCGTACTTGCAAGGCGAGACTCAAGCGTCATCTTCTCAGACATGTCTCTCTCAAAATCTGAAATGACATCCTTCGAGTTCTTGAACTTTGCAAGATCAATCTGAGAAACATACGACGGACTTTTTGCAGGCAAAGACAGCTCTTGTGCTTTCTTAATCCTCATTTCCTCAATGACATTTGCATTCCTGATCTCATTGGCAACACCAGTCGCCACAGGTTTCGAGTGGCCGATCGACATAAGAGTATTGTACACGTTCGATGGATTCGCATTGTCTATTGGCTTTCCTTCTGCTATTAGATGATTGATCTTGTCCTGCTGAATGTTTGTTCTCCCTGTCAGTATGTTATCTTCAGAAACATATGTTTCATTCGGATATGCATAATTTGGAGGTGCGCTTTTAATCTCAGTCGGTGTCTCGGTAATATCTGCAAATCCAGAAATCGCAGATGGCATATTGCCTATAAGATGGCTGAGTATGCCTTCTTGATATGGATGGAATGAGGGATCACCACTATCAATAGCATCTTTATATCCATTACCTGAATCAGGTGCATTAATGCTTTCCTTCATCTGCTCATGTGAAGAGTCTTCATCATTCATATGCGGAACATCATGATATATGGTTTCAGGATATTCATTTGTAATCACAGTGGCTTCATGGGGATCTTCTTTATACTCATACATTTTATGCTCTTTATACCCATCGTCGCTATGCTCGTAATCATGATGGCGAATGGAATTCAACTTGCTTTGCCTTTCAGCCCTGTTTCCAAAGTCTAGTCCAGCATCTGCTGCCATACTGCAAAGATAAAGCAGAAATAGTAGCATGTGGTAGTGAGGAAACACAGCTTGATATTTAAATACTTTTCATAAAACATTTTCTCAAAAGCGTTTCGGACATGGCGATTCTATGCCAATCGCTGCAAGCACACCCACAAGATTCTCTAACCTTGTGCGAAACATTGTTTTGATTGACCATTTGCGAAACAAATTTCATGTTTGTAATGCATTACTCAATCTATTGCATTTCACTTGGATTATAGAGCATATGCATTGAATTATTGCAATTACATTATGTTTTTTAACACATTGTTATATACACGCATAAATACCCATAATCTATTTAAACATACCACTGAAAATATCTTTATTACTCCTCAACTCTTCGTAGCCCAACCTCCTTGAATGCTCCACTTGCATCAGGAACAAAACACTTGAACTTTGAATCTCCATATCCCACGCTCAAACTAAATCCAGATGAACCCCAAGAAAGACTATAGCATGGCTCATTCAGGTTTATTGTTTGCGTGGCATATCCACCTTGCTTATTAGTGTAGATAATCACATTTCCGTCTTCTGAGCAGCTGGCCATGCAGAATATCTTAAATGCATTTGTTGGACACACAGCCACATCCCTTACAAATGCCTTGTGATCCCTCATTCTTGCCACTTCCTTGCCATTTTCCCAAATAGCCACTGAGTAATCCATTCCACCACTCACAAACCCATTCTCTGTTGCACTGATGGACGAAACTCCGAACCTGTGGCAGAGCACCTCTTCCACATCAGCACTGCCGAGTGTGTTACCAATCTTCATAATCCTCACATTACCATCTGAACATGCACAGTATAATACAAATGTCCCATCTACACAGCTTGCATCCAAATCGTTTACAGATCCCTCAAAAAGCTGCTTCTCGAGTTTTTTCACAAACCTTCCTCCCTCAGACTTCCAAACAATCACCATTCCACAGAAGTATGCAGATACTATTAACTCTCCATTGCCTAGAAAGATTGCCTTCGTAGCAGGGCCCAGGCTTGCGTTGAGTTCTGAATCAAGAGCCAGACTGTCCGATGCATCGATCTGGCCATTTGAAAACACACGAATTAGACCATCTGATGATGCGGTCACTATTCGTCTTTGGCTAAAGTCGGCTTCAATGCTGTGTATTGTGTCCTTGTGTATGTCCATGGGGTGTAGCGATTGCCAAAACAAATGGACATGGCTCAATCATCAGCACATTATGAATAAATAATGTTGATTGTGTAGAGAATGCATTTCCAATATGAGTAATCTGTAATGAATTAACACAACTAAAGTATCATCAAAACACATATACACTTATGCATTGATAACAAATCGTATTGATGTGATTTGCACATGAATTATTCATAATATTAATGACCGACAGTATGCATGTGATTTGCATATTGCTTATTCATAAGTATGTGATATAGAATACATAATCTCAATGATATTTGCAAGTGCCTGGGATACTGGATAATGCGCAGGTTTTTAGAACAAAAAAAAAATACCCCACAATGGGGGACTTTCATATCAATAAAGTTCACGAGCTTATGACGAATCAAAAGAACATCAGGAACATTTCTGTGATAGCACATGTCGACCACGGAAAGAGTACATTGACTGACTGTCTTGTGATCAAGGCAAAGATAGTGTCGAAGGATTCGGGAGGAGGAAGGTACATGGATTCGAGAGAAGACGAACAAAAAAGAGGAATAACAATCAAAAGCTCAGCAATATCGCTGCATTTCCAGGTTGAGAAGGATGTGCTCGAGGAGTACACCGTAAAAGGCGATACCAATGGAACCGAGTTCTTGATTAACTTGATTGACAGCCCGGGGCACGTGGATTTCAGCAGTGAAGTTACTGCAGCATTAAGAGTGACTGATGGAGCGTTAGTTGTGGTTGATTGCGTAGATGGGATCTGTGTTCAAACAGAGACGGTGCTTGGGCAGGCAATGAACGAGAGAATTCTGCCTACGCTGGTTCTTAACAAGCTTGACAGGGCAATATTAGAGCTTGAGTATCCACAGGACAAGTTTGGAGAGATTCTGAGGAGACGTATTGAAGGATTCAATGCAAAGATGAGCTCGTTGGGATACAACTTCAAGGTTGAATCACTGATGCCTGAGAAGAACGAGATTTCGTTCTGTTCGGGACTGCAGGGATGGGGATTTACACTCAGGTCTTTTGCAAAATTTTATATTGAGAAGTTTAAGATGAGTGGGTTTGAGGGGGAGAGGAAGCTTACAAAGTTTTTGTGGTTACATGATATTTCTTGCACATCTGACGATCCGTTTGATCCTGAGATGAGGCATGTGATGAAGGCCGATCCTGCAAGGAGCCCGTTTGTTGTGTATGTGCTCAATCCTATATACAAGGTGAAGGACATGTGCAACAGTGGAGACATTGAGGGAATTAAGGAGTATTTGAAATTTTTCAAGGTTGACTTCAAGGGAGTTGTATTGAGTGGAAGTGGCAAGTCGCTATTTAAGGATGTGATGAGGACATGGCTTCCTGCAGCAGACTGCATTCTTGAGCAGATAGCATTGAAATTGCCATCACCACTTCAGAGTCAAAAGCTAAAGTACGATCATTTGTATGAAGGACCGGTTGATGACGAGATGGCAATAGCAATTAGAGATTGCAATGCAGCAGATGAAGCGCCAGTGATGATGTATGTGTCGAAGATGATACCTTCGAATGACAATCGATTTGTGGCATTTGGAAGGGTATTTTCAGGAAAGATATATCCGGGGATGAAGATACGTGTTCAGGAGCCTGGATATGTGCCTACGTCTGAAGATCTGTCAAATACATCATTACTGCATAACAAGTCTGTACTTAGGACAGTGGTGATGATGGGTAGGGGGTATAAGGACGTGCCGGACTGCCCTGCAGGGAACATTATTGGAATAATTGGTATTGATGACTGCCTGAAGAAGACAGGAACTATAACGAACAGAACTGATGCTTATAACATCAAGTCTATGAAGTTTTCAGTGTCACCGGTAGTGAAGGTTGCAGTGTTTGTTAAGAGAGCAGAGGATCTGGGAAAGCTTAGTGAAGGGCTGAAGAAGCTTGCACAGTCTGATCCGTTGTGTCTGGTTGAGAGGAACGAGAAGGGACAGAATACAATAGCATGTGCAGGAGCATTGCATCTTGAAATATGTCTTAAAGACCTTGAGGAGCAGTATGCAAAGGTGCCGATTATTTCGGATGACCCACTTGTGACATACTTTGAAGGTATTAAGGAGGCAGTGACTGAGCCAAAGATGAAGAAGTCTGCAAACAAGCACAACAGGATATACATGACGGTGGAGCCTATTGAGCCGAATGTGGTTGAGTTCTTGAAGACTATGAAGATAGACCAGATCAAGAACATAGTGACGAACTTCCGAGAGAAGATGGAAATGAGAGATGACTGGATCAAGAAGATATGGTACTATGCACCGGAAACTGCGCCTGAGAACCTGATGGTTGATGGGACAAAGGGAATTTCGATTATCAATGAAATCAAGGAGCACATCAACAGTGCATTCCGAGAGGCTGTGCAGGAAGGGCCATTGATTGGTGAGAAGATGAGTGGGCTGAAGTTTGAGCTCAAGGATGCTGTGCTGCATGCTGATGCAATCCATCGAGGAGCAAACCAGCTGATCCAACCGGTGAAGGAGCTTTGCAGAGGGCTTTTGCTTGTTGCATCGCCTGTGCTTTATGAGCCAATTCTCAAAGTTGAAATAACAGTGCCTGATGAGCATTCAGGAGCAGCGTCATCCGTGCTTATATCAAAGAGGGGTGAGGTTGAGCCTGAGGGCTTCATAAGTCTTCCTGGAAATGTGACAACAATGATAGTTGGATTACTGCCTGTGAAAGAGTCGTTCACCTTCAATGAGGACCTCAAGTCTGGCACAAGAGGAAAGGCTAGTGCATCTTTTTATTTCTCTCATTACAAAATTCTTCCTGGGTCTTTGAACGATCCTAACTCCCTGATGTTCAAGACAGTCAAGGAGGTCAGGAAGCTCAAGAAGATGAGTGAAATTATGCCAACAGCTGACGATTTCTTCGATAAGCTTTAATTAATAAAGGTTAGCTTGGGTTTATTTGTATTTGAGACATATTGCGTTATTGTGCATTGTGTATGGATCTGCATAGTAATGCGCGCTTTCTCAGCTGGCTAATGTGCTTATGTGCCATCTACTCTTTGCCTTTGAGCTGATCTGTCCCTTTGAGGAAGTCAAACTTCGGGTCCGTGCTTATTGCATTGAGTATAAACTCGGATGACATCCTGGATGTATTCTTTGACTTTGCCTCCTTGAGCACAAGCTCTACAACTTCAGAAAGGAACATTTCAATTGCCTTGCTTGCAACAACAGGGACGGATGCGCCTATTTTGCCTATATCTTCATTCATCTGCATGATTCGCTTGAGCCTGGATATTGGGAATCGTGTTAGTTTTTTTTTCTGTGCATCCTGTTTTGCCATTGTTTACCCCTCTGTCTATAAGATTTTAACACACTCCCATATCTGCCAATTCATCCGATGCAAAGCTCCTTTTGTGAACAATATTTTTGCATTATGCGAGTCCTACATGGACAAGGACATCTTGAAAAGCAGAGTATCTATAACTATAAAAAATTCTGCTTTATTCAGACTTATTGAAAACATAATAGATCAGAACACTGTTGAGCGTCTCATAAGCACGATCACGGACCACTTGATGACTGGGAAGTACAATAGAGAAAAATCACTTGATTATATTTCTGAGCTTATTGAAGATGAGCTGGAGCGCTCAGATATAGAGCTTGATGATGATGTTGATGGAATCTCAATGGCTATTTTATTTGTGTATGAAGAGCTTGTTGATGGCAAGAATGAGTTTTTCCTTAAGATCCAAGAAAAGCATACACAAGTTACTCCTCTATGCGATTCAGATTCAGAAGCTGAATAATTCCTATTATTATGCATTATAATAGCAGTCAGAATCTGATATTTTTATAAAGTTTCTTATTCTTGGAGTTTTTCTTTGTATCAGTGTGTTGTTGTTGTTCTATATCTTTGATTTGTTCCTGAACGATACTTTCATCTGTAACATCTTTAGGATTATCAGATTGTTTAACTGATATTATTCCTTCTTCATTAGTGTTAGGTTGATTAACTTGTATTATTCCTTGTTTATTAATGTTAGGTTGATTAACTTGGATTGCATCTACATCTTCTTCATTAGTGTTAGGTTGCTTAGCTGATGTTATATCTTCTTCATTGATTTCATTATTCATAATATTCTTTCTTACTCTATGTTCAGGCATATCAAATACAACTTTACTTGCTTCATTATTCAGGCATGTATTTGGTTGTATTTGTATTGATTTATCTAATTTGGTTCTTTCTTCCAGGTATTCCACATACGCTAGATTTGTATATTGATTGTTGGCGTCATAGACATATTCAACTTCATTGCGTGTATCACTCGCTTCGAGTTTATATAAAGGCTCGCCCCATCCCTTCGGTTGATATCCATATACACATCCGTTTGGAATCGGTGAATTTAATCCAGGTATCAATGCATCAGGATAAGAAGACGGCATTCCATTCCTTTGCATGGCTAGAAGCCATGGAGGCGGTGTTTTGTCATCTATTCCCAATGCATCCATTAACTCCTGGCTTATCTTTCCAGGTGTGTACATATGCACAAAGTAATCAGACCTTGGATCAAACACACATCCATATCTTGTTGTTCTTATATCTATCTCCTCATTGAAAAACGCATCATAGAGCAGTCGCTGATTAACTGAGGACTTCCCGAGTTTTGGATACAGCTTTTCCTTGACTCTTTCTCGCAAGCTCATCCCTGCCTCACGCTCTTTCATAAGGCTTCGCAGTTCTGGAATCCCTGTCCTTACAATACTTGCAGGAACCTGGTATTTAGGTTTTGCATACTCACGTGGAAACATTCTCTTCAATCCTAACTTCCAATATGCTGGTACAGCAACCACTCCACTACGTCCTTTTATTCGATTATATGTAATAGGATCGGGACAAGTCGCATCTTCGATCTCAAAAACACTTGGATACGGTACTGAAAGCTTTAGTTCCTGGTATCTATGAAGTATTTCTGTTTTCTTTCGTTGCCTCTTACACACAGGCTTTGTATGTAAATGACTTGAATACACAAACAAATATTCTTTATCTACTTTCCTTGCACACATCAAGGCATGCATGAAATGCTATTATCTATAAGATTGCTGTTCATGCTCTACAAATACATAATGAATAAAAAACACCAAAATCATGCGTGATGCAAAGATTCCGCTTTGTAAGAAAACTTGGCAGAGGCACACATGGCACAGCATACCTGCTCAGATCAACAGATGGCACAGACAAGATGCTTGTGTGTAAATCAGTCTCAATACCATACAAAGCATATGCACAGCAAGAAATAAAAATACTATCCATGCTCTCACACAGACGAACAATAAAACTCATTGAATCATTCTCAACACACTCTGGAATATCAATCATACTGGAATACCTCAACCATGGCACTCTTGCAGAGACAATCAGCTACTTGGTCAACAGGCGACATAGAGCCACGAACTATCTGATATGGTCTGTAATGGCACAAATAGCAGATGCATTACTTTATCTGCATCACATGCAAATTGCACACAGAGATGTTAAACCTTCAAACATATTCGTTAACATGGTTCTGATTGGCAGCCAAGGGGTGCTTGAGTTCAAACTTGGAGACTTTGGTCTTGCAAAGATGTGCTCACAGATATTGCCTGGTGATGTAGTTGGGACTCCATACTACATGGCACCTGAGGTCATCTCTAGAGAAGCATACAACAACAGCGTTGATGTTTGGGGGCTGGGTGTTTCATTATATGAGCTATCAGTGCTAGGAAAGCCGTTCTATGGCAGTTCTAAAGACGAACTCTACAGCTCAATATTACATGCAAGCATCCAATCGAGTAGCATATGCAGTAACAAAAATCTCGACTTTTTGATTAGAAAATGTATTATGAAAATCAACAGAATATCGATACAAACGCTTTGCAAAAACAAAACCCTGAAATATCACCTGCGAATACTTGATTATGAACTTCATAACAGTTATGAGTGAGTATCTATTCAACATGTATTGATTGATTGTACATCATGAATATTGACTATTTGCATTGATTATTAATCTGAATATTAATTGATTGTAGATCCTGATTATTCACATACAAATTACAGAAACTCCCACAGAAGTGTCATATTGGTTTCAGATCATGAATAAAAGTTAGGAGAGTACAAATCTAAAATGCATAACAAAAAACACTCAATCCACTGCACTCACACAACATGCTCAAATGATGCAGATATTCGCAAGATTTCAAAGGTACTGGCTATCATCCTGGTATTCATGATGCTTGAACTTTGGGGGCACTGGAAAACAAACAGTCTGTCACTTCTTGCAGACTCACTGCATTTACTGGTGGATATCCTCGGATTTATTGTAAGCTTGCTTTCGCTGAAATGGGCGAAGTGGCCCTCGGACAGGCGAATGACATTTGGATACCACAGAATTGAGATCATAGGTGCTTTAGTGTCAATTGGACTTATCTGGGCAGCTGTTGGATACCTGATGATTGAGTCGTTCCACAAGTACATTCATCCTGAAGAGATAGATGGAGGGATGTTTTTTGGCATAGCAGTAGTTGGATTCTTTGTGAACTGTGCATGCGTGTACGTACTGCACTATGACGAGTACCAACATAGGCTCAAACATAAGAACCTGAATATCCGTGCAACATATGTGCATGTGATTGGGGATCTCATACAGTCTGTAGGGGTGATAATTGCAGGAATGGTGGCATATTTCTACCCAGAGAAGGCAGTTGTGGATGTGATCTGCACGCTGTTTTTCTCTGTGATTGTTTTAATATCGACTGGGTTTGTTTGCAAAGACGCAGTCTACATTCTTGCAGAAGGTGCACCGATGGATCTTGATACTGAAGCACTCAAAACAGATGTCCTGGAAATCGAGAATGTCTATCGAGTGGTTGAGCTTTATGCATGGTCGATATCGATGAACAAAAAGGCGGTTTCTATAAGGGTGCTTGCTGACGATTTGCTAATCAATGATTATGAAAGCATTTTATCTGAAATAGGTCGGATAGTGAAGGAGAAGTATCATGTGATTATAGTGACGATTCAGATAGACACGCCTAACACGTTCTATGGAGAAGGTGGATTTACTGTTGATGGGATGGCTATTGATATGAAGTCACCGATGTCAGAGATCTCAAATGCTATAGAATCGTAGAGAAGAGTGATCAAATAATAAATGGTTTTAAGATTGTTGTAATATATAGAAGATATGTATTTGCATTGACAGGTTAAATGTGTAAGTATTGCAGTGAATATTATTGTGGATATTACTGTGAAATATAAAAGTTATTTATTGTGAATTATGAAGTTATCTTGTGAAATATGTGATCTATGAAAATATGTAATCATTTATGAAAGTTATTTATTGTGATCTATAAAGTTTATTTATTGGGAAGTATATGAAGCTGTGAATTGTCAAGTATAAGGTTATCTTGTGAAATTATGGATTGTTAAGTATCAAGTTATCTATTACCAAGTATTAAATTCCCTTGTGAAAGTTCACAAAGTGCCATTGAGATATGCCCTGAATGCAGCCAAGCATCAAAAAAAGAGATTACAGGCAGAGAGCACATGCAAACCCATTCAAGGATAACAACATTGACATTCCATCAGATCCACAATCTGTAGACTGGACGAAGTATTTTTATTGTAACATATCTGATGACGCTACAAAGTTGATAGACAGTTCCAGAAAGCCTGATTTCGTAGATATAGGCTGTGGATATGGAAAATTTCTTTTGAAGGTTGCTGCAAAGCATCCTGAACACCACATTTTAGGAATAGAATTGAGAGATAAGGTACATGATTATGTAAAGACTATGATAAGCAGCATGAACGTGCTCAATGCAGGAATAATGAAAACAAATGCAATGATCTTTCTTCCGAATATATTTGAGGCAAGACAGCTGTCTAAGGTTTTCGTGTTATTTCCAGATCCTCACTTCAAGAAAAGAAAGTGGAAGGGACGTGTAGTGTCACCTCAAATGATGGAGGTATACGAATACCTGTTAATGAAGGGAGGAAGGCTTTATATATCGACAGATGTCGAAGAGCTGTTTAACTACATGGACGAGACCATTGTTTCAAGTAGGCTTTTCAGACCCCTTTCTGAGGATGAGGCAGCTCTTGACGAGATGTCTAGCATGATTTCCAGAGACACAGACGAGGCAGGCAGAGCAGGAGCAAAGTCTGGAAAGGTATTTTCAAGAGTGTTTGAAGTCAATAAGGAATGATTGGATTTATGAAGAGGGACGGCAGGGACACTCCTTTGTTTGGATAGCCAGGAGTGATTGGAAAGCTCCTTTTGAAATACTTTTTTGGAGAAAGCCCTAATGGGAGACGACAGGCCAGTTGTAGAGTTTATGCTGATGCTATTTCTTGTCACGTTCTCGTTTATGCTGTTTCCAGAGATGCTTACGACATCTGTGAAGAATGCAGGGTATTTTGAAGGGAACCGAACGGTGCGTGACTTGAGTTTTTTAGCAAAGCCAATGGGTGGGAATGTAACGCTGTATGATAGAAGCGGATATACAGGAATAATCAGTATGAGTAGCATTCCAAGCGGATCTCCAATAACACAGGCGATGCACCAGATATGCAAGGAGGGCAAGCCATGGTTTAATGTTCAGGTTGATGAAGAGACTTGTTGTGTGTTTATAAGGACTCAGTCACCGATTCCTGATTATATATTCAGACTAAACGAGATACCTAATAAGAACCTGTCACCATCTGAAATGGTTCTGTCACTTGATAGCTTCTACTCTTCAAAGAAGACGTTTGACAAGAAGATGATAGAAACACTTGTGTATCTGATGATGAGAGAAAGCTTGACTGACAAGCTTGTTCTGCTATATGAGCAGATGATGGTGATAATCAATGATAGAAACAAGATGTTTCTTTTTGATATTGATTTTGACCAGCTTCCTATATTTATCAAGACAGCGACGAATCTGAATACGATTATTGCAGCATTTAGCATAAGTGAAAACACGCTGTTTGTGTACACGACTTTACTGTCAAGGGAGATACCGTATAGTAAAGTATTTGAAGCCCGATTCGCAAAGATGTTTCCTGAGCAGAAGGACATTAAGATAAAGAACTATCTGTCTACAGATGATTACAAAGGCCTGAGTTTGCTAATAAGCGATGAGGAAAGAAGCGAAGCAATGAATCTATTGAGCCTGTATTTGAATGACTTTTCTAAAACTGACAAGCAGATAACAGAAGCGATGAAAATACCAGGTGAAAGAGCATCATTCATAGAAGTGTTGGTGTAATCGATTGGCATAATGGATGATGCACATATACAGTATTCAAATGGAATACATGAATACAATCCGGATGTTAGTGGAGAATAAATTTTAATTATAGAGAGTCTTGATTTTTTCATATGTCTGAGCAGAACCAGTATGGATTATGAAATTGTGGCAATATATCAGATATTGATAAAGCTTCTTAGAAGTCTTGCTTCATGTTTGTAAATTCCTTGATCTGGTGTTTCTAGAATTAGTGGAATGTCATCAGAAAAATTGCTATTCATGATGAACCTGAATGCATCGCACCCAATCAGTCCTTTTCCTATTGACTCATGCCTGTCTTTACGGGAGCCAAGTGGTTGCTTGCTGTCATTGATATGCATTGCCTTAAGGTACTGGATGCCTACTGTCTGATCAAATCTTTTTATGACCTCTGCAAATCGTTCTTCGGTGCGTATGTCAAATCCTGAACCAAAAAGATGACACGTATCAAGACAAACACCCACACGCTGTTTATCATCCACAGCACCAATTATATCTCTTATTTGTTCGAAGCTACTTGCAAGAACATTGCCTTGCCCAGCCATATTTTCTATCAAGACAATAACATCCGGAACTGTAGCCAGAGCTGTGTTTATGTTTCTGCTGATGTTGGCAAGTGCACTCTGAACACTCCCACCTTTGCTGCTTCCAGGATGGATGTTGTACATTTTGATTCCCAATGAATTGCATCTTTTGAGATCATCTATAAAGCACTCCATGCCTTTCTGAGCTGAATCTGTGGCAAGGTTCACAAGATATGAAGAGTGTGGTACAATAAGCTCTGGAAGGCGAATATTTTTGTGGAACATTTGTGCAGCAGTATCGCTGAGTGGAGCAGAAGAATACCGCTTTTGATTCTTAAGGAATATTGCGCATGTATCCAGTTCAAGCAAATCCATTTGTTCTTGTACAGTATGAATTCCATTGCTTATTGATAGATGTGCACCAATTATCTTTGCCATGGGAAGAATTCATGTGCTAAAGAAATGTTTAAAAATAAATGTTGGAGCTGCCTTACTGGAGATGCAGGACTTTGTAAAGGAGTCCAAAAGGATCCTGAATGACATAGAAACACTGGATTCGTACACAACCAGTATAGACTACTTGAGTTCCCAGAAGAACAGTTCGGTGCTGAGCAAGGACAAGGAGAAGACGCTCAACAACCAGATTGATGTTCTTAACGAGCGGTTCAGGGCGCTTTCAATGAGGATCAAGGGAAAGATAGACGACTTTGCAGATGAAACTGCGTCGATGGAGAAAGAAAAGAAGAACAATGGGTTTTACTGTCAGACAAGGAATCTCCACCTCCAGGCACAGTCAATGAAGCTTACTAAGGTAATCAATAGATACAGAGAAGCACAGATAAAGCATCGAGAGGACGAGGTGGATAAGTTCCGGATGCAATACATTATTGCAAAGCCCGATGCAACAGAAAGAGAAATAGAGGAGTTTATTGAAGACGAAGATGGCTCGAAGATTGAATCTGCATTTGCACTCGGCGCCAACTCAGCAAGGGGCATTCTAGAGGAAGCAGAGAATAGAAAAAAGAACATCAAGAAGATTGAGGAGATGGTGCAAGAGATAGTGGACCTTCTTAACCTGATCAGCCAGGAGGTGTCTAAGCGCACGAGTGTTGTTGATTCCATCAACGATGAGTTGATTGCAGCGCGTGAAAACACGACTGCAGCAAATGCCGATCTTGAGTCTGCATTGGTATACCAGATCCGGGCCACTCGGATAAAAAGAATGATTTTCTATGGGATCCTTATAATTATTGCGGTGTTTATTGTTTTTATTGCTATAAAGACCAATTTTTTTGGTGCGTTCAACAATAATAAGTTCTAGTGTGAGACAGAGTGTGTGCTGTAAAGGATTGTCTGGTAAATAAACGAATATTGTATTTGATGTGATGAATAATGTGCTTGTGAGATACGATTTAATGTGAATTTTAATGGACCTTAATGGGATTCATGAATCGAAATAGGATTGATAGAAAAGAAGGGAAAGTTAATGTGTATCTGAACATACCAGATAACTTCATATATGACATAAACGAAGTGGTGGTTGAGTATGATGAGGTGCATAACAAGGTCAGGGTAATGAGCAAGATGATACCTTCAGTCATAAGAAACAACATGGAAGCATATTTCAAAGGAGACATTGAGAAGTACGTGAAGCTTTTGGAATGTAGTCTTGAAACTTTTTTCAGGGGAGAATGTCCTGAGATACACGAAGATTCAGGTAATGGTGATGATGTTGTAATGAGGCCATTTGAACTGCCAAGGAGCCATCGCTTTGTAATGAATCGAAATGTCGTACCAAATGTAAAGGTTGAATTTGATAAGAGCATGAGCTTTGTGGTATGCGAAAGACTCAATGTTCAGATTGAATGCAATAGATGCAAAAGGAAGGTTAGAACACATGAATCGATGGATTGTCCTGGATGCATGAAGAGATTAGATGTGCTATACATTCCCACACTTTCGATTGATTTTCTAGGGTTTCTAAAGCTAGGAGGATGCAGCCTGATATTGCTTGATACAAGCAAATACCAATTTAGCTGTGATAATTGCCAGATGAATTATGAAACTAACGAGCTAGGAGTTGGTGATGTGTTTAGCATGAAATGCTATGAATGTTTTTCAAACATGCGCATAAAGGTTATGCAGATGATGCTGATTGAGAAGAATAAAGGTGAGATCATAAAGCCTGGGCATCCTCTTCCAAATGCTGGTGCATGCAAGCATTACAAGAAATCGTACAGGTGGTTCCGGTTTCCATGCTGTAACGCGCTGTATCCATGTGATATATGTCATGATGAAGACAATCAGCACGTCCATGAGATGGCAAACAAGATGGTGTGCGGGCTATGCTCTAAGGAGCAGGGTGTTACTAAAGAGTGTGCTTGCGGAATGAAAATGAACAGATCAACCACTTTCTGGGAGGGTGGAAAGGGAAGCAGAAACAAAACCACAATGAGTAAGAAGGACAACAAGAAGTATAGTAAGTAATAAAATGTTTAGTTTAGGAGAAGTAAGTAATAAAAGTGTTTAGTTCAGGAGAAGAAATATTGGTTGTTTTCCTTCTGTGTTCTGTCCTTTGCAGATCCTGGCTTGTTGATTCTTGGCCTAAGATTTGCCGGGTCTCTTCGGAATGTAACATCCAGACTCTTAAGAAATGTGTTCATTCCGTTTAAAATATCCATGGGAGGTGTTGCAGTGCTGGATATTCCAGGTTCGCCTTGAAACACTATTACCTTGTCTGCAAGATACGTCCCAACTATCAGGTCATGTTCAACAACAAATGCAATCTTATTGTTTGAATATATAAACCGCTTTATAACCTTTGATATTGCTATTCGCTGATCAGAATCCAGGAATGCAGAAGGCTCGTCAATCAGGTATATGTTTGCTTCCTTTCCAAGGCACATTGCAATTGCGATTCTCTGTAGTTCTCCTCCGCTAAGGTTCTGCACTTGCTGATCGTAGGTGTATTCAATACACAGCGGCTTGAGGATGTCATTCATGAACGATGGATTGATGAACGAGGACCTGATCTTTGAAGATAACAACTCTCTAACGGTTCCTTTGAATTTCGGAAGGATTTTCTGTGGCTTAAGGCTGCAGCTGAGCTTTGAAAACTCCTCATCGTTGTTTGGCTTTATAATCCCTGCTATTAACCCCACTAAAGTGCTTTTTCCCATGCCATTTTCGCCTAGAAACACAATTATTTCAGAGTCATTGAATGCTCCAGCACTGACATTGAGTGAAAACTCGCCATATGTCTTTTTCATTGCTTTATAGAAATACTGGTTCTTCCTGTCTGATGAATCCGTGGGTCGTTCAGAAATGTCGAACTTGAGCTCTGAAGACCTGAACTTCATATTTTCTGTTGGGATGTATCCGTCCAGGAAGATGTTGATTGCAGATTTGATTGAGTATGGCGTTGTAATCACACCATATGCTCCTGGTTGTCCATAAAGTACACATCCAAAGTCACTCATCAAGTCTAGGATCGCCAGGTCGTGCTCAACAACAATTACATACTTGTTGTCCTGGCAAAGTTCTCTAATCTCTTTTGCTGCTGACAATCTCTGTTTAACATCAAGATAGCTGGATGGCTCATCAAATATGTAAACATCGCTTTCTTGCATGAATGCCAGAGCCAAAGAAAATCTTTGCAGTTCTCCTCCACTCAATTCTTCAACATCTCTGTTGAGGATGTTCTGAAGACACATTGCATCGATATAGTACTCTTTTTTGCCTCTTTGATCCATATCATTTATAACATCAATAACAAGTAGTTTGTTTTCAAGTTTATCCGGCTCATTCTTTGCATCTCCAAGTGCATCCTTGTTTCTTGCATCATTATTTATTGCAAGCTTTTCCAATTTGCTTTTAATTTCTACTCCAAACTTCTTTTTCAATAGCTTTGGAAGTCTGTCTATGTATTGGATTTTTGATGTTATTTTCAGCTGGCCATCGATTACCTTGTTAAAGTATCCTTGTAGCTCAGAACCTTTGTAATGGTTAAGAATGCGCTCCCATGAAGGCTCGTTCTTGTAATCTCCAAGGTTCGGCTTTATGTCGCCAGAGAGGATCTTCAATGCGCTACTCTTTCCAATTCCGTTTGTTCCAACAAGTCCAAGAACTTTGCCTGGCTTTGGGATCGGGAGCCTGTGCACTTTAAAACCATTTTCTCCGTATCTATGCGATATCTCTTTATCCAGGCTTGTGGGTAGATTTATTATTGTGATTGCTTTGAAAGGACACTTTTTCTGGCATGCCGAGCATCCAATGCACAGGATTTCAGATATTTCAGACTTTCGTGTTATCCTTATACACTCTCGCCCTGTTTTATTTACAGGACATGCCTTCTTGCATTCAGAGGCACACTGCGAAGGTTTGCACAACTCGGGATTGACAATTGCCAGTCGTGTGATGCTTGTCTTTTCATCATTCTTTGCCATTGTATGGGTTATCAAAGTCTGTACAAGACTTCACATACTCACTCACTATAAATCAGATTATGCATGATCACACAAGATTAATTAAGCACAAAATTATGCTTTGTACTTATACACATCGGTGTTGCATAAATAACACACTCAAAATATAAGTCCATACTCATTTATTTCCAATAAGATACACTTTGTAAAAACAGGTAAAGTTCTTATTTCCCCCATTGCTTTTGGCAACAAAATCAATCGAAAGTGCCTTATGACTACCAACATCAAATCTCTGAAGTCCACATGCATGAGTATCATATTCATATACACCTATGCTGCGATACTCTTTACTATTCTTAATAAAGACCTCAAACTCACGCACCGCACTGCTCGTATGTTTTGTAAGCGGATGATATATCCCAACCTTATTTATCTCAATCTCAGCTCCAAAGTCAATCGAAAACTTGGCGTTGTTACCCTTGAATGCCAGGCATTCTCCTTCATCGAGTCTTTCACTAAGCACTACATCAGGACTGGCATGCTTCCTAAGTCCAAGAAATCCGTATGAATACAGCTGCGAAGGTTCATCAATCCTTACTATTGCACCTTCCTCAATCTTTGCATGATTGATTTCCCTGGATTCCTTCATGCCTTTTATAAGTTGATTTATGGCATTATTTTCAGCTCTCAAAATATCGATTTCTTCCATTAAGCTAATCATCATCATAGAGTCTGCTGGCTTTTTGAGAAACAGTGCAAGTATTAATACATATGGAATCGCAATTGATGCATATAAGCACCACCCTCTTGGTAGTGATCTTTGTATGTTTGGATTGACCATTGAATGCTCAACCGTTTTTACATCCTTACCTACTCTACATTTCCTCACAGGAGTGTCCATTACAATTGTTCCATACTCATCAGCATCAAATGTTGAATCGATCCCAATACTCCTTGACATCCTTGACAAATCTTTCTTGCTCATCAGCCCATGCATCTAAGTAATTTTTGATCTGTTCAGGAATCTACAGGAGCTATGCATAAATCAAATCACAAAAAAACAATTCTACAGTTTATATATTTAATCATCAAGAAAATAAATAGTTATACAGTTTATATACTCAATTATCAACTCATCAATGCATCCATAAAACAAGCGCAATCGTAATAAAAAATATATTTACATAGAAATAAACCATAAGCTTGGATCTCAGGCTCAAGAGTTGCTGCTTGGAATAGAATGTGATCGAAATGTGTATGAACGATGACAAAAACAGGTTGAAACTCAGAATAAACTTATACTGAGTTGCATCGCACACATTCTGTAAGCCCATGTTTGCTATTGTTTTGCATATGGAAGATGCGATGAACGAAAGAATATAGAACATATACGAGTATGACATGGATGATGACATCCACAGAAGAAAGGCAAACGCCATTGCAACTGCAGAAGCCACAAATCCAAATGGAATGCACATGCCCTTAGAAACAACCCTTGTTACCTGAAGACCTATCAGAGACGACAAAATCTTGGAGCATCCATCAATGTATCCATGGATTATCACTGCCTTGCTTGGATTCATATGATAAACAACAGAACTATCCATAAGCGAAAATAGCTTAATTATCGTGTATGAAAGAAGGCGCACAGGCTTTGCAATCAAAAACATCATTCTATTTATCCTCATGTTGCTTTCAATACCACTTTTTTTCTCAAGAAAGATCCCTGCTGAATAGAAGGACAAGCATATGTAAAGAATACCCGCTGACGACGAAAGCGTTGATGCAACAATCACATCTTTTGAATATGCATTTTTCATCTTTTTCCACATTTCTGCGGGTGTTTTAATGCTGTCCACAAACTTTGCATTCTCTACTGTATGACCTGCACCAGGAAGAATCAATGTGGTGATCAATGCAAGGAGCAATCCTGAAAGAGACACACACATGTTCACAAGGTGTGTTCCTCCACACATTATGATGTCCTGGCCAAGCCAAGATGAAACAACACCTACGAATGTCTTAATGCTGGTGGCTGTGGAAAGAATGACATTCTTGTCTTCGTTCTTGTCTGCAGTAGAGTTGAGGATGGACTTCATAACAACACCAAACGATGTGGTTGCCCCATGAAGCACATATGCAGTTGAAATAAGAAGTGTGCTTCTGAATGGCATGAACATGAGGATCAGATACACAATTATTTCAAGCATAGTATCAGCAAACAGACTCATCTTGTTACCAAGAAGTTCTATAATCAGGAAAGAAACAAGCGAGACGACCGTCGATGAGATGAAAAACAGCGGACTGAAGCTATTATGCATTTCATTAATTGAGAATCCTTTCTTCTCAACAAGATACGGAACCATGAATGAGAGAAACGGGGTGAATGATTTGAATGCAAAGTACTGATATAGCCTGATTGTCCATAAAGACATCTGTATGAGGGCTTCTAAAGAATGCGATTTATAACTGAAGTGTGTACGGAAATGAAGTTTATATAGGTTTTTATAACTGAAGTACATATAACTACATATAAGTGAAATTTACTACTTGTCAACGGTTTTTGTAAAGATAAGAAAATTATCCCTGAATGCTGAACGACTATTACGAATATTTACAAACATTGGACAAAGACAAGCTAATTGAATTTCTATACCAGCCAAAAGTACACAAAAAAACATTTACAGGCATTTGCATGCGAATGGTTGCTTTAAAAATATCTTATGATGGAAGGAAATACAGTGGAGTGGCCAGGCAGTTTGGAAAACAGACAATTGATGGATATATTTCGAATGCACTTGAGATAACAGGACTTGGAAGTAAGCTTGTGTATGCAGGACGGACAGATGCAGGAGTTAGTGCAGTAGGAATGATAGCTTCAGTACATGTTGTGTCAAGAATAGCCAATCCAAGCAGAGGATATACGCTTGGAGATGAAGATCACAAGGAATACAGATACGACTTGATTTTGAATACATACCTTCCTGAAGACATTCGTGTGATTGGATGGGCGCCTGTTCCTGATGACTTCAGTGCAAGGTTTACATGCATACAGCGACAGTACAGGTATTATTTTCACAAAGATAGTCTTGATTTGAGCAAGATGCAGGACTCAACACATAGAATCAAGGGGATGACGAATTTCTACTATTTTTGCAAGCATTCAGACAAGAATGCCTTGTATGAACGAACCATAGACGAATGCAGAATCATTGATGATGGTGATATGTATTATTTGGATATCAAGGCACGTGCATTCCTGCATAACATGGTTAGGAAGATAATATGGGCAATTCTAAAAGATGGACGAGGTGAAGCATATGATGAGAAGCGGATTGGCTTAGAAGAGCCGTATCCTCTGGTGTTTTACAATGCAATCTATCCGGAGGAGCTGCAATTTATCATGGATCAACGTTGTAATATGCTGTTTGACCAACAGATAAGAGATGCCCGAATTAGATGCAAAATAGCAAAGCTAAGATTTGAGCATAGTTGTCAAGGATTATTTATGGACTTCGGTGATGAATAAGATTATCATAAAGTTATCAAATGATATAATGATTTATGCAATAATAAAGTTAATCAGGCAATAAAATAGTGTTATAAATGAAATATATGTGAAAGATAAGTAAAATGTTTATTCGCGGACTTTTTGAATGATTTCCTTGACAACAGATTTACCTTGTTCAGTCAATACTGCCTCAGACTTACCATTGAAGACAATCCATCCTATGTTTTTCAGGTTTTCAAGGATTGAATCTCCTATCTCCTTGAATGCCGGTGCAAATTTGTCTGGCCTGCATCCTCTGTTCTTCATGCATCCGTATATCTCTGCAAGCTGCTCAGACGTTACAGACCCCATTACTGCGATTCTTCTCATAACAGATGCAACTCTTGTTAAGTACCAGGTGTCGTCACTGGGTGCCTGTTGCTTGCCTGTGCCAGTCTTCATGATGTCATGATCCTTGATGGGAACTATCTTATTATTCGACTTGAGATGTAATTTAAGTGCATTGTTGAACCTTTCTGGCCTAACCTCGTGGATCTCTGCAATCATATTGGGGTAATTTTTTCTGGAACTCAAAAAACGCAATTATGAATGGCACGGGATCCCCTGTGCAGGTATCATATTTCATAACGACTAGGCAATGTGTGATTCCACATGTGATCTGGCCATGGAAATTCCCGTCTTTTTGTAAGGGCATTAAAGTCTACACCGATGACATATTGTACAAAGATTCTGCATATGATAAGGGACTTGAGCAAACAATCCGAGAATTTTGCTCGATTGATAGTGGAAGTGTGTGTGTTGGATTTCGAGGAAAGTCAAAGACGTTGACATCGAAGCGAGGAAACTACAAGCTTGAAAAGAAACGTTATGAAATGCTCATTGACACACTCGAACCTGATTTTAGTGCAAACTATGCAGATGGAAAGATGATTATTGATGGAAATGAACTTGTTGAACCAGCAAATGTTAGCGAGTTCGTTTACATGCTGAATAGCGGAATCATGCTATTTGGAACAGAGTTTGTTAATAGAGCTGTGGATGAAGGACATATGTTGAAATTTGATGGAAAGATTGTAAGTGAAGGAGGAGTTTTTGATTGTAAATGCTGTGGAGAGCTATGCGAGGGATATCTGGAGTATTTATGGAACATTAAAGAGATGAATGCAATGAGATACTTGACTATACACAATTACAATGTGATCAATAGTGTGATTGGAACGATTTGTAGTGAAGATGTGCAGGATAGAACAATTGTGTACAGTAATGAGATTGGATTATGAAAGATAATGGTGCTCATTATTTATGGCAAAGGATGAGATTAATTGAAGCAGGAACAGATATATGAATAAAATATTTACCCCCAAATGAGTATGAGCATGGCGTCAGTGGACCAATTTCTGAACTTTGGGTTGTCACTAGTGTCTATGAGGATATTTCAGAAGTCGCAGTTCCAGAGTGAGAAGGCAATATTTACACTGAGAGTGATTTATGTTGTGTCTAATGTTGTGCAGCTCTTATTTTTTGTGTACATAATGCAGAAGATCAAGAAGACGAATGATAGCAGGATGGTGAAGATCAGGAAGGAGGCTTCTCTTTTCCAAGAGGATAATGATGCAGAAGAAGAGGAGATGACGTATGGACAATACGACACACTTGAGCTGAACAAGATGAGGAAGTCTACAATGATACAGTTTTTAGTTGTATGTGCATTGCACTTCAAGTTCAAAGCTGTTCAACCACTTTTTGTGCAGTCATTTACACCGATCAGGAATCTTTTTTTGAATCCGCTGTATATGGCACACATATGGAATAGGAATGTGTTGAGGCCGTTCGATCTGAATATGTTGTTCAAGAAGACCGAGCCAGCAAAGGAGAGCAAGGAAAAAGCTGAGGAACAGAAGAGCAAAAGGATTAAGGAGGATTGAGTTGAATAAACAGATTTGAAATGTTTTTGTGTGAGTTAAAATTGTGATTGAAACCCCCTGGATGGATCCACGTGCACTCGTTGAACATAATCAATGCGAGGTGAATGATCATGAGAAGAGGATGAATGAATTTGAGTGTGCAAGCATACCTGCACACGGAGAGATAGGAATTCTACAGGATGAGAAGAACATTGTTCGTGTAAAGGTTCAGCAGAAAAAAGGTGCAAAGAAAGTGACGATTATTGAGAACATTCCATTGGATGTGAGAGAGAATGTTCTTTGCTCATTGAGAAAGGAAATGGGATGTGGAGGAACTCTGCTGGATGACCGATCAATCCAGCTTCAGGGAGACAAAACAACTAGCCCAGGACTTGTCAGTTCATTGAAGAAGTATATCAAGGGATGTAAAGTGGAGATGAACGGAAGGATCAGCTGAGTGCAATAGTTGTTGAGTTGTGTATGCCGCGAGTGTATAAATGCCGGAGGCGTTTGATTAAATAATCTTTTGGAGTTTTGAGACATCATAGCATTTAGATGGAAAGAGTATGTGTTTGTGTGTAGTTGAGCAATGGCCTTGTGCAATGCCTGATATGGTTACGTCTTTTATCTGAAAGCCAACATCATAAATATTATACTTCTTTTATTAGTCAATTTGTGAAGTCTAGTGGCTCAAAGAGTATCTTGTCTGGTGCTTTAAACACTCTTGATGTTTTATGCTTAAAGAGCTCGTTCAGGATATCAAGGTTGTACTTCCTTCCTATTCTCTTTTTATTCTTATTCTTAGGTTCAAATTCATGAAGCTTATGCTTTGAGTTGCACATCTCATCCTTTGTAAGGAGATCCTTCTGCGGCTTGTTTTCATGCAAATACATGCATTCTCCATTCTGACATATTGAGTTTTTTAAGTAAAATGTGCAGTACTTCGTTGTTCCATATGTGCACTTCAGAACCTTTCCGTCGAGCAAGCTCTCATCAACTTCTTGTATGCATATCCTTGCTTCCTCGCTTGTGCTGTATGTGATGTATGCACTGGCAGTAGACTCCAATGAGGATGCACGTTTATTCACAACTATCTTCTTGATGATTCCAAATTGTCCAAAGAACTCGTTCCTACAAAGAACGTCTTCGTATGCATACTTCTGTGGAATGCATATTATGTACACAAGGTTCTTCTGCACAACTCTTATGCTTGAAAAACTCGGGGATGTATCAGGAGCTTGTGCCTGTGTATCTTTTGATATCATCAGGGATATATGCCTCTGAAAAATTTAGCTTGTTCATATCGCTATCTCATGTACATGCTTTGAACATGCATATATAAATAGCTAAAATTTACTCGGCATTAAAATATTGCATAAATCATTTCAGTGTGTTTATTATTGCATTTCCCATACTCTCTCAGGATACTTTAATCAATGCGATAATGCATGATCTGCAAACATGCACGCATAGCCACAATCTGCTCATTCAATTCAAAAACATCCCTGAATCGGCAGTATATGTCTCCTTTCCAACCTCAACTACCCAGATTTCAACATTCTCAGCATTGAGGGCATCCTCCTCGGGATGCGCATTTCTCAGTGCCATTATTCCTATTCTTACAAGCTCTTCAACACCCATGCCTTCATATTCTCCACAGTGTGCTTCCAACACTGTTCTGGATGACTGGCATCTACATCCTATGCTCATCCCATGTACTTCTTTTGCACTTCCTTGCGGATTAAACTCAACCAGTCTGATCTTTCCTTCATATTCTGTCATGTACAGCCCTGCAACTCCATAAAGTCTTCTTCCATCAATCACTGTTCTTTCAAACGTATCCTTCAGTAGCTCATCAAAAACATTGATGAAATGTGGCTTTCTGCCTTTAATAACATCTTCCCTGACATTCTCATCAATCAAGTAATCCACAATATGCATCCCATCATTTGTTATCCCAGAAAACGTAAACAATGTCTTTGAATCAATCTTAAACACCTTCTTCTGCACTTCAGCCAGTTTAGACCTTTTTTCATTGTGTGCGATCATTATTCCAATTCGTGTGTTCCTTAGTCCCATCACTGTGCTTCCAAGTTCTGTTGTCTGTTGTATATAATCAAGCTGTTTGATCTTTCCTTCCGGACTGAATATCTTAAACATATTGTACCTTGCCTGAGATCCCATCTTACCTGGGGTCTAAACATTATATCATCTTTATTCCCAAAGATTTCATCAAATATTTGATGTAGCCATGCATAATACTTTCATATCATCAAATATAATACTTCGCTTCATGCAACATGAATAATGCTTTCACTTCATCATATATTCCATTAAAAATGTATAATACTTCACTCCACTTCATGCAAAACACTTCATGCAACATGCATAATGAATCTAAGTCATAACCTCGATTCATAGTACATCCACTCAAATCATACTCATGAGATAATAAACTTCACATGCTCTCTAACAACAGGCGCATCTACATCTTCAACAAATCGCTTCAATGACTCCTCATACATCCTAACAACATCATCCATCGGATTCTTAATGCCACTATCTATCACAAAATCATTCAACTCCCTTAGCTCTTTAAATACCCGCTCTGCAAAATTCAGCATCCTACACGCCTCATTGAAATACAGCGAGTCCTCAGAAGCCATCTGCAAAATCCTGTTGAAGTACCCCCTGATCCTGTTCTCAAAGTCTTCTACAGTCTTGATCCTCGGCGCCTCCTCAAGCGCATCAAACACACTCGATCCAGACCTGTTTGTAAACAGCTTAAATGTATCCTCACGCACAATCAGATCAATCACTCTATATATCATCATCCCGGGGCTTTCCCATAGAAACATCATATCATTACACATTTATTTAAAAAGACATACATATTCTTAGCAGCGCCCTGCTCGCAAGCTCATCGGCCTCGTCAAACTCATCCTCGTCCTCAGCCTCACACTTGATATATCCAGCAACATTCTGGACACTGTTGCTCCGCTTAGTTTTCATCGCTCTCTCGCCCTCGTTGCCAGATACAATCACCCCTCCAACACACTTCTTCTCTACCCTACGGCTTCTATGGAAGTCGTCAATTGTGCAGAACATGCTCCCGTGCCTCACCTTTTCACTCCTCCTCTGTATGGACGAGTTCCAGTAGTTCTTGATTGCATTGTCCGTCCTTCCTGGAAGATACTTTGCTATCTCAGACCATCTGTTTCCGTACTTCAGGTGCAGTTCAATGATCAATCCCTCCTCTTCCACACTGAATGGTTTTTTTGTAATGTGAGGATTCAGGTGGTTGTGCCATCTCTCTCTGCACTGCTTTCCCACACGACTGCCCAGCTTCTTTGCAATAAAAGACCAGTTCTTTGCAGAATACTCACTCACAAGCCTTACAAGCTTCTCGTCCTCTTCATGCCTCCATGGGCCCTTGATGAGTCTTCCATTTGATTCTGTAGTGCCGATAACCCGATCAAAAGAAGCCATGCGTGCTCAGGGATCCTCTCCTTATATCCTTTGTTTTCAAAATTAAATTGATGATCTATTTGGCGCAATCCACTCCGATTTAATCAACACTCAATATTAATGAATTCCTCATTTTTCAAAATACCTTCATATATCGCCATATCCATTATCATCTATAATTGATTTTCCCTCCATAAATAATTCATCACTTATTTCCCCGCCATATCACATTATGATCTAATATATTCTAATTACCAATCTTATGTACATGTGCATGACACACAAATCGATATTTGTACAGCACCGCATTGATTCAAAATAAATTCACAGGTTTAAGCATGTACAAGTCTATTGTAACATCATTCAGATACATGAATTAAATCTATAACATCACTCAGGCACATATTATAAACATCTCTACTTGCTTTCTAATAGCAATTGTTATCTAAGTACATTCTCAATAATGCTTATATCTTGCATTTCAAGAGATTCCACAACATACGAGACTATCTCATCAACTTCAACTGGTTCGGCATCCAGCATGCCAATAAACTCAATCAGCTGCTCTCCATCAAGGTCCAGGATCCGCTTTGAAAAAAACCTTAGGATTGCTGCAGCAAATAGCACAAACACAGAAAAGTCAAAGAAAATAAAAAAGTCCCACATTCGCAATACAAGCTTGATATCAAATCTTGTGAACAATGTCAAATACCACCCAATTGCATAAACACCCATATCAACACCTTGTATGCGCATATGCCTGTGTATTTCTGGAATCAGTTTCTCAAATACCTGATTCTGTGCCTTTTGTAAACTAGGAACCTTGCTCAGCTTCTTATCAAATAATGTCTCAAGACAATTGCTGCTGATTATACCAACAAGCATCTCAAATGCCTCCTCCTCTGGAAAATACATTAGTAGAAGCGCTGCAGCGCTTGACATTCCTTGGCAGTATCCAACATCTGGGTTGTAGTTTGAGTATGCTGCAAGAACATTGAAGAGCTCGCATTGCCCTCTGCCATACTCCTTATTGAATAGAAAGTGTTTTCTAAATGTCCTCTGCACATCAACATGTATCTGATGTTCATATCCGCTTTTAATTACAATCAAGCTTGCATAATCAACCTTTATGCTTTTCTTTGTCAAAATGCTCCATAACTTGTACTTCAAGGACAGCGGAATCCCTCTATATATCAGATACTTTGCCTGCTTATTCTTACGTAGCCTTTCTCGATCTCCATCGCACTCCGTAATAAGAGCATACCATTCGCTTTTTATACCTTGATTGCTATCTCCTGTCTGATTGCTGAATGCATCCATCACAAACCCATACTCGTTGGTGCAAAAGACTTCCTCTGTGACCTTATTGATACTATAAAGCTCTCTGATGGATCTTTTTTTCATCATATTGTTTTGAGATCAACAGGTATAAAATGCATATACAGATGCACTGAAACGCTGCGTGAGATTGGTTGTAAAAGAAATACAAAAAGCAAACATATGCATCGTAAGAGCACTATAAAGAGAGTTTTCAAGGTGTTCTTTCTGTTCATCCAAGGCATGCTTCTGACTTCTGGGATCGGAATGTTGATAGTAAGCACAACAGTGTATATCAAATCGTACAAGCTTCTTGGGATAGCTAAGAGCATATTGTTGGTTTCATATACATTTGGCTTGCTAAAGATCCTGTCTGCTATTTTTGGATACCAGGCATTGTCATCTAAGAAGAGGGTGCGAGTGTTTGCATATGTGTGTGTGACTCTTGTGTTAATGAACATTCAAGCAATAGGAGTTGCCAAGAGTGTGGTTATTCATGAGAGGTCTGGGGAGTGGGGAAATAAAAGATGGGGGCTACTAGATGAGAACCAACGAGAACTTATCCAATCCAAGTTCAGATGTTGTGGGTTTGGAGATGCAGATGATAGAGCAGGAGAAGGGTGTCGTGATGGAATAGGATGCATGCACATGATACAGAAAGTTGCAAAGAAGATGTCTGTGGTAGTTCAGAAGATAATAATGTTTTCATTTCTCTTTGAGTCGGTAGGAATAGTAATATTGAGTATGCTGAGGATCAGGAGATGATTAATGACAGAGCTTATAGATTATGGCGACAATATATGCAGCATAAAATGTTCTTGATGGCTTGATTGGCTTTTGTAAAGGAGAAGATGAGGGCAATTGAAGAATGAGAAATGCGGTTGGACAAGTGAGTGCCTGAATGGCAATATTGAGGTTTAATGATGGTATGACGTAAAGCAATGGGAGAGGCGGGATATGAGAAGAGAGCCTTATAATGCAAAATTTTTCGCCCCTATTAAGATGCAGAGTGAGAATAGAAAGAAGCGGGTTCCAGGTATTCATGCGCATTTAGCAGCAATTAAAGAGCTAAACCAGGAGTCTGGACGAGTTGATACATCTATTACTGAGCTTAGAGAGAAGATATCTGCAGCGTACAAGAATGATTCCGAAAACGAGATCAAGCGCGAATTGTATGAGAAGATTGAGACACTCAGCAATGAGATCAAAGAGTTGAGGGCGCAGAGACAGAGTGTTTTTGATCAGAAGACGAAGGCACTTGATGTGTACCAGAAGTTTAAGGCTGAGATGCAACCTGAGAAAGGAAAGATAAAGATACTGAGTGCAAATGAGATTGATGCACGTATGAAGGAGATCAACATGAAGCTGATAAGTAGCAAGCATGATTCTAAGACCGAAAAGACGTTTGAGAGCGAGATTCAAGAGCTTAGGAGGCAGAAGAAGAACATTGGGATGATGGAGCAGAAGAGTAGGACGCTGGTTGAGATCCGAGGAAACCTTGATGCGCTTGATGCAGAAATCAAGGATATGACAAAGAGATTGACCCAAAAACAGGTGACGATTGATGAGCTGAAGGCAAAGAGGAAGGAGATCTATGACAGTCAAAGCTCAAGCAAGAACCCAATTATTGAAGGATATGAAAAGAACATAAAGGCACTGAAGGTGAAGAAGAATGAAATAAATGAGAAGAAAAAGGCGCAACAGGAGGAGATAAGGAAGAAGGAGATTGAGCACGACAAGTTCCTAGAACAACTGGCACTTGCACAGGCAGCTGAGAAGCAACGAGACGATGTGAAGCAAAGGATCCAAAAGTTAGAGGAAAAGAAGAATGTGCTGTCGAACGAGGAGTGCACGCTTGATCCGTCTAAGTTTGATTCGGTGATATTCCGAATGCGTGCTATTGATGTGTCTGGTGGGAATTTAAGTCTTCCTATTGATCTTGCGCTGTATTTGAGCCAGTTCAAGATACCGATTCCATCCAATGCGAAGCAGCTTGAATCGACGATTTCTGCATTAAAGATCCAGAAGGAGAGCTTTGCAGGCCAAGTTGTTGGGAAGAGAGAGGAGATTGCAGTAAAGATAGCTGAACTTGACAGGAAGATATCTGAGGAAAAAAATATTCTTCAAAGCATGCCTCCAAGTGATGTGAGACTTTTGAAGCCTAAGCGCGAGTATTAAATCTCCAATTGCATTTTCTTTTATGAATTTGGTTTATTTTGATGTGCAATATGAATCTATTCCAGCACAACTGTGCATAATTTCACATTTGCTACTATACATACAGCAATGTTAGAGTGTGGTATTTGCTTTACCTTTATTGTTTGCTTGACAAGGTGTCTTGTTTATCTTCTTGGATTTGCTTTGCAATACCGACCACAGGTATTTGTGATGGGCTTGGAAGTGTGTCTGGACCAAGAGAATAAAACTGACCAGCATATTTTTCGTTTTTTTCATCTACAGTGTGTTTCTTTGTATACATTATTTCTGGGGATATCGATGGAATTGAAATATGCGATCTGTAGTTTTGGTAAAGTCTGAATGATAATGGAGAAGTAAGAATAAAACCAGAAAAGCATGACCCCCCACTTACCGTGTGGATATGCAGTAGTGCTCCTGCTACATGTATTCCAGGCATCTGATTCTCACTACACAAAATGGAGCAACAGGTGCCTGTGTAGGCGTCGAGCCTGCCACATAATTTTTTACCTGGGAGATTAAGCATCATGCTTTCTCCTTTTTATTTAATATATATTTTGTTGTTATTTATGCCTTATTGCCATGTAAAGTGGTGCATACAGTGTGATTTTGGTGATAATGGAGTGTGGAAGCATTCCAGTTCGATGGAGCTGTTAAATGTTGAAGTAGGTGTGTACCTTGTTATTTGAAGAGCAGACGATTGAATAAACAAGGGAATTGCAATTGATTTAGTAAAAGGAGAGAATCCTTTTCAGAGATTTATGAATACCCTTGAAGTTCAACGATATAAGGGAGGGATGAAGAAAGAGACGAACGATAGTAATGATTGCAAAGTTAGATGCTCCAGTTTGTTTGAAGGGCACAGACACAGGCCTATTTCTGCACCACCTGTGGACAAGCTTTTTCTTGAGGATGAGGTTGAGCTTGGAGATATCCAGACTGATCTGAACTACTCGATGTTTTACAGAAGAAATTGTAAGAACGAACCGAGACTACAGCCACCGAATTTCTTTATGAGAGGACAAAGTGGGCACTGGACCAGTCAGTACGATGACTTGATTGCCAAGGCGTTTTCAAACACTGGGTTTCTTGACGTGAAGACATATGGAGGACAACAACCTGAATCCAAAAGCAGTATGTCACTTGCAGAAAGAATAGACGAGGACTATCCTGAGTCAGAGAAAAGTATTGAATACAAAGGATCTTCGAGGGCAACAACACCTATTGGAGATGCAAATGTGCTTGATACAGAGGCATTCAATGCAATGCTGAATATACGCAATAAAAGTTTCAATGAAGCAGGCTCTAAAGGATGTAGAAGTGTTGATGCTTACATTAAGGATATAGAAGGCATTGCGAGTGAGAATGAATTTTTGAGGGAGCTGCTGGAGATATACGAGGGACAGGAGGGAATAAACAAATGCGGGGATTTTTCTGTGAAAGATATATGTGTGAGTGTTAGCAAGGACCAAGAAGGAAGTAGATGCATCCAAAAGAAGATGGAGGATGTGTCAAGGGAGGATGTATCCTGGTTTTTTGGGAATATAGTTGATGCATCGCCTGAGCTTTCAGCAAATCTATTTGGGAATTATGTTATACAGAAGATTATACCGCTGCTTAGCAATGAAGAAAGAGACCTGCTTATAACGAAGCTTGCAGGGCAGGTTCATTTGCTTTCTGTACATCCATATGGATGTAGAGTAGTGCAAAGGCTAGTTGATGTGTCGTCGAATGTAGACTTTATCCTAGAGGAGGTGAATGGAGGGTTGCTTGAATTGATTGAGGATCAGAATGGGAATCATGTCGTACAGAAGTGCATTGAGAAGTGTAGCGACAGAAGAAGCATATTGAAGCAGTTTGAGAAGAATTCTCTTTTTCTTGCAACACATAAATATGGCTGCAGAGTGATACAAAGGATGCTTGAGTTCTGCAAGGATGAGGAAGTGAAGGAGGTAGTGGATATTCTTATGAGAAGCATAGATATCCTTGTGGATGATCAGTATGGAAACTATGTGATACAGCACATCTTGACTGTTGGGAGGGAGAATGAAAGGAGTGTGGTTATTGATAAGATAGTTGAGAGGAGCTATGAGCTAAGCAAGTGTAAGTTTTCAAGCAATGTTGTGGAGCAATGTGTGCGTGCATCAAACAGTAGTCAACGACGCAAGTTTTTGAAGAAGTTTCTTGAGCCTGTGGGAACGAAGCCGAAGATATACCTGATGTGTGTGGACATGTATGGAAACTATGTTGTGCAGAGGCTGTATGACTCTTCTGGAGACGATGTGAAGAATGAGATCAAGAACAGCCTTCGGCCATTCATCAAGGACCTGAAGAAGTCGCCATTTGCAAGGCATATTCTGTTCAAGATCAGTTCATGATTGTATGCTCGATGTAAAATATTGAGAATAAAGACTTTTTGATATTGAGAATTTTTATAGAGATGATGCTTTGATTGAATGATAATATTATATAATTGCGATGAATAAAATATATAATGAAGCAGGGTATATTTGTGAGATGGCGAGCTATCTGAGCAACAAGGATGCAATAGTAACAATGATATTGTCAATGATGGGCACTGGAGTGACATTTATGCCTTATGCATTTATGTCTGCGGGATATCTAAATGCGATTTCTTTAATGCTATTCTTTGGATTGGGGACAGTTGGATCGTGCTATTGTATATCTTATGTAGTGAAGCATTCAAAGGAAAATTCACCAACATATTCAAGCCTGGCACACGATATTTCGAAGTATCTGGGATATTTGGTCAATGTGTCAATATTTTTCAATGGATATCTTGCGGCAGTCAACTTCTACAGATATCTGTCGGACATGATCGTCAACAACTCAAGCTTTATAAGAGAACTGACTGATAATGTGGAAAACTCCAGAAAGATTGTTGTTCTTGCGATGGCCATTCCATTTATATATCTGTCAATGAAGAAGACATTATCTGGACTTGCATTTACATCGTACATGAGCGTGATTTCAGTTTCATATCTTGCATTTCTGATGATTTACTTATTTTTTTCAGTAGGGACGGAGTGTGCAACAGGAGGAGTCAAGGCAACAAATCAATCGCTAAGATCTGCAGTGCCTGTGTTTATTTCGTCTATGGTTTGTCAGGGAAATATGGTCAAGATATACCTGGAGATGAAGAACAAGAGCAGCACAAATGTGCTGATTGTATCATCTGGTGCAGTTATTGGAGCAATCCTAATCAATGGGCTAACAGGACTGTTTGGATATTTTGTGTTTGGAGAGTCTATTGATGGAGAGATCATGTCTGAGCTTTCAAAGATGGACAGTCCTGTGAACAAGCTGATCAGGAAAGGATGGGACAAAAACAACATTATGCCAAAAATGGCGACATTTGGAATGACGCTGACGCTTTTTGGAGGATATCCTGTGCAACTTGTTCCTGTTATTGAGATGCTTTTCAAGGCATTTCCTGAGAGTAAGCGAACCGAGATGAACAGAAAGGCAATTGTGATTTTGCTATTTATTGTCTGCATACTGCTTAACCTTTTGAAGGAACTGAAAACAAAAATCATCAAAAGATTCCTCGGTGCAACCTTTTCAAACTCAGTTGCATTTGTGTATCCTTTTATTTACTATATGTGCATAAGTAAGAAACGGTCCATGTCTGCAACCATAATGTGTATTTCCATGATAGTCATCAGTGTATCTGTGAGCGTATACACAATTGCCAACTTCTTGAGGAATGGATTGGAGAAGTAATCATTAATAAACAATTATTAGTGTTCATCTTTGTTTAATATCATCGGCACAATTATAGATGTGAATGGAGTATGGCAATCACAATTACTTGGTGTAATCTTGATGGATTGTATAGATTCATTCGATACAGCAAACAAATAACTTTAGCAATATCGAGTGATACTCATTCGTCAGCACTTGAGTATGTCATTCTCAGATCTAGCTTATGTATGGTCCTGCACATGATATTATGTTTCTGTATCCAAACTTTGAGCATAGCAATGGCGTGTTCTTTGTGTGATAAACTCCAAGGCATCCTCCCTTGCTGTCTGTTTTATCCCAGAGCCTTACACTATTATCTGCTCCGCATGACACAATCACACTACCATAGAAACAGAAAGATACAGAAAACACCACATTTTCATGCCCTGAATATTTGCTGATCAATTTTGAGGTTTGTATATCCCACAGCACCACTACCTTATCTCTTCCTCCACTCGCCAAAAACTTCCCACAATGGGAAACATCCATGCATGTCACAGTGTCTGTATGTCCACAGAAGATCCTTACAACTGCTGCTGTCTCAACATCATGCATTCTGACTCTATGGTCAGATGATCCAGTAAACAGATAGTTCGAATTGGGATGGAATTTCACGGCCGTTACATCACTTAGGGATGACACTATCAATCTTTCTGGCTTAGATGCCATTACAGACCATATTATTGCTTGTCTATCGCTAGATCCACTTGCAAAAAAGTTGTCATTTGGTGCCACATCAACACACCAAACTGGAAATGCATGCGCCTTGTAAACAGCTATCAATGAAAATAAGTCAAGACTCCACAAACACACAGTGCAATCTTCAGAGCTCGATACAAGAAACTTGTTCGACTGAAAAAACTTCAGCCCGTAAACAGGTCCGGAGTGTCCCACCAGTCTGCAACTTCCTCCAATCTCCTCAAATTTCTCTTCATTCAGTGTCTTTATATCAGATTTTGCGAGCTCAGAACTACTCTTTAACTTCCTGAGAGGATCATTAGTGAGCGAATATATCTCAATATAACTATCTTTAAATCCGCATGCCATTAGCTTCAGATCATTGCTTATCTCTGCTGCAGTGAGTCCTTCGTATGTATTGTGGATCGTGTAGCAACATATACTAGGCAAGTTGTTCCTATTCACAGCGACCCTTTTGCAAAGATCCTTTAACTTCTCAATCTCTGCATGGATCTGAGATGAATTTGGCTTGTACACTGAGTCCTTCGGTTTCATTTCTCTCTGCTTGCGCAACTGTAGCACATATGTCTCCAGATGGTCATATCTATACTGCTCATCACCCAATATCGCATCTTCACACTCCCTAGACACCAGAAACGTCGTAAGATCAATCTCTACATCCACAACTCCTGTTTCTATTCCCTGAGGTTTGTCATCGCTCTTAGGTCCAACATACACTTTGATATCCAAATGCTGATTCAGTATCTTCAGTATGTATGTCAGATTCCTCTCTTCAAGAAAGTTTATCAGCAAATCAAATGCATATCTTCCCATTGACAGATGGTATTTTGAGTTCTTGAAGGTGTATGCAAAGTTATTCTCATGGATGTGCTGGATGGTATATATGCTCTCAAATTGCTTAATCTCCTCGTTTTTGTTGTGATGATCCTTCCGGTATCTTTCAAAAAACTCCTTTGCCTCCTCAGTCCTACTCTGCTGTATCAGATCAAAATATATGTGAATAAAAAGCGGATAGAGCAGTGGCAGAAGATCGTTCTTGAAAAGATCCAGAGAGTCCTCTATCCACGTCTTCAAGCTTACATATGATGCTTCCATTTGGCTCTTCACTGGGATCTTTGTGGTCATTCCATCTTTTCCATTACCAGACATCATTCAGGGCATCTCTAAAAAATTGCATTCCTTCATAATCATGTTCAATAGGTGTTGTGATCTCATCGAATCAAACTTTATAATCACATTGAACAAAGTTTTATAAGCATGTTGAGCATGAAACTTTATAATCATAATCATATTGAATAAAACTTCATAACCGCAATTACAAGCATAACCACTAACATAACTACAATTACAATCAATCTCACTCCACTTCAAATGCAACAGAAACCTCCTTGTCATTTCAAACAGATACCGTATGTAACATCCACATCATAACTCCTCCTTATATCCCATCAATCAAGAAACCTTAGAACACGCACATGCGTATAAATCAAAACCTCAAAAAATCTTTAATTATCCACACCATCAAAGAAATCAACAATAATCGAATATGCCTTGTCGGCAACAGCCCTATCGGGACTGTCCTGTAGCCCCTCAATCACATCAACTGTATCAATCTCAACCATCCTTTCATACACCGGGTTTTTTTCATACTTAAGGCTCCACTGCTTTCCACCATTCAGTGCATATCTGAAACAGTCCAAAACCTGGCACTGCATCTCCGGAGCATTCGGAACAACCTCCAGGTAGTTTTGCAACGCATCAATCAGATTATTGTCCATCAACAAACGGATCCAGTCAAACTTTGTGTCAGAGTTGTTCGGAAGATTGTTACAATGATATAGCAGGTTCAGAATCGCCCAGCATGCCTCCTTCCTTATAAACAATTCATAAGATGACATTGAATCAATTAGAAGCGGAATCAGATCTGCATCAATAGTTGCTTTTGCATGACCAACCGTCCCTGCAGTAATATTTGATAATGTCCAGCATATCTCCTTGCGCAGTCTTGGCTGCTTCTTATTCTCCAGCCTATAGAAAATCGGTTTAAAAAATCTGAGAAACCCCATCCTGATAAGCACATCCGTCTGATCATCAGATCCTGTTGCAATGTTTCCTATCATCCTTATTATAGGTGAAATTGCACATAGGCATATTTTTGCCTCCTCGGTCGAGTATGGCATTCCATCAAGCCTGTTTGTAAGCGCATCAAGAAGGGAATACGTCTTGTTCATTGTTCCACTGCCTAAGACAATATCGCTACATTCCATGCTCACATCCACAATATAACTGAGCGCCCAGAAAGCATCACTCGCAACCTCCGGATCTCGAATAGTAACTAATTTGAAAAGAACATCAAGTGACCTCCTCATGTTCTCATCTTGAGGTGGTGGATTTCTGCCTCGATTCAAATTTGACAAAAGCCATGTAAGATTCCTGACTATCTTTATATGTGTTGAGCTTTCATACAGCTTCACAAGTAGCCTTAAAATAATATCCAATGCTCCAGTGTCCAAAATAATATCCCTCATTCCTTCAGAATCCCCTGCTATATTTCCAAGTGCCCAAACACTCTGGTCAACAACCGCATCATTTGAATCCATCAACATCTGCACCAACAGCGGTACTGCGCCACTATCAATCACAGTCTTTGTCTGTTGCGTAGTGCCAGAAGAAATGTTCGTTATGGCCCATGCTGCTTCCACTCGGATTTTATTCGCAAGTTCAGCTGCCATTGCAAACTCAGGAGTATCACGTACAAGCCCTGAAATAGCGATCTCATTCATAACCATCTCAGATGATAGTAAAAACCCCATGTCCATCAACTCAACAAACCTAGGAACACACCCAGAGTCAACGACTGGCTGAATCGGCGGTGAATCCTCAACACTCAGCAAAGATCTGAACTCATATATGCCTTGATGCACTTGCTCCAAATCCCTGCTAAACAGCTTCTCTCGCATGGGAATGAAATTCGAGATAGTTGACATTGTGATCGAAAGATTGCGCTTCTTGTTCAGAAAGTCTTCTTTCTTCTGTTGCCTTATTTCAACCTGCTTTTCCTCTCTCATCTTCCTTCTGTTTTCTGTAGTCTTATCATCGAACATATATGATCTTGCCATTTTGATGGGTCAAATTTTAGCACATGAATTATCATTCTAACATTATGCACAGGTGTTTCCTTGCTCTCTAACTTGTAAAATCTGTTGATCTATCAGTATAACTCACTAATCCAGATTCATGCACTATGCATACCATATGAACAAATAAATGTTTGATTACACAGCCCTACTATTCATGAGCGCCTTAGGGAATCGTATGAAAATGGGCCTGGCATCTAATTCATTTACTCCACAACATGATCCGATGCTGGACACTACTCTTGAAAAACGAATGTATTTTGACATACAAGCAACAACACCTCTTGATCCAAGGGTTCTTGATGCAATGCTACCACTTTACACAACTGTGTTTGGAAACCCGCATTCCAGAACACACATACATGGATGGCAAGCAGAAAAGGCAGTAGAGAAGGCAAGAGCACAGGTGGCATCGCTTATCAACTGCGATCCAAAAGAACTTATCTTTACAAGCGGTGCAACTGAAAGTAACAATATGGCACTCAAAGGAGTAGCAGGATTCAAGATGAAGGATGGAAAGCCAATCCATATAATAACACAGGTTACTGAGCACAAGAGTATTCTTGATACATGTAGGAATCTGGAGGAGGAAGGCGTGGAAGTTACGTATCTGCCTGTGGGTAGCGATGGTATGATTGATCTCAATCAGCTTAAAGCAAGCATTAAGGAAAACACAGTCTTGGTTTCTATAAATGCAGTTAATAGTGAAATTGGAGTTATACAGCCACTGAAGAAGATAGGAACAATGTGCAAGGAAAGAGGTGTGCTTTTTCATACAGATGCAGCACAAGGCGTGGGAAAGATACATATTGATGTTGATGAAATGAACATAGATTTACTGAGCATGTGTGGACACAAGATGTATGGGCCAAAGGGTGTCGGGGCGCTGTATACCAGGAGAAGGCCCCGCATCAGGATGGTTGCTCTTATGAATGGAGGAGGGCAGGAGCGAGGACTCAGAAGCGGAACTGTGGCTCCTCCACTGGTCGCAGGCCTTGGAAAGGCTGCAGAGATTTGCTTGAAAGAGATGAAGAGAGATTACAAAAATATCAAAGAACTCTCTGACAAGCTCAAATGCATGTTTAGAAAGAACATTGATGGAGTACTAATGAATGGATCGAAAGAAGGATTTCCCGGATGCATAAATGTGTCGTTTCCATATGTAGAGGGAGAAAGTCTTTTGATGTACCTGAAGGATATTTCGCTTAGTAGTGGAAGCGCCTGCACATCTGCATCTCTGGAGCCATCATATGTTCTAAGGGCACTTGGAAGGGAGGATGACTTAGCACATTCATCAATAAGATTTGGGATTGGAAGGTTTACTATGCCTGATGAGGTTGAAGCAGTGGGAAAAAAAACGATTGAGGCAGTAAATGGCTTAAGGGCAATGTCCCCTCTCTATGAGATGGTCAAAGAGGGGATTGATCTCTCGAAGATTGATTGGGGCTCATGATGATTAAACGAATATTTTGATTTTGACACTTGTAGAGATGGAGTTTATGTTTGACAGGCGCATGGCATAAGGAGCGACAATCTTAACTATTTTTGGACAGGGAGAAACAACCAATCGATTGCATGGTAGCATGAGCAATTGGTTCAGTTTGCAACAGAAAAATATATAACAGTCGGTACATACCTGGCTATGGGATATGTTAGCATGAACAGTGTGAACCTCATCAAGCCATACGATGGTTTTGAGCTCAATGATGATGGAATGAAGTACAAGAAGATGGGTGAAGACATTCTTAGGTCGAAGAGTCTTGGAGTGGTAATCCTGAGTGGAGGGCAAGGCACTCGACTTGGAATCACACAACCAAAGGGGCTATTCACAATCAAAGGCAAGACTCTATTTGAATGGCACATGGAAAGGATTCAGGAGCTGGTCAAGAGCTACTGTGCAAAGATATCTGTGTTTGTGATGACGTCTTCATTCACGGACAAAGAGGTCAAGGAATACTTTCAGAAGCGGGACTTTGGTCTGTCAATCCAATTCTTCATGCAGAGTAACTCTGTAAGTGTGGATGTGAATGGAAAGCCTCTTCAATGCTTTGGAAAGGATATTGAGTCTCCATATGGGAATGGAGATATATTCAAAGCCATTCAGCAGGTTAGTCTTGAGGGAATTGATGCATTGAATGTGATATCTATAGACAATGTGCTTGCGAAGATTCTAGATCCGGTGTTTGTTGGTGCATTTTACTCGAGGGAGTATGATGTTCTGAGTAAGTCTGTGACCAAAGGTGAGAATGAGAGTGTGGGTGCATTTTTGATGAGTAACAGTAAGCTCGTGATTCGGGAATACAGTGAAAGCGTAGGTGATTCGAGTGGTGAATGTGGAATCCAAGGAAACATCTGCAACCATATTTTCAAGACGTCATTTGTCAAGAGCATGAGGAGTGTGGACCTTAAGGAGCATAAAGCATTCAAAGCGATTCCATACAGTGTTGGTAACGAACTGATCAAACCTTCAAGTCCAAATGGATACAAGAAGGAGACATTCATTTTTGACTGCTTTGAATATACAGACAAGAACGGAGTAATGAATGTTCCCAGAGAAAAGGAGTTCTCACCATTGAAGAATGGGCAAGGATCCGTCTCTGACAACCCAATGACATGCACATTTGCAGTTGAGAAGCATAGATCTGAGGCCTCCTCATAATAAACCCTTTCCAGCAAGTAAGCTTCATATTTGTTAGTTATGGATAATTCATCTCTGCAGTCTACGCCTGAATATTTGTTTCATGCTTGCTACAGTTTGTAATACAGATGTAAAATAGATGTTTTATTGACTCACAGACGCATTCAAACGTTACCAGGTTAGAACAGACTTCCGTTGAACTCTGGCTTGTATAGAATCGGCCCAACCCATTCCCACGCTTTTTTGTTCTCAACAGACATTTTTCTTATGTTTGAGTTGGTTGCCACCATCTTCTCGACATCTGCCCAAACCTTCTTATTTATTCCAAAACAGTCCCTAAGCTGCTCTATATATACATAACTCGGAAAGTTAGTATTCTTAGTAGAAACATATATCTGTCTTACAAGCACGTCAGAAATATCTCTAACAACCTTACGAGCCATGTATTGCCTCTCTTCTTTCTTCCTATTGATAGATCTGATCATCTTTGCTACTGCAATCATCAATCCTAATGGTATTGCAATTGCTATTATCATTCGCATGTAATATCTTACAAATATTCTTATAGGCGCTTTTGCCTTTATTGAATACATCATGTTGCCCAACACTACAATTCCTGCTTGATTCTTAATCCTCTCAACCAGTTCAGGCTCCTTTGTTAATGTATCAATCGGAACCATTCGACTGCTAGCCATCCCATATGAATACTCTCCGTTCCTCCTTTCCAAATACTTCTTAATCTCATGTATCTTCCATGCCATCATCCTCTCGTGTCTGTCGTCTTTCACACAATAATCTCGCACTAACCCATGCTTGACTACAAATCCATCATCACACACAAGTTTTCCATCAACAATTCTAGAATGCTCAGGCTGCTTGATACACATAAATGCATCATTTATGCAATATGGGCACGCAATCCTGATATACACCAGTCCACTAATTAGAGCAACAATTACAGCTGCATAGATCATTTTCCATCCATTCATAGAACTGCTGCTTATAGTAACACCACTGCTCTGTTTAGCACCAGTACCAGAGCGTTTTGTTTTCGACTCTAGTTTGTCAAGCGTTGGATCTGACGTATACGCCCTTCTACGAACATCTGAGCTGCTTACATCATCGCTCTTCCTTGGCATTTCAATCCCATTTTCTGATGACCCGCTCAGCATGAGAGATGATGAAATAGATGAATTACAAAAGTCAAGGCCAGAAACGTTAGCTGTCAAAGGCATGCCTGCTGTGCTCTTATCCACATGCTTTTTATGCTTAATCTTTGTATCATGCTTCTCAGAAGCCCCTCCTGACTTTGGAGACATCCTAATGCTTATCTTCGGTGCTTTTGGCGCCCTCTCAGGACTTTTAACTTCTGAAACATTCTCAAACATCTCAATCTCTGCTTTTGAAGGCACAGCCTTCTGAAAAGGATTGTCCATCGATATTTTTCCCTTCTTTGCTTTCAGCTCCTCGATCTTTTCGTGGATGTTGCGCTTGTATGCATCCAGAAGTCTCTGCTTCTTGCATGTTATTGGAAATGAGTCTTCAACTCCATTTTCATACATTATCTTTCTCAATTGAGTTTTTGTTAGCTTCGAGTAATCAAAGTCAGTACAAAGATATTCTTCAGGCCCTATGTCCTTGGTCATTGCTAAAGGGTGCTATGAAAAATATTTATGAGTCTTGTTCTGTTCATGATAGAATATATGTTAAAACAAATTTAGTCAAGCTCATTGATCTTTGCTGTACATTCACTCAACATCTACAGATCATTTACAATTAATCACTTAACACTTACATTATTCACTCAACGATTACAAATCACACAATCGAATTTAATTATCATAAGGCCTCCTTACAAAAGCAATCAAATGTTATAGTTGATGCATTGACAAATCCATCATGCAAGCATCAGGAACACATCAATCAGAATCTGAACCGCTATGGTCACCATAAATGTGAGAGGCACATCAAGGCCCGAGTAGAACCATATCTTCACTATGTCTCCGAGGATCCAGCACACATAAACCTCTTTTGGCGATCTCTTTGCTTCTCCCTTAATGCCTCCTGTCTTTGCTTCTCTTCTTTCTAGTATCAACTGCAGTAAATTTATTCCTATTTCAAAAATTGACGAAAGGATTCCACAGGGCTCGTACGACTTGTATGTCATTCCCAGCAAGTTCACACTCAGTGAAAACATAATCAGTATCCCGATTACACTGCCCTTGGCACCATAACTTCTGAAAAGCAGCCTTGTTGCTCCGCTTCCAAGCATCTTTGTCTCAAATCCTCCAAGAGGCCTTCTGCTCATTATTATCAGACACAAATGCAATAAAATTGCAAATACGTGCTGTGCCAGTACAAGATCTTCGTACTTTCTGAAGCAGTAGTGGAACAGCTTTAGTATGTTCGACATTATGAACAGCATAGAGATAAGTGGCGAGATGAGAATGTCTCTTGATATGATTTGTGGAACATATGCAATTGCTGGTGAGAGAACAAATCCTGCATGCACCAGAAGTTTATCAATGTTCAACGCACTCAATCCCATGGGTGTTCAATGTAAACAACTAATGTTAATAATAATCAACAAATCAAACACAACAGTTTATGCATTTATCCAATGAATGTATGATAAGGGAGAATTGCATGAAATGCATGTGCAAATGTAACTGTCATTCACTAGATCCCTGCCTTGATTTATGCGTGCTCGTATGACCCCTCAGTATGAACTCGAACTTTTTCAACCGGCAGAATGAAGGTGATGGGAAGCAGAAGAATCCATTTGCAAGCAATGCATTTGGAATGCAAGGAGAAAAACCAGGAGTGTTTGGAAGTCAGCAACAGTCGGGGTTGTTTGGACAGCAAGGTAATTTAGACCCACAAATGAATCAGGCAACGCCCTCTGTATTTGGAGGAGCGTTTGGAGGATCTTCAGGAGTTGGAGCACAGGCAAATGCATCGCCATTTGGAATGCCTAGCGTGTCTCCATTTGAAAAACCAGCTGTTACACCATTTGGAAGCAGCAGTATGCCTTTGAATCCATCTCCAAGTATGCCCGCATATACACCCAGTGGATATGGATCACAAGGAGCAATGCAAGGAAGTACAGATCCTTTCAGAACACAGCAAGCTACTACGTCTAGTTCTAATGTGTTTGGAGGACAACAAGCAAGTGGATTTCAAACACAACAATCGACACCGATTACTAATGCATTTGCAAGTGCCAATCAGGGACAATTTTCTCAGCCAAGTGGATTTTCTACTCCTGCAGGATTTGCATCAGCACAACCAAGTACTGGAGTTGGATCTGTGCAAGGGCAGGGGGTTGGCATGTCAATGGGAGTTTTACCAAACACTGGTACTGCAGCACAACCAATGATGAATACAAATAACAACGGATTTGGAGGACAGCAAAGCGGAGCAAATGGATTGAATGCATGGAACTCTGATTCACAGACTCAGATACAAACAAACGAATTGCAAGGATCATCTGTGTCAGCAGGATTATGTAAAGAGGGATCTTTTGGTTTAATGGGCGATAGATCAGCAAGCTTGTATGGTGAAGGAAGCAGAGCATCAGTAGAGCGTTTGATTAAAGAGGAAGAAAAAGGCATAGGCATTGGAGAGATAAAAGGTAAGCACACTTTGACGTTTGGCCAAGCTTCTGGAGAGAAGGGAATGAGCTTTATACAGATGACATTAGGGGAGATAATACAACAGCAGACACGAAAGCTTGAAGAAAACATAAAGATGTTTAAGGAGAAAGCCAAGGAAGTGTTTGAACAAGACGAGAGGATTATCAAGGCACTGAATAACTACAGATTGATAGGAAACAGGATTGATGAAGAGGAGAGAGCGATTGCAGATACTGAGGAGAATGTTGAGTTTTTTGAGAAGTGGCTTTCAGAGTTCCAGGAGGAGGTTGCAGATGGTGCAGGAGATGAGCTTCTTGAATGCATCAAGGAGTTTGAGAGGATCAGTGACAAGTACAACAAGACGATTGAGATGCTCAGGGACGAAGATGATGAGGTGATGTGCTTAGTGAATGAGAACTACAACCTGATTAACGTTATTGATGAGAAGTTGGATGTTCTTGAGAGGTATTAATAAAGCGATGTTGAGTTTGATTTATGGATAATTCTGCAAAAGCCGTTGTTTGCGAAGATTTTTCTAGATATTTTGAAGCATAAAAGCGGGAGAGATATGAATACCCTAATGGAGTTTGTAGGGATTGATGTTGGGAACTACAAAACTTTGATTGCGTCATCTAAAGACAATGGAAAGGTGTATGGTGACGAGCAGGGGAAGCGTGGAGTAAGGACAATAATGGAATTGAGCAAGCCGATCCGTAGGTTTGGAAATGGCGTGACTAGCGATGTAAGCGAGATGCTTGAACGAAGAAGACGAAGCTTCCGAGATGAGTTGAACGACAGCAAAGGAAGGGGAGACATGGGGATGTTTATGAAGTATCTTGATAGGATAATAAAGAGCAGCACACCGACGCATCCGCCAATATGCATGACTGTACCGGTGTACTTTAAGGAAAGGCAGAGGCGAATTCTGAGCGGCATAGCTCATGCAGTTGATTTTAAACTTGAGGAGATAGTGACAGATGTTTCTGCGATCGGAATGTTTGCTTGTGTCAGACGTGAGAATATGCCTGAGACGTTCATGGTGCTTGATTTCGGATATTCGAAGACGACAGCAGGTTTATTTAAGTTTGAAAAGAATGTGCTTAAGCCGGTGTATATGAATGTAGTGAAGACAGGGTCGATGCAGTTTGATGAGAAACTGATTGAGATAGTGATAAAGAAGAATGCACTTGAGGGGAATGCATTGACAATAGAGAAGGTGAGAAGGAATCTTGACAAGATCAAGACAACATTGAATTCAACAGAAAGCTGTAGTCTGCATATATTTATTACAGACAATGCGATTGATGTGGTAGTTACACAGGAAGAGTATAGACAAGCAGTGGCTGAGGATGTAAATGAACTCAAGAAGTTTGTTACAAGGGTGATTGAGGATACTAAGCATGAAGGAGCTGTAGAAGTGACAGGAGGAAATGTAAACTCATTTGTTGTTAAAGAGATGCTTGAAGGATTAGTGGGCTATCAGGCCACATTGGATGTTTCAGAGTCATCGGCAATAGGATCAGCACTTGGAATGGCATGCAGGTCTTTTAAAACAAAATTTTCATTGAATGAGATAGTTGGAAGGGAGATATGTGTGAAGATGCAGAATGAGAATGTGAAGCCAACGGTGGTGTTTAAAGCAGATGATATTATTGGAGGGAATGCAAAGATGGTTACATACTACAGGAAGGAACGATTTGATTTGGAGGTGATTGAGGACGGAGAGGTGATATCTGTCCTAAGGATTGAGAAAGGGGATAGTGAAGAAGCGGAGGCAGTGAATGTGTCTCTGGCGATTAGTAAGCTTGGAACAGTTTGTGTTACTGCAGTGAATGTTACAAAGACAGGCAGTGGGACTGAGCCGATTCAGTACAAGTATGAGTGTTTTGCGCTTTCTGATGAGGAGATGAATGAAATAAAGGCCTTAGAGGAGGAATACAGAGATTGCGAGCTTGGAATTGAGAAGGTTGGAGCAATGAGAAATGAGTTAGAGACGATGGCTATTGGCCTTGGAGATGCTCTTGAGTCAAAATTCAGCAATGTCTTCAATGAAGAGGAGATTAATCGTGTTAAGGAGATTGCGATGGATTTGTTTGATATTACACTTCCTGATACAGTCAAGGAAGAAGAGAAGATAAGAAAAGACTTGCTGTCAAAGCTTGAATTTGTGTCTGCAAAGTTTGATGAATGTAGAAAGATTGTTGTGAATGATCTTGAGAAGGGAAGAGATATGGTGAATGAGTTTAAGAGTGAGAATCCGAAGATGTTTACACCGAGCTTCTACAAATTACAGGGTCTTCTTTACAAGGCCGAAGAATGTTTGAAAACGTTTAGCTTGAATGTATTTAATGCTGGCAGCTTTGATGGAACGATTGCAGTGAGTATTTTGAAGGACATACAACTCTATATGGGCAAAGCCAAGGAAGAAGTTGAACTGAAGAAGGCTGAGATGCAGAAGAATGAGGAGAAGTGCTGTTCAAAGGATGAATGTTGTGAGGATAATGAGTGTTGTGAAGATGAGGAGGACGATGATATGAAGGATGATCAGGCAGATGACAATAAGGAGTCTGATGATAACAATTAATAAAAATTCAAAGTTTAATTTGTGTAATGCTTCTGAGGTATTATTTGCTATGCGAATAGTTAAAGTCAGAAAATCCTACTTTGGCTCTGAAAAGATTTCGGTTTTACTATCAATGTCAATGCCAAGATATTTTTTCTTGATTATGCTGCGGTACATCTTTAGGGTTGTAGTGAACACAAGACCTACCAAGAAAAACATAGCTCCTCCGATCAGTGCTCTTGTTATGAAATCGCTGTTTGGCGCAAAGTCATCATCCTGAAGCACCTTCGGTATTATTTTTTCTTTAACATTGAGGTTGACTACCTTACGCTTTCCATCGTCAGTGACTCTTTTTCTAATCATAACCAAATCTCTATATTTTTTTCTATCGACTCCATTATGCGCCAAAGTGCTTACAAGCTTTTCATGAAGGCCAGGGCTCATGTCTGCCATTTCTCTATCAAGCAGCGTGCTGATGTTTTCTGGATTGGCTTTGAACTTTCCAATTTTCAATGACTTAATGGGAGTAGATAGAAGTGCATCATCAGTGTAATGAATACTTTGTTTACTTTCTGATACAATTGAAGGTGTCAGTGCATCATCAGTTATGTGACTAATTTTCTTACTTTCTGATACAATTGAAGGCTGTTTGCTGTATTCTGTGTCAAGTATATCACTATCTGTTGTTGAAGACTCAACGTTGTATTGATGGTATTTACTATCTTGTGTATTGCTGACTTCGTATGGAATCGAATGCTGATTGTAATACTCTGCAATTGCCGTCACCGAGTGCATCACAAGAAAACAAAGTATCATCATTTGTGATTGTTGTGTGTGCATTATTATATCATGCAATGTTGAAACAGTGTGTTGATGCATGTTTCATTTCCTCTCTACATCGCTTCATACTCAAATATCAGTAAAAAAACACTTTAATTAATACCGTGCTTCATTGACATTAAGAATGCAGATGGATTCGCCATTAATCGGCTTTTGGACATCATTCCTGAAGACACAATCTCGCTATTGGTTGAAATTGCACTATCAGCTGTCTGCGGAGAATCACTCAGTGCATCGATTTCTCCTTCTTTCTTACTATCAATAATGCTAGTTGTAGCTGCATCTTCCTTGATATCTGCTGCAACCGAAATCTCTTCCTTTGCATTCATAGATTGGACTGGCATATGAGCAGAATAAGCGGTGCCTGTCGTATACACACCTGCTTTGCTATTGATCAGCTCTGCAGAATTGCTTTGGTTCTTCAGGCTGATATAAAGAATGGCCAACGAAACAGACAGATTAGAAATGTGCAGGATAAGATTGATAAGTCCCATGTACAATAATCGAGCGTGCTGGTTAAATACAGCAAATGAAACAAACTTCAGGTTTTCGAAACAAGCTTGTCAAAAAGTATTAGAATACATACACAGACAAACAGTACAAATGCACCAGTCAGCAAGAACACCTCGGCTCGTTCCTGTTTTCTATTCTTTTTCATTTTTTCCTTTGTTTCAACAAGCGCATTTTCAATATCTTTACTGGTGTAATTCAGGCCCATGAGCTTGAGTGTGCTTTTATCAAGCACACTTTGATTTGTATCTGCCTTACCAATTTGTCTATGAACCAGCCTTGCAGTTTTTTCAAGCTCATCTATATTATCAGAGCTTTCCTGCGTGATCTTGTTTTCATGTGCCATTTGATAGAGTTTGTTTCTCCATTCTCTTATCTTGGTTCTACACTTGTCATCATAGTTGTATGTTTCATACATTTTCTTCTCATATTCACTCACCATTGCTTGTACTAAACGTATATGCTCTTTTAACTCCTCAGGTGACGAAAAGTTTGATCTCATAATCTTTCTGTTTATCTCCTCATCCATCTCTAGGGCATTCGTAACGCGTACTTACATTAATAATACAGCCAGCAATAACAAACAAACACTATTTATTTACAATTGCGCTTTCTTGTTGAGACTCTGCCATTCTCTGCATTCCCTTGAGGTCCTTCTTTTCAGTCTCTGCATTCCTCCCAGAAATCCTGTCCAGGAAGAAGTATTTATAAGAAAACAGCGCCACAGTTGCAGATGCAAACGCAATGTTGACCAGGAAAAACACCTTGTAGTTCGAGGCCTTCTCTTCCAGTGAAATATCAGCGCCTTTCATCTTTGCCTCAGAAAAAAGACTTCCAAACACTGCAGATGCTGCGAGAGATCCAAGCGCAGTGAATGTTCCATGGTAGACCATCTGCGAAGTAGCTTTCAGATGCGGAGGACATAGATTCATTGCCAGCTGCACAGCAGACGGAGTCAACAGTCCGAAGTATACTCCTCTCGTTAGCTCAATCAAACAGCAATACATAAACACATGAGGATTATTGTAATCCAGCATGAAGTAGCAGATCACTCTGAGTATCTGGAAGAGCTGTGCTATGAAGAAAGGCCACACAAGACCAATCTTCTGGCTTATCTTGGGAAAGTGGTAGAGCATCACAACCTCAAATGCCATCCCGCAAAATGTTGCTGTTGCAACAGGCGACTCGTTAAAAAAGCCAACCAGGTACTGAAGCCAAGACGGCCAGCTTTCTGGTAGTTCATATCCCTTTATTTGTAAAATCTCCGTAAGATACACAATGTGGTAGATTGACAATGCCTGCCTTGTTATTCCATTCAACAAGATAATGAATGTGAAGAAAAGATAAGATCCATTACGCATTAGTTCTTTGCAGTTTGCAAGAATATTGCTTCTAGCACTCGTTCCATCTCTGGCCGGAGACTTGAGAAGCAAGAACACAGCAGATCCAGATAAAATAGTTGTTATCAATGAATAATACCTTAGATTTCCAAACTTGAACTCATCTCCAAACTTTATGCACATTTCTATGGCTTTGCATGAAACACCATATCCAGCCGTCCCCCAGAGCTTCTGCTTTGCAAATTCCCTTGCCCCTGCCTCAGGAATCTCATTCAGGTAGTCAAGAACAGCCTTGTCAAGCAGAGGAGGAATTCCATTGTTGAAGGCCATGTACAGAAAGAGATTGAACCAAAATATAGACATTCCTGGAACCATCGTCATATATGCCTCGACGAAAAACAGCTGTAAGTACATAAATGTAAGCAGAAGAGCACCTATTATAAACATGTGAGATCTTCCATACTTATCATTCATTGTCCCAATGAATATGTTTGTGAAGAACACTGTTCCAAGCATCGGCCCTATGAAATATGCAAGGTCGCCGTCTGATGCTCCGAACTTCTTCTTTGCAAACACTCCTCTAAACTGATGGAGCGTGTAATATTGGAGATTCACGAGGAAATAGAGCACCTTTGGTGTCAGAAGATACTTCCTGTTCATCTTTTTGATTGACCCTATCATATATTCAACACAATGCCTCAATATTTATATTCAAATATAGATTAAATCACAACAATCTCAAGATCTATAATATTGATGCTTGAATTTATCATGATAGCTGGCAAAACTTTATATACTTGTACAATGCTGTAGTAAATCATTTATATACTTGTATAGTGTCGCTGTATATCATTTATATCTCCTTTTCACATATATACAGTTATCCAGAAATATCACACTTCAAAATCAATCTTATTATTAACATACTCAACACAATTCAAATAAGTTTACTATAAAGTCTCTTTCTGCCAGATCCATATCTTAAAGCAACCAAAATAATAGAAACACATGCAATTGCAGTGTTTAACATGAAGAACGTTCTAAAAGATTGGATCTGCTCGTTTGAAACTCTTTCTATTCCATTTGGCTTGCTGTGTCTGAATACTTGTCTAAACAGCAGCCCTGCAGATACAGATCCCACTGCTCCAAAGACTCCATGATAAATCGCCTGAGACGTGGCCTTCAAGTGTGGAGAGCACAAATTCTCAGCAAGTTGCACCCCAGACCCGTGTGTCAGCCCAAAGTTGATTCCTTTGAATATCTCAAAAACACAGCAGAATATAAACACATGAGGGTGGGAATGCGGAAGAACCAGATACAGAATGAACCTAATGGCCTGTGATGCCTGTGCCAACAGAAGTGGCCATATCAATCCAATGCTGCGAATCACAGTCTGTGAATAAAACAAGGAAACCATTTCAAGCAATATCTCAAATACAGCAATGGTGCTCAATGGAAATCTATTGAATATGTTTATGGTTTTTTTAACCAATAGAATCCACGTGCTGATATGGAAATATGAGGTCCAATCTGATGGCAACGCATGAATTTCCCAAGACTCAGGTAATATATACGACTTTACATTAAGAACCTCAGTTATGTACACAGGAAGATAAATGGTCATTCCAGAACGTGTGATTCCGTTCATTAGAATGATCAGGATAAAGAACAGATACTCCTTGTTGCGTATAAGCTCTTTCCATTCAGACATAATGTTAACCTTCGAAGGATCTATGGAATTTTTAGGATTTTCTATAAAAGCTACAACAAGAAGAAAATTGATGAGTGTTATTGCAGCTGAATAATATGGCAGACCTGAAAAGTCAATTCCAACACCTTCTTTGTTTTTTCTAAGGATACCCTCTACTGTGAACGTTGAAGCCATATATCCAATGGTTGCCCAGATCCTTTGCCTTCCATACATCTTGGACGTCATGTCTGGAAATTTGTTCAGATAGTCAAGCATAACCTTGTCCAGTATAACAGGAATTGCAGCATTGACAGTGATATACATAAACAGATTTATCCAAAACATGTAAGCAGTCCTTATGTATGCATCTATGTAGAATAACTGAAAAAATATTCCTGATAGAGGCACCATGCATGCCATAAATATCTTTGGCTTTCTGAACTTATCGTTGATTGTTGCAAATAATATGTTCATAAAGAATGCAATGAAGAATATGATCCCTACATACCATATTTTATTCTCAGCAATGCCAAACTTTTCCTTAGCAAAAAGATATCTGAACTTGTGTAGCATGTAGTGCTGCATGCTGGCTGAGAAGTAAAGTATTTTGGGAATCAGCATGCACTTCCTATTTAGCTTTGGAAGGAAATTCATTACAAATACAGGGGTAGTGAAAGTATGATTTTTGAGTGATTTAAACGGTTCTCCTTTATGAGCCTGATTGGAGGACATTACAAGTGATTTATGGAGATGAAAAGCATACCCCATAAGTGTAGATGGCAGGGAAGATCAGTGCCGGCACTACTAACAAGTACTTGTTTGTAATACAAATTATTCTATTGGGATTGATTGTGTCGCTGTTGTTCCATCTTGACTTTATTAAGACACCGACTAGCGATTATGGACTGATTCAAAGGAACAACAATGAAATACAAGAGTATGTATATGACCAGAATACCAATAAGTCCAAGATGAACGTTGACAGCAGTAAGACGGTTGATGGAATGTGGAAGCATTACGATGTTGTGAAGACAAAGGCTATTTTGATGACATCTGACAACGAACATGTCAAGATATTTGACTTTAGCAACTTCAGCATGAAGCAGTATGAACGAGAAGCGTACCTGAAGTATTTGAACGACATGGGAGGATATGTGCCGTTCTTGAGAATTTTGAGGTATGGAATACGCAAGTTCTTAATTGATGCGCTGAAGGACAAGATTGAAAAGGAGAACAATGCGCCTGTGATTTATGGATGCCTTATTATACCAAACACAGAAGGAGGATACAAATTTATGTCGAGGCTGGATGTTATGGATGTTGAATGCACCTGGAGGGATATTAAATGCGTTTACATCAAGGAAGAGAGCAAAAAATAAATATATTAGTGGAGTAGTTGATTTTCTCAGAATTATGGATGTTTTATGGATATATAAATGGCAGAGATGCCCGATGTGTAAATAAATGCCTGGATAAATAAAAAAGACGTGCGAAGGGGAATGAATGAGATGGAGAGCCAGGATTCGGGGATATTGGTAAGGATGAAGTCGAAGAGTTGGAAGGACAGGCTGGATGTGTATGAGGAGCTTCGTGGGATGTGGAGAGACGGAGTAGCAGTTGACAGGGAGGTTATTAGGATGATGCAGAGTGAAAGCAACATTCCTGCGCTTGAGATGGTGATAGACGCACTCCTGAATGTGCGAGACCTGTGTGTTGATGATATCAAGAAGATATTTGTGAACATTGGGAATGCCAAGACGAGTGTCAAGACACGAATAGATGCGCTTATTGATAACATTGAGGATACAGAAGGTCTGGTAGAGGTTTTTTGTGAGTTAATGAGTGGAAAGTCACCGAAGAGTATAGCAGCAGCTGTGCAGGCTACTGGGGAGCTTGTAAGGAAGAGGGGATGCGATCTTGGGAGAATTGGTAAGAGATTGGCAGAAGTGATGGGTAATACAGACAAAGTAGTACGAAGTGAAGGAGCCAAGCTTTGTGTGGAGCTATACAAGAGAAACGGAGAATCTGTTCTGCCGTATTTAGATGGACTAAAACCTATTCAAAAGAAGGAATTAATGGAAGAATTTGCAAAATGTGAAGTTTTATGCACTGAGGAAGCATGCAGTGAGCCTGAGAATGCACCTTTAGAAGTGTTGAGAGATTGTGAGGATGAGAATTGGAAAGTCAGACTGGAAGCAATGAGGAGTCTAAAGAAGATATCGAAGAATATGGAATGCACTGGTGAGATTAGCAGGCTTTTGAGCAGAAGACTTGGAGATGTGAACAATCAAGTGTTTTTGATGGCTCTTGATGTGATCAAAGATGTTAAGCCAAGGAGTACAGATATTATCCGGGGACTTGTTGAAAGGCTCAAGGAGAAGAAGGGAAGTGGATCAGAGAAGATTAAGGAAGTTCTTGAGTGCCTTGGATTTAGACTTGATGCTGGGAATGCCGAATATCTTAGTCATAAGAACCCTTGTGTTAGATATAACCTGCTAGATTATTCTTTAAAGAATGAATGCAAGGACAAAGTATTTCTGAAGAAAGTTGGAGATTGCATGATGGATCCTGTTGGAGATGTTCGCGGAAAGGCTATTGAGGTTGTAAGTAGTGTTTATGAAAAATATGGAGATATTTTTGATTTGATAAGCGATCAGGGAGTATTGCAGAAGATAAGAAAGGTAATAAGCGATGTAAATAAGTTGCAGAGGAATACAAAAGAAGTATCTGCTGATTATAAGAATGAGAAGCAAACGATTGTAGAGAGATCTGGAGCAATAGAAGCAATTAGTATGAATGAGAAGATAAAGAAGGAGTCGAGTGATATCAAGATACAGACAATACAAGAAAAACCTAAGGAAAATGCAGTTCAAGATGACCTCAAAGAAATGAAAGAAATGAAAGTTATAGACAAGGGTAAGGAAAAGACAGTTGGTGATATCTTGAGTAATGGTAAGAGAAAGCATACACAAGGAAATTCTGAATTTTTTGCAAAGAATTTCAATAAGCAAAGAGTCAAAGGTAGTGGAACCAGAGAGGATGTATTTACACAGCAATTTATTGAAAAGATGGACAATGATTCATTTCACAAGGTAGTTGAGATGTTTGATGTGATTGATAAGGTTGCAGTGAGTGATTTTTTTATAGACTACATGGTGAGATCGAAAGCACCTGAAGCACCGATTAATTCGATGCTTCTTTCATTTATTTCAAGCAAGTACATTTTGAAGGAGTGTGAATGCAAACAGCTTGTGGAGTATCTACTTGCAGAAGGGATGTTTGAGGAGCTGAAGATGATGGACAGAGTTTATCCTGTGACCAAACTATTTCTTGTATATCAGAAGATAGGAAGCAAGCAATCGAATGATGAAATACTGAAATTAGTCAAGAAGTACAAAATGTTCAGAGGAAACAAGAAGATGTTTATTGATGGAGTCAGAAGGGATGGGGGAGTAAGTATTGATGAGGTAATAAAGGGATGCCCAGATTTCTTGAGTTTTGTAGATGAACTTGAAGGCAGCTTTATGTCTACGAAGGATACTGCTGTTGATGCAGATGTAAATATGCATGCTATAAGTGAAGGAGAAGAGGAGATAGTTGGACAGCCTGAGTATAGAGACAGAGAATGTAATGATGATGTTGATGAGGAAATGAATGCACCTTTTGTTCAGAATGAATCTTTTGTGATTGATGAGGCTGACATTGAAGCGTCTTTTGATGCATTGAGCATCCACTCTACATCAGTGATTGGGACTCCGAATAGCAAGAAGATTAGGAGGAGCATTGAGTTTGTGAATGAGCCCAGGAAGGAGGATGAAGGAGGATTAGGTGTTGTACTAGATTATCTTATTGATTCGAACCCAGATGTAAGCAAGGTTGCATTCAAAAGGCTGATAAATATCATTGATATTGATTTGGAGCAGTTGTTAGCATTTTCGAATTCGATAGTAAGTTCGATTTCGATCCAGCTGTTTGATGTTCTGCATGATAGCTTGTTTTGTTCATTGATTCTGCAGGTTTTTTTCAAGCTTAGCCAAAGCCAAGTTTTTTGCAGGCATTTGAGAAAAGAGACACTTTTGGGAGCGAATTCTGATCTTATTAAGATAATGAAGAAGTATGGAGGAGAAGAGAGGAATGAAGGAACACGAATGCGCCTTCCGAGCATTTCTTCACAGGACAGCTCGCTTGTTGGGGAGATACTGATTAATCTGTGCCTGAATTCGAAGCCAAGCCAAATCCTTGAGGTATATCTAGACATGCTGGAGTGTTCGAAGGAGGAGATTTTGCTGAAGCTTATCTGGAGACATTCTAAAACACTGAATATGGATGATAGAGACGAGATTCGCAGGATATTGTGTGTGCTGATGAAGTTTTATGATAGTAATTACGGCAGTGCTGTTTCTGAGGATGGCGTAGCATTGAAGATTTTGCAGCTGCATCTGAAGGAGATTGTGAAATTTTACAAAGAGGGTGTTCATGAATTTGGACTTAGGGGATTGGCAAAAGTGTTTGCTGATAGATTATTACGTAATAATGATATTGTGCGTCGTAGTGAAATAGAATAAATCAAGGATATTTTGTGATGAACCTTTAAGGTCTTGTGATGCAGTAGGCGTATTATGAAAGTGTAAACTTATGATGATAGTGATGAACTACGAATGAATAAAGCAGAGAAGTAGGTGTATTATCAATGAATAAATCAGATGAAGTAGATTTTGTATGATGCATTTGAAGCCCTTAATGAACAAGCGTAAAAGAGAGAGGAGAGAATACATGATGAGAAGAGAAAGAGAGATAAAGGATACAGAGATGGAAGAGAAGAAAAATACCATAAAAGAGAAGATTGAATCAAATTCTAAGATTCCTCATGGACTGAAGAAAGAAGCAGCGAGCCTGTTGAATGAGATTATTTATGATGGAAAAGCGGAGGAAGAGTATAGATTTCCTAAGGCGATGGTAACAACATCTAGGAATCCAAGCTCACAACTTTTGTATTTTTCAAAGAATCTGTCATTGGTTCTAAATGCAGAGCATTTTCTGAGAGGGCAGAAATGTGAATCTGAGATAAGCGATGAGGCTCATAATCATGGATACACATGCGTCATAATTGCGCATGAAAATAGAGGCCGTCCTGTGAGTTTGGCGGTTTCGTATTTTCCATATGGATTTACAATGCGATTTACGATTGTGGATTATTTTCTGACACAAAGGTCGTTTTCTCTAGGGCCCAAGGCATACTTTGTATGTGACAACATGGAGGGCCCTGTTGGGAAAAAAGTAAAGGAGAAGATTTCGTTGCTGTTTCCTAAGTGTGAAGATGCAAAGAGAGTGGTAAGTTTAGTCAACAGGAATGAGAATATTGCATTCAGACACTACATAATAGAGAAAGGATTAAAGATATCTCTGAACAAGAGCTTTGGAATGGATTTAAAAATATACGAAATACGGAAGGGAACATTTGAGCAGGAAGGAGAGATTGAATGGGTTTACAAGCCATTTATGAACTCAAGAAGAACCAAAGAAGAAATTGGGTGTTCTATGGAGGAATTATATTAAACTCGGTGATCAATAAAGAATGTTTTGTTTGTTGTCAAAACATATCCCCATATGAGCGATGGATTCATTCTTAGACAGATGCTTATGATTCCTCCGATTACCAGATGCATGATACTTGCAATAGGAGCATTGAACCTGCTGGTTTGCCTGGAGGTGATTTCACCATACAGCTTGTACTACTCTCCATTGTTTCTAAAGAAGCTTGAGGTATGGAGGGTGATCACGACATTTATGTATTTTGGAAGACCAACACTTGATGTGTTTATGCACATAATCTTTCTGTATCGCTACTCTTACATGCTTGAGAGTGGATGTAGAGGAATATCTGAATATTTCTGGTTGATAGTTGTGATATCTGGGGTGTTGTTTGTTATTTCAAACATTTACAGCATTCCTATACTTGGAGCGTCCTTTTCAGCAACGATAACATATATCTGGACGAAGAGGAACCCGCGAGCAATGGTACAGATATTTGGATTTATTTCATTTCCAGCATTCTATCTGCCGTTTATTCTGCCTGGATTTACATTAATATCCAGAAAGTTTGTTTCAATTGATGATGTCCTTGGAATATTTGTTGGGCACCTGTTTTATTATTTTAAGGATGTGTATCCTAGATGGGGCAGGGATGCACTCAGGACGCCGTGCTTTATAAAGAAACTTTTTGACGAGCATCCGAAGCAGTGCTGTAAATCCAAGAAGGGGATTACTATCAAGGAAGGACGAATGCGAGCAGAAAAAATGAAAAATAGCACGAGTGAACAGAAAAGTGAATCTACAAGTAATTCAGATAATATAAAGAGTGTGAGTGATCACATGGATAATCTAAAAAGTACATGTGAACAGGAAAGTGATATAAATAGTGCAAATGAACTAGAAAGTAAACCCATATGCAATGTAGATGATATAAACAGTAGAAGTGAACAGACGAATGGCATAAATACAAATCATATAAATAGTACATGTAAACAGGAAAGTGAATATACGAGTGATATAAATAGTACATGCGAACAGGAAAGTAATCATATAAATGCATGTGATATACCAACAGAACAGATTAAGAAAGATAACACAGTGTTAGATGAAATACCTGAGACTATAAACACAGAACCGGTAATTGTACAAAAAGCTCAGAATGAAGAGGTTGAATCTATAAATTCGATACCATTAATAAAAGCTGTAGATAATGAAAATGATGCATTAGTAGCATCTTCAGAAGCTTTTTTAAGCATGGACTCAATCGAAAGTAAACCTGTTTCAGACGAGCCATCACATTCCAAGGAAGATTATGAGGATGACTGGGATGATACGTGGGGAATGGAGAGTAATGATGAAAATAGTGATTAGCAATATCTAGTGAGTATTTTGTGGAAAGTCCAAGCAATACCTGTATCGCTCAAATGGATAAATAAAACGGTATGCGTTAGCTGTATATTAGATATAAAGTGTTTAATGTATCAAGTTCAGTAGAAACACTGTGAAAGCAAGATCTTGTTAATTCAGATACTAATTGGATTTTGTATTTTTCACATTTGCTTCTTTTAAATTTCAATTACTAGTACATCTTTCTTGATATGCAACTCATCGGAATGTGTATTACAGGCCCACCAGCCGATCGTATGATTGCAGAATCTCCATTTATAGCTATGAGTATTCCAGTGACGCCTTTTCTTTCACCATCGAGTACGCAGATAAGGTCGTTTTTCTGAGGTTGAACGAACGAGACGTCTTCACTCGCAAATCTTCCATCCTTGGTAATAAATAAATCGTTTTGATAGTCCTCAATAAGAACCTCTTTTCCAAGAACATTAATCAATGTGCCCTTATATGGCTTATCATCTTCATTAAGCCATTCAATTCCTACATCATCTGCACTTACATTTGGAGTCTTATATCCTGGTGTTCTATACCCTGGTGTTTTATACCCTGGTGTTGCAAATGTAGCTGGCTCGCTATACTTTGATGACCTTGCAGATGCTTGGTAATCCAAAACGATTACATGGCATCTTTCCACATTTACAAACTTCATGTTGGAATTTAGTTGCACTCTGCACATATTTCTATCTATGTCCTTAACCAATCCCACATGTCCTTTGTACTCTCCAACCTGCACCTGCACCTCTTTATTAATAAGAGGATCCTTCTTAACTCTTTTTCTTTCTGTTATTCCTGTCCTTCCAATAGATTTGGGCCCTTTTGCCACTGCCATCTTCAAGTCATCGATGCTTGCATTGACTTCGTCAGTAAAGTCATGCATAGCAACTACGCATTGTTTATCATCTATCTTTACAACAATTCCATTTTCGCCTTTATATGACACAGCTTCTCCAACTTCAAAATGCTTGCAAACACCAGAGCTCTCCATTTCAAATCTTCCATTCTCTCCTTCAATAGTTGCAATACTACCATTGATGCTCTTGATGATGCCTTTCATGCCAAGCAGCTCTCCTCGACAAACCCTAACTCTATCACCTACAGAAACAGTACAAGGAACTAAGAACATTTCAAGCTCTTCAAGTGTTGGCTCTGCTCCAAAATCAATCGTGCTCCTCAACACATCTTTTTCCAAAAACCCATCTAAGTATGTGTCTCTTTTATAAATGTAGTATCCGTTAGACTTGATAACTTCTTGACTTTTAAAATTCTCAGGTTTAAAAAGCTTTCTCTCTCCTTCAATCCTAGGAAATACCCGAATCCTTACCATATCACCATCCACACCAACTATTTTCACCAAATCACCCTTATATCTGCCTTTGGTTATCCTACCCCATTCTCCATATGCCTCAGGTTCACAGTATGTCACTGCTTCAATCATCTCCTTCTGAGGGACAACAGATATCTTCGTGCGACTAACTCCTCGAATCGATCCCAATGCATCAATCACATGCTGCTTTTGGAAAGCCTCAATGTAAATGTATCCCTTCAGTCCTTCCTTATATACTATACCAAACACATTCTTTGGATCGTTCTCCACAATCTTCATCATCACCTCTTTCTCTGAGCCTCGTTTCACTCGCACAATAAACATCCTAGGAGACGTGCTTCTTGGCACCAGGCTCGTCTGTCTTATTCCATGTTCCACAGTCTCTTCCTCTTCGCTGTCTTCTTCGTCAGGAACATCTGCATACTTCTCTTCCAGCTCCTTCGCAATATTCTTCCAATTCCTTGTGGGGATTGCCACATCCTGTATGTCATCTATATTCTCACTGCTTTGTTCAGAGTCGTCTTCAGACGCTTCTACACTCACATATTTACTCAAAGGCCTTTTTGCCATTTGTGGGGCTATTCTCTGGAATTGATTAACACATAGCGATACTGCCCCATGGATGCCAATCTGAATGCTCTGAGTAGAGCAGTGGAGGAAAGAAGAATCAATGATGCGATTATAATAGTAAAGGAAATACCTCAGTCAAGTGCAGATGCTGCCGCAAAGCTGCTCGAGAAGTTCTATGAACATGAGGTTTCAGTTGCAAATGCGGTTCTTGACATGCTTGCATATGCAAAGGTTTACAAGTCAAAGGTCCAACCTCCGTTGAAGGGATGTTTCAAATTTACTGTCTCTGGGATGAATAACTGAGGCATATTGCAGACCAATGCATGAATGAAATAGCAAATATTGCATTATACTGCTTGCAAATAAGTGATAGTAAAGCATTAAGATCTGACTAAACGATTTATATGTATTGTACAATGATATTTGCTAAGAAAAGAGATCCCTAGTCATGAAGATACTTATACAAATTCCTAAAATCATGCACAAGGAAACTGAAGCTTTGGCAGAGGAGCTTATGTGTATATTTCCAAGTGAATGTAGCAGTGCTGCTGATGAATCAGATGATTCTAATGATATTGATTTAAGAATACGGATAGTTCAAGACATCAAGCCACAGTGGATACTGTTAAAGAATGCACGAATGGAGCTAGTGTTCAAGATCATCCATTACAAGTCAAGAACATATATGGGAGTGTGTAAGCCGATTTCTAAAACTGATCCGCCACAGCTAGTGGTAAACAACTTCACAACCGATGTTGGAATGAAGGTTGCGGAGTTTCTTATGGAAATGTTTCCATTTGCGCAGGAATCGAGACAAGTCGCAAATTTTACAGTGGAAGGCGACTTTCTGTACTTTAGGCTGTACAAGTACTGTTTTGGAGAGAAAGGCCCGATACTGGAAAATGTAGGGCCTCACTTGACATTGAGATTGTGGAAGCTAGTGGAGTATGGAGAAGGACAAAAAAAGGTGATGAATTTCAAAAAGTTTATCAAAAATGCATGCGTATTGTAAGAATGCGCATAAATGCTTATGATCTCAATAAACCAGATACAATCATAAAACCTATTCTACTCGAAGTGACTTTTCAATTTGGTCTCGCATTTCATGCAAACCACTTGATTCGTTTACTTGGTTGTTAAAGAGCCTGTCCATTTCTGCCTCTTCCTCTTTAAGTGCGTTTATTTTGGCCTCGTACTTTTCATTAAGAATTTTTATCATTTCCTTACGCAGCTTAAGATATCTTGCTTCTTTCATTGCACCACAGCTATTTTCTAAGTCGAATACTTTTGCTCTGTAGCTATTGTAAAATGTGTGATTTGTTCGTGTGACCAACTCGTCTAGATTAGTGTAAATAAGCAGTCTTTGGAGCCTCTTGAAGTCGTTACAGTCTTCTGAATCTATGTTAATGAACCCCCATGGATACTTTCTTCCTCGGATGATGTCTCCGTCTTGCTCATACAGGGTTTCACTGGCAATCACTGCGAATGGCATGTTTTCAATTATATCCATGAGCTCAGTGGCCAGGTCTCCATCATTCTCACTTACGTATGGAACAAACAAATGAATGTTGGCTTCGAATAGAAGCTGCTTTACGTTTTGCTTGACCTGCATGAGCTCCTGGGACGTGTACATGTCTGCCTTTGGTATTACAGGTACAAGGTTGCATTTTTGTGAGAGAGCATGCATGTTGTTTATTTCATGTACTGATAGTGAGTCTGATGGAAGTACGTACAGGCATGCATGTATTCTGTTGTCCTTGAATGTCTTATACGGGCCTTGTTCGTTTTCAAAGTACTCCTTGTTCATTGCATCAATGTATTCAATAACAGGTGATATGTCAAGCTCGTGGTACGTGACTATAGATACGTCGAGCGAGATGTTGTTTTCTATGATTTCATTTTTTGTGATTGTTATTGTGTTTGGCCTGTTTTTATCAACCAAAGGAGCAGCAAATATGGAGTTGATCAGCGTGGAGGTTCCCAACGCACGCCTCCCGGCAACTAGGATGTTCAGCTCAAATCCATTGGCGATTGATCGTTCTCTTACCTGATCAGGTACAGAAGAAAAGCCTATGCTTGCAGATGAATTGATTGTTCCAAGGTTCCTCACAATTGTTGGCACCGCTTTCATTGTTTATTTGTTGTGGCATGTATTTATGAGTAAGTAATAAGTAGCTAAATCAACAGTATATGCGAATTTATTTATGAAAGATGCATGATGTTGATTGATATGCGCATTGTGAGCATTATGATTTCAATTGAAACAGTAATGCTGCATTGAATAGCTTATGAATGAGATGCACATACAGAAAGAGTGAGATAAAAGTTTGTTTATGTGCGCCCTCAAATGGGACTTGAAGAGATACATGAGCTTCAGAGACAGAGGAAATGGATGCAGTTCTGCAGGCTGATTATGGATTCAGTTGATAAAATTTCTACTGAAATGCTTTTAGGTGTTTTTCTTGAAAGTGTAAACCTGATCCATCCAAGAACATTGTGTGAGGTTTTTCTGGTGCTGGCTGCAAAGCTACCACCAAGAGATGGAGTAGATTTATTGAACAAAGGACAAGAGACAATATCAAGCTGTGTTTTGTATTCTGAAGATTTTGAGGCAGAAAAGGCAATGATGGAGATGAAGAAGTGTCTGCTTCTGATTGGAATGAATGAGTTCAAGGGCATAGAAACAAGATTGTTTGAGTGGAGAAGAATGAAGATGACAAAGGACATGCAAGCGATGTACAATTTTGTTGGATTTAAGCTGTATCAGGGAATTGGTAATATTGAGGCGTCTTTTTCTCATTTGCTTAAATATGTAAAGCTAACAAATGCGAGTGGCCTGACGGATACACTTGTGGAGTACGGGATGCTAAGTAAGGATTTTTTTAACTTCACTGCAATAACATCGTTGCCATGCTTTAGCAATATCAAAAGTAATGATCTGAGGGAAATGTTTGTGCTATTTAGAGAAGGCAATATTGATGAGCTTGAAATGATGAATAAGAAACTTGTGGAAAAGTTTGGGACGAACTCTGAGCTGGTAAAAGAAAAGATGTATATGATAGCATTGACGAATCTTTGCTTTGCAGAGAGAGAAAAGAAGATACCTATAAGAAAGATTGAAGAGGTGCTGAAGATACCCAGGAAGGTAGCGATTTACATAATTATGAAATCTCTTGGGCTGAAGCTGATTTGCGGATGGATTAATGGAGAGGAAGATGCTCTTTATTTTGATAGTCTAGCGCCAAGGACATTACAGCCCAAGGAAATAATGGAGATCCAAGGGAAGTTGGGAAGATGGAGAAGAAGGATCCATGAGGTTATTTCAATGCTGAAGTAATTAAATGTCATGTTCGTTTTTTTCCAGGAACTCCATGTTTTTGCTTATACCACCCACTATTATTTTTGTTCTGTCACTTGTTGCCTTCAGAGTGTTTGCCATCCCAAAGATGTTGACTCTATGATCTGGAATGCTCGTGTCTTTTGACTTGATGATTATGAACTCATCAGAGCCAATGATATAGTGTTGATCATCATAGTGCTGCAGACAAAGAGTATTTACTTGGATTACTGTATCCAGAGGTTGCTTGCACTCAAATACTGCTTTGCTATTTGATATGAATAGTGAGTCTCCACAGAAGCACATATCTGATACATTTGAGCTTATAATTGCAAGAGAGGACCTGAGGTTTCTTTTATCCCAGACATTTATGCATCCGTCCATTGAACAGCTGTAAATACTGTTGTGTCTATATATAATGCGGTTGATTGGAAGTGAGTGTCCTTTCATGATAGAAGCGCAAGTCTTGGTTCTTATATCCCAAGCTCTGACGGTGCAATCCGCAGATCCACTGAAAAGCATGTCTTCATAAGTATCCAAGCACAATACAGATGACATATGCCCGTAATATTCTTTTATGAACTCTCTATCAACAAGGTCATAGCATCTTATCAATCCATCATTAGAAGCACAGAAAATATAAGGATGTGTTTGACTGAATTTTACATCTTCACATACGGACTTTTGTGAGATAGAAGCGAGTAGTTGCTTAGTTTTTATATCAACTAGTTTTATAGATCTATCCATTGAAGAGGAGGCAACGAATGCATCGTAAGGATCTATGTCTATTGACTTTATCCAGCCTTGGTGGATTTTCATCACTGTGGTGAGCTTGTAATCCATATTGAGGAATAAAAATAATCTTGTATTGAGGATTGTGTATTTTATGCATTTGAAGTTGGTTTAATAGAGCATGGTCGAGTGATGCCGGCTGTTTGGCATTTGCCTACGGTATATGAGCTTTTTTAATTGATGTTGCTGATGTGGGTTGATTTGGAGCTGATAGAATGAAATAACCAATTGTTCCTGTGCATGTGTGAAACCTGATTGCCGGATGTATTTGTTTTGGTTAAAATACAACCCACAAAACCTTGCAATGGGAGAGATTGGGTCTGACAGGTCGGCAATTAAAAGGATAAAGAAGGAGTATGCGCTGCTTGAAGGAGAGAAGAACGAGAAGGACAGGAAGGATTCCACTTTGAGGTATATTAAGATTGTTCCATTCATATCTGGGGATTTGTTTACGTGGGAGGCGTACTTGACTGCACCGGAAGACAGTGTGTACAAAGGTGGAGTTTTTAAGCTGCTCATATCGTTTTCAAGCGAGTATCCTTTCAAACCACCGAAGATAACGTTTCAGACACCCATATATCACCCGAACATTAACTCATCGGGTATGATTTGTATAGACATTCTTGGGAAGGAATGGTCGCCTGCGCTTACGTTGAATAGCGTTCTTTTGTCTCTTCTTACGCTTCTTGATGATCCTAATGCAGACGATCCTTTGAGACCTGAAGTTGCAGATATATACAAGACAAACAAGGAGGAATATAGACTAAGATGCCAGGAGTCTGCTCGGAAGACTGTGGAGAACAAGAAATAAATAGTTTTGATTGATTATGGATCATTACGCTTGGTTAATGCAGTTTATGCATTGCGAAGAAGATCCCCAATGGTAGGGTTTAGTGATGGAAGCATTATGTCGTTGAGACTGGAGAATTTCCAAACGTTCAAGAAGACAGTACTGACGTTCTGTGCGTCTTTCAATTTTATAGTTGGAGCGAATGGATCTGGAAAGAGTAGCATAGCGAATGCGATAGTGCTTCTGTTTGGAGGGACGCCTAGATGCATAGGCAGGGGAAAGACGATTGGTGAGTATGTAAGGTATGGAGAAGAAGCAGGAAAGATTGAGGCATGTGTGCATTATGAAGGAAAGGAGCTGTTGCTTGGTAGATATATAAGAAAAGATGGACAAAGCAAGTATTTTGTTGATGGAGTTGCATGCAAGAAGACGGAGTATGAAGATGTTATACGAAGACTGAGAGGGAATGTTGGAAACTTGTGTCAGTTCTTGCCTCAGGAGAAAGTTGCAGAGTTTACAAGACTATCATGTGAGGAGCTACTAATTGAGGTACTTGAAGCTGTTGAAGAAGAGGAAGCATTGAGAATGATCAAGGAACTTGGAGAGCTTGAATGTGAAAAGAAGAAGGTGATTGAGGATCTTGAAGTAGAGTGCAAAAGGAAAGAATGTGTAGATAGAATGGTAAAGTCTTTGGGAAGTGATGTTAGAAAGATGAAAGAGAAGGAGGAGAAGGAAAATAGAATAAAGATGATGCGTGAGAAAAAGGACTGGATGATTTATGCAAAGTATCTTGAGCGATATTTGGAGAGTAAGCGTGTTTTAAGCATATTGAAGAGACAGATGGAAGAGAAAGCATCTGATGCCTCAAAGATTGTGAATGAGATAGAAGAGCTGAAGTGTGAGGAGTCACAGAGTAGAATTGATTTACTAATTCATATGCTTTATGAAGATGATGAAGTGCTATCGAAGCTAATTATTGATTTGAAACGAATTCAGCATGACTTTGAAATGCTAGAAGTAGATAAAGAGTGTCTAAAAAATAAGGAAGATAGAAGAGAAGCAGAGATATCAAATGCAAAACAAGAAATAGAGGAGCTTGAGGAAGAGATGTGCAAGATTAAGGTACCTACATGCCCAAAAGAAATTAATACAAGCATAGTTTATGATCTTGAGGAAAAGGCATCTAATTTGATGAGGAAGAGAGGAAAGATACAACATGAGTCAGGGGAACTAAAGCGCAGCATTGATGATCTGAATGGCAAGAAAAGAGGATATGAGCAAATGGAAGAGATGAGGATGCAAATTCTTAAGAAGTATCATATTGATACGTATAGAGCAGTTTGCTGGCTCAGGGAAAACAGACATAAATTCAAGGGAGAGATAATAGAGCCGCCATTTCTTCATCTACGAATCAAAGACGCGGATTACACAATAGAGGTAGAGAACTTCCTAGGGTTTCAATCTTTGTCGCCTTTTATATGTAAACAGCCAGAAGATTTTGAAAGGTTTGTGGAGATCATGAAAGATGAGAAGAAATGGAAGATTAATGTAATTGAAGCCATTCGTAGCGACGAGAGATCTGGTGATGCGATTGTAAATAAGGATGTGTTAATGAAGCTAGGGTTTGATGGTGTTTTGAGTGATTTTCTGGAGTGTAGGGACGAGGTTTTGGATTATTTGAATGTTGTTGGCCATTTTGATCAGATTCCGGTGTGTAAGAAATGCATTGATGAAACGGTTGTGTTTAAAACGACGAATGTGAGGAGGATGGCGGCAGGAGGAAGATACATAGAAGTTAAGCGAAGCAGATATGGCGAGGATTATGTGATAATCGACAATCCTTTGAAAGCCAGGAATTTATTTTCGGCAGGACTATCTTTTCAAGAGCTGAAGGAAGTAGAGAACGAGCTTGAATCAAAGAATGCAAAAAGAAGACAAAACGAGGAAGAACTGAAGAGTGTTCTTAAAGAGCATGAAATGGTGGATAAGCAACTACAGGATGCTTATGAAGAGAAAAGGCGTTATGATGCATTGCATATGGAGGTAAAAAAGAAGGAAACACAAATTAAGGTATTGAATGGAACTATTGAGAGGAAGAAACAGGAAATGAAGACACTTGAAACAAGAAGTGACTTAATTAAAGAGAGCCATAGAATAGACGTATTAGCAGAAGAATTGGATGAAAAGCAAGAATATAAGTGTGAAGAGATCAAGAAGCATTTATATAACGAGAAGTACTTTGAGATGTTTTGTGAAGCACAGAGAGTATCTATAGATGTAGTGAGGATAAGAAAGAAGAGAACGACTCTGTTAGAATGTAAGCAGGCAATTGATAAAGCATTGATGGATATTGAAATCGAAGCACTTGATAAGAAGAAAGAATGCCGTGAGACTAAGAAGCTAATTGAGGAGAAGAAGAGTATTCTTAGTGGAATTAACAAGACGGAAGAGTATGAATTAAGACTTGCAGAGCTTCCTAATAGCATACAGGAGCTTGACGAGGAGATATCAAAAGAAATGGTACGATTGAAGTTTTATAATGCCGATGAAAAGGCAATCAATGAGCTTGAGACAAGTATATGTGATTTAGAGCAAATAAACCGCAAAATTCAGGATAACCGGGACAATTTGAAATCTATTGAAGAAAACGTATCAAAGATCAAAGAGCAAGCAATTTATAAAATTGATAAATTGACGCATGACATAGGAAAACTGTTTACAGATCTATTTAAGATGACTGGAGGAGATGGAAAGATCAAGTTCGTTTCTGATGACTTGGATGTTTGCAAATGGAAGCTGAACATTATGGTTAAATTTAATTCAGAACAGAACCTAGAAGTCTTAAGCTCACATAGACAAAGCGGAGGAGAACGTTCTGTATCGATTATTTTGTTTCTATTGGCAATGCAAGACCATATCGCATCACCTTTTCGCCTGGTTGATGAAATAAATCAGGGCATGGATGCTGATAACGAGAAATTGATTCATGACATTCTTGTTACACTTAGTGAGCAGCAGAAAATCGGCCAGTTTTTTATGATAACGCCAAAGATAGTTCCAGGCCTTACATATTGTGAGAACATGAAAGTTATCGTTCTATATTCATTCAATGGACGAGTTGATCAAGCTGATTTTATAAAGTATAAGTTAAAGATGCTTGCATAGCTGTGATGATACTTGAAATGCATGTTATGCTTCTTGAGTATGTTTGTGTTATCCTAATAAATTATGTTATGTGTTATGATGAACCTATAGTATCTTTATTCATATGCTTCTTGAGTATGTTATGATGAGATTATATTATTTTTATTCTATGCTAATAAATTATGTTATGATGAGATTATGTTGATTTCTTGTTCATATGCTTCTTGAGTATGTTGTTGATTTCATCTACCATGCCTTTGTATTCTTCTTCTCCATTTCCCATACCAACCATTCTCAAAGCACATCCATCAAATATAAATGATTGATCCTCGACCTGTAACATTACTGAAGGTCGTTTCTTTGTATTTCTGGATGTGGTGTGTGATTTGTCTTTTATGTTTTTCTTGACAATTATTGAGTCTCCTACGTAATTCTTTTGCAATGCCTGTATTAACAAGAGCAGAGGCAATTTTCTAACATCTGCAGGAATTTCACCAAACACCTCTTTGAGTTTACTAGCCATTTTAGAAAGTATGGTTTTCTTTATAGCAATGAGCTCTGTAACCATGCCTTTATTGCTGCTATTTGTACTTCTACCGGCCATTGAGGGATTACGTGTTTACAGTAATATGCCATTAGCAAGAGCCTGAGTGTATGATATTTGTTTTTCAGTACCCTCAAAACTCAAGAAATGGATAAGGCATCTATTGAGGCATATATAAGGATAAAACCTGGAGGAAGGGAGTTGAGATACACGAAAAGCTCTGTGGCTGTTAACAGGGAAGGTGGAGACACAGTTGAATACGAGTTTGATGGGGTAATAGGACCTGAGGCTACACAGCTGCAAGTATTTGAGATGTTCAGGTCTGTTGTTCCTAGGCTTATGGAGGGATATAACCAAACAATATTTTGCTATGGCAGTACTGGCTCAGGAAAGACACACACAATGGTTGGCAGTGAGGAGTCTCGTGGATTGATGTTTAATCTAGCACAGGAGATTCTGGAGCACGGAGAATTTTTTGCTTCTTACATGGAAATATACAATGAAAAGATATACGACTTGTTAGAGCCAAAAGAATTAGCATTGAGGGAGTTTAATAAACTCATAGTTGTGCCTAATCTTTTTTTGAAAAGAATTGAAAGCATGAGTGAGTTTGAGAGTGTTCTAAAGCAAGGGATAAAAAACAGAACAACTGCAGAAACAAAGTTGAACAAGAGCAGCAGTAGGAGCCATGGAATACTAAGGATATGTGTTGGAGACAGTAAACTGAATCTCATTGATCTTGCAGGATCTGAAAATAATAGAAAGACAGGTAATGAAGGAATCAGGCTTACTGAATCGAATAACATTAATAGAAGTCTTTTTGTTCTTGGAAATGTAGTGAATGCCATTTTGAAAAAAGAAAACAGAGTGCCTTATAGAGATAGTAAGCTTACAAGACTATTACAGGATTCTCTTGGAGGACGAAGTCTATGCTACATCATCGCAAATGTGATTAACGATCGACTGAATATAGGCGATTCAATTAGCACATTAAGCTTTGCATCGAAGTCAAGGAAAATTGTTAACAATGAAATTATTTGCAATCGATCACATGAAGATAGTTTTGCAGGTATAGTGGACGAAGAGAAGTGTTTAAGAATGCCACTATCTGTAAAGACAAATACAAGATTTAACATGAGCAGAGCTGAAGGTTACAAGAAGAATGGAGGAATACAAAACGAATACAATTATTTTCGCTCAAAAGCGTGCATACAATTTGATATTGAAAATGATAAGGTTTTGCTTTCTTTGGACAAGCAACATCAATATGGCACTAGAACAATAGCTGGGGACAAAATTAGCAATACAGATAAGCGTCCTAGCAAAAGAATAAATGGTAATGACAGCGGATCATTGATTTTGAAATCTATTGTTGATAAACCAGAGATTTTATTGTCACCAAGGACAAAAGAAAAGAGCTACAAGGCATTTTTGAAAAGAGCAAGTGGTTTTGAATCTGCACATAAGTATAGGCTGGCCTTGGAGGACTACAGAACAATACAAAAATTTTGCGACAATGAGTTTGTTAGGCAAAAAATAGAGAGCATTGGCACATTGTTTAAGAAGCCCAAGAGAAATATAGAATTAACGAAAGAAGATGTATTAGCGATCCTTAACAAAGGAAATTTCTTTGATATAAAGAAGTTGCCGAAAGTCGGAGACAAACGAGCACAGGTTATTGTTGATTTTGTCAATGAAGGAAATCTCTTTGAGACAGTTGCTGATCTAAAGCTTTTGTTTAGTACAAAGGTTGTTGATTCTATTCTACTTTCCATATCAAAAAGGTGATTCCATGGAGAGTTTGCTAGCAACGCATGCTTTTGCAAGTGAATAACAAATAGTGTTGATGCATTATAGTCAAGGCTACTATGAAAATGTATGTTTAAGTTATTCTACTTCTGCAGTGTTCCCTTTGTATTTGGAATCAGCAAAACACCATCATGGGAAATTCTCTGGCCAGCACTTTCACTTTTCAAGTTGCTAATGTGTTCGTTATCATTTGCTCTATCACTGATGAAATCAAAATCCTCAAGAGAAGGAAATTCATCAGGTATTCTATTTGAGAACAGCGGAGATCCGGTGTTTATGCACTGCGGCTGTAGACTGTTTACAGAAGCAGCCTTTGGGCTTTCGTTGACTGCATTGTTGAATAAATCGTTACAAAACAATCCTTCTAGCCTATGTGAGCCGTAATCAAGTTTCTGGCTATTTGAAGAAAACAGCTTGTCCTTGATACTGAAGTCGCTGTATGCATATTGATTCATGAATCCGTTTCTTTGGATATCTTCGAATTGCTTATCATAAACACTGGAAGGGTTTTTTGGATTAATTGAAAGATTTGGTGCCTTGTATATTTGTGGTTCAAAAGCAAGGTCTGATGATTCGTTTTTGCTGTATCCTATATTCATCGGCATGACTCTACTTTCCATGTTTCTTAAATACGCAGAGTCTGTGTCTACCCCAACTCTTTTACTGTTTTGCCTTGTGTGGCTTCCAAATCCATTTACTCCGTGAGGAAGCATGCTATTCCGTTTGAGATTATTGATGTATTTGTTGTATGTAAATAAATTTGTCTCTCTCCTGAGGTCTCGTTCAAGAGCATCGCAGAACAATGCATCGTGTGGAACGCTATACCAATAAAACACCTTTTGTTTCTTCTGAGTCCGAATACATCCGTTTTTGTAAAGGAATTCAAGGAACTCACTCCTTGGCCCTTCGAGTGTGGCATCAATCCCTGGCTTCAGATTCCTCAAATCAGAGAATACGCCCTCCTCAAACTTCTTGAGACTGGCTAGACATCGTCCAGCATTCTGGAATCTCCATACAAGTATCTTGACTATGTCTGTTCCAGTGACAAAAAAGTGCATGTTCCACAATACACAGTGTATGTAGTCTCCATTTTTCAACTGAAATTTCTTGATTCTCTCTCCATCACGAAACTCTTTTGGAGCATTTGCCAGAAAATCAAACAGTTCTTTATCGCTCTGGGTATTCATCTTTATTTATTTATGTACTTGCTTTGTTTTTATATTCTACCCGCAAAACAAACGATTATTTGCTGTGTTTCATATCATGTATTTTGTATTTGCTGCTTTCTTTACATTTACAATGCTTTACATATTCATGGTTTTCAGTTATAATGTACAAAATGATATAATCAGCACATGCACTTTAAGACGTCAATCCTGTATGTAACCTTTTATGGAAATTGGTATATGTGAAGCCTAGTTGAGTATATTTGCACTCCTTTCACCTTATCTGTCTGCTGACCAATGAAAGTTCTGCAAATGAGGGGTGAAAATTAATATATTGAAAATTGCAAACAGGAATATATGATCTGGTATATGTTGTTTTTGTTAATCTCAATAAACAATGTGAAAGCGAAAGAAATACTCCAAAATACGATCATGAGTAATCCAATTAATTCCGAAAGTTCTGAGTTTGCATTATTATCTGGTACTGATCCTGACAATGAATTGAAGCAGTTAGTTCCGCTATGTAGAGAATTGAAGAGCCATTGTGATAGCATTGGCAACAGCGATTCAAATTACAAATGGAAAGAAACAGAAGATGTTAAAGATGAAGATATACTTAGAGCAATGAGTTTAGAAGATGCTATTAAATATCTTACATATCTAGTGCAGTTGGCTGCCTCACCTCAGCTTAACGTAATGGATGTTATAGAAAAATGTAGGTTATTATCAAATGAAATACATCTTAAGGTTAAAGAACAGTGCAATGATTTAAACGAGTTGGAAAGTAATGATTTAAAAGAGTTGGCAAACAAGGCAGCACAGCTAATTGATAAAATGGAAGCACTTAAGTTCGCCAAATCTGTTTAGTTAATGCATATAATCTTCAGATGAGTTGTGCATATTGTGAATAAATATACTGTTTATTATAACACATTATTTTCTTTTAGCAATAAAACAGATTAATAGCTGTGCAATTTATTGAAGGCTAAATAACGCAAATAAGCAGGTGTTCATTAAATGAACTGATTATGCTCTATAACTAAGGTTTTCAAGATTTCTGTCAATTCATTGTGCATTAAGTAGCAATCTCCTTCAGAAATGCATCCCATGAGTTTTCCATTGCTGTCAATAATGACATGAAGTAAGCCAAGAGATGCCTTTTCCTCAATAATTGTTGGATCCTTTACAAAAACACAATTTTCAAACAAGGCAACTGTTGTTGGCAATGCAATTTCGATCGTTGACTTCTCACATTGCTTGAGATCTTCTATAACAGGAACACAAATATTTCTTAGTATGCTATTCAGTCCAATAAAAAAAAGATCGTAAATGTTTCCATCGTTCCTTATTACCCTTAACTCTATTCTTATTCCAAGTTTGTATGATGAGAAGAAATTCTCAATCTGCGTGCTGATGATGCTTGGGATTTCAATTCCAAAAGATTCTACTCGAGATTCAGATAATCCAGATGCTTTTGTGCATGGACTAATTCCCAATGAAAGTAGTGTTTCCATCGTTTCTTTGAATTGGATAGCAACCTCAATTTCTGTAAATCCACGCTTGAGCCTAATACTTCCGTCACTTTGTGATATTTCAGATGGTATCATCTCAATAGTTCGGTATTCATTCCTGCCTCTGCCATCGATTCTAGTGCCCGTTGAAATCACTGTCCTAGTAAATGCTAGTTCATCATTGCTGATCAGCTCCATGGGCTTTGAGAATATATACAAACAAATAAGATGAATTTTAAGGATGTTTATTGATGTGCAGTTCACTTACTTTTGCTGCGTAGTCTGGACTCGGGCTTATCGAAGGCTTTTTTCTCTCTTGTTTTTATTGCCTGGTTATCATTCTTCTTTGCTTTACAGAACATTTTTGGAAGCGACTTGGCGATTGCAATTACTATCACAACCACAAGAAGAGCTATAGAGAATGTGTGGAGATGCTTTATGAATTCAAACATCTTTGATGATATACCAAGTTCCATGCTTCTCCTTTGTTATAAATTCATTTTGTACATGGCATGAATTTTACAAATTCTGATTGGCCGTGTTCAACATATCTTTACCATCCATATACGTTTATTTATCATTTACTTGCCCTGAAAATGAAGCAATTCAACGAGATTGCTATAGAATGCATATCATTATTCAAGAAAAACTTGTTATTTGAATATCAATCCAATAAACAACTTGTGGATGCATTCCAAGTAATTGAGAGGTCTATTGTAGAAAGTAAAGCACACATGCGTAACAATAGCATGATAAAACCTGTATTAAGGATAGGAAAGGCCATGAACAACTTAATGAAAATCTCTGATGCTTGTATCCTGAGTATTTTTGATATTTGCAATCCCTTCAGGTATAATATTATTAAACTTCCCAATAGCCAGACAGACTTTCAGAAAAAGATGGATCAGATATTTAAGATTCCACAATATTATGGAGGACTTCAACAACACAAGTATAGAATAAGTAAATACAACACCGGTGAACGTTCTAGTCAGAAATTGCCGAGTGTTTACGCCGCAAGTATTACAAAATCATTAATGAATCTTATTTCAAGGTCAAAATCTTTCATAAAGCAAACTTTTGGTATAGATCAGAACATTTTTGAAATCGAAGAATACATAATACCAAAAGTATTCACCTCTATACTATCCAAAAGTCTTTTATCTGAACTTTGTACGGAAAACGGGTGTATTGATCTAGAAAATATCGTAAATGAAATAACCAAAAACCATCCAGAACTCACTTCAATAAAAGCCACTGATATTAGAAGAACAGAGACCACGCAGGTGTCTTCACAATCATTCAGGTCGCAATTTGAAATTGAATTCGAGACAATAAATAAACCAAACAAAGAATTAAGAAAACACATTTTCGTTGCTCAAGCAAATTTTATCCCAAAAGATGAGGCCACACGCTTCAAATGGATCTTTTCAGGGCTTGTATGGGCCAAGTTGAATTAGAAACACATTAAAATGATACAAACTTAGACAACAATTTTATTCGCTGTAGCTATATATAACCCTTGGAAACTTGCTTGCTTTGCATTTTTCCCTTCTAGTCATTCTCTTAGTTTGTTTTTTCGTCAAAAGTTGTCGTTTGGCTTTATTGAGCCTTGGTCGAAGTTGCTTTGGAAGTTTGTTAATAGGTGTTCCCTTATACTTCTCAACAACTTCTGTTAGAATTTTCTCCGTTCTAACAGTCAAGACTCGAGCCAAGTTCTTCTTGGTTATTCTGATGCTATCATCACTAATTTCTTCAACAACTTTCTTCTGTCTAAGAAGTGCCAACTTTTGTTTTATCTCTGCAACCATCTCCTCAAGACTTGAGACACTCAACTGCCTCAGATTCTCAACTTCAAGCTTCATTGGGGTTCACAAGTAAGAAAAAATTTCAATTCTTAGGCATGGCATTTATATATCACGCATAACATACAGCGGCACACCAAAAACCACGTACTAGTTAAAACACACTACTAATAGCATTCCATTTCTGGCACAACTCCACTCACTTCTGAAGTGCATTTCCCTATAGAAAGGATATCTTCTCCTCTCAAAAGCAAAATAGGCTCTTCACGATTATTAACTGATGTCAAAGAAACAACAATGCTTATATGCTCATCAAATCCTTGTAGTATGCCTGAATGAACCTCTCCATCTTTCATTCTAACCTCCACCATTTCTTTCAAAAAAATCTTCAAGATGTAAAGTGGATCGAGCATCAACAATAAGAGGGATACATACAACTATTAAATTCATATACCAACCTTTCGTTTTGTATTCCCAATCGATATCTCTTCTGATGAACGTTCTCAACGTTAATTCTTTATAGCGCCACACACATCATCTTCAAGTGGAGTATGCTTTACTTCATACACATTAAAAACGAGCATACTAAAGGTAAGACCGCAAAATATAAAGTAAAAACTCTATGCTTTGTTGTTTCCATACATTTTATAAAGTAAGGTTATATCCAATGAGGTATCCATTTTATATATGGATTCATACATTCACATATTAAAGTTGCATAATAATCTATTTGCACATATAATTTTCTAAAATATATACACATTTTCATCTAATTTTGCATGAAGGAAAATTAAAAAATAAGTATAATACTTAAGCACCTTAAATAAAACAAATTCATTAAAACTCAAATAAAATTTATTGCCAATCTCTAACTCAATCAATTACCTTCAAGCATACCATCTTCTCTTTGTATAAGCATAAAGGAATATTTCCTAAATCCCACTTCTGATCATGTTCGCTCGTTTCGTAAATTTTCATCTTCAAAGTTCGTTATATTCATCACATTCTATTCAGTTTTCATTTTTATACTGCTCGTGTGCAGTAATATTGCATCATTAACTAATTTATTGTATTAGTTGTTAACTTTCATATGATATCGTTTCATTCAAACCTGGATTAATAGTATAGTCAACTGGCATGATTTTAATGCCTAAGCTCACAGTGATGTATAATCCTGCCCATAAGGTCGCCACTACAGCTGTAGCTCCCTTAAACAATCTTCCAAATTTGGATGGAGGAGGCTCGAATCTTTTAATTAAATCATCAATATGCATCTGGCATTCATGAGAAAAAAAATAGATCAGACTTATTAAAATAAGATTCTACTTCTTCGTATCTTCCCATAAAGTCATCACTACCAAATAACCTGTAATCTTTCATATCAACTATATATTGTACCAATTTTGCTTTAAACACAGCATTTACCTTTGCATCATCATATTTCCCACTCGATAATTCAGCTTCTCCTCCTAAGCTTTCTATTATTTTACTCGCTACATACATGAATTTTTTAGATCCTAATAATGCATTTTCAAAATTATCAATTTCTATACGGGTATTATTAAGTCCTTGTATAATTTCAGGCTCCGTATATAATAAACTCTCAGAACATGCTAATTCCCAAAAACACCGATCAATTTCTTCATTATTCTCATCAGCTTTTTTTTTTAATTTCACTAAATAAATCCATCACTGCTCGTTTTACTACAGCATCAACTCCTTTAACCTTCCATTCATCATACTTAATTCTTTCACTATCATCTTTACCAAATATATCAATATGCCCAATTGCCAAAATAATAGCCGAAGTATCTAGTCTCGGCTCTATCTCATCGATTTTTCTTAATTTTGAATAAAGTCTGTTGCCTTCTATTAAAAAGTTTTTCAATGCTTGTGCTTCAACAGATCACGAATTATCAAAACCTGTCATATAAAATTGATAATTTTTTATTATTCCTGCCGCTATTCCATATTTTTTTGCGCGTCTATAAGTTTGGCAAGATCTGTAGTCCTCTCCTTTATTATTCTTTTGAGTTTAATCCTCCTTCATATTCTTGTGCTGATTCATGCCTACATAATATCCTTATATCAGATCCTTTATAAGTGTATAAGACCATACTTTCATCCTTGGCATTATATATAATATCTATAGCCTCATCGGAAGGTAGATAAGAAAAATATGTTCTGAAACGAGTTAAAATTTCTAACCAGAAAGCTGCTTGAGTATCTCTAAATAACCTGTGATCCTTCATCTTAACTATATATTTACACACCAGATTATCTATCAATTTATCCCTTTTTTCATCAAGTAGTTTCCCTTCTTTATCAAGGAATTTATCTGCTCCTCCTAACTTTTCTATCTCTTTCTTCATTACATACATGATCTTTTTATATTTCAGTACATGCACCAATACATTATCCAATTCATCATCTTTCTTTTTATTATCTTCCCCTCCTTAAATAATTCCCTCACTATTTTTTTAATCTTATCATGAGCCTTTTCTTTAACGTTAAAGTTATCAAATTCTTTACATTTATCAGTATTTAAATCTTCTTTGCCAAATATATCAGTATAGCCAATGGCCAAAGCAATCGCAGATATATCTTTCCTTGATTTATTTTCTTGGGTTGAGTTCAAATTATAAAAATTTTTAAGTTCTTGTAAAGTTGTTTCCAATTCAAGATTTTTGTGACACATTTCAAATTCTAATATACCTATTGTTTTTACTGCAGATCCATATTTGCTTGACATTATGAGCCTACGTTCATATAGAGATTTATTAGCTTTTTTGCCTAGAATTTCTTTTAGAATATCTTCTCCATGCAGTTTTTTGTCTTCAAATTGATTCCTTTCCCTTTCACCTGGTATAACCTTACATTCTATTGTTACATTATGAGCAGGGTTTCCATAACAAGCCGTGTAATCACCCGAGCATTCATTCAAACATTTTCGGATATGTTTTCGTGCTTTTCGTCCTAAAATTGTATCTAATGGCTTAATTTATCCAAGGGCACAACAACCAATAAAATTACACACTTTAACTACTCATTATTCGTTTATTATTACATTATCATCAGATATTCTTCATATCTACATTACTTTTCATACCTTAATTATTACAAATTTCATAAACATAACAATTTACTTTCCTATGATTATC